TTTACTCTTCTCGGATATCCATCCCTGCTTCTATCGTACAAACAATCGTGGTCGAGTGAAGATGGCGTGCTACTTACTACTATGTGCATCCTGACTCTATGAGAAACTACAGCTCCGACTATCAACAAGCCCCACTAACCTACCAAACAAATAAACATGATCCCCAGCGCAACGCTATGCCAAAGCCAAGCACACAACCTCTAAACCGCACAACACGAGAAGAACCAGCGCGCGCACCTAGCCAAGGTAGGCACCTCCAGTAGACAGACGCGCGCGAGCGCACGAGCATCTTGCGCCTCTACAGATACCGCTTCTCGGCGCGCTCCTCGTAGCACTGGATCGTGTCATTGGCCTGGAAGTCCTGCCACCCGTCAAAGGCCATGCCGCACTCGGTGCCCTTGCGCATCTCGGCGACGTCCTTCTTGACGTTCTTGAGGGACGAAACGGTTCCTATTGGACGGCGTTGGGGTTAGCCGTTGCAGGGGCAGTAATGGAGGCAGGATAGATAGAAAAGTAGAAGAAAGGCAAAAGGGGGGAAACGGAAAAGGGAACATACCATCATAAATCTTCTTCTCCCCCCGGAAAACCCTGACGCGGTGCCCACGGCCCATGACGCCGTTCTTGACCCTGCAGCCGGCAATGAGCATCTTGCGCCGGCCGCCGAGGCCAATGCTGAACGTCTGCAGGACCTGCGCCTCGCCCGTGACGCGCTGCACCATGGTGGGCGGCAGACGCTCGCTCAGCAGCGCCTTGACCGCGTCGACGAGCCGGTAGATGACGTTGTCCTCGAGGACGCGCACGCCGCGCTGCTCGGCCAGGTGCGCAATGCGTGGATCCAGCGCCACGTTGAACGAGATGATGTGCCCGCCCGCCACGGCCGCGTGCTCGACGTCGAACTCGCTCACTGCGCCGAACTCTGAGCGCAGCACTACCGGCCGCACTTCGCTGTTGCCCACCGTCATCACGTAGTCCATGACTGCTTCCGCGGAGCCAGACACGTCTGCCTTTAGGATAAACGGCACCTGCACCAGCGAGGGCGGGCCGTCGTCCTTCGCCTCCGCGGCAGCGGTCTTCGTGTCCGCCACCTCCACGCCGGCTTCTGCGGCTTCCTTCGCCGCGGCCGCGGCCTCCTTCTCCTCGCGCCGCGCGCTCTCGAGCTTGCGCGCCTGCGCAATCGCCTCCATGTCCTTGGCCAGCTGCTCGCTCTCCTCCTTGCGCTCGCGGTACTCAATCACCGCGGTCGCGCGCTGCTCGTTGGGCGCCTGCAGCACCTCGTCGCCGGCGACGGGCACGCCGCGCCACCCGTCGACCTCGGCCGGCATGCCCGGCGTGACTTGGTCGATGAACTCGCCGCCCTCGTTGCGCATTGTGCGCACGCGCGCGAACGTCGTGCCCGCGACGATGATGTCGCCCACGCGCAGCGTGCCGCGCTTGATCAGCAGCGTCGCCGTGCGGCCCGACTTCTTGGTCGAGGCCTCGATGATGCGGCCTTCGACGGCGCCGGTGGGGTCGGCGCGGTAGTCCAGCACTTCGGAGAGGGTTCCAATGGCTTCCTCGAGCTCGTCGATGCCCTGACCTGTCTTGCCGCTGACGTTGATGGCCTGGATGTCACCGCCAAAGTCTTCGACGTCGACGCCGTGACGAGCAAGATCCTGCTTCACGCGGTCAGGGTTCGCGCCTTCCTTGTCTACCTTGTTGATGGCGACGATGATGGGGACACGAGCGCCCTTGGCGTGTTTGATAGCTTCGAGCGTTTGCGGCTTGACGCTGTCGTCGGCAGCGACGACCAGGACGACAATGTCCGTCACGTTTGCGCCACGCTGGCGCATGTTGAGGAAGGCAGCGTGGCCGGGAGTGTCGAGGAAAGTGATGGTCTTGCCGGAAGACAGAGGCACGCTGAAGGCGCCGATATGCTGTGTGATGCCGCCGAACTCAGTCGCGACGACCGAAGACTTGCGGAGGTAGTCGAGTAGAGTAGTCTTTCCGTGATCGACGTGGCCCATGATGGTCACAATCGGGGGGCGCTGCGGCAAACTTGACTTGTCCTCGGGTTCAGGCGCGGCACGGAGGTCCACGTCGTCTTCGGGGGATGCGGCAATCGGCTCGAAGTTGTATTCCATAGCAATAAGTCCAGCGTTTTCCTCGTTCAGAATGTCCTCAGGCTGAATGTCTTCGAAGCCCAGCTCTTCCATCTTGCGTATAAACTGGTCCGTACGCACACGCACCATGCTGGCCAGGTTAGCTACACTAATGTATTCCGGAATGGCGATTGGGGTGGGCGCCGCGGCTTTCTCAGCCGCGCGCTGCTCCCTTCTTTTCGCTTTACGCTCTGCACTAGCTCTGGCATAATCTTCCTCCTCGTCATTACCGCCTCTCTTACGGGAAGATTTACCGCCCTTCTTGCCCTTTTGAGTACTTTCTTCGGCTTCGGCAGGCATGCCGAATTTCTTGGATTTCTTCAAAGCGGCGTTTAACAATGCTTGCTGGGCACTCACAGAAGACTCCTCTTGATTGGCTTCCAGGCTTTCATTTTCACCTTCATCAATGCTTTCATCCTTTGGCAAGGCTTCGTCATCTTTCGCCAAAGCTTCAGGCTGGTCGTTGCTAGGTTGGAAGATGGATCGGTGACCACCCCGCTCATGTATCTCCGGGTTGAAAGCCACAAAATGGCCCTTTGCCCCTTCCTGCTGCGCATCCGCCGTGCCACTGGAAGTGGTTTGGGGCTCGTTACGTTTCAAATGCGACCATTGAGAGCTGATGGCAGGATCGAAGCCCGAATCGTCCTGTGCTTTCGAGACGTCTCCGAAACTCATTGTAATCTGTCCATTTCGGGACGTTTGTCTGCCCGGGAGCCCAAAATCGCGATCTCTCCAGCTAATTCCGTCCGCCGGTTGGGCTGACGGTGCTCTGCGGAAACTAAGTTTCTCTGCTGGCTTCTCTGCCGGCTTCTCTGCTGTTTTGGCCCTGAAGGCTTGTTGCAAAGCTTGTGCTTCCTTCGTTTCCACGGTAGATGATTGCGTGTTTCGACGGAACGACGGGCGGGGTTGCGATTGCGGCTGCGGCGCAGCTGGCTGCGATGTCTTCTTCGGACCAAACAACTTCAGGAAGCGCTCTCTTTCTTCTTCGAGCGTACCCGGAGACTTCGGGTTCGAAGATGCGGGAGCATTCTGGGCGGCGACTCGGGAGTTGTGTATGTTCCTGCGTTGGACATGTCGAGCGCAGAAGATACAGACGCTGTGCGCCGAAGACACCTGAGAGAAGTTAGTTTGCAAAGGCTTCGGAGGCCACAGGGCAAGCTTACCTTAGCTCCTTGCCTGCGCATCTTCAACTGGCTTGTGGCAATGAGAATGGAAGCTACCGAAAAGCTGTCCGGAAATCCGATACCTAACTAGTTGCGACGGCAGAACTCCGGCGAACTACATTTCGGTCTCTCACGGGCGTCATCCACCAGCGCACGGCTTTGATTGGAAGAGCTACGGCGCTTAGTGCTGAACATTATCTCCTCCGCTTCCGCAATTGATCTGGACATTATACGGATGATCTCGTTTCTTTTATTTCCTGTTGCTACTCCCACCTAATAATACTTCCTTTTCTCCCTAAGAAACTTGCAATTTAGGTATCGTTCACTGCTGCCCGTCCCGTCCATCCGATCACGCCTCTCCCGCTGCCACTTCAGCATGCGTCTTCACCAGGCTCAGCCTCCTCGCCTCCAACTCCACGTCCTGCGGAATCAACTCCATCAACTTCGGCATCTTCGGTTCCCAGCCCAACAGTTTTCTCGCTCTCAGCGCCCTGCACCTTGAATTGCAACCCCAGAGCTCCGGACCAGCCTTAAACATTTTTCTGGCTTCTGTTACGTCGAGCCCCACAACACTTTTCTGTAGCTTCTCGAAGCCTTGCCGGCGCGCCTCCTTGACAACGGCTCTGCTCACGTCGCCCCACACGAACTCCCCGCTCTCCGCGAAGTAGTACCCATTGGTCGGGCCCCAAGTCGCGGCGCCGCCGTTTGGCTGGGTCGATTCCTCGACGAGACGCAGATACACCTGCGCCAGGTCTCGCACGTGCACCTCTGCCCACATCGTGTTGCCCTCGAGCACGGTGAAGCCCTGTTTGCGCTGCAACGTGCAGCGAACAAGCTCGGGAACCTGAATTGAGCGCTGATTACCCGGACCGCGACCAAAGCCATAGATGCAAGGTGGGCAAACAATTGCGGTAAGGATGTTGGCAGACTTTGTATGCGCGCCGAGCACGACTTTGTCGACGGAGCGGTGCGGCGCAGCGTCCGGTAGGGACGTTACCTCTGACACGTTATCCAGATCATCATAAATCTTGGAAGAACTGTGGCCATAGGAACTAATCTGAATGTCGTTTATGAGCAAGATGCCTGCGCCAGACGTGTGGATGTAGTAGCTAGGGGTGCTGCGCCGGGAAAGCCCGGAGATGATTGCATTGGCGGCACCTGCATGGTCGGCGTTGGCCCAGTCTGGGAGCTGTTAGTTCTTGGCCTATTCCGGAGCAACAAAGTGATATCAAAATATGTTTCAGGATATTGGATCAAAGATGGGCCAGTCCGCATCACTGCTACCGCTAGATAGCTGTGACAGTTGAACTCGATCGCAAAAAAGGGTATGAAAAAATTCGACGACGACGAGTTCGAGAAAGCAGAATGAAATAATAAACCTACTGCAAACCACATCTGCCTTGGCCGCCTCTTCCGCAATCAGATCATGGCTGTCCAGATCTCCATACACGAGCTTCACGCTGGGGTAGTCTTTCGCGACCAAGACGCCCTTGTCCGAATTCCTGACAAGGCACGACCACTCATACTCCGGATGAGCGTGGGCTATAGCATACAGCGCATCGCCGCCGATGTACCCCGTCACACCTAGTCTACGGTCCGCGTCAGCGCATGTCCGGGTCGCAAGCATGTGCTCGACTCACGCAAAGATCTTGGTCATAGTGGGTAGGACTCTCGGGTTAGTTCCTTTGGGCTGTCTAGGATACGACGTTGGTTCAAGCGTTTGCGGTTCCGTAAGTCGAGGTAGAGGTGGGGGCAACTAAGGTTGTGTCCGGGAATGAAAGAGCGAAGGTCGGCATGACGTAAGAGGTCCGTGAAACCCGGGCAAGGCTCATCCAGAACCACGTCTTTTCCCATGAAAGTGTTAACAGGCCAGTGACACAGAATTATTATGGCTCCCAGGCTCGCTTGCCTCCAAAGACCGGTAGCCAATCTACTGGATCCATTGTCCTTACTCAAAACAATCCAAGAACGCCTTCGTTATGGCTCTTGCTTGCGGCTCCATACACCCTTTGACATGTGAAAATCATGAGCATTTATTTCTATCATCAGCGCCCCGACCGCAAGTCCACGACTGAGTAATCGAGCCCTGGCAACTCCAAGACGTGACCTGGTTTTTTTGCATCTGTATAGAGGTGTGATTCGGAATGCGGATGAAAGAGACCGGTTTGCGTGCAGTTGAGGATTGACTTCAGGCCTGGAGGGTCTGTTAATCGGAAAACGCCCCACCTAGAGGAAATAGATATTATCAGTATGAATACACCTTCGGTGACGCGATTTACAACATACGAGGGACTTTTGCTAGGCGCACAAACAATGGCGATGGCCTCGGGCATCATTACCTGATACCCGCTGTGAGTGTGCAAATCTCTGCTGCTCATGAAACAGGTTTGAGAAGGGTGCGTGTGTATCCAACCGAGCATCATGAGGTCTTCAGAGTCGCAGTAGTCGAATAGAGCGGCCTCGTCCGTGGTCTCACACGTATCAGATGTGCTCTTTTGGTCCGGGATGACCAGCCTTGAAATGAATAGCGCATTTGAAATAAGGGTGCCGCAGAGAATACCACAGGTTTCCAAGTTATTCTGAGTGTTCGACGCCGCGGCACGGAGAAAATCGTTGCGCAGATTAGGTGGTAAGAATACTGTGCGCAAGGCCTTGCCGCTCTCAAGGCATGCTCTGGACTCGAAGGTCACGTTGCTAGGGTTAAGCGCGTGCTGAAGAGGCGGCGTTGCCGAAGCGGAACGAGATGGTGTATTCGACCAGTCAGAGTCAAGAATTTTTCCAGGTACAGGCGGTGGAATTGCTCGGAACGAGTCTTCAAACTCTTTTCGTGGGATTGCCGGAGGTATGGTATTTAACTGAGCCTCCATGGATTCTGGGGCGACCTTTGCTGGTAATGGTGGCGCGGCAAGGGACGGTGGCATGACGGAGGGCTCGCCCCATGCCTCGTAGACGCTTTTCTGGGGAACATGGGGATAGCTGTAGGGGGAGGGATGTGATGGTCTGGCTCCAGGGCTGCCCAGAGAAGCCTTGCGAGCAGAGGAGCTTTCCTGGACATGCCGTCCCGTTTCGATGATCCTCCGATTCAAATCATCTGCATCCTCTTTACTATCATTGCCCGCCAAGTCGTCCTCCCATGAGTTCCACGATCCTCCTCTGCGTCGTCGTTGTTCTTCCTCTTCGGACACTCCGGCTTGTCGCACCTTTCTTTTCGCCAAATCTCTTCTCCGAATCTCCTTTTGCGCAAGTTTCGCCGCAAGGTCTCTGTGCTCCCCAGCATCAAGTGCCTGTTTTGCACCAAATGACATGTCCGAGTCCTTTCTTGTATGCATGCTCCAGTTTTCCACGTCCCGAGCAAGTTGCTCGTGGTCCAATGTCGGTCTCTGGGCCGCCAGCTTCTTCCTTTCGGCATCTCGCCGTATTTTGGCCTGGATATATTTTTCATGTTGTTTGTTTATCCTCGGCTTCAAATTCTCGAGTTTAGGGAGATTCTTTGTGACTGCGTTGCGCTGTTCCTTGATGGCTGCCTTGTATTTCGGGTCCTTCGCTTCCGGGTGCTTGGGCAGCTTTTCCAGCACAAGCATAGCATGGCGGAAGAGCAAGAGATACGCCTGCTGGTCATTGCCTTCTTTCTCATAAATTTCAGCCTATATTGAGTTTGTGAGCCAGCGACAAATAACCAGAAGATGGCCGACTGTACCTCCTTGGCCAGCGTTTCAGCGCTACGCAACCAGTATCTGAGCGGGACAGCGGGATCGTAGTCGAACCTTTCGGCTTGCTCGGCCAACTCCTGCACACTGGAGGGCTCGTTGGCCCTGACTGGCGCCATGACTATGAAGCGTCGGCTGATTGTTCTGAATGATGGTCCTCTGGTCGCGGAAAGCAAAGTTGGCTGGCACTTGGCCGATCCGCGCGGCACCCGCAGTTACTCTGGAGGCGCTCTTGAGAAAGAAGACAAGCGGCGGATAAAGGCGCGTTCCGACTTCATGGTATGACCAGCCGTCTCTGTAGAGCCGAAGCACGCGGCGACGTGATCATGGTACCTGGCGTGCGTCACGCATGTTGGACCGTGCCGGAGGCGGCGAGTTAGGCGGTGACAGACTTTCGGCCTACCCACGTGCTACCTAGCCTAACCACGCTAGGTACTTGCTCTACCTACCACCTACCGAAACACGGCTCAACAGCAGAACGGCTCTACGTATCTACCTCTGACGCGCCCCACCTACCTAGATAGGTACGCATTCCTCGATCAGTTGGCTACCGGATTCGTCTCTACGTCCGCCGCAGTATGGGAGGACCATGAAGGCTACGTTCATTTTCGCTTCCAAAGCAGTCAAAGCCTCGGGTCTCACTAAAGGACTGCGTCGCGTGGGAAAAACTGATCGGATTGACATCAAAAGCCCTGGTCTTTGTGGTGGGTTTTCTCCCTTCACGCGCAATCTTCTTTAACCAATTCAGTTAACATGAATAGATGATATCATCACGTACTTTGGCCCCTCGCTAGAACAGTACAAGAACTGCGACATCATCGATGCCAATCCTGGTGACGGTCTTTGGTCTTCCAAGATTCACGAGTTTCTCAAACCACGGAGACATGTCTTACTAGAATCGGAGAAGCAATACACTCCTTTCTTAAAACCGTTACTAGACGCACCTGGTTCTAAATATGTCCACGTGCCGTACAACGGCAGTGCGCCACGATCTTTCGTTGATGTGTTCCAAGAAGGTCACCTTCCAAATCAGGTGCCACTCAACGGGGACGATCCGCGGATAAACCAGCCAAACACCACGTTGCTTGTGCTCCTCAATCTCACCAAAAAGAATGCGAAGAGTCCAAGAACTTCTTACTTTCTCAATCGCCACCTACTGAACACCTTACAAACCAATGCGTGGAGCCATACCGGCATACACCAATATGGCTTGATAAGGATGCTGGTATGGTGTGATGATTACACGAAGGAACGTTTAATACCTAAAGACCTAAGTGGAGATTCATTCAGCCTATCATTCCAGCACACCACGGATACTCATCTCATCGCCGAAAGGTATCCGCCTGAATTATCGCGCCATGGTACCGACTTGGATCTTGCGAGTGCAGTTCGGGCCGCTGAAAGCATGCGTCGCCTAGGCATGAAGCTCCCGCAAAATAGGAGCAATTTCCTCCATCACGCAGCATTGGATCTGCTGTCAACTGAAAGTAACGATGCTTTCAAGCGTTACCAGGACGTCGAGAACGAGCTCCGCTCGCGTTTCATCGAAAAACGGGATGCCCTCGAAGAACTCGAAGCGCTTGAGGCCGAATTTAAAGCTGGGACTCTTACTATGCCACAAACTGCCCCTAATACTAAACAGCTGATCCAAGATCCAAGATGGGGGCGATTGGAAAGCCTTCGAAATGCTGCATCGTCTGCGCTTCACAATAAAAGAATGAACCACAGATCATGGGAACCTACACTCGCCATAGGGGAACGAATGCTTTCATTGGAGCGCTTGATCATCGATGAAAGCAAATCTGATGCAGAGCGGCTTGCTGCGAAACAAGAGTGGGAAAATACCAAAAAGAAGTTCAGGAATACCTGGAGGAAACTTGGTACTACCCGCCGCCGACAAGCGTTGCTCGCTTTTGACCAACGTAAAGCTTTCTATTGGCTCGAGCGGCCCTTACTCATGTGGGACCGTAGGCCATTTGAACCGCTCGCGACTAGAAAGAATGAGTTTCACCCACAAACAGATATGGCCCTCCTGGATATCAACCCAAAGCCCGCACCAGGTGAGAGATCGGAACGAGACAGCCTCTATTGGCAACGCTTCGCCATGAAGCTGAGTAGCCGCACTACATCCAGCATCAAAGCAGCGTTGAACGACATTTATCTCGGCGCTGCGGATGCTTTGCTACCGGAAATAGGATTGGTCCACGATCCGAAGCAAGGCGGTTCTATTGACATCGAGGAAGTGCGAGTGCGAAATTTGACGCCTGAAATGGTGGAAGAAATTGTCGACGCCTATCGCCGCTGGATCTTTCGTCCGGATGCTATAGAAGTGCAGCTTACAGAAGATCGACTGAACTGGGAAGATCTCGCCAATTCGAGCTCGGCCAAGCAGGTGTTCTTTTAGCAGCTTCGGGTCTCAAGGATGATCAGAATCCTGTTCAATTGACCTTGCAGACAAAACAATGCGGCTACTGGAGCTCAACCTTAGCGGCCACCACCGCTGGTGCTGTATGGGAATCATCAGGCACCACTCAATGTATTTATGACTGTAAAAAATAGTGTACTCATATAAAAAACCTTCTTGTGGAAGCCTCCATTGAGCTCAATGCATGATAACCACCATTCCCGTTGGGAAGATGCCGTGATTGCAACCCCTAGAAATGCTCGAACGCCTCCAGATCATGTTTTCTGTTCCGTGCTTTGATGTGCTTGGGTCGTCCGAAAGCTTGCCGAACCAGTTGTCCAACGCCGCTTTCATTCTAGATATCAACTTCATTATTTCGAGCTTTTCCTCTCTTTCCCGCTAAGATGGGCCGGCTTTCCTTGCTCGCCCGCTGCCCCGCCCTTGGCAGCCTCAGCCCTGCCGTAATTGCTAATCAGGTCGAGCAGGCTCTCCTCACCCTCCTGGGGAGGCAATCCTTCTTCTCCCTCGCGCGCCTACAAAGACAGAACCAAGTTAGCAAGCCATTTTCAATAAGGTGCTTTAGTATGCATATCTGTTCCCATCCAGCTCATGTTTGTCATCCTGGGAAGCAACAGGCAAAAACCACTCACCTCCTCGGCACTCTCCGTAACCTCACTATCCCAGCCACGACCAAACTTTTCGCGGAAAGCCCGCAGCCGGCCTGCCTCGTCCTCCTCGACGTTCAGAAGTTTCTGCGATGACGGATTCCAGAGCGGGTTGTTGCGGGTATCCTTGGTACTGGTGACAACGGAAGCGGGGGACGTGGTACGGTGGGTGTAGGTGCTGCCGTCCGAGAGCGTGACCAGCTGGGTAAAGGTGTAGGGCCGCTTAGGGCGCTTTAGCAGCGTCGCATGGCGGCATTGGGTCTTAGGAAGGAGCTTCGAGGCGCTGCTGCCGAGGTTCCGCGCAGAGCTGGGGGATAAAAGCAGGTTGGACATGGTGTTGTGGATGAGTTGCATGCGACTGCGGCGAGTCGCGGAGGTGGATGATTTTCGCGGCCATGCGTTTTTCGAGCTCCGCGCAAGAACTCACCCACCCCATCACCTACATCCACGCTTACACCTTGCGCGGGTCGCTTCCTCTGCGCAATGCTGGATGTGGGAGCTGCGCCTCGCTTTTACCACGCCTTTTATCGCTGGAGCAGTATGCATTTCCTCCATCAACTCTGGCGCCTAGTGTTAATCTCATTCATACAGGCACTATCGCCCCGCGAAACCATGTCGCACGCTCCCACAGACTGAGCCTTGGCCAATCGCGTCAATTAGGCACCGTACATCCAGACCTCCAAGGGTCCACAGAGTCAAAGACAGATGATGGTTCAGGTGACTCCAACACCGCTGGGGTCGCTGGTCCTAGAATCCGTCGTGTCCGAGATACCTCCCAAACAACACTACCAGTGAACAGTAATGAACTCAAGCGGGGAGCCGTACGGTTACGCCCGAGCTTGCGGGAACAAAAGCAGCAGGAGGAGCTCGGCAACGGTATGTTCGAAAGTGCTAGCACTCGGCGACACACTTTCCTAGCTAACGCGTGGTTATCGCTCTTTAGGTCAGATACCTGAGTACCTTCGCCTTATCAGGCGCGACATCGTCAACAAAAGTCCTGCTAGAAGAGCCCAAATCTCAAAGATGTGTCGCTCTCTGATGCGCCATGTCCCGAGTGGCGTAGTTGTCATCACTTCGCGATCTGCTTTAGGAGACTCCCACAAAGCCAAGCGGGCCTCTCTTTCTCGCGCGCGCGCCATGACTGTCTCCTCCTTCACAACAGTCTCTTTGGACCCCACGGCCATCGTCTCCTTCAACATCAAGGTTCCCTCAAGCACATGGGACGCCATTCGTGGCTTGCAGCAGCTGCGCATACACTTTCTCACTGCATCAAGACTGGGAGCCACTATCGCAAACACCTTCAGCAAAAACCGCGGTACTGAAGCATTTGAGGAAGCCATTCAGCAGGGCATCGCGGTCGGCGTTCCGGGGTCGGTACAGACGTCTTGGAATACTCTTGGCGGCTTTGGCGGCAAAACCATCATCGAAAATTTCAATTTCAAGCGTCGTCGTATAACAAATACCGGCGAAATAAACCACTCAACCCACCTTCATGGAAAAGCTATCTATGCGGCGCTGGATTGCAAACTGCTCGAGGACAAGTGCGTTTACATACACGACCATGTGATCGTCGTTGCAGAGGTATTTGGAATAGAGCGCACGTATATGGGGGACGACACGGCCTATCTGTCCTACTTCGATGGCCATTACCGGAGGGCTTCTGCGCGCATCGATATGCAAGACAAGGCCAGGAAGAACCCGGAGCCCAGCATTGATATTAATGCCGATGGTAATGATGCGGAGCCATTGCTCAGAGAACTGACAAAGAGGGGTTTCAGTGATGCTAGCTGGCAGGAAGGAAATGGTTATAGTGATGGACAAAAAGATAGTTCCAACACGGAGCTATCTTCCGAAGAGTTGCAAAAGGAAGAATCCCAGTTTTCTCCCGCCGCTACTCCTGACGCCTCTCCCGACTCGGTCAGCGTTGCTGACGGACAAGAGATGCCCTTGCAGGAGGAGGGAAGAGAGGAAGCCGCTGACGGACAGGAAACGTCTTCAAGTGGGGAAGAAGACAAAAGTATTGACGGCTCGAGGCAGTTGTGAGGGAAAGTGCAATTTTGAAGCGCCTCATAGTAAGTGCCTTTTTCTTGGCTCTTATGCGCATCTAGGTGGCTCATTAAGCTACGGACTAGCGAGGGAATTGTAAGAGTAATCTGTTGCCTATTATTGTATTATGTGAATATTTTATAGATGAAACATGGGCTCGATTGGTAGCACATCATTTAGAACAAAATCTCTATGTCTGGTTTTATTGTATCTTCGTGTCTCGACGCCTTATAACGCCGAGTGGTCGACATGTCACCGACATGTCAGCTGCTGAGGGTATTTATTCGTACTGATGAAAACGCTCCCGCTCAATCCATTTCTTGAACATCCCACTAACTCCAGGAAATGTAACCTGCCCTCTTCCCAATGTCGTAATTTTTCGTAATGATCAAATCGGGGAGATCTTCCTACTCTTAGTCATTCACGTCGCCTTTCTCCTTTCTCCCTTTCTTCCACCCTAATTTTCAGTCTCTCTTCCGCTTCGTCGAACAATTCTAGTGCTTTCTCTACACCAGGGTCCTTGGCGCGGGCATTCAGCCATCCAATATCCAATTCGCCCATTCCACCGTTCTTAATATTGCCACTGGCGGCTTGCTCGTCGAGCTTCTCCGCCGTCGCTGGGATAACGCCTGCGTCGGCCAGCGCTTGCGCTTCGTCGTTGAGCCGTTCGCCAATCATTTTAAGCTTCTGGAAGTATTCGGCTGTGTGCGTCGAGAAAGCGTCCTTGCGTGCTTGGAGGGCGTCGGCAGTAGAGTCGCCGTTGAGAGGGCGGTTGGAAAGCGCGTCAATGGCAAGACCGGCGGCGCGGACTAGTTGGGGGACGGCCTGGGAGAGTAGAGGTCAGCGTGGGTCTTTTTGGAGGTGTTGAGCGCGCGAATACCTACCTCTTTGATTTCGCTCAAGGCCTTGATGCGCTCTGCGGGCAGGTCGGCGTTGCCATTGGCGTTGCGCGCGCTGTCAGTGGCCTCGTTTGAGCTCATATCCGGCTCTACCAGGGTGTTTGGATGGTTCTTCTCTGAGCTAGCGGAATGCGGAGATGCACGGAGACAAGCGGGAGGGTGACGCCGTGACGGTGGAGGATCTGCCCCGCGGGATCGTGCATTAGCGGGTGCCTGGGTGCCTGGCCTGCTGGGCGGTGGCTCAGGCGGCGTGCCATGGATGGAACCTCGCCCGGGGCTTAACCGAACATCTGCACGAAGCGCGTCCTGAGATCTCGTCTAACGTCTTACCTTCACTACCCATCTTAACGATACCCCCAGCTTTTTTTCTTCCCTCGACTCTTTACTCTGTACTCCCTTCACCGTTGATGATAGCGCCACGCCTCTAATTCTATTCTCCCTCTTTTACAAAGCAAAATCATCACACGCCCGACCGCGCTGCACGACACGCTGAACTCGTGGCAAACGCCGTGCAGTCATCAGCAAAATGTCTGCTCCGCAGCCTGGCGGCGGTCCTCCGTCTCACTCGCGCGGTATGAGTGTGGGTAATGCCCCTCCTGGCTCTAGCATGCCGCCCCAGCAGATGGCTGGACAAGCACCTGTGCAGCCAGTCGCGGGAGCGCCCCCTGGCACACCGCAATCGCAGCAAAACCTTAATCATATTGTAAGTTAGATATTTGCTTGTATTTGTGCCTGCGCATGAGACCGGTTTTTCGTGCGGGATCTGGATGGAGAGGGAACGCCGTGGACGTCTGGAGATCGACTGCAGACTGAACCAAGATTAAAACGGTCTGGGGAAAGGTGCATGGAAGAGCGGTTCGGGAGACGTAAACCAGGGTTTCAAGATCCCTAAAAGGCAACTTTAAGTTCCTTAACACGGAATGGACATGGACGGTGCGCACCTATCAGGATTTCCGCACAGCACCTAGACTGGACCGGACATTCACCTAGCCAAGCCTGGCAAACATATTGTTCATGTTAAGCGTTAAGCGCGGCTTGGCTTGCCGTCAACCGCGATGCCGCAACAACTTCAAAGCCGCAGCTTCCTTTCATGCTTCACCTTCTGAACGCATCACACCTGCCAAACGACCACCACCAGAAAAGCATTTACGTGTGCACATTGGCAGCCACGATGGCTTCATCCACAGGAAAGCACCGCTACGTGCCGGAAGGGTACACGCCTGCGCTCTCTGCCTTAACGCCCTCCCAGCAAGCTGCCCTGCAACCTGTACTTGACCGCACACCTCCCCCTCCACCAGCGCCATTGCAATCGGGTTTTTATGCTTCGCCGTATTCGCAGGACAACTTAGACTCCAAGCGCGTAAGTTAAGCTCACGATGGTGGTCATCCATTAAGCCATCAGCATTCCCCCTCCACACAAGCAACAGTGGAAACTCTTGCTGCTCGATGCGAAGTGGAAAATACATCTATCACTCGGCGGCGCACCCTTTACACCATTTCATCGGAATCATTGGAATAAGATCGTCACGTTCAAACCTTACATTATTTACCATGCCGCTGCGTCCGCTAAGTATGGACTATTTACCCAAGAAACACTCTCATTTTAACCAGCCTTTAGGACCAACGCCTTTGGGACCAAATGGAGTGTGCGGATGCGCTAGGTGTCGCGTACTCCAAGACCTCGACAGGTCTCGCCAACGTCACTCCGCATTGCCTTCGCCGTCCACGCAGACTTCGTCGTCCGGGCCTCCCAGTCCCAACCCGGGACATGCCCCTCAGACGCCCCCGGGATATGTTCCTTACACGTCCCCGAGACAGGCACCCTACACGCCTATGGTCCACGGCACGCCCAATACGCAGCCTTCCTCGGCTGTGTTGCAGGTAGAGTCCGGGTCTCCGTTTTCCATTCCGCACGCATATCCACCGGTTTCGCAAGATATCAACTCACCCTATCTTGCTTACATGGTTACGTCGTCCCCGGCGCTGTCTTCCGTGAACTGGAACCAATGGGAAATTTTGCACTGCCACATCTGATACTTTGAAAATGCTGACATCAAAATTTAGGTCCTTGAATACCTCAACAAGAAAGGTTACAACCGCACAGAGGCTATGCTCCGGAAGGAATCTGCCAATCAGGATGCAGAAGGACGCCCCATCATCAACAGGGCTGAAGACCGCGGTGGTGGGCAGTATGAAAAGGCATTTGGTAAGCTAACTGACCTTGGCCAACGACCTTAGAGGAGTCCATCTGTTTGCTGACGATATTATGTAAACAGACCTGCTTCGCGCCTGGATCGAAGACAATCTTGAGCTCTACAAAGTCGAACTACGCAGGCTCCTCTGGCCGGTCTTCGTATACTCTTTCCTTAATCTCGCAGCGGATTTCTACCAGCGGGATTGTGGTACCTTCTTTGAAAAATACAAGGACATGTTCGTGCGCGAGCATGAGCAGGATATCCGCCAACTGACAAACATCCGCCTACCGGAGCACGTGGTTGGCGGACACATTGCTAAGATCTACCGTGGAAACAAATACCGCGTTACCCTCAGCAACATGGCATTCAACTCTCTCATACAGTTCCTTGAGTCCAAGGACAAGGAGGGCGGTTCGGTCATCATTTCGATCCTGAATCAATGGATGAACATCGTAACCGTAGATCGTACCGCTGCAGGCAACGAGAGGAGTTTGGCAGCCATAATTGCCAAGGGTGGTGTTGAAGATGACCTCCCCGCTGAAGACGAAGGCATTCCTGGCCACAACCCCGGCTCCGCCAATACCGATCGCAATGCCCCTCCAGTCCTCGCCAAACTTTCTTTGGGCCCGTTGCCAATGGAACCAGAGCTTATGGAGGATGTCCGGGCTGAACTTCAAGAAGAAGACATCAAGAACCCTCCTAAGCCAGGCAAGAGCTCTCTCGTCGAAGAATTTGAACAGCGCATCAAGCGCGAATCAACGGAGGACGTACCGACTCGCGAAACGGTACCTCTACCGCCGTCACTGGCGCGCGACGTTTTGATGGAAGTCCAGAAAGTCAAGGAGAACCGTGACAGGTTCAAGATCGAGGGCCGTACTGGTGGTGTTGGCCCAGGCGTCAGCGTGTGCATGTTCACCTTCCATAACACTTTTGACGGGTAAGTGTTGCAGCTACATGGCAATTGCCAGTATAACTGACATCTTCATAGTGTTAACTGCATCGATTTCTCTGGCGACAATGAGCTCGTCGCGGCCGGTATGCAGGAGTCATACATCCGTGTCTGGTCGATGGATGGCAAGGCTCTTCCCTCCCTGTTGCCTAACGACAAACCGTCGGCCTCTAAGCGCCTTATTGGCCACTCCGCGCCTGTCTACGCTGTGTCATTTTCTCCCGCCACTACCAACCCAGCTTCAGGCGGCGCATCGACCCGCTCGAAATACCTTTTGTCTTGCTCGGCTGACAAGACGATCCGTCTCTGGTCGCTTGAGACTTGGACCTGCATCGTAGCCTACAAAGGCCATAGCGGCCCTATCTGGGATATCAAGTGGGGACCTTTTGGTCACTACTTCCTTACCGGCTCACTCGACAGGACTGCGCGGCTGTGGACGACGGATCACATCGCACCCCACCGCCTCTATGTTGGTCATGACAACGATGTTGATTGTGTCGCTTGGCATCCGAACGGCGCATACCTCTTCACGGCGTCCTGTGACAAGACTGTCCGCATGTGGCACATAAACGGCAACCCGCTTCGCATGTTCACTGGACATACTTCCAACATCACCGCAATCGCCTGTTCGCCCAGTGGTAAGAAGCTCGCTAGCGCTGATGACACGGGCAATATCATTCTGTGGGACATTGCTGCAGGTACGCGCGTTAAGCGCATGCGCGGTCATGGCAAGGGCGGCATCTGGTCGTTGTCGTGGAGCGTTGAATCGTCGGTCGTGGTCTCTGGCGGAGCCGATGGTACCGTCCGTGTTTGGGACGTGCTGCAAGAAACTCCAGAGAGCGCGACTACGGCAAACGGCAAGATCATCGCCGAGGGCGGCGCAGGCACCAAGATCGACGGAGCGGCGACGGGTGCTGGCGCAGCAGGCAAGAAGAAGGCGAAGGATGTTGTGGTGACGGCGGATCAAATCAGCGCATTCCCAACGAAGAAGAGCCCGGTCTACAAAGTCCATTTCACGCGTATGAATTTGGTACTAGCGGGCGGCGCATACATGCCTTAGAGCGGAGATGGGCCAATGGGTGCTTGAATCTGATTTCCTGAGGGGCAAAGGCGTAATGGATAGTGGTTGGGGATTTCCTTTCACATTTTCTTGGCCAAGGACTGGCCGATTACGGTTACCTTCCGGCTGGTCGCACAGGGCTGACAGGATGCGAGACGAGGCCCTTCGCGGAGCCCATGGTCTAGGGCTAAAAGGGTGCAGGCAAACATGTACAGTATGGTGCGACCTGGATGGATTGCAAATTCACGACAATGATTGGTGCTTCTTGTGCTGCTGCTTGCCCCTTTGAACGCCTTAAGGCGGACGCTAACTCAATAGGTTGATATAGCTGGAAGGTGGTAGTATGGCAGGTGAAGGATCAACGGTCAACGCCGCAAAGATAACAATGGAGACACAATGGGTCCAGAGTGTCAGCTCGGCTGCGGCACGGTGGTCTATATCTCGCTATCTCCTACGTAAACGGACGAGAGCACATGGGTTGTGCGGGGCGTCATGTGCGTTTCTCCGCCCAGGCTCTTGGGACCTTGGCACCTCCGCGCCTCCGCATTATCTTCGAGCAGTGCCAAGTCGGCACAGCACTCAGTGCCGCTGGTAGGCGCGTGGCTTGCGGTCTGGCTGGGCGGGACGGCCCTGGGCGTTGGGCTGATAAGTATGGGCGCCGCAAACTGCTTCCAGCCTCGTCTTCTCGAACCTTAGGCCGCCTTCTGCTGCATCGGGGTATGCGTCCGTTGGGCCAATGATGCTGCGATTGGCGCCCTACTTGCGCGAGTCGGCTGCTCTATTGCACAATATACGAGCGCCTCGTCCGGCTTGGCTACCACTCATGCTTATCGAACAGCTTGCGCAGTCGCGTGCGCGGTGGCAACACTGACTATCTCACAGAAAATGCACCCCAAGATTCTGGGCGAGTCCCTCGCTATAGCACCTTCCTAATGCGTGTGCGACGCGCAGTGGGCACATAAAAGCTACGCGCATCCCGGGCTGCAAGGTATCGCTGTACCTCACGCCTTCTTTTTTTCTCCAACCAGCCCGCCCAACCACCTCCGCCATGAGTTCAGGCGCCAGAGGCCTTGAAGATGTCGAGATCGCCCAGGGCCACGAGCCTGCTGCTCCCACTCCCCTCGGGGAAAAGGAGCTGCAGCTCGCCGTCTCGAGCAATGAGAAGGAGATGGGCGTGTCGATGGGCAGAGGCTCCTTCGACGACAGTGAGGGCACCGCACCCACCGAGGAGGACCTGCACACTCTGGTCCGTGTTTCGGGCAAGCTTCCGTGGACCACATACACCATTGCCTTTGTCGAAATGTGCGAGCGTTTCTCGTACTATGGCACTTCCGTTCTTTGTGTGTATCCTGCACCGTCCCAACACCTCAATATGCACTGACATGGGCAACAGACACGAATTATATACAGCAAGACATGCCCGCCGGCTCTCGCACTGGTGCGGGTATGGATGGCCAATCCGGTGCGCTAGGCATGGGACAGCAAGCCTCCACTGGCTTGGTAACTTGTACGCCATACGCTCATCCTTGAATGTGCTTGGGTTATCGCTAACTATCGGCAGTCAACACCTTCTGGGCATACACCTCTCCGCTTATCGGCGCCTACATTGCTGACCAGTACCTTGGCCGGTTCAAAACGATCCAATGGGCCATCTGCTTTTCAATGGTCGGCCATCTCTTCCTCATCATCTCTGCCATCCCTCCGGTCATTGTCCACTCTGATGCCTCGTTCGGCCTCTTCATCATCGGCCTTATCACTGTGGGCTGCGGAACCGGTGGCTTCAAGTCCAATATCTCCCCGCTGATCGCAGAGCAAGTCAGTGATAGCAAAATGAAGGTTACCGTTGACAAGAAGGGACAACGCGTCCTCATGGATCCGGCCGTCACTGTGGCACGCGTTATGATGTACTTTTACATGATGATTAACGTTGGTTCTCTGATAGGCCAAATTTGTAAGTTTTCCTCCTTTTCTTCACCTGAAAGAAAACCCTGGCACCTTGTAAATGTAGATACCTAGCTGACACAAGTAGCAATGGTTTTTGCCGAGAAGTACGTCGGGTTTTGGCTCGCCTACACCTTGCCGACTATCTTATTTTGCTTCTGCCCAATCGTTCTTTTCGCCTGTCGCAGCAGGTACAGACTGACTCCACCAGCTGGCTCAGTTACTGCCAAGGCGGCGAAACTGTTGTTCTTTGCGGCCAAGGGACGATGGTCCATTAACCCGGTGAAGACGTAAGTGCATCCTCGCAGTTTGTAGATGGATACTACAAACCGAATGGCTACTGATGTGCCAGATAGTGTCAGAAATATGCGGGATATGAGCTTCTGGGAAAACGTTAAGCCTTCCCACCTTGGCGACAGGAAACCGACTTGGATGACTTTCGACGACGCTTGGGTTGACGAAGTTCGGAGGGGTATTAAGGCTTGCGCAGTTTTCTTGCAATTGCCTGTTTTCTGTCAGTGAAACAGATCGACATGTTAAAGCAGTATTTATACTGACAGCGAACCAGGGTTGGCCTACAACCAGATGACAAACAACCTAACATCACAAGCGGCAACTATGGAACTTCACGGAGCACCAAACGACGTCATCAACAACATGAATCCGTTGTCGCTGGTCATATTCATCCCCCTCTTCGACAATTTCGTCTATCCTGCTCTGCGCAAGGCGCACATCAACTTCACGCCGCTAAAGCGCATAGGAGTTGGGTACATACTCGCGACCTGCGCAATGATTTGTGCAACAGTGATGCAGCACTATATCTACAAACTCGGCGCCTGTGGCAAGCACATGAACAGTTGCGAAGATGCTGATGGAAACGCGATTGTGTCTCCCATCAACGTCTGGGCCCAAACCCTGACATATGTCCTCATTGGCATCGCCGAGATCTTCACCATGATAACCAGTCTCGAGTACGCCTTCACAAAAGCGCCCAAGAATATGCGCAGTGTTGTCACCGCCATATACCTGTTTATGAACGCCATTTCATCGGCTATAAACCAGGCCCTCTTGCCTCTCTCCGAGGATCCGAATCTGGTCTGGAATTACGCAGTGTCAGGTATCTTGTGCGCAATTGGTGGTGTTGTGTTCTGGATCTCATTCCACAGACTGGACAAGGACGAAGACAAGTTGAACATGTTGCCGGATAGCGCGTTTGGTGGTCACGATCGCCGCCATTCGATTGTGGAGGATGCACAGAAGAACGTTTGAGGTATAGCACGATGGTACAGATGTGATGTTATTATGCGAAAGCAGGATTGTATGTGGCGGCTTTGCTATGTACTGGCACTTGGGTGGCAGTAGTAGCTCGTAATTATGATACCTTTTCCTGCACTTCGAGTTCAAAACTTAACAACTGCACTGAATAATTATTTGTTATACAGACATAGGGCAGTGTGTATAGGATTGTAATGGCGACAATTGGCTACTAACAGACGCAGAACGGCCTTTTCTTTTCCATAGTCCCACCTGACAGCAAAATATCGTCCCTGTTGCCTACTGTCCACTGAATAAGGCAAACAGAGAGAACGGGAGATAAGAAAGTCCAATTGTCTCCATTATATCTCTCCTGAGACTTAAGGGAAAACAGCTATGAAGAAAAGTCACAGTTATACCTTGTATGTATGCAACACAACCGCCACAACAATCATTGTTTCCAAAACTAAAAAGAAAACAAAATGAAGCAAGCCAGGCTTATCCTGCTACTAGGGGCTAGACACTCATACACACACCTCCGCGCGCGCATGAAGAAGTATGAGAAACGGGGGCGCTTGCTAAGTGAACATGGAAGCCATAGAGGCATAGGAGTATGTATGTGTGTCTACATCACCACACACGGGACTGACCAAAAATCAGCAGTCTCAATCTCAACGACATACACAAACCCTCAAACCGCACCACAGCGCACAGCACGAAACGATCTCGGGACAAGAAACCGCATACATACGTACATACACGCCTACGTTGCGCGACCATACAACCAGAACGAACCAAACCCCTAACCCCGACCCTCCACCCAGCCCATCCCATCCTAGCCATTGCAAACTAAGCCAAGCCAACTTCCCCGATCAACTAACCAACCAATCAACCACGTAGCGAGCTCCTCAACGCGCGAGATGATGCACCGGTGCACAGACAGACAGACAGAGAGAGATCAAGCAGACAAGCAAACAAGCAAACAGACAAACAAGCAAGCAAACAAACAAATAACCAAGCGAATAAACGAACCTAACAACCCAACGCACATCGATACGAACGACAACATCAACAGCATCAAGAGGAAGGAGAAACCAAACACCAAGCCAAACCCACAACCGTAAGCACAACAAAAGACGGAAAAATAACAGCAAAAGGGTTTAGGAACAGGAACTGGTAACTGCGGTATAGCAAATCGAAGGGAAAAGCACAAAGAGAGAGGGAGAGGAGAGAGAGGTTGCTCGCACATACGAGTCGAGGATATGGGTTTAGGAAAAGGGTAATAAGAATAGGTAGAAGAACGAGAGCAAGAAGAACGGGAGAGAGGGGTTAGAGGGACAGCGAGGAGATGTGCGTCCATGCCGTTTGTCCATCTGACAATTCATCCATCCATCCATCCCCACCCGCACACTATCGCGAGAAGGCTTGCTTGCTTCATCGCTCTTTGACTTCGACCGAGCCCGCGCCCATCAGACCAGTAGCAAGCCAGCCTACTAACCAACCCACCGCCCAGTTATCAACCAGTCATCAACCAACAATAAGACAGGCAAGAAATTAGAAAAATAGATCAGAGAGAGCAGCGAAGCAGAGAACAGAGAGCAGAGAGAGAGAGGGGGGCAGAGCGTAGCGCAAAGCCAAAGACTTCTCCTCCCGTTCAATAGATCATTCATATCCCCATCATACCCACCCACCTACCCACCAACCCATCCATCCTTATCATCGTCCTCGTCGTACTATTACTTAAAAATGTGCTTGTTGGTTTACCATAGTCTCGCACCGCTCTTCCGTTCCCATCCGTCTACAAGCCGACTTGACATTCGCACGCACTCTCTCGCCTGCACCCTCCTTACCCCCTCGCTCTCACTCCACTCACGAGCCTGGCGTATCGTACCGTGCCGTTCCGTTCCATTCAGTCCCATTCCATCCCATTCCCAGTCGTTCCAGCCCATCGAGACGCCGACCACCAAAGCGACTCAAAGCGGTCATCGATCGACACACGAACGACCCCACGTCTCCGCGCATTCACATCATCGTTGTTGTCGTGATCGTCGCCGCCGCCATCATCGTCGCCATCGTCGTCATCGATATCGATACCCCCACATCCATCACCACCCAACTTTCCAAAAGAAAAGAGGAGAGAAAAAGGAAATAAAGTCATCATGTCAGCCACGCATATCGCAACCGCAAAAACGCACATACAGTCCCCTTCGCCTCCATCGCAGCGCAGCGCAGAGAGACCGAATAACTCAACGCCTATACTTAGCCAACTGCGCCATAATCTCCTGCATGTCCTGCGGCTGGGGCGGCGCGCCCGATGCCGCAGGCGCCACCGAAGGCGGCATCCCCGCGCCCGTCATCGGCTGCATCGGCGTCGCGCCACTCGGCTGGCCCATCATGCCCGCCAGCGCCGGGTTGCCCGCCAGCGACGCGTAGGCCGAGACTGGGGCCTGGTGCGCGTAACCCTGCATCTGAGGCGGCGGCTGGCCGTACGCGGATGTCGGTGCCGCGTTTGCCGCACCGCCCGTGTTGCCCAGCAGGCGCGCAATGTCCGGCGTCAGTGTCGAGGCGGCGGGCGGAGGCGCTTGTTGTGGCGGCAGCGATGCTGACGCTGGTGCGCCGGCTGGGTTCTGGATTGTTGCGAGGAGCTTCTGGAGGCCCGTCGAGTCTAGAGTGCTGATCAGATTGGACAAGTCTGGCGTTGCGCCAGGTCCCGGTTGCGGTTGTGGTGCGACGGCGTAAGAGACTGAAGGCTGAGCAGGTGGCATGCCATATTGTGGCGGTGGCATCCCATACTGAGCTGGATATTGTGGCGTAGGCTGGGCACGAGCTTGGTCCCTGGCACGAATGACAAGCTGCGCGCAGACCATTGGATCGAGGTCTGTGTATTCCTCGAATGTGACGTTGGCGGGACCGGCGCTGCGGTTGAAGACTTGAAGGGGGACCTTGGCGGTCTGCTGGGAGACACGCGTGATACGTGAGACAGCAATCACGCCCTCGAGGATCTGGCGTCTGATGACAGCAGCCTCATCAAGCCGAGGTGAAAGCAAAAGGACATCGCAGCGGACGCCGGCATCTTGGAAACCGCGCTCCACCCACGCGATGAAAGCTCGATCCATGTCTTGAGGCTGGATGACGAGGATTTGTACGTCCGGAACATCTCGTGGAGCTCTGCGAGGGAGTGGGAGGTCATCGTCCGGGTCGTGACGCGGCGACGGGCTTCTGTATCTGCCGCCGCGACCGTAGGGCGATCTCGACCTGCTCCTCCTGCGCCCGTCATAACGATCTCTGCTTCTATCACGACCCCCACGACGCCGAGGAGAAGGCGAGCGTCCCGGTCTGTAATCATCCCTTACGCGCCGGAATTCGTCCCTCCGGGGGGATCCACCTCCACCACTCGTGTATCTGTCCACGTTGCGCGGTGGTTGGGTGCTGCCGCCGCGAGTGTAGTCTGGGGAACGAGAGCGACGGCGGGCACCACGTGTACCTTGGTCGGTCGAGCCACGGGTGTTGCGTTGCGGCTTGGAAACTTCGAGGTCTGCGAGCAGTGTCAACAAAGTTTGACAGTGTTAGCCGTGAAGGAGATGGCTTACGGATCTTCCTGCCCCTAACCATCGACCCTTGCTCATGCTGAAGCGCGCGATGACACGCATCAGCCTCCAAATATTGTACAAATCCGTAAGCCTGCTTGATCGAGATCTGGGCAAGCTTGCCGTGGCGATGGAATATGTGGAAAATGTCGCGTTTCGTGACCTTTTCGGTCGGGAGGTTTCCTTTAAGTCGACCTACTAGTTTATATCTATCTTCCGATGAGAGTGTTCAGGGAGGCTTACCTATGAATAACCTTGAGCCGGGAGGGAACTTGTCCCACTGGCCTTCGGTCACATATATCCTCTCGTCATGCAAAAACTCATCATACAGCTTCTGCGTCTCAGGGCCCCAGGGTATATCTGAATCATCTGGACCATCTCTCTCGTTGCGGCGTAGATCGACCGAATCGCGTTGGCGATAGCTGGGAGTCGCGGGACTTTGAGTGCGCTGGGTGATGGCAGAGACGGGAGTTTGTTGGAAGGCAGGAGTCAGGCCCGCAGTTGCGGTGCCGGGCGTGCCGGTCATCAAGGGCGGGAGGCCGGGCTGGGTGCGGTAGGAAGCGGCGGCGGTCTTTTGGCTATGCGGATGGTAGGAGCGAATATCATCGCCGGGCGTGTAATTGGGATGCGTGGCTGGCTTCTCTTGAGGTGGTGGGCGAGGAGGGAGGTTGGGGTTTCCGGGAAGCGCAGTGGTGGGCGACTTCGAATGTGCGGCGGAAGGAGCAGGGACTGCGGAGGGGTTCGCTGGTGGAGCGGTATTCTGTGCGGAGGGCGTGGGTGCATTGCCAGCCAGGTTGTCTAGCAGGGCCTGGAAATCAACACCGCCCTCGTCGGGCTTGGTGGCGGCCTGCGTCGCGATGCCGTTGGTGGGCTCTTGAGCTTTGCCTCCCTGAGCAGAGGGGTTGGCAGCGAAGTCATAGGGGATATATGGTGCTTGACCTGCTTGAGTGGGCGCAAGAGCAGCGTCACTGGGCGCATCAGCAGGGACTTGGCGCGGTTGTGCGAAGTTCTGGATTGTAGAGGTATCCTGATTATCCGCTCCCTCTCCATCTTCAAACGACAGCGTCTGCGCATAGTCATCGTCGGCGCCGCTTACTTGCGCCGCTGCGCCGTTCTGGCCCTGCTGGTCTGCAGCATTGGACTGCTCGGCGTACAGCGAGTCTGAGGACGAGTCATTGGACTTTTGGTCCTGGTGCGCATCTTCGGGCGGGTAATGGGTGGCGGTGTCATTGAATACGGGATCCATTTGCTTCTCAAGGACTGGTATGTTGGCGGGTACTGGGTAGTGTATGGGCTTCGGCGAGACGGGAGTCAATGTCTGGCCGCGGAATTCTTCTGGGTCACCGGGAGGGCTCCGGGTCGTCATCTATGCAAAGAGATCTCAACGCAAACCGCGCGCAATGCTGTTGGGACGCGTTCAACTCAAATCATGGAAGGGCGGCGACCGGAGCGGGCGTCAGGTGGAGCTGGCAGGAGCGGAAGCCGTGGACGCGGAGCGCGCCGGGTGGTCGAGGAGGCAGTGCGGAGATGGGACAACAAGCACGAAGCCTGAGGGAGGAAGCTAGAGCACAATGGACGGGGGTGTCGTCGCGATGATGTGGGAGGGTGGTGGGGGGGGGTGGACAAGAAAAGAGGCCAAGGATGGCGGGAGCGCGATCAGCAAGCTCGGCCTTTGATCGGCCCGAGACTGCAGAATGCAACGGAAACGTGCGGCCTGGCGGCACGCAACGTTCAGCAGACAATGCGCCGCCGCCTCCCATACGTGTGGCTGCACCACCTGCAGCGTCGCTGGCTGGCTTCGCGCCGCCAAGCTGGCATTGCTGCCGATGAAGACGTTGCCGCTGCCCGCAAGTGGCTCACCGGCCTGACTCCCGAGACCATCCCCAGAAGCATCTGCGATATCTCCTTCAGCAGGTCGTCCGGGCCCGGCGGCCAGAACGTGAACAAGTATGCATGACGAGCTGAATAGCCTGCCATGCCATGTCGTCACTGACAGCATGCCGCAGAGTCAGCTCCAAAGCTACATTGCGCCTGCCCATGGACTCCCTTCTCCCGCTTCTGCCGAATCTCTTTCATCAAGAGATGCGCGCTTCGCGTTACTATGCCAGCAATTCCAACTCCCTCGTCATCCAAGCCGATGACAGCAGGAAGCAAAACGACAACGTCCACAGCTGCTTCGTCAAGCTGCACCAATTGATAGCAGAGGCCGGGAGAAGACTTGTCCCCGGTGAGACGTCTGACGAGCAGAAGGAGCGCGTTAGGAATCTGTATGTGTCTACTACTCTAATGATCATGGCGTGCTTCCGATTAACTTCTCTGCAGAGAGAAGGCAAACAACGAAGCTAGGTTGAAAGCAAAGAAGTCTCACAGCCAGAAAAAGTCTTCGCGAAAAGGGGGAGGCCAGGACTACTAAAAATATGCTATTCTCGTCTTCACAATCACTCTTGCCAGGACTTCCAGGGAGGCTTAGACCTGGAGCAGACGGTCACTTCCGGGCCACTGCTTGGATGCGTACGGGACCAGCTTACGCGCGTCGTCCAATTTATTTGTCCCCTGGAGCAAACCGATAATGTTTACCAGCTACTACACCTCGCTCTTTCAAGCGCAGGGATATTGACACATAGAAGAAAAGTTTAGGATTTTGTATATGTAGTTCTACATTTATGTCTCCCTGGCAGGAAGTAGTACAATAACATGACTGCTTTTTCAGCTAGCCATTGCAATGATAGATCAATGCGCTTCGGTAACGGCTCAAGTGCCGTTCAAGAAGGTCTCATGTCGTGCTGAATATATCTATACCTTGTCACCTGTTGGTGATGGTTGACGGCAGAATGGCATTCACCGCCTTAGGCCCTTGTCCGCGGCCTGGCGGCGCGGAGACCCCTGTTTGCTTCCCGGAGAGGTCGCGTCGCCGAGGCGCCAGATCTATCGAACTCACAACACCCCTCCGTCACCTCCGCTCAGGAGACCCAGACACGCCTTTCTTACACTCTTTTTGCTTCACTTTCTTCCATCTCTCGAATGGTGGTCTGAACAATGGCTCCTAAATACAAGGACGGTGACGTCGTTGCCGCGGTAAGCTTCCGCAAAACCGCCTGAGCCCCAGCCTGGTGCTGATCAGCCAGTAGTTCTCCGGCAAATGGATTTCATACACGCATACGGTCGTTGCATACGGTACGCAAGAGTCCAATATCCATCGTTCAGCTCACAATGCTAACCCATTGCTATAGCGGCGTTCCTGGGCGCGCTGATCGTCGGATGGTATTGCTACTCCACCTGCAGTTAGCCAAGCTCTTGCTAATCCTCTCCAGCGCTCTGCATTATAGAAAGATTGTGCAAAACGAGCACTATGTAAGACTACTTCAGTGCCCACAAGGGAATCAATTGATTGCTAACAGGCGTTTTATAGGGATATCCTCAAGAATGGTTTCCTTCTGTCTCCGCGACCATCGGCGACCGTTACCCTGAACGCTCCGTCTTCCAAGTCTTCATTGCCATGACGGCCGGTATGATACACACCAGAGATTGTAGGAACATATTGCTGAGGATATGGGATAGGTCCGAGATTCGCCCTTGTCGCCTTGTGGTACCTTCTCACTGCGAGGCCGAACACCACCTTGCCCAAGTTCATTGCTGGCGTCGGTATCTTCCGCACGCTCACTTGCGGTGGGTGGACATACATCACCTCCACGGATGACCACGATTGGCATGACATTTTCATGATTTCCTATCTTGTGGCTACCATCCCTTGGACGTACGGCTGCTTCGTCCTGAGCCCACCAAACGCCAAGGCCATCAAGTACCGGAAGATCTTTGCTACTAGCTTCTTCGCGACTATTGTGCCTCTTGTCTACTTCTTTATTCAACACAAGGTCCACAAGGTCGCCGGCGGTAGGTCAAAGTCTGATAATCCGGGGTAACAAACGCTAACGATTCTTTTACAGCCTATACTACGTATGCGTTCTTCGAGTGGAGCTTGGTCCTGCTTGATGTTGCATTTGATGCCGTCACCGTTTTCGACTTCGATGGCTTTGAAATCCTTGTCAGGGATGTCAGAGGCGTCAGCAGAGGGTATGTTCCTTGGCTTCCAAAGTAGATAGCTTCTTAGGCAGGAAGAAATATACCCCCTCAAAACCTACGGATCTGATATGTTTTCAACTTGCAGAAGCTCGAAAATGGTCTCTGACCGCATCGTGGAGAAGGAGTATGTTGTTCCCTTGTACCCTGCTCATATCATATCATGATTCTAAGTTGGGTAGGAAAAACCTTGACATTGCCGCAATGTACGAGACTGGCTTCTCCTGGCCTGCTGCGATTGACGCTATGGCCGATGTTTACAACGGCGTAAGTTGCTGTACTCTCTCTACTATCGGCCAGCACTGACCAGCACTCAAGTACGTCTTCTGGTCCATGCTTACCTCGTTGGGTCTGCTTGTGTGGTGTAAGCGAATCGAAAAGCCCCAGTTCCCTAACACAGACTGACGTCTACAGACTTCCCGCTGTGGTACATGGGCATTTCCGGTTACGAGGTGATGGTCATGTGCACTGTCTCTCCTTTCTTGCTCAGTATCCGGCCTCTCCGGGCGTTGGTCATCCGAAACGTACGCATTACACACCTGATGTCCCTCACCGGTCTTCTTGCCTACCTCTGCAAGTCTCCGGAGTATCGTTTGTTCGCCGTTGGCTTTGGTCTCTGGATGTCTTGTCTTTCTTGGGCTGCGACTTTCTATGCCGAGCGCTCGCAACCCCATCGTCTCGAGACCCGCATCGCAGGGTTCTCTCTGGGTCTGCTAGCATCCAGTCTTTCTAAGTTTGCTTTTTGGACGAACAATCCTATCTGGCCGATTATGCATGCTCCGAACGGCGGCTGGAACAAGCTTGGTCTGCTGCTTGCAATCCTGGCTGCCATCCGTTCAACCAGGTTCACGGCAAGCAGCGGCGCGGACATTCCCGCTCCTGGTTCTCAGAAGGGCTCTTCCCCGCTGGCCGGTCTTGGTCTTGCTGGTCTCTTCTTTGCCATGCACTCTCTTCTGTCGGATTCCAGCACTATGATTTCTTGGGTATGGGATGGTTACCCCGTCCGTGGGCCGCTCGCAGTTCCACACGGTGCTTGGACACTGGCTGCTATGGGAGCGGGTCTGGCTTTTGGCCTGTTCAAGCCTAACCTTGCCCGTACCTGGACCTTCTATGGTATTGGCTCAGTTGGCGCCGCAGTCCTTACCTGCTACAGCCACTGGTTTGGATACTACGGTGCTTTGACTGTTGCCTTTTACGTCATGGCTATGGCGCCTATCCTGATCTCTTCGGCCGCGAGGCACAACCCGGCGCCTACTTTTGGCCTGGGTTTCCTTATCTATAACATCTTGGTCCTGGCTCACGTCTGGGTTGTCGCCTACGCCTTCGTCCCTGGTGGCCCGCTTATGCGTGAGCACACTGACTGGGTCATGACGGCTACCATGCTTTTCCTGGGCTGTGGTGTCTTCTCTGCCACCGCCTCTGCTAACGGTAGCGGCGGCTCGAAGAAGATGCACAAGCCCGTCAGCGCCAACGCACGCAAGCAGCGTTCTTACTACATTTACATCTTGCTCGCGCTGCAGTTGCTTGGTGCTTCGGTGGCTTACCTGCGCTTCCCATCCTACGACTACACGCCGTATCACCCCGAGGACAAGGTTGTCACGGCTGGCATCTGGACCATCCACTTCGTCCTGGACAACGACATGTGGTCGTCAGAGCGGCGCATGCGCGACGTGATCAAGGAGCTCGAGATTGATGTCATTGGCCTGCTTGAGAGCGACACGCAGCGCATCATCATGGGCAACCGCGATCCTACCCAGTTCCTGGCCGAAGACCTCGGCATGTACGTCGACTTCGGTCCGGGTCCCAACAAGCACACGTGGGGTGCGGCACTGCTGTCCAAGTTCCCCATCGTCAACTCGACGCACCACCTACTGCCGTCGCCGGTGGGCGAGCTGGCGCCAGCCATCCACGCGACGCTCGACATGTATGGCGAGTTGGTCGACGTGTTCGTGTTCCACTCGGGCCAGGAAGAGGACCCAGAGGACCGCAGGCTGCAGTCTGAGTACCTGTCGAACCTGATGGGTTCGACGTCGCGCCCGGCCATCTTGCTCTCGTACCTGGTCACCAAGCCGCTCGAGGGCAACTACAACACGTACGTCAGCGACGTCAGCGGCATGCACGACATCGACCCCAGCGACTGGGACCGCTGGTGCGAGTACATTCTCTACAAGGGCATGCGGCGCGCCGGCTACGCGCGCGTCAGCCGCAGCACCATTACGGATACGGAGATCCAGGTCGGCAAGTTCATTGTTGGCCAGCCGGAGAACTCGAACGACATGATCCCCGAGGACCAGGTCCCTGTTGCGCAGCGCTTCCCGGCGTTGTTCAGGGGCGAGGGCGTTCGTGGCCACAGGTACCACGTCTTTGACGAGCCGAGGTAAGTTCTTGATGTTGTGACGGCGCACGAATGGAGATTTTGACTGACTTTGCGCAGGTACTTTGCCTAAAATTGACAATGGTGAAGTCGTTGACGCGTTTGAGCGTATGTGAGATGTGTGTAGGAGGAGACCAAAATGATACATAAAATCCGTTCTTTGCTTTTGTATCACATAGCTAGACAGCGACTTTTCTTATACATCATATCAACACTATTCATCTATATCTCTGCACGGGGTTTGCTAACATGGCTACTGACGGCTGGTTTCGTATGATCTATCTATACACGGACACTTCACGCCTATATGCAAGCAAGTGGCTGCTAAATATCGTCACTGCGCCGAAAAAGTCCATGAACGCAATCCATATCTATCCAGTGGTACCGAATTCGGACCTTTAGACCAAGCGATGAATGTGCTCGAGCGGCAGCTCCCGCAGCTACCGGTCTATCTGAATGCGTGGAGCACACCATGTAAACCATCCGCTTCTCAACTTTCTACTTGCCATTTTAAGCGCTAACATTTAACCTTGCTTAGAGCACTCCCACGTGGTCGTCGTCGAAACCAAAGCAAAGAACGACGTCTGCTCCACCAGCAAGACGATTCTGCAGCGTAACTAAAACACTCATCTCATGGCCAAGGCCGTTCATCTTCTCCGCAAAGCGTGCCTGTAGGGGTAATAATTTGTAGACTGTCGATAGTAAAAGAAAAAATGACTGTAATAGAAATTGTAGGATTAGCAGGCTAGTCTTGTTGAGAATAAAATAAATATATAAAAAGGTAACTCAAAATAGCAAAACCACGTCTCATCCGTGTATTGATATATTCCCTAAAGTAGTCATAGAAAGTCCAGCTGCCAACGCCTCTCTATCTCAGCTAGCCAATCCGTAGAGGATGGTTGAGTCAAAATCGACATCTGGTCATGGCTGTCGAGCAATTAGAAATGCCAGATTTGGGATGCTGTTGCTATCTTTTGACCCTAGTCATAGGCATTGAATGCCACATTATATATCGTCGAAGTTTGGCCGTTTACTGTGAATTGAGCGCATTGACAACTTCACGTTAAGATGGCCAGTACTGGCTTTGCTTAGCCCTAGTGAGCCAGTGATTGAGATCTCTTTCACCAAGATCAACAGGAACTATTGTCAAAGACATGTTCTTCTGTTTTATAGTTGCTGTGTTCTCTATACTCATCAAGTATTGTGTTTTTGAGTGTCCGAGTTGGAGTTTATCGGCCGCGATGACGTAAGGTGTTTACATTGCGAGCAATGCCAACTTTAAATACTTATTGATGGAGAGATAGATGTATGAGTGTTGAACAGCTCTTTCTGACTTCTAGTAGGGATTGCCGTTGGAGGCATCCGTGTTCGCCTGTTCGTATACTTTGTGCAAAGAAAAACTTCCCTGGAGGTCCGTAAGCATACACTAGCCGGACCCTGGACAAAAAGAAACAATGGCAAGAATGTGCATGAAGCTTCGACATGGACGTCCAAAAGCGGAGCCCCGGCGGCGGAGGAATGGCGTGCAGTGGCGGGCAGGATTTCGAGGGCTCGAGGGCAGCTATAACGTAGGTATGAGGTATCTTTCAGCCACGACGGGGCAGTGCGGAGGTCAAGGATCAACAAGGAGCGTGGCATGATTCGGCCTAAACGTTGATGCGGCTGATGGCTGCGGTGGGGACGACAGGACGAGGCCGATCGATGGGCGGACGCACGGGGCGCTGCCCATGACATCACCGGGCCCAAGCTCCTGGGAGCTTTCCTCTCCGCATTCTGGGCCGGAGTACATCAACCGCGCGCCGCCTCCCAATCTCTCCCTTTCTTCTCTCCCCAGATACCAAGTTCACTCAATTCTCCCATCAATCAACCAAACTTTCCCACTACCCCACCACTTTACAATCACCATCACCGCCACAATGTTCCGCGCCACCTTCGCCCGCAACGTCCGCCTCTTCACCTCCTCTGCCCGCGTGCAAAAGTCCGTCATCGACAGCGCAAAGGACGCCGCCCAGAAGGTCGACCGCACCGTCTCAGACGCAGCCGTCAAGGGCATCGAGAAGGGCGGTAAGTGCAATCGCCTCCCCCCAACATCCCCATCATCGCTCATCGCGCCGCCCAACAGCCGCTAACCTGACGGCGAATCTAGAGCAAGCCGCCGGCAACCTCAAGCAGACGGCCGGCGCCAACGCCCAGAAGGCCCAGGCCACGGCCTCGGAAGCCGCCGGCAAGGCCCAGGGCTCCGCCTCGCAGGCCACCGGCCAGGCGTCGGGCACCGCGTCGCAGACCGCGGGCCAGGCCTCGGGCAAGGCATCTGAGCTGGCGGGCGAGGCCAAGGGCAAGGCCTCGGAGCTTGCGGGCCAAGCCAAGGGCAAGGCCGAGGAGGTCAAGTCGAAGATGTAAACGCACCCGCGCGCTTCTTCTTTGTGAGGATCGGAAGACGCCCGCCTCTTTTTCCTTGAACAAAAAAAGCTGGCAAGACCCGTTGTCGCTCTCAACTACCTAGGGCCTTTTCGGCATGATGGAACGATGGCTATGACTTTGTACTTTATCACCTTTACATACATGATTTAATAGCATCGGATGCTACTCTACACGTACTCGTACACGTACACCCTTCCATCAGACGTGCGTGATGATGATGCAATTGCTGCAAGGGTGTCTCCCTCGAAATCGACAATCACATCAACACCGACATTCACATGTCTAACCCAACCAAATTTCTGGATTCAGCTTGCACTCTACCCACCCATCCCGGCGAAGAAGCAATTCAACGTGAGTTCTCCTTGGCGCTATTCGGGAACCGTCTCCACAGTACACCTACCCGGAGCCCTCGACCATCACCCCAGGCCATGGATGGCTCAGGCCAACAAGCCGATCGACCAACCGACCACGCACGATCAACCGTCCATCCGATCAACAGCTAGATAATCATCGACATACCTATAGGTCCCCGTTCAAAAAAGCATGAATATCAATCGAAGCTTCAGTACATAGGTATACCACCACCACCACCACCACCACCAAGTAATAATCCACCAAAACAAGTTATATCATCCATGAACCGCGTCTCACGCGCGCGTGTATGTGTCTTTTGTCTGTATGAGCGTGTGTGAGTGAGTGCATGCATGCATACCCCACAATCCCTCACGCACTCGCGCACTCAACTCTCCACCCAACCCCCATTCATGCCCCCACGCCCCCACAAGAAAGCAAGAAAGAAAAGAAAAGAGACTTAAGTACCTGCGCATCATCTGATCTGGGTGGTATCGAGTTCCGGGCCCTGCTGTCGGGCATCTCCCGCAGCAGCAGCAGATGAGAAGAAGCAGAAGACGACGAAGAAGAGATGAAGAAGACGAAGGAAGAGGTCAAAAACATACAGCCATCCATGGTAAAGACGGACGTGCGAACCGGACAGACTCAGACTTTATAGACGCTTATGGACACACGAACCAAGCTCTCCAGCCCTCAAGTCCTCAAGTCCCGTCGTCCTCGCCCTCTTCCACGCTCGGCTGCAATTTCTTCGCGCCATCGTCGCCCGTCCCGCTATCTCCACTACCGCTACCACTACCGCTACCAACAACACTACCACCAACGCCGCTATTACCCGCCTCCGCAGCACCCTCAGCTACAGGAGGTTCCGTCACCACTCCAGAATCAGCAGCCTCCTCCCCCGCCCCCGCAGCACCCATCCGCTCCTCTCCCCCATCCGCATCCACCGGATCCGCAAACGGGTTGTCCAGTGCCGGTGGTGGCGGCGCTGCTGCTGCTGCCGCCTCGTTCGCCGAAGCAGACGTGCTCACCGTGTCCGTAGAAGCAGACATAGACGCCGGGGTCGAAGTGCCCGGCGTCGCGAGGCCAAGGCGATCAAGCAAGCTGCCGCCCGCCGAGGCAGCGGCGAAATTAGGAAGAGGGGCCGCCGCCGCGGTGCTCGCTGTGGCATCAATCGATGAGCTCGGGGCCGGAACCGTCGTCGTCATGGGCGAGATGGGTTGGGCTTGGGCGGCCGGAGTCTGCGTCTGGGCTAGGCTGCTGGAGCTGGGCCTGGAGCTGGGGCGGCCGATTGAGCCGGTGGCCGAGTGGCGGAAGAGGCCGTTCGTTGGTCCGGATGCTCTAGGCCCTGTGGGAGCCGAAGGAGTCGAGGGCCTTGCGGCCGTGTTCGTAGATGTAGAACCCAAAGTGCCATCCGGCTGCGACGGTGGGGGCACAGGAGTCGGCGCACTCGAGCCCAAAGGCGCAAGGCTTCTATCCTGCGCGTCCCGCAAGGTCCTCCTCATCGTCTCGTCCCAAACCTGCAATGCCGCCACGCTGTCGTCAGGAACAGGCTGTCTCTCCTGGCGTGGGCTGCCCAAAGTAGTAGAAAAAGAGGTTGCACGGCTTCCAGGTCCTAGAATCTGTGATATGGACTCCGAAGGGCGGTGCCCGTTTCGTGAATCAGGCGCCCGCTGCAACGGTAAAAGTGTCCAGTCAGGCGGGAGTGTAAGACCTTCAGGCAGATTAGCGTCTCCAGTGCCAAGGGCGGGATGCTGAGGCCCCGGAGCGGGCTGGAAAACTCGAGGAGCGGTTGGGTTCAGACCGCCCACGTTCATGCCGCTAAACAAATTGGGCAGCTGTGTGTTAGCCGGCTGAGCTCCGCCGCCTAGTCCAGCAAGCCCTGCACCAAGCCCTTCTCTACCATTTCTCTCGTTCGCCAGCGTCGTTTGCAGATTCCTCAACCGCATATACTCCGCCTGGAGCGCTCTTACAACGTACAACTGGCTCTGTGCCACATTGAGCGCTTGTATCTCATCCATCAACCTCCTTTCCAGTTGGTCCAGCCACATAGTTTGCGCGAGCACCGAACCCTCACGCAAAGGCCTAGCGAGGGCTTCTCTAAGTAGATGCCGTGTCTCTCTATTGCCACGATCACGGTGGCTCGTTCGTTGGCGAGTGGGTTCAGCGGCAGGAGCTGGAACCGGAGGGATCGGAGGGATTGCAGGAGCTGCACCGGGTTGTGGGTTAGGCGGAATGATGTTCTGTCTGACACCATAGCCAATACGGATAGGGCCAAACTGAAAGTGGCGGATGCGCGGTGCACCAGGGAATTGTAGGTCATTTGGGTCGTTACCAGGCGCATTGGGGTCGGCAGGCTGACCTGGTTGTGCGCCAGCTAGGGGTGGGTTCGCACGATTCTGTTGTTGACGCCGTTGGTTCTCTTCGGCAAGGACAGGCTGCCGACAGGTTGGGCAAGCCTGTTGCCGTTCTAACCAGCTGCGTAGGCAGCTAATATGAAGACAATGGCCACATGGCAGCTTCTTGGCGCGGTGTCGTTCGTCGATGCGGGGAGGTGGCGGAGGTGGACGGGCACCTTCCTCGGTAATCGGGGGTTGTTCTTGTTGCGCCCAAGGGCGCATTTCTTCACGGCAAATAATGCAGATATTGTTGTCGCCGAGATCTTCCTGAGTAGCGTCCGGATAGCGAGTGTTCATGTCGCGGGTGGCATTGCGATAACGCAGGAAGTCGTATATCCGGCGATGGAAGGATCGAAAAGTTAAGAGGACATCCCGCATTATGTGGATGGGGAGACCGTGGAATGCCATGAGGATGACGAAGAAAGCCATGTAGATGGTTAACTTGACAAAGTCTGCTAAGATGTCAGCACAATCGTAGCTTTCCAAAGTCAGATGCAACATACCGGTAGCAAGGTCCGAGTAGAATATCCAACGACCCTTGCCCTCCCATCCTGGAACATCGATCTCGTTATCGTCAACCTCAACCTCAGCCTCGGCCGCGGGTACAGCCTCTCCACCCTGAGCCGTAGCGTCGGTTTCTCTTTGGCGTCTCAGCTCGGCCCTCCTGTCCTCCAGCATCTCCTGTCGCTTCAGCTCTGTTTGCTTCGCAGCAATTGCCAAGTCAGTAAGCACCAAAATGTGCCTGAAGAAAGTCGCGAAGCTGGCAACGAGCAACAGCGCGTACTCGAACCCAAACATGACGATCATGTTCGGCCGGGCCTGTCTCCGCACCGTGTCCACGCAGTATCCCAGCATGATCATATCGTAGATGATGCTCAACAACAAACTGCTTGCCAACCGACTGTGGAAGAAGAGCTCGTTGCTCGTTGGCGGTTGCTGCTCCACGAATTCGACGCGACCGGCTCCGATCCACTGCCATATCTTCCCGGCGATGAGACTGACAAACATGACGAAAAACCACACGCCCACATCGTCGCGGAATATGGTCATTGCGAGAAGAGTCTCGGTAACGGCGAACCAGGCGTGTTCGTAGAGGCGTTCAATCTCCATGGGTCGGAGGGGGCCGTAAAGCAGGCGCTGGAGGCCGTACATAAGAGAAGCAGTGCATAACAGGACGAGGTTCGTGAGGATCTGTCATGACGCGGGTTAGCTGGCCGTGGTTGTTGTTGTTGGGAAGCGTCGGTGACGTACCATGAGGCAGGCATTGGATTGGGAGAGGTAAACGCAGGCTGAATAGAAATTGGGGCGCTCGTATGCTGCGCGCATTACCACCGAGGCGGCCAGGGCCACCGAGGTCTGTTGTAGCCAAAGTGTCAGTAACAGCGCGCGGATAGGCCACAGGCGCAACGGGTGCGATAGAAGCTTACCCCGACGTAGGCCGCAACTCTCATGACGGGCAGTGACTATGCAAAACGCTCAAAGACGGGTGAAATGTGGCGCGGTGGCTCCATCTGCAGGTGCCAGCAGAGGAGAGGAAGCAAGTACGTGGGAAGGATGGCCGGGCCCGGGTGGTGGAGGATGGGGGAGCTCGTGCGCCGCCCCGGAGGTGAAGACACGTTCGCCGAAGCTCGACAGGGATTACGTGATGCAGGCACCATCCATCAATGCATCTTCTCGTTTGCACACCTGCTTAAGGTATTGTTCTTTGTTCTTTGACCATGCTTTCCAGCAGCTGGTCTCGTCCGACTCCAGTCATTACGAGAAGCTGCGCTTCTCCACCGCTCTACTAGTACTATTGTAAACAACCAGCGACGCCTGCTAGATGCCGCGACCAAAGCTAGCCTTTCCATATATTCCCCTAAAAAAAAAAAAAATAGCCATGCCCGCTCATGAACATGTTTACGTTGCATGTGCGCGCCCGTACCCCGCACTGAGCAGACTCTCCCGCAGTCGTTCCTCATGCTCGTTGGCCAGCCCTTCCCTGTTCATGATCTGAGGGTCGACCATCATGGCATCTACGCCCGGAGGAACATGCTCTCCGCCATCAATGACATTAGGTTGCGTGTCACCGGGGCTGGGCAGGTCCTCAACGGCCTCCTCTGCACCAAGCGAGGCTGCCTTGCTGAGGTTGGCCCTAGGTCGTTCTGCTTTTTCAGAGGAGCGCCTTTTCTTGCGGTCCTTCTCCTGACATTCGTCGCAGTTGTTGATCACTTCCGTCACAGTGAGCTTGATGCGCGGCCAGTGGTACTTCTCACTAATCACCGAAGTGGTCTTGTTGATGCCAAAATGCCTTTCCCTATGATACGTTCGAGCAAGACGGTACTGTTCTTTGGGACTGATGACGACCTCCTTCTTTCCCATCATTAGCTTCTCAACACCGTTATCGTCGCTCTTCGCTAGAGTGTAGTGGGCTGCTGCGCTGCGGAGTCTGGACTTTTCGGCACGATCAGCGTCGCCGGGATATTCGCCGGTTTTGAGGTAATACTTGATCTTCTCAAAGCGCTCTTCGGCATCGGCCTCTTCGGGAGAATAGCCAAGGTGTCTGCCGTAGATGATGGCGTCCACAAGTTCCGGGCTCGATCTCAAGTTGCCGCAAGCCGGGACTCGTCCTATACGCTTAAAACCAAGAGCGTCCCAAATGCGACAGGACGCAACATTGGTCTCGTAGACGAGGTTGAAGACCGAATAAGTGTAACCCTTTCGATAACGTCAGCTCATTTTGCATATAGTTGCTCAAATTCGACTCACCAGCTTGGGCGCCCATTCGAGGTAGTTCTCTCCCATGAGTCGGCCAACGCCCCTGTTGCGAGCAGCATCCGTTACGAGGAAACCCCCGTTACAGATATGGCTGGATCTACCAGGGTAGTTTGGCTTCACATAGAAGCTCCCGAGACACGTCTTCTCCCAATTGGCGCCATCGGCAGCCATTTGACGCACCTCGTCCTGGCTCTGGACTTCCCCGAGCAGCATAACGGCACCGAAATTCTGGAACCAGTACGGACCAAACTTCTCTTCGGTGAACAGTTCCATCATTGGGTATGTATCACCCTTCTCGATCTCACGATTGAGCTGTTGGCACAAATACGACAAGAGAGAAAGAGGAACCTGGTCATACGAAGAGAAAGGAATAAGAGATGCCTTGGTCGTACGGTCGCGCAGAATTAAGGATCGCGGCTTGATCTGCTCGGGCAAAGGACTGTTCGGTGCGGGAAATGGCTGGGGTCCCGACTGCCTATAGATGGGCGGGGAGGCCGGGTCATCCAGCATTGCGGGCATGTTGAAGGATGGAAAGGTCGAAGTTGAGGATTGAAGAGCGTAATGTTATCTTGCAGGGCGATAGAGTCTATTAAATAGAACATATCAGATTAGCGTCATGGTGAAAGACTAAACGCGACTCCATTGATCATTCGTAGGGCGTGTTGGTTCCCGCAATTGATCACTCATAGGGCGTGTTTCTTCTGGCAACTTCTAAACGCTCCAGTGCGCCGCCGCGGCGAACCGCTAAGCAGAGGCTGCCAAATGCAAGGGAGTTGACATTGATATCAGGAAGCACTGACCCTGCAATTGATGTTATTGGCCGAAGGCGTCGTGCTGAGATGTACGGCGATCGTGCTGATGACTGTTCTGTTGAGGTGTTCTGAGAAATACGGAGGCCGTGCTGGCAACTTCAACAGCGTGGAGAGCTCACGTGATGGAAAATCATCACCTCCTAAACTTACCTCGGCCTAGCCTACCTCCACAACCTCTTAAGATTAACAGCTCCAACGTCACCGGAAAGCTAGATTAAGTTTCTGGTTGTTAATGGTAAACGAACACTATCCGTGGTAACCCAACCATGACGGCACTTGCAGATCTAACGCCCGTCTCCATCAAGCGAGATTCTCGTCTTGTACGCCGGAGTGGAAGAAGAAATTCAGTTAAGATATGTTAGTGTGTGTATGCTCTAAGACCTTTCCTGCCTATACCCAGAACTCAGACTTCTAGCTAGATAAGGAGTACTCCGTAGGGACTGCTTGTATCCTTCCCTATCTCACTGGACAGTGAATCTCGCCTGACGGTAACGGACGTTAGAACCTTTGATTAATGAGGATATATCATTAACAGTTAGGTTTATTTCGTCTTGTTTCATACTGCAACTGTCTTCATTCTGCATAGGAAGTTCAGCCCCTTGAAGTCCGTCCCTGCAATTGGAGACTGGCACGAACCATACCACACCCTCGCCTATCTACCTCACCAGGGCAGTTGGAGAGGCGTAGACAGCTTGTCCTTGGGACCAAGAACATCTTCCGCCGTGCCGATATCACTACAAAAGTCAGTTCTATCCCAATCCCAAGCACAAAATAGAGAAAGCACTTACCCAGGGCCCCTCGGCGCCCAATACTGCCCCGTCTTCCCAATATCAAAAGTGTCCACCCACTCCACCAACGACTTCGCCGCCGCCTCCGGCACGACCGCGCCTCCCTTGTCCCAAAACTTATCAAACCCCACGCTCTTCGTCATCTCCGTGCGCATAAACCCGGGATGCACAATCGCGACCGCGACACCCTCGTCCTTCAGATCCAGACTCAGCAGCTTCCCCACCATGTTCAGTGCCGCCTTGCTAGCATGGTGTCCATAGTTGCCGCCGCCCTCGCTCTCGTGCCTCAGCCCGATACTCCCGCTTTCGGAGCTCACCAGCACAACCTTACTACCCTGCTTCAACAGGCCGGCCTTGAAGAGCTGCTGCACGAGGAAGACCGGCCCGATCGCGCTGGTCTGATACATCTTTAGCTGAGCCTGGAAGTCGGGTGCGTCAAAGGACTCTTTGCCGAAGTAGCCGGCTGAGACGATGAGGACGTCGATGCTGTCGGTACTGTTGCTGTCTTGCTTGAAGTGGGACGCGATTGTCTGGCCGGCGTTCTCGGTTGAGATGTCAACGTTGGGAACCCAGCGCGTGCCTTTGGAGCTGTCCGCATCCTGGTGAGTCGGGGACCGTGCCGTGCCGTACACAGTGTAGCCCTTTTGGAGGTATTCGTGAGCTAGAGAGGAGCCGAGACCGCGGGTCGCGCCAATGATGAGGGCTGTGGGGCTCATGGTAGGTAGCGTCCTGTGTAATGCTAATGGGTTGAGGTCTGTTTTTGATGCGGTGTTGGGAAGAAGGTGGCTGAGTGAGTGGAGAAACGTATGATAAGCTGTGGAAAGGGCGATTCCACACAACAAGCTTTTAAATGCACGTAGACAGGAAATCGATCGTCGTGAGCGGATTGCGTGAGTATTGCATTTATCATCCATTGGATGCCGATTGCTATGACGCCATAGGTTCGCTCCATGCAAGGTGTTGGCCTGTCGGAAGGCGCGAATCTGTGCTGCGTATTGCGTGATCCTGCAGTGCAGGAGAGACACGGAATTCAGAGCTATGGAACTCGCTGAGACAGTGTTTCTTGCAAAAGTTCTTGCAGCCTGCCGCCGTAAATCACTGAACTGTCGTCCGCATTCGCCTACCATCCCTGCGACGATCGCCGTTTAAAGTAACAGGCACATGATTTACTATTTGAAAACTACAGTTTCTAGACAATCTATTGACAACAAGATATTCACAACCTTGCGGGTACATCATACACGCGGACCCACAGCGTGATCTCATCCTATGCAGAAACCTCCTGTCCCACCTCTTCAATCGCCTTAACAAGCCCCTCGATCGAGCTCTCCAACGTGCCACCAGACACCACAACCCTAAAGAACTTGCCCCGCGCACCTGGCGCAAAGTCAACCATCCACCCCCTTCCCACAAGGCGGTGCGCCATCTCGATGGTGCGGCGGGAGTTGACCTCACTATCCGCGTCCAGCTGCCCGCCCTTGGCCCAGTAGAAGCAGACCTGCAGGCAGGGCAAAGGCTGGCTGCTCACAAGCACAGCGTTAGGCGACGCGACCAGCAAGTCGTAGAGCTGCTGCGCGCGGGTAAAGGCGCGTCCGACATGGGCGCTCAGGCCCGCCATACCGTAGTAGACCCAGGAAAGGTGCAGCTTGAGGGAGTCAGCTTTGCGGCCGCATTGAGGGGTCAAATCCGCGAGGTCGTAGATGTCGGCGCTGGTGGGGTCATTGTGGAAAAGGCTGCAATGCACGAATCTGTCAGCAATTGTGTCTTCTCAACGGTGAGACGCGGGTGCACGCACTATCCCGCTGGAAGCGTCATGGCCTTCCAGAATTGCCGCATGTCCTTGCCCAACAGGAAGCTGCAAGTCACAGGCACACTGAGCATCTTGTGCGGCGTCACAGCGATGCTGTCAGCGCGCTCAACGCCCTTAAGCCTGTCCTTGCGCAGCTCCGCGTTGAATGCCACCGGGCCACCCCAGCTGCCGTCAACGTGCAGCCACAGGCTGTGGCGCTCGCACACGTTCGCGATGTCATCAATGGGGTCATAGCTGCCCATGACTGTCGTACCTGCCGTGGCATTCACGTAAAACGGCGTCTCACCCGCCTGTTTGGCAGCATTGACCATCTTCTCCAGCTCCTCGACGTTCATGCGGCCGTCCGCCAGTACCGGCACGCTGCGTACCGCCTTGCTGCCAAAGCCAAACATCTGCGCCGCCTTCTCCAGGCTGTAGTGCCCGTGGTCCGAGGTGAAGAGCACGAAGCGCTGCGCACCGATTCCATTCTCCTTGGTCTCCGGGAAGAGCGTGTTGCGCGCGATGACGATCGAGGACGAGTTGGACGCGGAGCCACCGGGCTGCGAGATACCTCCGCTGTGCGGACCAGTCAGGCCGAAGAGCTCGGCCAGCCGTTCGGTCGTGTGCTTCTCGATGAGGGTGAGGGCGGGTGAGACCTGGTAAACGTGGACCTGCGATTCCTTGGTGAGCCGTGACCGCACAACGCGGGACCGACAAGAAAGTTTACATTGGTGTTCAGCACGGCCAAAATCAACTCAGACACCACACCGACCTAAATCACGAGCATCAGCGCTGGAATTGATGGCAAAGGTGTATGCATTGCTACGAGTAGCACCTATCGTCCTACGTACGGCATTCGTGCTCGCGTACAGCTTGTCCATGAAGCCCTGGTCCCACGTATTGACCGAGTACTGCAACACCCGCTGGACCACCTCCAGTAGACCATCCTTTCCCTCGCCATCCTCCGGCAGCTGCAGCTTCAGCAGCGGCTCCAGCTCCTTTGGCGGGTGGTGTTCGACGAGGGCGGTGCGGGGCGCCGAGCCCTCGACGGGGATGCTATGGCCAGTGGCCTTGTTCGGAGCATCCCGGTCCGCGGCGCGAATAAAGGGGATGATGAGCTTCTGCACGGCGTCCAGCAGCTGCAGTGTGCGTCATGTCAGTGGGTTTGTGTAACGCGATATGCCGGGTGGCATGCTGCAGGTGCAGGTGCAGGCAGGTGATAACGGACCTCGGCAACCTCGTCAGCGCGGGCGGGCGCTGTACCGTTCATTGTCATAATGGGCAACGGCGTGAGGGTGGGTATGGGATAAGACTTTACTCGCAAAAAGAAAAGGGAATCGGACGAGGCGGGGTCGCAATTGCAAAAAGCATTGCGCGATGGTGCAACATGCTTATCGATTACAGATAAATCGCGACGGGTCAGCGGGTCTGGCGGTGAAAACAGGCAGAATCGCATCGGGAATGGTTGCATCTCGCATCTCGTTGACCCTGCGCCTCCGATCTACCCGCCCGCATCGTCTCATCAAGATCACGAAGTCTACACTGCACCGTGGCACGCCACACACCCGACACATCTCGCATCCTTCGTCTCTCCCACATCCTGCATCATCCTATCAACCTCTTTCTCGTCGCACTTTGTGTAACGCTAGATACGCCCGCTACCTACGCCTTGCTCTTTTCCTTCTTCGCCTTTGCCGCGGCATGTCTCGCCCGAGCCAGCTCGATGCCTGACTTCTTGCCGCCCCCTGCTGCCTTACTCGGCCTTCCCTCTGCCTTCTCGTCCGGGAACCCCACAAACGCGTCGCTGCCGGCATTGTTCCGCGACTGCGACACCCATTCGGATCGTCGCCGCTTGTACAGGTCCATCTTCCAATTCCTCCACACCTTGCGCCCTACGTGCGACTCGCGCAGCGCTGCTTCGTTCTCCGCCAGCTCCTCGGCAATGCGCTCGCGAATGAATGCGAGCCCGTGAGTGCCCTCCCAGATGGCATCCACAACGCGCGACGCCGATGGGTCGAGTGCCAATTCTCCGACATGCCCGTAAAATTTCTGGATCATCTTACGCCTGAAGATTATGGTAGCAAGCGGCGATGTCAATGCTCCCTGCAGCGCCCTGGTAGCCGTTGCGGATTTTGCCATGTTGCATGCCAGCGGAGCTCCCAATCGGACTAGTGAATCGAATATCAACGTGCTCAACGGCCCAGGAACTGTCAGCATCGTTTGGGCGAGCAAGGACCCATGCAGCTTGTCCGGACTAGGTTGCCCTGCCTTGCCATGTCCATTGGTGTTGGCCCCATCGACAGCTGCCGCCTCGCCCAGCTTAAGCAGACGGGCAATGTCGAAGCCGTTAGGGCCGGAGTACGCGGTCTCGAGTGCCTTGGCAATATCTGATGTCTCCACCGATCTTGCCGCGCATCGTTCGATCAGCGTCCTTATGATCGCTGTCCGGTTACGATCGACCAGGCCAGGAATTTGCGGCAAAATGAGGTCCTTTGCATCGTCCAGGTCCTCCTTGCTCAGCCGTTCCAGCATCTTCGACGCAACGTAGCTTGCTATCTCGTTTCGAGCCAAGCTTCCGATGCGCTCTTTGAAAAATCCCCGGTAAAGTGCCTTGAACATCTTTCCAGGGGAAAACTCAATGAGTGTTTCAAGCAGACGCGATCCGACAGGGTCGTATACCAGCCCGTTAATGAATTTCGCACTATCAGTGCCGTCCTCGATCGGGTCGTCGGGGAGGAGCGTGCGGATGATCGAGCTCTCGTCCTTTGCCCGCTGCTTTCCAAATTGCGTGAGCTCCAGCTGGACCAGCAGCTGAAGCACAGGGTTTCCGGTGGGATGCGTCGCCAGAGCCCGGAGGTAGGTTGAATCCAGACCAGCAACACTGCCATTGATCATCTTCTCCAGAGCAGTCATGAAAGATCCCGGGATAGAACGCTTCTCCAGGAGGTTTTCACTCTGCTTTTCAGCTCTCGCGACTGTGATCTTCTCTTTCTTTTTGCTTTGGAGCAGGGACCGATGTGACGACCGCGCCAGAGGCTCACCCGCCAGAACAACCAGGAGCACACGGAGAGCATGCGAGGCAAACCTATCCGTCATCAGGTATCCCAAGTTGCCCTCCAACTCGTTTATAGCATAGAGGAACAAATTCTCCATTGACACCTGGACATCCTGAGGATCCATATAGTCATCTTCGGGCGGCGAAATGATTTCTTCTGTGACGATCGGGGCGCACTGAATGAACAAAGCCTCGCAGCAGTGGGATGCGAACCGGTGTTGAACGAGATTTAAGAAGCTGAAAGTGTCAATGTGCGTGCAACTGGGAAATTTACATAGAAACTCACTGTCCGCTGAATTTCTGGAAGAGCTGCTTAAGCTGTTTGGTATTCGACAGCTGTATGAGGCGCTCCATGAGCCTGGAGCAAGACTGGCTGTTCGCAATCTTCAATTCTTTGCCGTCCGCCTCGCGGTAGACGTTCGCAAGGAACAGGTCGCGCTCCTCGGCGTCTCCGAACTGGTTCAGCTCCAGCATCTCGTCGGCGCGCTTAAAGTATTCCTGCTCCTCCTCATCTAGCATGCCATAGAAGACAATCTCGCCGGGAGGCTGCTGGTCCTCGGCAGCGCCGGGGGTGTAGGCCTCTTCGCCATTCCCATCAGCCAGCGGGAGGTAGTCGTCATTGTCCTCGAGCTTGTGTCTCTTCGTCTCCTGGACGAGCTCTTCCTCAGGCTGGTGGTCGAGCTTGCGCTTCTTGCGCTCGTCGCGGCGACCGCGCTTGCGGTTTTCCTTGGGCATATTGGTAGTGGAGGGAAGAGGCGGACGAGTGGAAACGCGGGGAGGGGCAACAACAGCAGGCTTCTTGGGGGGCGGCGCTGCTGTTGGCGGCGGTCAAAGTTAAAATATTTGGCAAGGTCATGGCACATCGCGTGCAGGGATCGAGAAGAAGAGAGAGGACGCTGGCGCATGGGTGTGGCCCGAGCGCGCCGATTTGATCCCAGATCTCGTTGCCACCGGAGATCGGCGCGGGTGCAACCACCGTCATCCGCCATCACGTCCAACTGAAGGAAGAGAATCACGCCAGTTGTTGACGGGCTGAGGTGGCCGATCGCGTGGCCGCCTACTTACTTTCGCACCGGCTGCAGATACGGCCTCGACTCGCTGCTGTCCAACATCAGGGCTCGCTTCGGCCACAATGGGCTGCTCAAGCAAGCGCCCCTCTGCGTCCCGCTCTCTTGGATCGCTTCCTTGGATATCTCGTCGCGGACCTCTGATGACTTGGACGCCTCCTGCTCCTCGCATTGACGCTTGTGTAGCCTCGACAAAGCTGACAAGGGCGCCTGCGACGCCGCCTACGAGTTGGAACACACTGCCGCCTTCTCTCTGTCTGGCATGACCACTCCCACGCCGCCCAGGCTGACGTCGACCGTCGTCTGACCATCATTTCTCAGTCCGGATACTGCGACGGTACGGCACACAGATTGAAGAGATGATGGGCAGGCTGTGGATGTTGGATATCTCCACGCAGTATACGCAGAAGCTGCGAGAGATCGACCAATTGCCGTATACTACCTAACTACCGGAACTCTACTCTGACGCTAGCCAAGTTTCATATATATCAATTAACAACGAGGCGGACTCCCAGGTCAAGGCGTCCAGCGGAATAGTGCTTTCGTCCTACCCGAATATCTCGGTGCCGGCTTAGGGCATTTACAGGATATAGCCGAGAGCGCGGCGCCCCATCTGATCGACTATATCACTCGGACTGCACAACATGTCAGGAGAGAGATCCAGGATGCTTCTCCGCTGCCCTAGAGGTTTGTTAAAGAAGGCCGATCGGCGTAAACGACCTAGTACCACCTTCACGGGTTTTCTGCGGGCAGAGTAAGCTAAGAGCATGGAAGATTTATACGATCTGCAAACCCGGAGTTAAATGCTGCCGGAGGTACGAAACCGACATTTAGGACCCAGTTAATATTGCTTCCGGTCGAGGTGCTGGTCCAGCTGTTAGAGATTTAGGTATCACCTTGAAGATAATAGACCCACTAATCGGCAGGTCAAACCAGAGCAAAAGGCATAGGCGCGTCAGTAGAACCCAGTGCCTGTGTCCGAACTTCCCAGTCGTCATTCATGCCGCAATATGCCTAGGGCTCTCTGCACATAGAGGCAGTGTAATTTCCTACTCCACAACGGCCTGCTCCACCCGATGCGCCTACACCCTGTACCCCCTCTCGCACACCATGGACCTGTTGATGCCGTTGTACAGTAGTTCCATAGTCGACAACTAAGCCGGGTTTGGGTTTGCAGAGGGTTGATGTAAATTAGTTGCAGAGGGTTGATGTAAATTAGTTGCAGAGAACGAACAGACGCTCTATCTTGGAGAGAAATGGCTCCTGAGAACTCGATCGAGATAGATGCGAGGCATGTGCTGAGGAGAGGGCCGAGCTGAGTAGCTAGCTACCTAGCTTGCTGAGTAGTTTGTCCTATCTCTAGAAATCAGGGTGCCATCCACCCATCCATCCGTCCATACCTCCGCGTCAAAATGGTCTGATATGGGCCTGCCTAGCTTTCACGTTACAACTCACAAGGCTACTATATACGGACAACCCCCCTCCCCTCCATCATTTCTCAACCTAGATCCCAGATCAGTCTCTCCGCTGCAAGAACAAGGAGAGCCCAAGCATAGATACGGACGTACACCCATAGCTAGGCACACGACAAACAACGCATCCACCCGCCTTGAAACACACAGCCAGGGTCCACGACAAGCACACCGGCTTCCAGCATCAGCACCCCGAAAACCAAAGCCAAGCCAAGCACGGTGCAAACTCAAACGAGTGGCGGTCAATTTGCTGTCGACTCCTCTTTTTTCTTCAGCTGCAGACGCAGGCGCTGCAGGGGGGAAGGGGTGCTGACAAGGCAAGGGCCTCCCCGCGCGAATATGAAAATGATCGTTGATCATGCAGGCCCGATCTCCAGGATGCTGCAGACGGTAGTTCCATACTTTGCGGAGTCGGACATATGTAATTATTTGCAACACGGCAGCTGGAGACCTAACTGTGGATAGAGAGGCCTGGGCAATGGCGCTCGTGCTCCCAGCCAGGCTGGCATCAGTCCACCTTTTTTTGGTGTGGGCAGACACGGAAGCCGGGCAGGCGCGCAGGCGGACAAGCGGCGTTGGGATGATAGGCACAGGAAGGCTGCTCGTTACAGGCTGCCACTGCCAGCGCACCATCATCTGTCCTCAGAGCTAGGAGCTCGGTACAATACCTGCGGATACAGAGAGCCACAGAATCCGCGTGGGTTTTGGGCTGCAGGCGTTAGATAGGCTGTACTCCGGTCTCTCTTGCTGTGTCTCTGGGGTTTCCCATTCTGGCACTCTCTCACCCGCTCATGCCGCCCTCTCTCTCTCTTCCTCCCTCTGTCCCTTATTTTTTCGCCCCGGAGCCGAGTGCCAACTCAGACAGAGCTGGCTGTCCGTTTCTGCTGCTTACGGCCTGCGGTCTGCGTCTGCGCCTGTCCGCAGCCGTCCGCGCCGGCGCTCTCACTCTCCGTCCCGTTGTCTCGTGGCTTGCGGGCGGGGTGGCTGGCTGACTGGCTGACCACACCACACATGCAGCGCGGAGGCAGACAGCTGCGCAGCAGCGAGGAGCAAGCAGTCAAGCGATGCAGCGTCTGTTGAATAGCCAAAATGGATGCATATTGCCCATCACCTGGCTGCCTGCATCCTGCCAGCTACCTGCCGCCCAACTGTTACCCGTACATATTTATGTAGGTTGTCGTCCTCCTGCATGCCACCCGCCTCATCATTCGCCCGACTGCTAGGGTGCACACCGCCCGCCTCGGCCCCCACGCAATACCTACTTAGCTGCTCACGGCAAACAAAAGCGAACGCCCGTCGACCGACGTCACTGATGTCGTCGGCTGCTGTTTCCGGGATGTGGACGGAGAATGGGCTTGCGGGGTCAAATGCGAGATCTGTCGCTGTTGTTTGTATTTGATATTGCTAACTACCTACATACAAAGAGTAGTGCGGGGATGCCGTCCCGCTCTCAACCTACTCTCAAGACAGAAACTCTCTTAAGTGATATGAGAGTAACGTCTAATACCAGTACGACCCGATTTCTCTAGCTTCACGTGAAGCTGTTTGTGCAATGGTAAACCGGCCACGACTAAATTGTGCTTCGCCGCAAACGGGCAGGACGTGTTTACGACACACTGGTGATATGTGACGTCACCAGTGCCCCAGACCCCTCGTGATCGTGCCCGCGCCGTCTTAGATCCTCTCCTCGTCTGCGTCTTAGCATCAAGGACAGCAACCCAACGTCAGCCAAGTGAGCTTGTGTTTTCAGCCATCATCTCTCTGCTATTTAAGGCGCCCATTTGCCCAGTTTCCCCGCTTCGAGGCTGTCACTGTACAGCATCACTATTCCCCGCAGCCATGCTCACCGGTGCCTTCTCTGCGCTTTGTTTCGCCAGTGCCATTTCTGCCCTCTACGTTGACGGCAATGTTACAGCCCCATGTGACTCTCCTATCTATTGCCATGGCGACATCCTTAACGCAATTGAGTTGGCCCGGCCGTTTTCAGACTCGAAGACATTCGTTGACTTGTGAGCCCCCCAGAAGCTATACTGGTTGCACAGTGCTTGGGAGGCTAATTACGTACGCCTCAGGCCTACCATTCGCCCTTTGGACGAGGTTATAGATGCATTCAACAACCTGACAAAGCCAGTGACCAATGGCACCGAGCTGCATAATTTTTTGTCCACCTATTTTGGCCAAGCTGGATCGGAATTGGTCGAGGTCCCAGAAGAACAGCTTCGTACGAATGCTACGTTTCTCGATTCGGTTGCCGACCCGGACGTCAAGGATTTTGTAAGGCAGGTAATCGACATCTGGCCCGACTTGACCCGATCATACGTAGGAGCAGGCAATTGCTCTGGATGCGTTGACTCCTTCATCCCGTTAAACCGCACATTTGTTGTCGCGGGGGGTCGCTTCCGCGAACCCTACTACTGGGATTCTTTCTGGATTATCGAAGGCCTCTTGCGCACTAAAGGATCCTTTACAGAAATCGCAGGCAACATCATTGAGAACTTCCTGGACCTGGTAGAATTATATGGGATCGTCCCCAATGGAGCCCGGCTCTATTACCTAAACAGATCACAACCACCTTTGCTAACGCAGATGGTCAAGACTTACATCGAGTATACTAGGAACTCGACCATTCTTGAGCGTGCCATCCCGATCCTGGAGAAAGAATACGAGTTCTGGACTAATAACCGGACGGTGAGCATCCAAACAGCTAACAAGACCTACGCACTCAACCATTACGCTGTTCGGAATACTCAACCCCGGCCGGAGTCATACTTGGAGGACTACCAGACGGTCAACAACCGGTCTTATTATGCCGAGAATGGTGTCATTTACCCGGGGAAAGACCTCGACGATGCAGCCAAGGCAACCCTCTATGCGAACCTGGCAACTGGCGCGGAGTCTGGGTGGGACTATTGCAGCAGATGGCTTGCAAATCCCGCTGATGCCGCAGACGACAACTACTTTCCTTTGCGCAGCCTCAACACAATGAACATTGTGCCTGTGGAGTTGAATTCTATCCTATACGGGAATGAGGTCGCAATGGCCGAATTTTATAACCAGACAGGAAACAACACAGCCGCGGCTTTGTGGGCTGAGAGAGCGGCGAACCGCAGCCAAGCAATGTATGAGTTGATGTGGAACGAGACGCACTACAGCTACTTCGATTATAATCTCACCTCGAATGGCCAGAACGTCTTCATCCTTGCTGATAAGAATGCGACATACGCAGAAACCACCGGCGCTGGGGCACCAACCGGCTACCAACTTGCCTTTAATATAGCGCAGTATTATCCATTCTGGACTGGGGCAGCACCATCATCGCTTAAGGACAACCCCCTCGCTGTTCACAAGGCCTATACGCGCGTCGGAGACCTTCTCGAGCACAAACCGGGAGCCATCGCCGCGACGAATCTGGAAACGGGTGAACAATGGGACCAACCCAATGTGTGGCCGCACCTCGAGTACATATTGATCAAGGGGCTCCTTAACGTACCGCCCACGTTCGGCACGCAGGACGTCGAGTATGCCTGGACACGGCAGACGGCGCTTCAGCTGGCGCAGAGGTACCTTGACTCGAGCTTTTGCACGTGGCGGGCAACTGGCGGGGCAACGGCGTCGATGTCACGGATTGCCGGGGCTGAGGCGGAAGGCATCATGTTCGAGAAGTACGCCGATTACGACATCAACGCGGCGGGTGGCGGAGGGGAGTACGCAGTGGTTGAAGGGTTTGGGTGGAGCAATGGGGTGCTTATCTGGGCGGCAGATGTGTTTGGTGAGGAGTTGGTCTTGCCCGAGTGCGGGAACGTGACGGCGGCGGATATTGATGAAGATGCGGGGATGCGGCGTCGGAGCTTGAGAAACGTTGTTAGCGAGCAGGATCGTCGGTGGACTAAGCAGTTTGCGAGACAGAAGTAGAGTAGAAGTCAATGTATTAGTTCGGAGTAGAGAACCAGACGCATGTCGACGCCGGGTACTTGAAAGCTGTGCAAGACCATACAAATTATAACTTATCTGTTGCCTGAGTGCATTATCGTCTTAGCGGAGCGGCGGAGCCATGGAACAGGGCGGGGCGGAGCGGAAAGACTTTCGTGTTCCGCGGGCAATCGTCACAGCTTCCATCGCGCGCGTCTCTTCTTCTCTTCTTCGTCCACCCACGCAGTCTCACCACGCCATCGCGCGCCTTCTGCACGCCCACCCGCCGCGCCTCGACCAGTCACGATCGGCAGCCCATTGCCTAAAACCAAGGACAACCCACCGAGCAAGAAGTCGCTGCCCACGGCACGCCAGTTGCCCACCATGATGCACCCATCGCGCCAGGCCTATGTCGAGGAGGCGCCGCAAGAGGACACCGACATGGGAGGTATCGACCTGGCCAACGTCCCTATCGACCGCGACTATGCCATGCCCTCTGGCGCTGCCGGCGTGCCCTCCGAAAAGGCGTCCGCCATTCTCTCGCAGTTCACGCGCAAACGGCTGGCTGCCACCATCGCAGTTCCCACCGACGACACGCGCGTGCGCGCTCGACTCAGGGAGCTAGGCGAACCCATAACGCTCTTCGGAGAGGGCCCGGCCGACCGGAGAGATCGTCTGCGCGAGCTCCTCACAGTGCAAGCGGAGGCCGGCCAGGCGGACGAAGAGGGCGATGTGCAGATGGAAGAAGCCGAGGAGGAGGCAGGAGGAGAGGCAGACGAGGAGTTTTACACTGAAGGCATCGACGAGCTTCTTCGCGCGCGAAAGGACATTGCAAAGTATTCTCTCCCGAGAGCAAAGCACCGTGTCGCCTACCAGAAGTCGGAATCTACGATACCACTACGGACCCACGTCAAGCACCGGAAGGCCATAAAGGAAAAGCTACAGGGATTCGACCTCTTTGGATCGCAGATTGCGGGAGAAAGACCGGTTAGCATCGCACGCTTCGCGCCCAACGGCGAAATGATAGCTGCGGGCAACTGGGGCGGCAGCATTAAGATTCTGGATGTGCCAAATCTCGAGGAAAAAATGCTTCTTCGTGGTCACAGCGACAGGGTTGGTGGTATTACTTGGTTCCCCGGCGCGACAACCAGCAACGTATCATCGTCATCTGTCAACCTTGCCTCTAGTGGCGGCGAGGGCAATATCCACCTCTGGAATCTCGAGCAGGACACTCCTATCTCTTCTCTCTCCGGACACACGGGCCGCGTGTGCCGTGTTGAGTTCCACCCGTCTGGAAGATATCTCGCTTCGGCCTCCTTCGACACCACCTGGCGCTTATGGGATGTGGAGAGCACCACCGAGCTGCTTTTGCAAGAAGGCCATTCTCGCGAAGTCTACACAGTCAGCTTCAACCCAGACGGCTCTCTTGTGGCCAGCGCCGGTCTAGACAGTATCGGCAGGATATGGGATCTCCGTACAGGGCGCATGGTTATGCTGCTGGACAGCCATATCAGCCCCATCTACGCTCTCGATTGGGGCGCAGACTCGTACCGCGTGCTCTCTGGCTCGGGCGACGGCTTCGCAAAGTGCTGGGACCTACGCGCAGTGCGGGAAACGAGCAGCATTGGTGCGCACAAGGGCGGCGTGACGGATCTCCGGTGGTTCAAGGGCAGCGACGGCCCCGCGAGCGGGCTGATGCCGCAGCAAGACGAGAGCGGGAGCGTGCAGCCGAAGAAGGCGGGCACGTTCTTCGTCAGCTGCGGCTTCGACAAGAACGTCAACGTCTTCAGCGGCGACGACTGGGCCGTGTGCAAGAGCTTGAGCGGCCATTCTGGTAATGTGCTGAGTACGGACATTAGCCCCGATGCCAGGTGGATCTGCAGTTCGGGCCATGACCGAACGGTCAAGCTGTGGGCGCGCGATGATGGAGAAGGAATCTAGTTATTGGCACATGGCCGCATCGTCCAAGGAGATGGCGGCCGGTGATGTCGCGAGACTGCTCGCTTGGTCAGCTGCCTGACATATCGGCTCTGCGGCAGGTCGCGCTGCCTCTTGCTGGTGTTTGCTGCCGCTGCTACTGCTGCTGCTGCCTCGAGCTGTGCAACTCATGCCGCGCGGCCGTGATGGAAGCGCAGGGCGAGGTTTAATTATTGCTACCGGTCAATATCGGCGGTTTGTTGGTTGGGAGGCGGATATACGGGCTTTGATGATGGAACCCATCAGCCTCCTGACTCGATGCAGGCGGGACACGGACACGGACACTGCTGGTGCGTGCCCTGCTTTCTTCTCTACAATACTACCTTTTGCTCACGCAGCGTGTTCGCTACCTATGACTTGGTGGGACGGGCAAGCGAGATTGGTGGCTCTGTAAAGGTCGGTCTCGCTGGCGACATGGGATAGTCTCGCAAAAGTCGATCAGTAAGCTCGCTCGTCTTAATGACGGGAATGCCGATGTATACATGCATTCTTGGATGCGAGTGGGCGGGCAATTGAGGATTGGATAGACGGCGAGGAATTTGGTAGCTAGAAGCCTTTAGACACGAACTCGCATGCCTGTACAATTGTTCCTCAATTCTATTTTAACTGCTCGTGAGTTCTATTGCTATCTTTTATGAGTTATGAGCATCGGAGTGCTTGAGTTGGACAGACAAAGCGATTGATTATTGCATGTGGCCGGCGTGGTGGCTGACGTCGTGACAAAGACTCAGGCTCAAACCAAGGTGTCGGGCGGCGCTCGGATAGGATCTCCGCAAGATGCGCAGGAATTCCCCCAGTTGAGGCTGCAGCGGGCGCGACGGGCCAGTAGCAGCGGCGCAAAAGGGCTGTTATCTATTGCTGTTAGCAAAAGGATTCACAGCGCGCTTGCGAACTCGGCACTGCACGTCAGAAGGGCGCGTCTGGCGTCCCCACCCGTCGCGCCAAATGCCCGCCGCCAGCCGACCCTTCTTTCTCTTCTTCTTTCCCTTCCTCTTCTGCTCTTCCAGTCATCACCACCAATCTTCCCATCTGCCTGCCCATCCCGCTTCCAAAAGAGCGTACGCTCTCCTCCTCCTCTAACTGAACAGACCGCACATCTTCGCGAATGCGTGCTGCTCAGACTATCTTCACTTCCCAGGTATGTTTCTTATCTCCTCCCAAAAAGAACGGCGTGCCTTGTGGCGCATCGCCCGTCTATACGTCAAAAAATTGTGTGGTCCCGTGGAGCCCCTGCTAACTTTCTGTTCGCTGTAGGACTACATCTCTGGTACGACAACTCGTCGAACGCATTGCTCCCACGCCTTTAGCTAACCTTTGCGCAGACCACTTGTGGAAGGCCTCGATCAATTAAAGAGACCTTTTTACAACACACCGAATACCCGCTCCCCGTCTCTATAGAATCGCACACACCAAAAAACATGTTCAGCAAGCTTCTGAAACCCTCTCTGCTGAGGCCCGCCGGTGCCTTTGCAAAGGCTGGCGCGCAGGCCCGGTACATGGCCTCCGTCCAGACCGGCGCCGCTACGGCTCGCAGCGCTGCCACCTCCCGGGACCGCGCTACCTTCACCATCAAGGTATGTTCTAATCACAGCCCTTTCCGGAGGCGCTGAGCAATGACTCACAGCTCCTTCACAGAATGGTCCCATCTTCTCCGGCAAGGCGTTCGGCGCCAAGAAGAACGTCTCCGGTGAAGCCGTCTTCACCACTTCCCTCGTGGGCTACCCCGAGTCCATGTCCGATCCCTCGTACCGCGGACAGATTCTGGTCTTCACTCAGCCCCTCATTGGCAACTACGGCGTTCCGTCATCCGTCAGGGACGAGTTTGGCCTTCTCAGGTACTTTGAATCGCCCAACATCCAGGCTGCCGGCATTGTTGTCGCCGATGTCGCCGAACAGCACAGCCATTGGACTGCTGTCGAGAGTCTGGCGGAGTGGTGCGCCAGGGAGGGCGTTCCCGCCATTTCCGGCGTCGACACCCGCGCCATCGTGACGTATCTCCGTGAGCAGGGCTCTTCCCTCGCCAGAATCACCATTGGTGAGGAGTACGATGCCGATGAAGACGAGGCCTTCATTGATCCTGAGGGCATCAACCTCGTGCGTCGCGTCTCCACCAAGGCGCCCTTCCACGTGAGCTCGCCCCTTGGCGACATGCACGTTGCCTTGATCGACTGCGGTGTCAAGGAGAACATCCTGCGCAGCCTGGTCAGCCGTGGCGCCAGCGTCACCTGCTTCCCCTACGACTACCCCATCCACAAGATTGCGCACCACTTTGACGGTGTCTTCGTCTCCAACGGCCCCGGCGACCCGACGCATTGCCAGGAGACGGTGTACCACCTGCGCAAGCTGATGGAGACCAGCCAGGCGCCCATCATGGGCATCTGCATGGGCCACCAGCTGCTGTCGCTCGCGGCGGGCGGGCGCACGATCAAGATGAAGTACGGCAACCGCGCACACAACATTCCCGCGCTCGACCTGACGACGGGCAAGTGCCACATCACGTCGCAGAACCACGGGTACGCGGTCGACACGGCGTCGCTGGGCCCGGAGTGGAAGGAGTACTTTGTCAACCTCAACGACTCGTCCAACGAGGGCATGATCCACAAGAGCCGGCCCATCTTCTCGGCCCAGTTCCACCCGGAGGCCAAGGGCGGCCCGCTCGACTCGGCCTACCTCTTCGACAAGTACGTCGACTGCGTCAAGCTGTACAAGGACAGCCAGGCCGTCTTCAACGGCGGCAAGACGTCGCGCCCCAGCCCCTTGCTCGTCGACATCCTCGCCAAGGAGCGCGTCGGCGTTCACCCGGGCGTGCCCGAGTTCAACCAGCACAAGGGCGAGGTTGCCGCCGAGCAGCCCAAGCCCCTGCAGGCTGCTGCTGCTTAGGTGCGCAGGGGGTCGCGATTGGCTGCCTTGTTGGCTGGCGAGCTAGCTAGCTAGCGAGTTTTTGGCTGCGTCCGAGCTCGGACGCTCTCTTTGGGTACGGCGGTCGGTGTTGTGATGGGGCCATGGCGTTTTCTTGTTTTTTGTTTTTTGTTTGGATGAGAGTGCAGTGCGTCTTTGCTGCTACTGCTATGCTACTACATATTCGGCTTTTGTCAATTGCTGCGTAGTAGATACGAGGATTAGTTTGTGTCTGTGTTTATAAGTTTGATAGTCAGATTGAAATTTGTTGCATCGTCAATCAATGAATGGCATCCGTCCCAGCTGTGAATGAGTGAGTGAGTAACAGGGTGTCTGTACAATAAGTACACAGGCACTTCGGACGGGAACGGAGCCGCAACCAGTAGTAGCACAGCACACCTAGGGTTTTCGTGCTTCGTGGGTGGAGGGGAGGCAACGAATTGACTCAATCAACTCCGACTCGACTCGACTCGGAAGCCCAGCAGAGACGCCGCATACCTCGTACTTACTTATTGTACGTGGTACTTCCAATCCATCCGACGTGCCTGCACCCTGCCACTGTATGTAGAGCGAGCCAGCCATTGCGATGTTTCTTTTTCTTTTTTTTTTTTTTTTTCTTTTTTTTCAAATCCGAGATGCTGGTGCTGTACGTAGCGTAGCGTAGTAGTCCAGGCCACCAACAAACCAACTCCCTCCCTCGCACTCATTCACACACTCACTCATCATTCATCAATTGCACAAGAGGGAGTTAGTTGGGAGAAAGAAAGACCAGTGCCACACAGTGCCACCCAGTGCCGGCACCGGGACCGGGACCGGGACCGGTGTCGGCTGGGGGTGAGAGTGAGACGCGCGGGGCAAGCACCGAAGTGCAGGCAAGTCATGTGCATGCATGCTTTGAGATCTGCGCGCCCGCCGCAGCAAGAGCAGCACAGTGGCGGCGGCGGCAGCAGCAGTTGGCAGCAGCAGCAGCAGCAGCAGCAGCAGCGAGAAAAAAATCAGGTCTGCTGAGCGAGCGATTGAACGAACAATTGAACGAACAATTGAACAATTGAACGACAGAGCGAGCATTCTGCTGCGCCTGCGTTCAGCCGCCCATTGTTCGAGGCACGCGAAAGAGAAAACAAAACGGGCACGCCCCTCCCCCCGCCCCCAAATCAAAAAAACCCCCCGAGTCCCGACATCGAAAAAAGCCGCGGGGCGCGCCGCTGCCGTCGCGGATAATATCGTCGCAGCGATAGCAATAAGGAGGGGTGGGATCGGGCCGCGCGCTCGCGCTTCGGCTGGGAGACGATATCCCGCTGCGAGCGGGACTCGGGAGGTCGAGGTCGAGGTGGAGTGGGCTGGAGCGTGTACTGTAGGCTAGGCTACAACGTGAGACGGTGAGAGGCGCAGGCATGCAGGCAGCGAGGCAGCAAAACGACAGCCGCTTGGTTACATAGATTAGTTCGTGGCGGGGTCGCAGAACAGTCGTTAGTGAGATGGGGATCTTCCATGAGGAGGAGGCCGGGGGCCGCGCCGCTCCACAACAATGCTTGAGATGCGGCGCCGGCGCCCAGGACAACCGGACCTGAAGCAGCGGCCGCCTTTGCTTGCTGCTAGGTAAGGTAGGCACGGTAGGTATCGCGGGCGTGCGGCGGCGGCGAGGGAGAGGAGGGGCGTTGTGGTGGGTCGGAAAAGTAGACCCCCCTCCCTCGAGACCCCTCGCTCCCCCGCCGATTGCGAAATTCTAGACGCGGGCGTGATGGTCGACAGGGTGGGGGGGCTGATCGGATACTATTCTTGTGCTGGTGGTTGGTGTGGGTGGTGGGTGGTGTTGCGCCAATGGCGGCGGCTGTGGCGGCGTGGTTATGCAGGAGGCGTCGTGCTCTCGTATCTACTACCACCACTACTGTCTTGTTCCTTGCCTCGCGTCTGCTGCTTGCGGCGAGGATGGGCAGGGGCGCGTGCTTTGAATCTGTGTGCGCGATGTGGGGTGAGGAGGGGGCGTCTAGAAGGCTCGGAGCACCTGCAATATTGTATGTACACAGTAGGGAGACCTGGACAGGTAGGTGGGCACGTGATGGATTGCGAAGAGAAATCGGGCTTGCCAGCTTTGCTTTGCTCGACTTCTGTTGGATCTATGTTAGTTTGTTTAGTTGCGCTTTTATTATTTCTCCGGATATTGTTTCTCCGGGTCGTTTCTCCGGCGCTGACCAGTGGTTTGCGGTCGTTTTTTGCGCTGGGTGGCTGGCCATACGTGGATGGCTTCTTCTTCCATTCATCAGCTAGGAGTATCGTCGAGACGACTTGAGATGGCCGTTCCCCAATTTTGCTCAATTTCGCGTCAGGTGTTCAAACGCCCATCGGATTTGCGTCCTGCTTCTCAGGTCAATGATGGGCTTATTTCATTCCATAGTGCCAGGAAATATTGGACCCTGAGCATCGTGTAGATATGCTCTCTAGCGTCGCCATCTGTCTGCTTTCGGTAGCTACTAGAAGCGGCCACATTGACGCCCATCTCGCGTGAAAGCATCTAGACGAGACGATTTCGCGGCCTTCTAACTGTTAGCGGCAGGCCTGACCGTCTGGACAAACTTTCGTTAGCACTGAGCAAATTCCAAGCAACGTACCTCAGCAGCCTTTCTCCATGTACCAGGCGTAACCTATGGCTATCCGTAGGTACGCGCGTCGACGGCTGCCGCTCAGTTGAGTATGACGACATGAGCTTGCGATGGTACGGCGGGAAAAAGTCCGAGGGCGAGCTATGTTGACCGTAGGTCTGCGTTCAAGGACGTGATACGCGGGCGAGAAGGTCGGTCTTCCCTGCCTTCAAAGGGACTCAAGCAACCAGCTAGGAGTAGGTCCCGCTCGCTCAGCAGCTGCGGGTGGTGGTTGGATGGACTGCCCGAAGGGTCTCGCCAGGCGGCAAATGTTCGGCCCAACTCGGCGCACCTTTGGCACCTGGACCTCTCCCCAAGCTGTGTCGATAATGGATAATGAGGCTGCTGAGCGCCTGAGGCGACTGGACGTTGGACGACGGCTGCCCGAAGTATCATGCGTGGCCGACTACGCCGCCACGTGGAAACTGCACGGCAGCGCGCAGGGCGTAGGTGCACGATACGATGTCGGCGGAACCAATCCGCATCACCGTGGTGGCCATTTCAGCCCCATCTCTCCACCCTGTTACCCTGTCCAGATGCCCGCGCGCAAAAAACCCGGTCCGAGCAGTCCAAGATAGCAATCATCCTTGCTCCTTGCCGACAGGCTTCCCCGATCCATTACCCCTCGTGGCAAGCAGAGCAGGGGACTCCGTGGAGTACATCGCGAAATTGCATCTGCCTCACCCAGACCCCGGTCCGCGTATGGGAAAATCGCGATGTTCCGTGCGTCGCGGATTGCAGCGGTGCCGCGGTGAGCGCATCCAGGGTCCAAGGCGTGCTCCGTGCTACGCGCTTAAAGTCTGGTGGGTTTGTGGATATGCGGACGGAGATGCGGCTGTGGAGTCTTTGCCCGAGCCCGGAGAATACTTGGTGCATGTTTGGTCGGAGGCTGGGAGCGGAGTTCGAAGGACCACAGGACCCAGTGGCAGGGCGGCCGTTTTCTTTTTTGTTTGGCCGTTTGTGGTCATGAAACACGCGACACATGCCAGGCGGGGAATGACAGCACCACGCACTAGAAACGTTGATGTTCATGCGAGAAGAAAAAAAAAAAAAAAGAAAAAAATTTATCACGGTTACCCCGCGTATGTTGTCGTGGTTGTTATCGCTACTGCTGCCCTTTTCCGCGGTGGTACTACATCTCGTGGATCCACGGCAATAATCCGTACATGCTGTGCGGCAGGAAATCAACGACACGGCAGGCCGTTGCGGAAGATGCTTGCTCCCGTACGAGCGTTGTTTGATGTCATTGCGACCCTTGCCTAACACGTGACAGTAAAAGGCGATAAAGTTGGGTATCTGACGTTGAGGCTGGAGATTGGCGTCTGCGGGATCGGGATCGCGTATCGTTGGATCCAGATTCCAGTCCGACTGCAAGCCATCTACCATCGGTCCGTCGTCAGCATTCAGCTCATGTCTCAAGTGAACATCCGTGAGGTCTCGGAGTGACCGGCGTGGCTCGCCTCCTGTGGACGGCAGTGCTTCGCGGCAGAGAAAACGGTAGGGTCGGGAGGCGTTGAACACTGAAAGCGTAGCGTACGAGAGCTTGTTTAGTGAACGTTGGTTCAACGCTCTCGCGTTGCTGGAAGTTGGAGGCGTGTTCCAGGATCGTACCCGACGTGCTCTGTAACCCGGCCATCGGAGCGGAGCGACATGGATCATGACTCTGCCCTCGTCCCGTTCCAGACGATTCTGCAGTATTTCCGCTTCGGGCATTTCACATGTTTCAACGACCACTATCAGCGAGCAGATTCATCTCCGTTGCACGACGCTGCTCAGCCACGGTGGCAGAGGCATGTTTCTCCCGTAAACGTTGCTTGTGTCAGCTTGAGGATTGTCAGAAGCCAACGTCAGAGATGACCAAAACACCAACCGCCTAGGTTAGGTCCTGCACTACCCGCGCGAAGGCGCAACCGCAACTGCTCTAGTGAGGCTTGGCCGGTAGCCTCATAAGCTTCTACTCCAACCCACGTTGGGCGGGGGAGAATAATCGGGCGAAAGGCCGGCCCCCCGCCGGCCTACCACAGCCTCGCATTTGCATTTGACGTCTGCCACATGGGGCTCTGGCATCTGGATGTCGCGTGCGCGCCATGCGCCGCAGAGTCGCTCGGCAACCCTCTGTCCCGAGCTTTGGCTTCTCAATGTGAATCTCTCGGTTCCGACAGGCTGCGGCCGGAGATGCAACGTAAGACGGAAACTGGCACGGCAGGGCGGCAGGCGGGTATTCTTCGAGGCGAAAGGGCGACGGCGATCCTCCAGGATCCGGGCTCTTGGTCTCGCATTGATGACGGAAGAAGAGGCAGCGGGATGGCACGAGAGCATGGGCGGAGATTTGACAACGGGAGCGGTCCCGGTGGCGCATTTGTGAGCAGTCTCAAGAAACGAGGACGTTTGGCATGGGCCGACTCAAAACGGAATGCGTCGGCGGACAGTGCGCCTGCATGCAGGCAGGTGGAATGGAGGCTGCAACTGTAGCAGCCAGAGTGGAGGTGACGATGCGCGCGGGATTATTACGTGAAAAAGCGACGGGGCGCCTTGCCGAGTGGCTAGTAGCCATGGACCCTGAAGCTTGCTGCAAAGACGGTAGGAGGTCTCGTGAGGTTAGGTGGGCGGGGTGGGGAGGAGGAGGAGCCTGGAGGAGGGAGAGAGTCAAGTCAAGCAAGAGCTGAAAAACCTATGGCCCAAAAAAAGAGCTTGATGGCGCAGGCAAACCTGACATCACCCGCACGGAGATGTGTGTGGGATGATCACAAGCAAAGCATCAATCAATCGCCCACTTCTTACTCGCCGGCCGGGTCGCGTGGAGGAGGTGGCCCCTGCAATCCCTCCTTTGCAACGTCTGTCTAACCACTTACACCGCTTCGATAAGCCGCCAGACCATGCGCGCCCAAGGGGAGCCGCGCCGACACCACCCACGGCGATCCGCCCACCTGCTAGTCCTACAAGTATGTACGAGCCTCCGCATCCTGCTCGACCACCACACCCACCCGGGACCCTGCCCTGTCTCGTCGCTTGTTCTCGTCCCGCCACCCGCCCGTCACGCCCACCAGCTGATCCGCCCGCCGACCTCTTCCTCCCACCCCCAGATACGCGAAGCCCTGCCCAAGATGAAGACGGTATAGGTGCGCCGCGAAAGAGGAGGAAGATGGATTTCATTGTAAGTGAGACACGCGACACTCCCACCGCTCCTAATCTAACCTGCCCTGCAACAGATCTCTCTCGCCCACTTCTGCGAGATCCACGGTCCCACGTCTGTTCTCTGCACCCAGATCTCGCAGGGCTCTTGCGCCACTTGTCATCCCTGCGACACGCCGCCCGCCGAAGACGCCTCCAAGTCGTCCTACTTTGGCCCTCTCTGCGACTCCCCCGCCGTCCACTCCCTCTCGTCTCCCTTTGAGACGCCACCCACCAGTCCCAAGTCGCCCAAGAACTCGCACAACCCATATTTCCCCAGCCTTCGCGACAGCGGCCTGGGAAGCTTCACCAGCCACCTAGGCGACGCCGACACGGATTACTGCGAAAATTGCACATTCCTCGTGCCAAAGAATGTCAGCGAGCAGTTGCCCGATGGCGCGCCTGGAAGTCCGACAAAGGACGGCAGGGGCCGCAACGGCAGCCCCATCCTCCGCTCCTCCCAGTCCATAATGGCACGTGGGGGCTCCGCGTCCGCTGACGACGATTCCTCCGAAGATCACTCTCAGGCGTCGACGTCATTCTCAAGATCTCCGATGAGTCTTGCGCCGTCTTCCCCGGCTTCTGCATCCTTCCCCACACGCAATGCTCACACGCATACATTGACCTACCTTACGACCCGCCAACCCGCTTCGCCGACCGCATACTCCCTGTTGAGGCGCTCCTGCATCCGCACTCTGTCCTGCGAAGTCCTGCCGCGCGGCTCCTCCGGACCTATCTATTTCGGCGATCCGGTGGCAGGTTACACCATTGCTTACGTCTTCCGCCTCCCGGATCCTCGTGCCCGAGGCCGGCTGCGAACATACGCGCTTCTCGCCCTGGGTGGTAGAGACAGCTGGAGGGTGAGCATGGCCATGGTCAAAATCACAGAGGTTTTCGAGCAGATTGCAACCCAAATCATCAACATGGCCAACTCTGTCCTCGAACGAGAGACAATGGCCTCACCCACGAGCCCCAGCGTCGGCCTATCCACGCCCCCACTGAGCACGTCTGGTGGCTCCTCGATTCCCGGTCGTCGTGCAAGCCTGACCACCGGCAACCCCACCGCACCTATCAAGCTGCCGCCCGCGGCAGCGCCCAGTCCATCCCCGAGCTCGACCCGCAACATTACGCCCGTGTCCTCTTTCCTCGCGGCGAAGAAGGTGGATCCGGACGGCTATCCCCGAGTCTCCCGTGAGGTCATGCGCGCCAAAGGGTTGGCCGAGATCGTCGGCAACGAGAAATTCTTCGTCGAGCTTCATGCACGCTTCTGCATGCTGTTGTCAAGCCTGGTCAAGGAATTCGGGACTGGCTGAAGCTGCATCACGAAGCCCCACATTTTACGTGATAGCGGGTAGGTGGTCCGTGCTGGCGCGAGCGCCTAAGATCTCCCTGTCGCGTGCGGCATCGGCATGCGCCGCCCTAGTCTGGACTGCCCTCTTCCTCTCAGCCTCGGTCGATTTGTTTCTTCCTTCTGGCTGTTGGCTGGGCCTCCGCAGAGCCTTTGTGATCCGTGTTGTACGAAGGCTCGAGAGTCTCGACCACGCCAAAGGATCCGATTGCGACCTGCCACTCTTCAACTTTGTATCCTTGATTTGTTCTTTTACCTCATCGTTTTTCTTTTTTTGTCCGGCTTCCTGTGCTGCGTTCTAGCGAGTTTGCGTATTTCTTCGGCGTTGTTCCTGGGTCCTGTTCATTCTTTCCTCTTCTTCTTTTTCCCCTTCTGTAACCGGTTTCGCCCTTGTTTCTTTCGCTTCTTGCTTGTCTTCGTGCATAATTTTGCTCATGATACCCCAGAGACACCCTTCAGTAGTAGCGCGCCTGCAGTTGTTGTTGTTGTTGTTGTTGTTGCTTAGAGAGGAAGCCTTAGAGCTTTGTTTGGAATAGTTTGCAAGAGGGACGAGAGGCGCGAGTAGAGACGGCACGCACGACGAGGAGGCGGGGAAGCGAACGCGAGCGTGTGCGGCGCGGATATGGCGATTGCCCTTCAGAGCGCCCTTGTACGATCGGGATGAGGGCCTGAGAACGCCATGCGTGTGTGTGTGCTCTGGGTGAGCAAAGAGGGGGAGAACGACCCGCGTGTCTGGTGTCGGTGTAGCAGGTAGGTAGTCTGTACGGACAGGTCGCTGTCGGAGAGACGGGGAATATATGGATGTGTGTGTGTGTGCGCGCTCGCGCGAGTTGTGCGTGTAGATGCGAAATACCAACGCTGTAACCTCGACGTTTCCGCGTCCTTTGCTTGCCTCTCTTATTGTCTCCTAGGTACTCACCGTGCTGTGTGCTGGCTGCTGTTGCTGTTCCAGCCCCCTGTCCCGTGCACCCCACCCAGCCAAGGAGGAAAAAAAAAAAAAAAAAAAAAACCTAAGCCAGAAAAGAAAAACGACAAAAGAAGAGAGACGCGAGGCGCAAGAGACTAGGGAAAAAAAGCACAGTGTTCTGCGAAAACATGGCGAGCAGACGGTGGGAGTGCGTGGTGGTGGTAGTGGTGGTGGGGGGCGCGGCACGCTAGCTGCCTTTCTATTATAATGACGGCCCACGCCAGGCCGCCCGCGAGCACGCAAGTTGGCGCGAGAGCACGCCAGCGCGCACCTTGATGGTGGAAGAGCTTGTGCGTGCGTGCTTGGATGGGCCTCTGGCTGGTGCGGGTTTGGGTTTTTGGTTTGGAAGAGAGGGAGGAGAGGGGTGGGGGGCTGGGTTGTGTAGGTACCTTGAGGGCTTTTCTTTTGGGGTGGGTGTGGAGGACGTGGGTTGGGTGGTTGTTTTGGAGTGAAGGTTTAGGTGGGGTGAGGGAGTGGATGGGTAGTTTTTGTTTGGGGGTGGTTGCGTGCTGCGAGGGGTGGTGGTGAATGCGGTGGGGTGGGGATGGAGGTGTTGAGGTTGGTGGTGGTAGGGTAGGGAGAGCTGTAGAGACGTCACGATGACAGCGACCGCGCCTGCTTCTGGCAAGATGGAAATGATGGTATGCGTTTCGAGATTGGCGGTCTGCGTCTATGAACTGCTTTGGCGATTGATGTAGTGACAAAAAGTGAACGAATTGGGTGTCGACGGGTTAGACGTCATGGCCTAGAGCCGCCAAACAGCGAGACGCGCTGCACCCCATAATCCCCCAGGGGGAGGAAGCGAGCAATGTACCTCGACGCAGCAGCGATGTGTTGGGACAGCAGGTCGTCCATAGGTAGGTAAGGAGGATGGGATGTGCAGCAGCAGATATGCTGGCTGCGAGCTGAGCTGACTGAGCACGCACGCCCCGCTAGTCCGAAAGAGGCAGAGTATTGGCTTCGGGGACTGCCCGGGACGCTAATAGCTTCATTGCTCTCCCACATTCTAGACCCCTTTTTGGGGGGGTTTTTTGTCGAGAATCTTCCACTGCCACTGCGTGGTTATCGGTGTAGAATGTCATGGGCATTGGCCAATTGTTACGTTCGCTGTTTTGAACTTCTTAGGCACTCCTTCGTAGATCAAAGTACCTAAGTACCTGAGTGTAGCTAGAGCGGTTAGCCATGTCGATCCCCTCGATCCCCCTCCATCATCTCCAAACACCATACATCCATCTCTCAATCCCCCATCCACGCGTCCACCTCCACCGCCGTGATACTCCTACTCGTATGCCCAAAAACAACCGCAAGCCCGCCCTGCCCATTGACCTCCAGGGACCGCGCTACGTCCTCTAGCCCTCGTTCAACTCGGCCGGAGGGATTCTAGCCCAGCGGCCGTGGCTGGCTGAAGCACACTCTAGCTCTCTAGAGCCCCAACCAAGCACCGCAAGCAGCGCAAGCAACGCAAGCAGCTCCCACAACGCGGAGAAGAAGTGGAGCACGGCGCACCCACGTGTCGATCTAGACACTCCGCACCCCGTACGCGGCAGCCGTCTAGAACGGCGACCCAGCGCCCTCCGGCTGCCGCTATGCTGCGCCTGTCGTGCCGGTCCTGCAGCTGAGCGACACCGTCGAGCTCGTGGCGCCGACGATGCGCGCGCGCTGCGCACCCTGCTGGGCGTGGAGAGCGCTCGGGAGGAGCTGGAGCTGGGCGCGGAGGCGCCAGCTGCAGCAGCTAGGCGGCTGGCGTCCGTATCGCCAGTCGTGCAGCTGAACATGTCGATTCCGAGTCTTCAATCTCGGCGGCCTATAAAGTCCCTGGGGCCCTTCAACACTCCAGTCAGTATCTCATCATCAGCCTCTTCTCTCTACTCACTACCAAAAAAAACAACCCCTCCCCCCTCATCTCATAAAACATGTCTTTCCACGCCTCTGCCCAGGACATCCGTGTCGAGAACGGCCACTGGCTCAAGGCCCGCCTCGCCGGCGAGGGCCACCACGACCACCACGACGCCGACCTCGACCTCAACCGCTGCATCGGTAACATTGACGGTACGTCTTGCCTTTCTTCTCTTCTTTCCACGGTCATCCATCCCAAACTAACTCTTATCCCTTCCCCGCACCAGGCCACTTCCAGTGGGGCGCCCAGGGCTTCTCCGAGTCCGCCCGCAACATCTCCTTCCACATCGAGGGCGGCGCCAACGTGCCCGTCCTGCGCGCCGAGCTGCGCGACCAGCACGGCAACTGGCAGGCCCGCGACATCAACCTGGCCGAGCGCATCCAGAACCGCAACGGCCACTTCCACTTCGGTACGTGTGCTCTCTCTTTAAAAAAGAAAAAAGTCTTCCTTCGTGTTATTCTTTGCCCGCTAACCTTTGCCGCCTGCTTGCAGAGTAAGCTATTTCAGTCATGTGTTTGGAATGAATGCTCGGTAGTGTACCGGCATTGGATACCAGAGCCTGCGCTGGCTCGAGGGTTATAAATGGCGTTTAGAAATGATAAAAAGATGGGATGGCAAGGACCGGAATGAAACTACTTTTTTTTTTATGTGAAAAAGCAGCTACTTAATGACTTTGATGCAAGTGATTGGTTTACTCTAGTTGGGACGATCGTGGCGGGTGGAATGTAAACGCGTTGCCGGTTGCGTGCTGCTCTGACACTAGGTCTCATTGGGCTGTCGCTGCCGTGCCTGCGATTGACTGGCTCACTCTTGAGCAGCAGAAGACTGCATGCGTGAAATGTGAGTCAATTCCTATCAATAAAAACCATGCAAGTGGAGAGAGAAAAGAGACCGCAAAAAAAGGACACCCACCCCGCTATTACCCATCATCGTCCTTTGCAAAAATGCAAGCACGTCTTCTAGACTCCCGCAAAAGAAACGCCATGCTGCCCGCAAATCCGAAGACGCCAACCGTCTATTACATCGTCCCTCATCCCAGCATCCCCAGCTCCGTCGAGCTCGGTTCAATCAGTTCAACGGCGCTTTCGGCACGCCCTGCACCTCGACCCAGTCCCTCCACACGCGCCACTCCTGGAACCGCATCGTCTCCTTGGCGCCCTCGTACGTGACGACGCTGAGGTCAATCTTGCGCCAGTCGTCGCGGCGGCCGCTCCAGCCCGCCTTGCGCATCAGGCTGACTATCGTCTCCTCCTTGGTCCAGCCCTGCTCGCGCGCCACATCCGGCAGGTACGTCGCGCCGTAGCGGCGGCCGTGGTACGTGAACGAGATGCGCAGCCCGTGCTTGCCCAGCTCCCATGCCATGGGCGACTCGGCCGGCTGGAAGTTGGTCAGCAGCGTTACGCCGCACTCGAGCGTGGGCAGCTCGCGCAACGCGATGGGGCTGAAGCGCGTGTCGTCAAAGGCCCTGCGCGCGTACACAAGATTAGCGGCGCCCTCGGTGCTGGGATGAGCGTGGGGGCTGTGGGGGCTGCTACTCACGCTGTCAATGCGTAGCTGCGCAGTCCATCGGATAACTCCTGAGCCTCGAACGTGCCAATGCAGCCGCGGAGGCTCTTGCTGCCGTATTTGCTGATCGTGTTCCAGGTCACGAAGAGTGGGTGCGCGTTCACTGGCGCAGGAGCCTCCGCGGACGTGTTCTTCGAGCGGCGCCCCAGGGAGAAGAAGGACGTACGAGACGATGACTTGGACGAAGCGGGTGTGGGCGCAGAGCTTCTGGATGAAGCAACTGAGGGATTGGACGACGAGGACGTCGACGTTGACGCCGAGGATGGGCTAGCCGCCGTCAGACGGCTGATCGCCGGAGGCTTCAACGTCTGCTGCTCCAACGCATCATCCATGTCCTCATCCAAATCTTCTTCATCTTCAGACCCGTCTTCCTCGCCTTCCAAGTCCTCCTCAGCCGACTCAGCAGTGTATCGCTCCCAGAATTGCTCCACCTCCTTGAGGCTCAGTGGTTGGCGCCTGTGGAGACTGGAATCTAGAGTCTCGAAGCAGTACGCGACGTGGGCAAGAGAGGCCATGGCGTACAAAGGGTGGAGTGCGGAGGCCAGAAGTGGGGTGCGGGAAGCAGCTCAAGGCGGGGAGCGTGAGCCTGTGGATCTGGAGTGAGGCGGACGACGGCGGCACGTGGGAAAACCAAGAGTTGAGCAGATGAGCAACACGATGTGAAAAGAGATGGAGAAGTAGAACGCGTGAGGATTTCAAGAGTAGAACGACTGATGGGCCGCCCTTGGAAACTATGAAGATGGCGGGGGTACTGGTCAAATGCCAAATGGGTGAGGTCTGGCCCGTTCCCTGTGACGACTGCTGCCCAGCTCCGCGGATGAGTGAGAGGCTCGGTGGCGAGTCTCTTGGGTGCAAATGGCTTGCGGAGTGAAGAAGCAGGGCCCGGGCTGAAGACCGAACGAGTTCGCCGTCGCTGTTCGACTGTCGGAGTCGGAGTCGTCGATGAGGTCAGTGAGCCCGGGCGGCGCCTCGGCCGGTACTTGGCCGTCGCACGTGACGACCCCAGCGACATCGGATGTCACGATACATCCTGACACCAACACAACCTCAACTACGTGTATTCGATACTGCTGCCGACTATGCCTAACATGCACCCCCTGTTTAACAGCTTGCGCGCCATCCCTGGTGGCCAGTCATCGCATGATCTCCTTTGTACGAGACCAGTTTAGCCACCAATAATCAAGAGTATCACAAGTAAAGGGAGTGAGAAAAGCAAACTCATCCAGTCATTGATCTTCTGCAAACGTCCACAAAAGGATCTCACATGAGCCCTTTCTGTTTTTCATTTTCAATCGCAACATAAGTCTTTGTTAAATAGCCCCAGTGGATGCTCCACTTCCACTCGTCCTCTACATCACAGTCTACAATAACAGAAATGTCTTCATCTTCCAATTCTGGTTCACGCCCATCCTCGGAGGCGAGCAACAATGGGGGCACTAAACAGTTGGAGCGGAATAGCATCCTTCAAGAGATACTGGAGCATATCGAAGACCGGTTCATGAGGGATTTCGGGAAAGTCGACTACACGGAACTCAAACACAATGTCCTCGAGCCGGTCATCAACTACAACTTCGAGCCCGAAGTCCAAATCCGCGGCTTTTTGCGTGCATTCAGGCACACGCACGTGTTTCACGAGGCCTTGGAGAATATTGCTGATCAGCAGCTCCAGCATCAGATCAATGCATTTGTCGATGGTGCGTCTGCAGGGGACGTGGTTAAAGATAAAGGCTTCCAGGTTTCATCGTATCCGAGTCCGAAAGTCAAACAGCATTTCTCTCTCCTCGTAGAGATAAGGAAGTTCGTCCTGGAAGGCTTGCATATCGAACATGCGATTGAAAAAGTGTTTGCTATAACTGGCAAAAAGAAGCGCATTGAGCCGCTACCTCTCGTATACGAAGATGCTGCTAAGAAGAAGCTCATGGAGGTAAGCATAATCTCTATTGGCAATCCCAGACTGATGTGGTTAGGTATACTCTGACGTACCTTTTCAAAATTGGGGCGAGAGTGTAAACAACACCCCCAGGTACACTTTTATTCCGAGCACAGTACTTGGCCTCCAGAACCTTGCCCGTTTCGCTTCAGCCAATAACTTCAGGGTTCGCTGCGGAGGGTACCGTCACTCATGGGCACCCATCTTCTCTCAAAATAACGAAATCTTCGTGTCATTGCTCAGCACTGAGCAAGTCACAGCAATGCCGGACCCGACGAGTATCATCCCAGGGCCGTTTCCTGGACATGGCACTAATGAGCTGAAGACCATCGAGCTCAAAGAGCAGCTCTCCAAAGACAAGAGGCTCTGCAGAGTCGGTGTGGCCGTCACGAACGAAGAATTTCGAAGATGGGCTGTTGCAAACAAGTCGTGGGCGTTGCCCGTGGATGTCATCCTCGTCGAAGTGACCATAGGCGGCGTCAACGCTCCCATTTGCCATGGTGCTGGTTACCGACACAAGACTATATCCGATTATGTGCGTCGCGTCGAATATGTTGACTGCAACGGACAGCGGCAAACAGTGGACGATCCAGAGCTCATCAAAGCGGCTGCCGGCAGCTTTGGTCTCCTGGGCATCGTAACGCATCTCACGTTCGAGCTGGATGCAATGACTTATGCGGTTATGGAGCCTCGCAAAGTCGACATCGGCTTGGCCATTCCTCCACTCGACAAGGAGGACATCCCCATGGCACTGCGTCAGGACTGGTTCCACAAACCAGATGCCGCAAAGAAGCTCGAGGCAGCCCGTGCCGAGTTTGAACATGATGCACTCACCAAATACTACTCGGAATGGTTCTGGTTTACATACCAGCAGAAAGCATGGGTCAACACGTGGAACACCACTACGGACCCAGCTGGCGCGGAGGATTATCCTAACGAGGGTGGCGTCTTCCTGCAATGGATCCAAGGCTGGATGGGCTACATTCTGACCTCATCACCACTCTTCAACGCCATCCCGGGACACTGGCAAGCGCAGCTGCTGGCAACGATTGGGCTGGCAGTGCTGCCACCGACTCACGGCGAGGACCATACACCCAAGATCATCGCACCCCTGACCGACGCGCTGCACTTCCGGCGCGGGGTGCAAAACATGCGAGTGCGGGACACGGAATTCGAGATTCCGCTGCCACCGCGCGCGGACAACGCGCATGCTCCGGACTTCAGCATCGTGCAGCGCGCCTGGTGGGATGTCATCAAGCTGGTCTACAGCTACGACCGGGGCGAGGCGCCGCTGCGCCTCACGCTCGAGCTGCGCATCACGGGCGGCAGCGACATGCTCATGGCGCCGCAGCAGGGCAACGCGCTCGGGACCGCAAGCATCGAGGTCCTGACAGTGCCCGACGCCGTGTCGGACAACGAGTGGCGCGAGTTTATGCAGCGGGTTGCGGATATCTGGATGGGCTATGGGAAGCACTATGGCGGGGCGCAGATCAATGTTCGGCCACATTGGGCTAAGGAGTGGGATGGTCTTACTTTGGGTGGTAGGGATGCGAGGCAGTACCTTAAGGAGGTGGCGTATCGGGAGCAGATTCCGAGGTTTAGGGCTGCGTTGGCTAAGATTGGCGAGGTGCAGGGGTGGCGTTTGGAGGACTTGAAACAGAGGTTCTCGAATGAGCTGTGGGATCAGCTTGTTTTTAGTGAGTGAGATGAAGGCGGTTTTGGAAAGACGAGTTGCAGGGAGCCAGGGTTCTGTCGTCTGTTATGGTTTTGTTGATTGAAATTGAGTCCTGTAGTCTTTGCGACTGGGAGTTTCGTTGTTGTTATCTCTCAGCTGCTACATATCTAATGCCTAAATAGTACAAGATCTTTTTTATCCTCAGCGTCAGAACCTCAAGCAAGCAAGCAACTTTACCCTGTTTGCTTCCAACGATGCAAACGATGATAGCTTGCACAGTTTAGATTTCGATGCAAATGTCGTTGAAGTTATCAACGCCTACCATCCGTCGCCTGTCAATTGTCATCACTGCCATCAACCATCTCTGAAATATTAACGTTATATCGTGAACCACCATGCCTTTCAGAGAACGCCCATCACAACATCGATATCTCTTTCTTATCGTCAATCATCACCTCTTCCCCAACCTAGCTTCCCCGAGCTCAATTCTCGCATCTCTCTTGTACCTTCCACGCAAGCCCCCCTCCCTCCCCCTCTGCTTCCCCTCCCCCTCACCACCCATCTCTCCTTTCAACCTCACCACCTTACGCATCTCCCCGCGCATCTCCCTATCCCCACGCCTCTCATCCACCTCCTTACGCACAGCAGCAACCAGCTCCGGCTCAAGGTACTCCGCAGCCGCGATCAAGAGGCCCAAGCTAACCCGATCGGTTCTGTAGGGGTCGGGGTCCGGCGCTCCAGTGGCGTCTATGATTGTTGAGGCTGGCGAGGCGGACCGTGTTGTTTGGGTTGTGGTTGTGGCTGTGGTTGTGGTGGCGGTGTGGAGAGATTGTTGGGTTTCGCCCTGGTCTCCGCCTTGGTCTCTGCCTTGGTCTAGGGTGTTCTCGGGACCCAGAGACGTGATGAAGGCGAGGGACATTTTGGAGTTGGTCATTGTGGGGTTGGTGTTGTGCGTGGAGTGGAGGGAATGAAAGTGTGGGGATATAGATTTCGCGGTTGGTATTTTCTCGAGATTGGTTTTGTTTGCAGCTGCGTGTGTGGAGAGCAAATGAGCTGCTTGCTGACCTTTTAAGTAGAGTGTGGGTGCTGGTGTCTGGTATTGGTTTGTGTTTTGCCTGAGATCGTATGGTACTTCCTGGATTACAACACCACGAATAACCATGTCACTGCCTTGAGCAGTTTGGGATATTTCCGAGAATGGAAGGATACTGCTCTTTAAGTACAACTGTCATGGGAATTGGTTCGGCGGTACGTGAAGGAGAATCACTCCATACTTATGGCGCGGTATATATCTGACACTTCTTTCTCAGCGCGTATACAAGAGACTGCAGTAAATTCCGACCCTTAGAAAGGTGTTCATCGGTATGTCCAACTAAAATTTGCGTAGCCTCTCGCATACCTTTGCCGTTATATCGACAGCAACGTTGTCAATAGTCGACGCTACTTCTAACGGTCGGAAGCTGCTGACTAGCCTAAACGTTGTAACCAGTCTTGACTGTAGATGAGTCATCGAACCTACTATTTCAGATAATGTCGTATCTGTGAAGTACCCTACAGATCTTGGATTCCCACAACCATTCTGTGATCGAAGAACCAGTAGTAGGAAACCTAGCATTGATCTCAGAGAGTAGCCTTACCGTTCAATACCCATCTGTCTGAATCAGCGACATGGATAACCCTTCCTTCTTTCTCTAGCTTCTTGAGCACCTGCAGCACGCCTCTTTCGGCGGGTTGATGTAGGTTCTCCGGCACGTCCTTATAGACAACCTTGACAATCTGCATGCTTGTCCAGCCCTGCGTGCCGTCCGGGTTGCTCCTAGCCAAAACCTCTAGGATCTGGTCCTCCCGCTCTTTTCTATGCTTGATGTATTCCAGCACTTTGGCTTTTCCATCTTCGATTACGGGCCCATGTCCTGGGTATGCGCGTCCGCTAAACTGCGTCGCCATGCGTTTTAAGCTGTCCATGTACGTCGCTAGATCCTCAAAGACTGCTGTCCCGACTCCCAAGACGTTGTCCCCTGTGAACATAGCGTCCTCTTCCTCCAGTATTAGAGCCATGTGGTCGACTGTATGTCCCGGGCAGTGGAAGGCGCGCAGGGTCGCACCGTCGACCTCGAATTTTTGACCGTCGGAAATGTCAAGTTGTCCCTCTGAATCCGAAGGCCGGGTTTGGTTCTTGTAGACCTTTGTAGTGGGAGAGAAGGCAAAGAGATCCGGGACCCCGCTGACATGGTCGTGATGCCAATGCGTGAGGATGGCGCACCCAAGCGTCGCGTTCTCCTCCTTGAGTACTCTCTTCAGAGACTCGGCCCAAGATGGCTTGCCCTCGCCGGTGTCGATGAGCATGCGCCGCGGACCCTGGCCGACAATGTACGTGTTTGTGCCTTGAAGTGTAAACTACCTTGATGGTTAGCTTGAGAAAGCGGGGCAAGGACAGCTGTCGCAAGGCCACCGTCTGGGACGTTACCTTGCCCGGGTTCCCACCAAGGATGCGGATCACCCGCGAGCTAAGCCGTTCAACCTCCGGTAAAGCCGGGAGGGATGTTGCCATGGTGGATGCCAAGCGCGAGCACAGAATGCGCATGGAAGAAGCAAAAGAGCGTGTCGTCCATGGAAGCGTGAGATTATGAGCACATGATATTGCGTACTCTCGGTCGCTCCGAAGTCTTCGGGCTTTGGGAGAGGGAAAACACCGGCCAGATTTATTTTTTGACAGGGGCCCACGTCCATGCGTGTGTCGTGTCTTTCTCCCCACCAACAAGGTGCCCGCTCCACACGATCGACCTGACCGCAGAACCTCCGAAGATGGACTTTATACAAGACGAAGAAGACTTGTACGTCTCTCACCTAAGTCCTATGGCTTCTTTCACCCAGACTGATCATACGACAGCCAGCTCTCCGCTCACGCCCTCGCCGCCCTCGCCGAATTCCAAACTGAACGAGATGCCCGCGCGAAACACTTTGAAGATCTGAAACTGGCTGCCGAGGCCGAGATCGAGGATGCTAAGGGCTTGGACAAACCGCTATCAATAACCGACTTTGAAGAAGATTGGAACCATAGCCAATTTTGGGCATGCACTGTCCATTGACCCTTTGGACCTCCATTAATTAATAGGAGAATAGTACAATGACACAACAGCAATCGCGATGGCAAAGCAGCTGCTCGATGGTGCGACGGACGACTCCAAGATTGCCGTCGTAAGCACTCCTAGCGTGTTCGTCCAGTTGAAAAATCTCCTGGTAAGTAGTGGCGTAGCATCCGTTCACGAACAAGTAACTGACTGGTGTGAAGGCTTCCTCCGAATACCAGATCCGTCCCGAAGTAAAGCTTTTGGAGTACGATGAACGTTTTGGAGTCTTCAGCGAGTTCGTCCCGTACGACTTGAAGTATCCAACTCGTCTTCCTCGTAGGCACCTCCCATACACAATGACAAAAGACCTTTACAGCTGATTTTTTCTTTTTCTTTTTCTTCAGCGACCCTTAAGGGCCAATTCGATCGTATCATCTACGACCCGCCGTTCCTTAGTGTCGATTGCCAGACGAAGAGTAGGAGCTCTTGTCCATATTTTTTTGCGAAATAAGAAAAGGCTAATTAATTCTTGTAGTTGCCCTTACGGTTAGGTGGCTTGCAAAATCCTGGGAACCAGAAAGCCTACGCTTGATCGCTATCACGGGCGAGCGGATGGAAGGAATAGTGCACAAGCTGTGCAGCAAGGCAGGAATCCGCACGACGGACTACGCGGTCGAGCACGCGAACGGTCTCAGCAACGAATTCCTTTGCTACGCTAATTTCGAAAGCGACGAATGGGCATGGGAGCAGGAGGGCGTTGTCAAGGAGCAGCGGCAGGACTCGGTGCTCAAGCAGGACTAGGAAGGGAAGCGGCCGACCGAGCGTCGACCGCGCGGGCCCGAGTATCTTATCAAGATTAGATTAACGATGCACGTCACATCTATCACTGGCTGCGCGCGACCCCTCCGTACCCCACATCTCACAACACCTCTCTCAAGCTTCCCTTCCGAACTTCCGCTCTTCCACCACACACACACATACAACCGCAACCATGGCTGCCTGCATCTTCTGCAAGATCATCAAGGGTATGCACGTCACCCCGCCCATGCAGCACACCGATTGACCGAATAAATCTACAGGCGAGATCCCCTCCATGAAGATCTTCGAGAGCGACAAGGTCTTCGCATTCCTCGACATCGGCCCCCTCTCCAAAGGCCACTCCGTACGCCCGACCCTCCGCCCCGCCTCCTCCACAAACACTCTCTAACACCACCAACCGCAGCTCATCATCCCTAAGCACCACGGCGCCAAGCTCACCGAGATCCCCGACGAGCAACTGAGTGAGATCCTGGTACGCCGCCCAACGCACCCCACCCCCTCTAGCGCACAAGAAGCACAATGGCCCTCGTAGCCGACACAAGCTGACTCTCGCCGCTCCAGCCCGTCGCCAAGCGCATCGCCAAGGCCCTCGACTGCCCCGACTACAACGTCCTGCAGAACAACGGCCGCATCGCGCACCAGGTCGTCGACCACGTAAGCTTTCGCCCTTCTCCCTCCCCCCTATGCTGTAGCAGCGCGCTAGAATAGCGGAATGCTCACGCCGTGCTTTCTCTAGGTGCACTTCCACGTCATCCCGAAGCCGAACGAAACCGAGGGCTTGGGCATTAGCTGGCCGACGAGGGAGGCGAACAAGGACGAGCTCGCGAAGCTGCTCGATGAGATTAAGGCCAAGTTTTGAGGCGTGAGGCAGCTTGAGGGCTGATGTTGATAATTCGGTGAAGGTAGAGGGCGCGGGCTAAGGTCTGCGGTAGTGAATATGTGATGTTTTTGAGCGAGTATGAGTCTTTTTCTTTTGTTTTATGGACAAAGTGATGTTGGTTCTCTCTGCGAACATGGCCGAAATTACCAAGTCGCAACCTTCTTATACATGATTCTGTTTCCACCGCAATAAGTCCCTTGTCTTCAGTACTCCCCAAAAAACATTACATCTATATCCCCAACCCAAAAGACCCAACACGCCCTAACGTCCCAAAACCCAAACCAGCAATCCTTGCACCGCACTGCACACTACGCCCCTCTCAACCCCCCCGCCAACACAGCGCCCAGCACCAACGCCCCCGCAACGCCCAAAAACGCAACCTCGGGCGCCGCCTCCACCGTCGCAGCATAAACGACGTTAACGACAGCAGGGGCGACGATGCGCGTCGCAGCCTGCAAGACGCCCAAGCCGCCCATGAGCTCGCCGACGCGCGCGCGCGCCACGTGCTTCGTCAGCGCGACCTCGGTCGTCGAGGTGCCCACGGCGCCAAAGGCCGCCAGCGCCCCGCTCAGCGTGAAGACCGCGCCGCTGGGCGCGAGCGCGTAGCCCGTGTACCCGAGGGCGTCGGTTACGAGGGCTGTGAGGAGGAGGGTGCGGTCGAGGGGGTCGGGGTGGGGAGGGAGTGCTGGTGAGGGGGAGGCGGTGTCTGTGGCGGTGGGGCTGCGTGGGCGCGATGTTTCCTCTTCTTCTTCTGCTTCTTCTTCGTCTTCGGTAGAGGCGCGGGGCGTAAAGGGAGCGGCTTCGTAGAGCGTGTTGGTGCTGGTGCTGGTGTTGCGCGCGCGGCGGCGGCCGCCGCCGCTTTCGGGATAGGCTTTGCGGAAGAGCTTGATGAGGAGGGGGAGGGCGAGGGCCGAGACGGCGGCCCGGAAGGCGTTGACGATGGACATGAACATGTTGTTTTCGACGTTGCCCCATTTGAACACCATCTGGTTGGCTCGTTAGCATCTGGGTTGAATTGCAGGGGGAACACTAAAACAGAGCAGGGCCCGCTGACCTGTGGGTAGAGTATAAGCACGTCTGATGTAGCCATTGCGCCGCTGTAGCAGATGAAGTTGATGGCGAGCAAGAGGAGGACGTTCCGCCGTAGCAGTGTGCTGCCTATTGTGCCGGAGGGTACGAGCCTGTCGAGCCATTTGAAGGGGTTGATGCGGTCCAGCTGTGCGCGGATATCAAAGCTCTTGGCCGAGCTCATGTTCAGCATGGGGAATAGAGGGGCATTCCTAGATATGGTCCCTGCTACCAATGCTGGCAGGCTTTCCGGGACGATGGACAGATATACCAGAGAAAATGCGCGCATTACCTATCTGGTCAGAGAGGTTTTATACCGCAGATCAAGGAGATGCGCACAAGACATATGTAGAAAACCAGTAAAGGAGATTTCTGGCCGCTAGAACCAACAATGGCGCTGGAGATGGCCGGTCCAACGGCAATGCCAATGAACATTGCGGCTTGCATTCGGCCTACGAACAAAATGTTGTCAGTGAGGCTTTCCTAAGCCGGATACCAGAAACTGAACGATATTGCTGGTCCAGAGGGCAATGTTACTCACCAACTTCCACGTTCCGTTGTTCTTGGGCTGTGCAGTCGCTGATGTAGGCTGAAGCCATAGCCATGATGACCGAGAAAGAACCTCTAGCCAACAGTCAGCTGAAATTTGACCATGCAAACACACAATGCGTAGACTGACGCTAATCCATCAAGCAAGTACGCAAGGTAAAGCCACTTGTAGCTGACGCTTGCCGACGAATTCGCCAGCACAACGAGCACAGCCTCCGCACACAGCAAGACAACCGCACTGTACGCGATGATCTTGATCCTGCCCACGCGATCGCTCAGCATGCTGAGGAACGTGCTCGTGCAGATGGACAAAACGCCGCTGATGACATTGCCGTAGGACGCCGTGAGCGCCGTCAGCGAAGAAACCTCACTATGCTCCATGCACTGGGGGTTGTGGCCGCCGATGACCACGGGCTCGGTCGAACCTGCATCTCCGGATCCGGGGGCCTGGGAATCGAGCGTTTGGCGGCAGATCAGGGAGACCACGAGGTTGATGCGAGGGACGGCAGCAATGCCGAATGCTAGGCTGTTAATGAGAAAGAAGACGATGAGCCAGATAACCTTGCTGGAATGTCAGTTCTGCATTTGCGGAGAATGTGCAGGTGCCTCACTTTTGGTTGCCGTCGCGTGCTTCCTTGCCGCAGTCCTGCCGTCCGTGGGAGGCCATGGATGTCGTCGAGCTCGATGTCATCTTCATCCCCGACACGGTGGTAAGCCGGTTGTGCCATTGGGCATTCTTGGAGTCACTTTGAAAGGAAAATCAAAGCCCTTGATATCCGTAGACGAAAACTCCTTTCAACTTATCATTTCTGAGTACTGCGCGGGTTGGGATGTTGTTGTGCCTTAATGGGGGATGTGGTTCAGGCTTCCTTTAGGGTCCGTGATCAGATCCGACCTTCCACGAGTCATTTTTGCATTGTCAGCCAGTATAACACAAAATTTATTTGATGTTTGCAGAAATTTGGCAGTGGAGGCGATTCCTGATCGCGCTAGGATGCTGTTTTGCTTTGTGGGCGGGGAAGTCTAGCCTGCACCCTACGAATGCCGAGCGACTGGCTGTTGTAGTAACGCCCGGTCTTCATCACTGGATGTTAACTGTATAGGTATATAACTTATTTTCAAATCTATCTGGTTTCGTACTCTCGTGCCCTTATGGAGTATTCTCGTATGTTTCTGCCTCTATACTAATGTATCTATATAGAATACTCTCGTATATGTGTACTACCGGGTAGCTATCTAGGCAAAGATTATTTAGTAGGTATGTTAGGTCTGATCTAATAGATGGTAGAACAGTCAGGAGGGTACATAACCATCCGTTTTTGTACACGGGCGACTTTGATTTTTAAAGGGCTTAGGGATAACTTAAGCTGTAGCTTCTTTCCGTTTTACACCAGGGGAATATTGTATGGGAAAGAATACTGTCTTAAGCTATATGTGAGATAGTTTGTTGATGAAGGCGATACCTTTGTTGTTGATGTGGGAAAATTCAGTGGACGCTATCTCAGGAAAATTTTCTCACGATATATTTTGTTTTGGCAAACTTTATTTCAATAAGATCAACAAAAGGTTGCCTGGTGAAATGGTATCACGAGACGTTGTGGCCGTCTTATTCTGGGTTCGATTCCCAGGGCAGCCAGTCACTTATCTTTTGTTGTTGGCCGAAAGGCGAGTTCTTGTTTTTTTCTTTTTGCCCTGAGGAGGCTTGTGGATTTTGAGGATTCCATGTCCGTGCGTAAGCACGAGTCATGGGAACTGGCCATAGCTTCGGTACGGCTACTCCGTAGGTCATCGTCGTTGGGATCGGTCGGAGACATGGAATTGTGCTTTTGATCGCCTTCGATATAGATGCAGATGAGCATCTTTCAGGATAGATGGTAGGTTGTATCCAAGGGATTTTTTTCCGTATAACATCCAGCAGCCTTGGTGCTCGAGAAGTCCCATACGAAGTATAAGGACATGGGTATACGGATGTCATCGGCCTGATCATCAGTGTGCTCAAGATTCTAGCTTAGCAATCCGGCACAGTGATTCGTTTATTCATTGCCGGTCTCATTACCAGTCTCGTTACCAGTCTCATTGCCAGTCTCATTACCGGTCTCGTTGCCGCTCTCGTTGCTCAGGATATCTTCGCACGCATTACGCACGGAATCCACGCCATTGACACTATGCCACTTGTCTAGCACCTTGCGCACATCTTCCCAGTCCGCCTCGGCAGCCTCCCGTTCACCATTGGACAGCTTAGCGCGCAGCCGACGAGGTGTATCCAAGACCCAGCGCACAGTCTGCCGTTGCTGCTCCTTGGGGTCGTTCTTCTGCTCCGTTTGTTTCTTGATGCCAGCGTGGTCCGTTATCGAAGCCGAAAGCGCGGAAGCTGTCTCAGCGATGTGGGATATGGCGGGGGAGAGAGTGGAGGTTGCTGGCGTGAGAGGGTCCATGTTGGTGCGCATCTGCGGCGTACTGTTAGCGCGTAAACCCCCAAAACAGCATGGTCAGGCGCACCTTGCGAATCGTATCTGTAGCGGCGATCAACTTCGAATAGTTGTCATACACCAAGGCTTTGCGCTCGCCGTCGAGGCCTCTGATCTCTGGATGTCGCGACAGTTGTCAGCTTCCCTGTTGCGAAGGAATAGAGCCCGCGAGCAGACTCACGGCTAACTAATCCCGCCTCGACCTTTAATACGCCCTGAAGGCCTTCCTTCGCTAATGTCTCTTTAACGTATGCCTCGGCGTCAAATCCCTCCTTATCCAGCTCGCTAATTTCCACCTCTTCCTTCACGCTCTCGATACCCAGCCCTGGCGATCCGACATTGCCATGTTCGGAGGTAGGCGACTTAAGATTGTAGTAGTCGCGGAGGGCGACGCGGTTGCGGCGTGGGCGCGGGCTAGTCGAACGGATTGCTGAGCCCTGGGGGACGTCGAGGGATGTGCGCGTGCTGCCGACGGGCGACTTAATGGACATGGAAGGGCGCGGGGAGGCTATTGTCGACATGTTGGGCGGCTTTAGGTGCGTGGTTTCGGCAGTGAGTAAGATGATGTGGGGAAGCTGTTGAAAGGGTGGCAGGTAACACGGGTACCTTGAGGGTGGAAGCACAAAGGCCGCGTGCAGGGATGCCGTAAGGCTGAAGATGACTCGTGTCGGCCAAAAGTTTGCCTCGACGTCAGCGGTTGTGCATCTGGATTTCGCAAAGCTATGAAGTGAAAAAACATCAATCGCGGTCTGTCGTAGAAGGACAAAACTGCAATAAACATTGGAAAGAGCCAGGTGTCAGTCCGGACCTACTGCAGTCCACCACTAAGACCAGCCAGCAACCCAACCCCAAAAAGAACCACTTTCTGCAACATGGATCGTCTGGCGCAAGAGATCACCGCTCACTTGGCCTCCAAAGGCCTCCATCCTACGCATGATTGGCTTTCTAACTTCATGAGTACTGTCCGGCAATCCACAGCTCTGGCAGCCATTAAACAAACGGCTCTCTTCCGTCTTCTTGCCTCCGACATCACGCAATCTCTTCGGCGCAGTCAGTCTAGTATGTTTCCTGGCGATATCCTCAACGGAACGATCAAAGAGCGTGTATTACCCGGGCCCATAGTCGTCCAGGTCATCGAAATCGAAGACATTGGGCGTTCCTGCTGGAGCCAAGTCGAGGCTTTGGAGGCCGCAGAGCGCGGCGAGATGACCAAGGGCCGCGAAGTCATCCGCGTCGTACCAGACGAGCAAGGTACCGGCGGCCCGACGCAAACTGCAGCAGATGAAGTTAACGCGGGAAACGGACCGCACAAGCTGTTGCTGATGGACGTTTCGGGAACGCGCGTGTATGCGTTGGAGTTGTTTGCCGTGAACGGCATAGGCTTGCGCATAAACATTGGCGCGAAACTGGTCCTGCGGAATGTGGTGGTCGCTCGGGGATTGGTGTTGCTGGAGCCGAAGACGACGACGTTCGTTGGCGGCAAAATTGACGCCTTGCACAAGGCATGGATCGAGGGAAGAAAGGAGAGGTTGAAAGCAGCGGCGGGTATGGCGAATTGAGAGTGGAAAGTTTGGGAGAGAGTTGCCGCTGAATGCTGCATGGATGAGGTTCTTGTGTCGAGCAGCGGTAGAGTACTGCGAAACTATACTGGACGCAGAGCCTGCACGACGACCAGGTAAATTAGAGTAGTAGGAGCTGCTAATTATCTTCAATAATAGGGTCGTCTTTTATGGGCACCAGTACGAAGAAACCCCTATAAATAACAATACAGTGCACTCCATTGCAAGCACTATCCCAAGACTCGACTTCATTCCCAAGTACACTCCAGTAAGCTACGGATTTCATTTTCTATAGTGTCGATTTTTAACTCATCCTATCCAGGCATCAAGCATGTGACAATCTAACTTGTACCGACAGGGTTGTCGAAGAGGATAGTGGTAGTAGCATTAGTCCCAAGAAGACACAAGAAGTGTCTATTCTCACATGGTGAAGCTGTCCATCACTGTCAGCCTTCATCGATACTCATTGGTCTGCTTCCAGTTCCTCACTAGTACATGCAGACTCTGACAGCACAAGTCGAGCAAAGCTTTCCAGTATATTGCTATAGAACATTCTCTCGGTGCGGTGGACGGCAGAGTGAGGTTATGCGAAAGTAGTCATATTCAAGACATGCCAACGAGTGGGAAACTGAAATGGAAAAGGTTGTACGTTTGTATATGTAAAAATCTTACTTTTATCAATACATAATGCTCCTAGGACGCTATAAAGTACAGACTACACACGTCCAAAACCACTGTTTACGTCTATTTTATCTCTCACGCTTGCGCAAACCTCCTTTCGCTAATCTTACACCGAAGCGCTGAAAAAAATACTCGCTAGAACAAGCCTGATCAAACTGGTTTCCCAAGCTTTTCCACACCAAAGGTAGGATTAAAGAACAAGAAAGCTTTTACAGTGTTGAAACAGGGCCTCCGCTACAATTGAGTTGGATTGACTCGCAAAGAAAACGCAACCAGAATGAGCAGAGACTGACTAGAAAAACCGCTCCTTGAACAACAACGCCTTGCTGATGCTTGAACAAACAAGCCCATAATCCACAGAGGAGATGATGGTACCCTCGAACTCCGAATGCCGCAAACGCGTTTGGAAACGTATACCGCTGTCCATAGCTGGACCGTTCGTCTATAATGGACAAAGAGAAAAAAGTATGAGAAGCGGAGAACAGGACTTCCGAACTTGCTTTTGGTAAGGAAAAGTAACCGAACCTATGCTCACAGCTTCCGCTTGTCGCGTCGGTCGTTAACATCTCCGGCCATCTTTTTGCCCAGTTCGTAGGTGCTGATCATGATTGCACACGCAGGAGCGACCTTTAAGCACCTTGCAGACCATCCTCTGAACAGGCCCGAGAGGCCCTGTTCCTTGAAGATATGCCACAGAAATCTCGGCATGTTCTGCTCCTCGGGCCGTAAAGCCTTCACAACGTCCTTGCCGGCATTAGACAAAGATCCGTTGCCGTTGTCTTTGTTGCTTGCATGCTTGAGCACTTGCTGTCTAGTCTTGCCAACGTCAAACGGAGTAGTGACAAAAGCCGCAACAGCACCGGATGTCGCGCCCGCGATAAAGCTATCCACTAGCGTTTCGGCGTGGTTCTCCTCGCTGCGGCTACGGCTCCTTGGTCTGGTCGCGCCTCTGGTATTGTTCCTTTCGAGCTGACGGCCTCGCCGCTTCTCACGTTCGTCCACCAACACATTCCTTCCCGTCTCGTAGCCCCACCAGTAGATTGCCGAGAATGGAACGTCGCGCCAGAGTGTCAAGCCCAGTCCACGCCACAGACTACTGTAGCCCCTCTCGCGCACCATTTCGTGAATCCCGTTCAATGTGTCGCGGAAATGGGAACCGCTCCCTCCACTATGAGCGTGCGTCGCCTGCATACGTGTGCGGAACATCTCAATGGGACTTACGGCGATAGCAGCCATGACACGCGCGCTGCTTCCAGCAACAAGGGGTGAATAGGTGTCGGAGATCTTCGCTTTGATTGGAGAAGCAGGAGAAGTACGTAACCAGTCGTAACCGGCAAAGTAGATAACGTTGGCTGGCACCGACATGAGGAGCGTTGGTGATAGGCCGCGCCACAAGGTACTAGCGCCTTCATGTCGTGCAATCTTGCGCAACCCGTCCAGAGTCGAGGTAAACACCCTGCGTTGACTCTCCTCTGCGGCACAGCTAGCAGCACTGGTGGGTGGAATGGTGGGAGCGGCCGTAGGGCCTGCGACGCAATACGGGGCATTGTTGTTTACCCAGAAGACTTCGCGACAGCAAGCTACGGTGCCAAGGTTCGGAGGCATGTTGGTGAAATGCGCGTTGTTTGAGTACAGGGTCTGAAGAGTGGGAATGGCGCGGGATCCATGGTTGGAGGATGGGGTATGGTGATGTTGAGATTGTAAGCGGACACGGACAACATCAAGCGGTGTCACTATCCAGTGTATGTTAGCATGGGAGAAGAGAAGCGTCTGGAGTGCGAGAGGTACCTAGAAGGGAGGTAAGGATGCTGCCGGAGACGGCTGACAGCATCTTTTGAGAAATGGAGGTATCCTCCGACACCTCTTCCTGTTCTCCGTTGTCGCGAGACATGTTTTCCCAGTCTGAAGGGATATTCCGGACAGGCAATCTGTCGTGGGGGTGGCCGGTGGCGTTGAGTGTAGATAGGCGTGCGGTATCGGCCATTGGAGGGTTGCAGCAGCTCTTCCAGAGCGACAGATGGCAACAAGACTGGAATGGAGCGGATTACCGGGGGCAAGACTGCATGCTGATAGCGGTGAGGGGGAAAAGGAAGATTGGTGTGGGGAGGAAGAGGGCGGAGGATGGTGACTTCGATGACATCGCCATGTAACTTTTGCGTTCGCGACGGCGGCCTCTCGATGCGCGCGCCGTCGCTAGCCGAGGCGCGCGCCGGTCGCTATCTCCGACGTTAAGAGCGCATCTAATCTGCCGATCCATCAATCGATTACCTCAGACGGTGTCGCGGTGTCCATATGGGTGAGCCTAGCTATGTGCTTCACCTGTTTGACTCATATATCTAGCTAACGCCAAACTAACCTATATGTTCTCCGTCTGCATCTTTGTCAAGCTTCCCTACTACGACTAGACTCGCAGCCACACACCATGTCCGCCCCACCAGACCCCGCCACCGCTCCTCCCTCCACCGAGGCAGAACTAGAATCCTTCAGACAAAAGTGGAAAGAAGAGGTGTCTGCGCGCGCAAAAGCAAGGCCCGGCCCGTCTACTCCCTCGCAAGAGCCTTCGTCCAGTAGGCCCAAGGAAGCACAAAGAAACAAGGCTCCCGCTGTCCCCGATAGGCTCAGAGATACCTTGGACAGGCACGATGATGCCGAACCACACACGTATCTTGACCTTGGGGAGAGGTCCTCGGGCAGAACACTGGCAGAGCCTGCGCCAGCACCCAAAAAGAAACCAGAGTCGGCATTGGAGCACTACGAGGAAGCAGTAAGGAGGGAGACTGTTGGCAATCTGGGCGACAGTGTCGCCCACTACAGAAAGGCTTTTAAGGCATGGTGTTCTGGTCGCCATATGCGATACCAACAGCTAACACTGTTGCAGCTCGATCCCGCAGTTCAGACTCATTACAAGAACAAACACTTCCCAGCCTCCGCCTTCCCTGCGCCCAAACCCAAACCTACCGACACGAACCCCTCCAATGCGTCTGCCACAGTACCCAACACTGCACACCACTCGCTAACCGGCCTCTCCTCGTCCGTCACTGATCTCATATCCTCTTTTGCGACACTGTCCATTCCTGGTGAAGAAGCGCCCACCGACCTCTCCCCCGCGCCACCGTGTCCCATCTCTGAACTCCCCGAAGAGCTGCTCGCAGATATCCTTTTATACGTGGCAATTGATGATGTTGCGAGGTTTGCGCGTCTCAGTCAAGTTTGCAAGCGCATGGCCTATCTCGTCATGACCGAGGATCGGGTGTGGCGACGCATTGCGCTTGGACAAGAATTCGGGTTTGCAGCTATGCACTACAAATGGGCATGCAAGCTGGACGGGTCGCCAGAAGAAGAAGAAGACGAAGAAGGTAGCGGAGAAGAAGGGGGACGAATGCTTTCCAGCTATCTTCCTCCTTCAGATGCACTCCCAGAGGGAATTGACGAAGAAGAATGGGAAGAGCTAGAAATGGCACGCCTCGCGAGTGCCGCCTTACACACGATTCCTCTGGTTCCATCCAAGTACGCCAGCTACAGGACGCTATTCCGGCAACGGCCCCGAGTCCGCTTCAACGGCTGCTACATCAGCACCGTGAACTACGCGCGGCCGGGCGCAACGCAGTCGAACACGCTGAACTGGGCCACCAGCCCCGTCCTCATCGTCACCTACTACCGCTACATACGGCTGTACCGGGACGGCTCGTGTATCAGCCTGCTCACAACCGCAGAGCCCAACGAAGTCGTGCCCTACCTCGACAAAGAACAAGCGCTCGCCAACCGCGGGCACCGCAGCCACCTGCCGCAGGCGGTAATGAAAGACGCGCTGCTCGGGCGGTGGCGGCTCAGCGGGCCCGAAAAAGCCGCGCTGCCGGACGCGGGGGAGCTCCTGTCCGGCACAACGACAGCGACGCCGCACGCGCACTCGGACGTCAGGACGTGCGACCGCCCCGGCCCCGCAGAGGCAGAGGGCACCCTGCACGTCGAGACCGAGGGCGTCACGCCAAAGTACATCTACCGCTCCGTGCTCGCGCTGGCCAGCGCCGGCCGCCATGCCCGGAACAACAAGCTCGCGTGGCAGGGCTACTGGAGCTATAATCGCCTGACGGACGATTGGGCCGAGTTCGGCCTCAAGAACGATAAGCCGTTTTATTGGTCGCGCGTTAGGAGCTGGCGGTAGGTTGGTTGGTCGGTTGGTCTGTCTGGCTGTCTGGCTGGCTGATGGCGAGGCGAGCAGTGGGATCCTCGGCGTAGGTAGGTAGGTAGGTAGGTAGGTAAGCAAGCTTTTGATGGGATTGGATGGGATGGGATGGATGGGTTTCTTTTCCATTAATGATGGGGACTGTGTATGCTTTCATTTCTTCTGAGGGGGAGTTCAGACGTATGGACGACCTCCGCGATAGACTGGGTAAGAGAGTATGGTACATATACATATATACACGTACAGCAGGATATGAGACATGTAGGTTAGATGAAACCGCATTATAGCTGCTTGCAATCAGACACACACACACACACACACACACACACACACACACACACACACACACTTGTCAGCGAGACGCCGCCCCGCCGCAGCAGCGACCTATGGAAGCAAGTCCGCTGTAGGTACTTTTTAAACAACGAGAACACGGGAAAAAGGCAGGCACAAGGGAGAGAAAAGCACCCAAACAGGATACTCCGAGCCCATTATTCCGAGAAGCATAGGCACTCCCACTCCAACACAACACGCCGGCACACGAAGCATCATCTGCTACTGCTACACCCCACCCACCCCACCACCCCCTACCTACCCACTCCCGACACTCCCGCCCCGACTCCCCAGCCCGCCATTCCCCTCCTCCTCCTCCTCCTCCTCCTCCTCCTCCTCCTCATCATCATCACCACCACCAGCACCACCCCATCCCACCCGCCCAACCCTAAACACATCGGCGCACCACTCAGCAAACACATCCGGCTCCCACACCTCGTCGACGCGGCCCTTGCCCTTCCCCCTCGCCGCAGCCGGCACAGCGCCGACGCCGGATTGCTGCACCACGTCATCGTAAAACGCCTCGTACGCCGCGACGACGTGCTCCATGACCGCGGCGACGAGGGTTTCGCGCGTGCGCGCATCCTCAATATACGCGTCCAGCTTGGCCCTTAAGAACGGGACCTCGCGCTGCGCCGCGGCCTTTGTGTCCGCCAGCCCGGCCAGCGCATCAAAGCCCTTCTTGCCGGCCTTGGCGCGCATGGCCACCACGGGCGCAGCGACGCGGCCGGCGACCCCGTTTGTAAAGTCGTTGATGACGGTGCGCAGGCGGCCGTCCAGCTCGCTCTTGGCGTCGAGCATGTTCTCGACGACGCGGGGGATGAGGCCGCCGCCGACGAGGCGCGCGAGGTTGAACGGGTTGAAGAGGCCGCCGCGCTCGCGCAGCTCCCAGAACGTGTGCGTCATGGATGAGAAGTCGAGAGACACGTCGTGCGAGATGTATTCGATGTCGAAGGCGACGATTTGCTGCTTTAGCAGCAGGAGGTGCTTGAGCAGGAAGAGCTGCGCGTCAGTTGGTGAGGCGCGCGGCGCGATGAGCGTCGAGGCGTGGTAGAGGGAGAGGGTCGTTTGGTGCACGATTTGGTGGGCGAGGTCGTCGAAGACAGTGGACTGTGCGTTGTGTTAGTAGGACCCGTAATCAAGGAGGAGGGAGGTTCTTGGATTGCATACGTTGACGAGGCGGTAGATCTTGCTGAGGAGCCAGATTGCTTTGCGGAGGGTTGGGTACCAGTTCCTGAAGGCGGAATCGGCACCGAATGCCCAACGGGAATCAGCGTCTTCGCCCTCCGCACCCATTGGCTCGCCGAGTAACAGAGAGCTATTCTGTCCTTTCTTTCCCGATAGCACTGGTCCAGAAGGTTTGGCGCTGGATGTTGAAGTGCGTTGGTTGCGCGCCGGGTAGTCCAAATCTTCCGGCTTCGGCTTGAAATACTCAATCTCGTCCCGCAAGATTGCCAGCGCGAGGAAGATCAGTCTGGCTTGGGCGTCTTCCAGCGCGGGATGGATGAGATGAGAGAAATTCAAGCGCACGGTGTCGTCTAATTCTGCCTCCTCTTCCTCTTCCTCCATGTATCGAGTCTGGATCAGAGTGCACAGCTCGCAGAGCTTTACCAGCTGCGTCTCGTGGATGGTCCGCGGACGCAAGTAGTCATAAAACGGCTCCATCATGCCCTCGAGGAAGTCATAGAGGCCGCCTTCGCCCTCGAACCACTCTCCCCACAAATCATACTCGTCGAGACATATACCGCGGATATAGCCGATGCTGCTCCGGGCAAACGATACCAGGTCCTTTGATGAGCTGGGCGCCAAAGAAATCTCTTGCAGCTTCTTTGCAATCAATGGAAGAATTAGCCTTCCGCGAGTTGCAGAGTAACTCTGGTACAGCTCGTTCATAAGGCTCTGATACTCCGCTTCGGCGTCAGGCTCAGCATTCTCTGGTAGGACGGCTCTCTTTTGTATCTCCAGACCCAGTGTCTTCAACTCCGCGGCGCCCACCCGGAATTTGGCGTATAGCAACGCAGACATGGTCGTGTCGTTCAATTGCCTGTCGGCTATGCGCTTGGACACGTCGGCCGCGATCTCGCGCAGAGCATTGGTAAAGTGGACCCGAATCAGAGTAAGAGCTCTAGTAAGCAGCAAGCGGTACCGAGACCGATAGGTCGCCGCTTCGCGATGGTTGGGATGCGCTTGCATGTACTCCAGGCACATGTCGAGATTCTCAAGCATCTCCGAAAACTGCCTCCCGCGGACAAAGTTCCCAGCACCAGGAGCGTTGAGTCGGCGCGTGATGGGCTCGAGGTAGTTGTAGTACTGCAGGTTCTCCGTCATGTCATCCGCCAGCTTCGTGATGCGCTTCTGGTCGGTTATCAGGCCCTCGCATTGCGTCTGGAACGTCGTCGTCTGAGCGGCTACGGCCTTGAAGGAATCGGACAGCGAGGAGAGCAGATCCAAGGCGGACGTGGTGCTTTCGAGAAGCGAGTCGAGATGGCGGTGGGTAAGGTGTAGCTGGTCGCGGTAGAGCCTGGGGGCACATCAGCATCATTCCGGCCACGTTCCCGCAAGCGGCACAGGGCGTACTGGTACTCGGCGTGGCTGGCGTCCAGCAGGTCGTCGCTGAGGCCATTGTACCACTGGGCAAAATCCAACTCCGTCTTGAGCTGCTCCCTCGACCGGCGCTTCTGCTTCTCCAGGCCGCGCTCCTTCTTGATGTGGGCGCGCACGACGTCGTAGAAATCGCTGTAGCTCTTGGCGCGGCGGGCCACGGTGGCCTTCGGGGGGCCATTGTCCTGCTCGGGCTCTTCGACTATGTCAGGGATGGCTTCTACGGGATCGTTGTCAGCAGGATTGCCCTCCTGTTGCGCGCATCATCAATACCAGACGTACCCATGAGCTGGGAGTTGGCTTACGTTGGGCTGCTTGAGCAGCGAGACGCGACGGCGGTGCGTCTTGGGCTTCTCGGGCACCTGGAGATGCTCGGGGACCAGGGCATCGTAGACATCGTACATGGTTTGCGGCACTCTCGGGGCTCAGTGAAGTTCCACGGGGCAAGACGGGAAGGACGGAGGAGCGCTGGACAGGGCTTGCGCTAGGCCCGATGAGCGAAAATGTTCGATGACATCGACACAGGTAGATAGCTATTCACGCGCGGGGTAATTACTCTCTATATAGGTATATCTCCCCATCTACGCGCTCCCTCTACGCGCTCCCTCAGCAATGCTCCCCTCGCGCTGCCTGCGCCGCGCCGCCGCGCCTAGAAAGCCGCCCACCACCCCGCGCAAACCATTTCCCCGCAGCGTCGCCGTCATCACCGCCATCGGCTCCGTCGCCGCCTTCTACCAGTACCAGTCGGGCGGCCGCATCCACCGCAATGTCTACGCCGAGGCCCACGCCCCCGCCCCCCGCTTCGAGAAGCACTACCGCGTCGGCGCAACCCCCGAGGAGACGCGCGACATAATCAGCTCCCAGCACCTGCAGGTCAAGCGCAGCTGGGAGCATCCGGGCGTGTACGCGTGGGGCTCCAACACCGGCAAGGTCGTCGCGCCAGACTCGGACGAGCAATTCGTAAAAACCCCGCGCCGGATTCCTTTCTTTGACGGCGTGCTGCTGCGCGACATTAAGCTGGACCGCTCCTTTGGCGCTGCTATCAATGAGAAGGGAGACCTGCTGCAATGGGGCACTGGGTTTGACAAGGAACACTCCCAGCCCGCTGTCACGCTGCGCGGCAAGGACTTGAGGTCCCTCGTCATCAGCCGGGACCGCATCATTGGCCTCAGCGGCAGCGGTAATGTCTACTCGGTCCCCGTGGCCAAGGCCGAGCAGGAGAAAGGCAACAAGCCCTCCGAGAGCTCGTGGGTGCCCTTCCTCTCTTCCACCTCTCCCATCGCCTACCGCACTCTTGAGCCCAAGAGCCTTCCCTGGGGCGAGAAGGTCTCCGCCCTGGCCGGCGGCCTCGAGCACGTCCTGCTGCTCACAGACAAGGGCCGCGTCTTCTCCTGCGCCGCCAGCGACTTGGACTACCCCTCCAAGGGCCAACTCGGCATCCCCGGGCTGAGCTGGAACACGCGGCCCGCGGGGCCCTACGACCAGCCACACGAAGTGTCGACGCTGCGCGGCTTTGACATCTCCAGGATCGCGGCCGGCGACTTCCACTCCCTTGCCGCGGACAAGGACGGCCGCGTCTTCTCCTTCGGCGACAACGCCTTCGGCCAGCTCGGCTTCGACTACGACGCCGACGTCCCGTTCGTCGACTCCCCCGCCCTGCTCCCCGTACAGGCCCTCTACCGCGGCACCGGCCTCACGCCGCGCGTCACGGCCATCGCCGCCGGCGGCCGCAACACGTACTTCACGGTGGACGCGGCGCGGGCGGCAACAACGACCCCGACGTCCAACCCCGCCGACAGCAGCAACAGCCTCGCCGCGCAGCACCAGCGCCGCCGCACACCCCCCGTCACGGCCGACACCTGGGCCTGCGGCCAAGGCATCTACGGCGGGCTCGGCAACGGCCGCTGGACGCACATCCAAGGCCAGCCGGTCAAGATCCCCTCGCTGTCCGCGCTATTCGAGTACTCGGAAACGCAGAACCAGACGCTGCCGATCCGGCTCGCGCGCCTCAGCGTCGGCGCCAACCATGCCGCCGCCGTCATGGCCAACGAAGCGCACGTGGCAGCGGGGCCCGCGGCCGCCGGCGCCTCCGTCGCAGACACGAACTGGGGCGCCGACGTCGTCTTTTTCGGCGCGAACCAGCACTTCCAGATCGGCACGGGCCGGCGCAACAATGTCGCTGTGCCGACGTATTTGGCGCCGTTGGACCACGCGGCCGAGAGGCGCGTGCGTGGGAAGGAGGAACATCGGCTGCAGATTACGCCGCGCTGTCGGGTTAGGGTTAATGGCAGGAGCGTGGATTTGGAGCAGCGGGTTGAGTGTGGGAGGGAGGTTACGGCGGTGTATTCGGGGGTTTGAGGGCGCGGGTGTGCGTGAGAGAGAGAGTGTGTGTGAGTGTGAAAATGAACGGATGTACGGACGGACGGACGGACGGACGGAGTCTTCTGCTACTGCTGCTACATGCATGCTACTGCGTATCTTGGAGCGGCGTTTGGATGTTTGGATGGCTAGCTAGTTCTTGGGCTTAGTACCTACCTAGGTAGGTAGCTGGGTAGTCGGGAAGCGGGGGCAGCGCCGGGAACCAAAAAAGGTGACAAAACGAGGAGGGAAAGGAGGAGAAAGAGAAGGAGACGACGATGGCGTTCATGCATGCCTGTATAATACCTACCTCTCCGCCACACAAGGCCCGAAAAAGCACGTTTGCTACTTATACGATATATATACATACCATGTCCAACTAACAAAACACATGAAGCTCTCACACCACGACCCCTGACCCCTCCCTCCCTGCTTACCCTACCTACCCCACACACACACACACGCACGCACACATCCATGATCCCGACTAGACAGTCGTAGGCAGACCGCCAACCGCCCCGCCCCGCGCCACCTCGCGCCCCACGTCGTCCCGCCCGGCTCCAACAGGCGGCCCGCTGCCACTGCCAACGGAGCACCCTAGCTAGCTAGCTAACCACCTAGCTAGCCAGCCACGTGGGCGGCTGGGCCTAGCCATGCCTACCTTGTCTAGTCATAGAGAGAGACAGCAGGTTAGAGTTGGACTAGGCTACCCTGCCCTATCCTACCTTACCCCACCGCACACAGTCGACCTCACAGCACTCATCTCCAGTGTAGCAAGCAGTAGCAGTAGCGTATTCTTATCTTATCTCGTTTCATCTGCATCCGCCTCGCGGCGTATTCGTAGATATCGGCGTCGTACGTACGTGGTAGTTAGTTTGCTTTAGTTTAGTTTAGTGTAGTCTCTTAAGTACGTCGTCTCAGCGTCGTCGCTTCTTGTCCTCGTGCCATGCCATGCCAAAACCCCACCAACCCGTCCTTCCAACCTGATCCAAAACCCCCACCCAACCGATCCCATTCATCATGGCTCGTCTCCGCTGTCTCGCAAAAGCAGCAGGCAGCCCAATACTCCCATGCCGGCCCATCCGGCCCAAACTGGCCCAAAAAAAAAAACGCCCGTCCAAATGCCCCGTCATTCGTCCCAAAAGCCAAAAATTATCAGCGTCTGAAGAAAGGTATCCAAAAAAAAAAAGAGGACAAATAATAGCAGGCAGCCACCGCCGTCTTCATAGCGCCAGTGTGTGTGTATGTGTGTATGTGGTTTTTGTGGGTATCCCGTGTGCATGCGATGCGATGCGATGCGGTGCTGGCGGCAAAGAAAACGACGCGGCTGCAGAAGTAGAAGAAAGGGGTATTCGGCGCGCTGTGCGGATGCAACAGGACGGAAAAGAAGAAAAAAGAAGAACAAGCAGACAAGGTGGGTATGCCCTGAAAGACCAAGAATAACGGGCGAGGGGAGAAATGAAGAGAAGGCAAAAATCCACGCAATGCCGAAGAAAGGGGATGAGAGCCGCCCATTGTCGATCGGTCGCTGCTGTAGTATGCACAAGTCTGCAACCAACCGGCTCAATCCGCGTCCCAGTCACGAGCTCGTCGAGTTATCTCTCGTCATGCCCGGAACCGTCGTGTCGATCATTAAGCTCGCACGTCTCGCGCTCAGTCGCGGTCCGTGAGTTTGTCCAGCATCACGATGCTGAGAATCATGACCAACAGGCCAATCGTAACAATTATGAGTAGCACGAAGCCGAACCAGCCGAGCACCATCGCCGCGGTGCCGACGCCGCTCTTGATGCTGCCGTTGCCCAGGTCCTGCGTTATCGTGGCCGCGGCTACCGACGCCGTGTGCTGCCATAACACCGACACAAGAACGAAGATGGACGAGATAAAAATCAAGGCGAGTGCGATCTGCGAGACTGGACGCGAGGGGAAGGGCTTGACGTCGACTTCGGAGCCTTCGGCTGTTTCTTCCTCGTGCCAGCCCGGGAAGGTGGCGAGGAGAATGAAGGTGATGAAGGCGAGGATGACGGCGACGATCCTGGCTTATGTCAGATTTTGTTCTTGTAATTACTAGAAAAAGGAATGTTCCGGTGACTTACAGCAGGTACGGGAAAATGATGCTGTCCTTGAAGGTGCTGGCGACCCAGACAATGTTGAGCGGGTCCTGATCGACGTTGATCTGCTCCGCAAGTGCCGTCGCGTTGTTGGAGCACAGGAACGAGCCACCGTTAGGATTGACGCAGACTCCAAAGTAGCCGACACGCACTTCCATGACGGCGCGGCCAACGATGTTGGAAATGGCGGCGGTGACGCCCGGGTCTACTTGCGCTGGATCATACGTCGGCGTGTACGATTGGTAGTACATGCTGATTAGGAAGATGCCGGGAATGAGAGGAGAGGTACTTGAGCAGCCAGCCAGTAGAAGGGCTGGTTGTTCCATTAGCATTCACTAATGGAGGATCATGGTGCTACGGTGGACTCACAGAGAAGGATTATCGCGATGGCAATAAGGATCATGAGAATGTGGTGGTATCCCAAGAAAGGCAGCAGCCCTGGGGCCGAATGTCAGCATGTTGTTACCGTGGCACTTGAGGACTAGTTGGCTTGACTTACTTTGCATGGTCACCGCGAACCGTAAATTCGCCATGGCGCCAGTCGATATGCTGTCACGACAATGACTTTGTTCTTACACGAGGTAGATAGCGGGCAGGAATGCTTCCAACGGCTCCCGAAGGGCCGGGAAATTCTTGGAGGGCGTGGTATGTTACCACTGGCAGCGACAGCAGAGAAACAAGACCCAAGGGCTAAGACCTGGGTGCCGGGTGTGGAGAATGCGGGGCTCGTGAAGATGGTGTGGTGGTTGAGCGGCAGCGGAATGCGCACGCAGTGGTCAGAAGAAGGCGCGCGTGGTGGTTGTAGCGTGGTGTTGTTGTTTTGTGCTGGCGGCTGGCTTTGTCTTGGCAACAGCTGCAAGGCAACACGACGCCGTTTGTCTTGCAGAAGCGATTGATAGCGAAGAGAATGTTAGAGAGCAGAGAGGACGCAAAGAGAAAAGGGTTCAGGCAGCTTGCCGGGCGTGATGCTTGAAATTCAGGTGGTTGACAACTCCCAGCCACATTTAGTGTTCCCAGCCCCCTCCCTCCAAGCAACTGCCTGCCAGCTCGTCATGATCGTGACCTGGGGTTGCGCCCGGACCACTCGACGCCCTTCCCGCTCGGCGGCTAGGCCCCGCCCGACCCTGGCGCCGTCTCCCGCAGACACATCATCCCAGACTCTCCCGGACCCTTTGGCTGCCGTCGAACCTCGCTGCTCTTCGCGTGCCCAGAGCCCAAGTCGTCTGGCCAAGGAACGCGCCCTTGCAGCTGCCGTTGTCGCCGTTTTCTTCTTACCACTACCGGCCCGCATCCCGCTGATAGATTGGGCTGCCACGTCGGGCGTGGCGCAGTTTGTCGAACCCAGGCTGAGCCGCTCACCGGTCCGCACCACTGCCCTTCAACGATCCACATCCACATCCCTGCAGCCTTCAAGGATGTGCAATCTTCAAATGCTTTGACCAATAGGCAGCACAGATCACTTGGCAGCATGCATAGTAAAAGTAGACGTTTGTTCAAAGAGAAAAAGTTTATTGGACTTCTTAGGTCGTCAAGTTGGTATCATAGACTAGATAAACTGCCCGAGAGGGTCAGGGAAAAGTAGCCTGGGTCGTGAATCATGTTCCATCTCCATCACCCATTTAGTGCTTGTCACCGAGGCCAACGGCGTTCTTGGCCTTGTCGACAATCGACTCGCCGGTGCCGCCGTGGACGTGCTCATCCTTGGAGCGGCCGAGCTTGTCGCTAGCCTCCTGGCCGGCAGACTTGGAGTCGTCGGTCTGGAAACCACTGTGCAATGCGTCAGAGGGAGTCCGGTGTGAACGATTCACAGAATGGAAGCTTACCGAGCGACCTTGTCACCGGTGTCGGTGAAGGCCTCCTTGGTCTTCTGCTGGGTGGACTTGGTGGAGTCGGGGGTGAGCTCCTCCTTAGCCTCTGTGAAGTATAAAGGGTTAGCAAAGCTCAGTGATGGTTTAATGAGAGCAAGGGGATGGCGTACTGGTAGAGAAATCCTTGCGGCCGGCGTCAGACATGTTGATTGAGGTGGTTGAGATTTGGTTTGTGGAAAAGGTTGATGAGTGTTTGTGTTGGTTGAGTAGTTGAGAGAGCTTGAGTGATGAGGGGAGAGTAGAAGGCGGAGAAAGAGGAGGCTTTTGTAGGCGTTGAACGGGTCGCGGGGTAAGCGTCTACGTCATCGATCACAAGCGGGTTCGTCGTTGCATTGGGAACGGAACAAGGAAAGCGCGACCTTTGTGAAGGGCTGAGGTCACTTTAGCGGGAAACCTATCATCGCGTCGCCGCTTTCTCCAGGAACGTTCGCAGTCCAGCTTGCGTGTTTGGGGCGGCGGCCAGAACAACGGCGTATGACGTACGTAAATCGCCAATCCCCCTGCAGCGGGCTTGTGCGCACGCGCGCGGAGGATCGCTCCAAGTCCTGAAATCCGCATCACTCGCGGATGGCAATCTTGCTTTGTCACCGATCAACGCGCCTTACGTCGTCTCCTTCACGGCCCTTGCGTCATCGCCTGATCGCCTTTTCTTTCGTCACCGCCACACAAGATGATGCACGCACGCAAAGCACGTGTGGCTGTGTCAGCACTGAGGGGCAATGGAGGGGTAGAGAAAGAGCAGGCCGATGACGAAAGCCCGCCCATCGCATCACCTAGCGCCCCTTAATTCTTGCATCAGGGCCCAGCCCAGTCTCAAACAAGAACACGGATCTCACAATGAGCCTCCCCGCACGCTTCAAGCTAGTCTTCTTCACCCCAGCCTCGGCCCTCCCCGCCGTCAAAGCCGCAATCTTCGCTGCTGGCGCCGGCCGCTACCCAGGCCCAGGCAATTACACCGAGTGCTGCTTCACCCAGCCCGGCATAGGCCAGTTTCGCCCCGGCGCCTCTGCCAACCCCAACATTGGCTCTGTGGGGAAGCTCGAGGAGGTCGAGGAGCTGCGCTGCGAGACGCTGTGTGTAGGCGAGGACATTGCGCGCAAGGCCGTCGATGCTCTGAAGAAGTGAGTCGTGCTAATGTCATGCCGATGGGGAATGATGTGCTATGTGGTCCGATGCGTAGATCATGCTGACCATGATGGGCACGCAGGAGTCACCCATACGAGGAGCCCTCCTATGAGGTCTACAAACTCGAAGACTTCTAGAACCGTCGACGGCTGTGCATGCAAGTGGCAATATCAATATGGGTGACGGTCCATAACCATCCAGACCGAGGCATATACACATGATTGATATCCGACTTTCCCTATTCTCCACTCATGACGAAGAGGCATTCGGGTTGCCTTGACGCTCCACAATTCAAACCTCCCACCTCTCATCGAGAAGACGCATCTCCGGCAGTAACAACCAATCGATACCCGCCTCAACGAACTCTGAAACAGACCCTGTGTCCCCAAACCTCGCACACAGTTGCACAACACGAGAACAAACTGACATCAAGAAAAACGCGCCATCCAATAACCGTCCCCCAGCTCAGCCTCGCGACCGCCCACCCAAATACCGCGCACGCACGGCACGCAACAGAAACGCCCGTCTTCTCACGAACCCCTCCTGCATCCTCCGTAGTAGCATGCTGTGGCATAGCATACTCCTAGCACCAACACCTTCCCCCCCTCCTCCAACCAAAGCATCCACCCCATCACCATCTCAAGTTCTCCCACCACTGCCACCATAATCGCACAACCGCAAGCACCTCACTCTCATCCACCACATACATACATACATACATACATACATACATACCCATACCCAAAAGCAACCCCTCTCACAACCTCCACGAGGCCGACTCAAGACTGACAGCACCGCCGCACACAAGTGCGGAAGTAAGCACGCCTCATGCACGCCAAGCATACATACATGCATACATGCAAGCATGCATACACCCATGCACTCCCACCACACTCCCAACCCAACTCTCCACCCTACGTAGCGTCCCCTTCTGCCCTCCGCGCCTCTGCTGTGAATAGGTGCTATGTATCCGAGCGCGGCCTCGTCTGACTTCCTGCCTGCCCTAAAGACCAGGGAGCACGTGCAGTGCGGTGGCATGAAAGCCTGTAATCACGATCATGATCTGCGAGCCCCTTGGGCGTCGTGGCTGAAGGCCCCAAGCCCCGCGTGCAGACAGGGATGATGGCTGCAGCGTGCCTGCGCGAATACGATATGTACATAGACGTGATAGGTACATCGCCCACGAAAACCCATGCACGCGAGCGAGCGAGCATGTAAGCTTGTGATTCGGCGATGAGCGAGAGAAGCTTCGCATGTGGCAGGGAAGCAGACGACAACGACGAGAAATAGACAGACACAAGACACACAAACCGATGATGCAGCACGCGGGGCAAGCGCCGGCTCCGTTGGGGAGCACGGGAGGTACAGGTGTACGGGTACAAAGCTCTCTTTTCTCTCCTACCTAAGCGCACCCGCCTGCCAATCAACCCCCCACCTACTCCCGCGCCCTCCGCACGCCATTCATGCGCCACCCCGCCTTCAGCCCGCCGCCGTTCAGCATGACGCTCCTGCGCGGCTGCTTCTCCTCCTTCTCCGTAATGCGCGCCCACAGCTCCAGGATGCCCGCCCGCCGCGCCGGCAGCATGCTGTACTGCAGGCTGTAGAGGTTCTTGCGGTGGATGGGCGGCACGAAGCGGCCCGTTACCAGGCACAAGAACACGCCTGGCGATATGTAGTGCCGCCGGATCCGGTTGCCCAGCTGGAAGTACTCGTTGAACATGGCGCGGAGGGGGAGCGGCACCGACTGCGTTGTTGTTTGTTTGTTAGCTCGGAGCTGGGGGGTTGCAAGTGCGTCTTGTGTATGTGTGTGGGGTGATGCGTACCTTGAGGATGATGTAGGATGTCGGCGCTGAATTCGATTGTTCCGGTAGTTTGGCGGAACGGGTATCTTGGAGATCGAAACGGATGCCGCCTGGTGTGAATATTAGTTAGTAGATATGTCAACACACTACGACTGGGCTTTAGAACCTACCGGGTAAACGCCTAGAGTCTTTAATGCGAAGCATCAATGCGAAAAGAGGGAAATGATTCAGACATGCAAGAAGGGTATCGAGAACGGCTTTGAGAGTTATTATGGCCATCCTTGCAGATGCAAAAGTAAGGTAGAAAACGAGAACTGTCGGAACCAGGAAGAAGAGCAGCGTAAATAGTATCGTCCCCAGGAGAAGTTGGTCTAGATCGTAATCGCAGGAATCTATGCGATTGCGCAGAACGTTGCGCTTCTTGCCGCGGAAGAGATGAAAGAGGGAGAAGAGAATGCTGAGTTGCCAGTTGAAGATCCGAGCAGATGCAACGTAGAAGGAATATATGTGCAGTGTAAGCACGGAGACCAGGTCAGAGAAAAGGGAGATGGGCATGGTGGCGCCTGCGAAGCTGGAAAAGCCAATGAAGTGAATGATGCCGGGGAGTGCCGGACGTAGCGTTGCCATGCATCCTACAATTCGTCAGTCAAAAGCGGATATCTAACGAGTGGTTTGTACTTACCGGCCCAATAATCAATGACCCATAGAAAGAGGTCTCCAAGGAACGCGGCCAATTCATTGTTCAGTTTCAGACCAGCCGGCCAATCCATAAGCCACGATATCATCCTCCGCAGTCCTTCTATAGACCACTCGCTGAGTACGACGTCTACCTGAGCAGCCACGTAATGGGCGTTCTCTATTATGTATGAGCCTAGAGCAATGCCAATGATGACATCGTTCGCAACCAGCCAAAGGCTGTTGTAGAAGCGGATATATTCCGGATGACTGGTCGTTATGCTCTGCCAGTTTCCCTTTCTCTTCCGCAACGTCAGATACTGGATGGGCCAGTAACAAAACTGTTGCAACCGAATGTCCACTTGCTGCGCCGTAGCGGAGACGTCTTTGAGGGCAGCAGAGTCTGGGAGGAGCCGCCAATCCAGAATCCTTAAAAGCAATTCTCCGGCAATTCTATGCGCGATAAGCCCCAGGATAAAGAGCTGTGCCGCAACAGGGTATATCCAATTGCACAAAACGTGCCAGAACCCGATCAGAAATAAACCCCACAGGGTAGTCGCCGATTCTACGACCCGTTCGCTTACACTCAAAGCTCGCTTAGGCCGAGCGCCTACAAGCCCCTTGTTCTTTTGGACCAGGGCAGCTATCTCGTTGGAGCAGTTAGCCTGGTTTATGATGCTGATGAGAGCCAATTCTTTCTGGCTCGGCGTGTTCCGGATAACAGTGTGCAACTTGAGCTTTTCGACAAGTTTCTGTTTGCGCATCCGCTCTTGTTCTTCCTCTGCATCAATGCCATCTAGTGGCGGTATCCCTCTACCCGCCCGGTCCGGTTTGTCCGCTAGCGCCAGGGAGATTGGTGTCAGAGAGAGATATTGCATACGAGCAGGATCAGGTCGATTGAAAAGAATCACCTGCACAGTTAGGCCGCCATCCTTAGGGCAAAATATCCGCGGGAACCGTGACGACGGAACAGTGTATGCGACCAGCTCCTTCGGATTGAAGACGGTGGGAGCGGTTTCCGGATTTAAACTCCCAAGAACCTGGAGAGACGAATATCCACATCGCTCGAGAATGGTGCTCATGGGGTATGGGTTATTGTGGAAGAGGGTTCCCACGCGCAAGGCATTATCGACTCTTCGTAGCTATGACAAATATTAGCTGGGCCTCGGGGATTGTTGCGGCCTGTCTTACCTCCACATCCTGAAGAACCGTTACAACGAATATATCCAACTCGGAATTCCTCCATCCCACAAGCACGCCGGCGTTCGTTCCGCTTGGCGTATCCGATGGCCAGAAGATGCGCATCAGCCCATTGTTCGTGACCATGTCAACATTCCGTCCCTCTGCTAGAATGATCCTCGTCGCTTCAGCTGCTCTCTTGCCGAGATACCACTTGCTCCGATGCGGGGATGCTGCATGGTTGTCAACTGAATGCTCGTAGCGCGGCAGCAGACAGGCAACGACTGACCTGCTCGCTCTCTTGGGCAGCGATGCGTTCGATGGGTATTATCAGGACGAAGAAGGCTATCGAAAGAATCGCGAAACCTTTGGCTGCACGCGTCTAGACCAATGCTGTCAGTCTACACGGTCTCGGAACGGGACGCGGAGAGGTCCTCACCACAACACCGTGGTCCCAGGCGAATATGGCGAGCTCATACAGTCGCGTCACAAGGTCCCAGCGGGCGGTTGTGTATCCAGCTATGAAGATGCCAAGAGTGAGGACGGAGAAAGGGTGCATGGAGCGGTGGTGGTCGAAGGGACGCGGCGCGCGACAGGAGGAAGGCAGCGGAGGAAGCGGTAGGCCGCGCAGACGCTAACAATCGGGACGCAGGGTATAGAGCTGGTGGGCGAGAAGGGCGGGGATGGGCGCGCAAGACGCCGGCAGCATGGCGAGAAAGCAATGAATGCGATAGCGATTCTGCGCCTTCCGAGGACCGCGCGTCTATCTGGGGTCGATCCGGAGAGGAAGGTGGGTGAATGCCGGGTCTTCTTGGCGCCGCAAACCGCCCTCTCAGTCTTTCCTTTTTTTTTATTTTCTCATTTTCTCACATCTTCCAGCACACCGCGACAGAGAGAGAGGAGAGAATGGGAGCCGCAATCATGTATCAAAGGTAGGTTTGCACGCCCCCTCAGCGCATTGTACTTGGTTTGCTTGCTTGCAGGTCACGCATCGCTCGGGCCGTGATTGGAGCTTCGGCTAGGTAGCCCTTTGACATCCCGGCCTTCCTTTCGCAGCCGCCCATGCACATGACATCCATTCGTCGATATCCTTAATCCCTCCGAAATGCTGACCTGACAGCCGTTTGTAACTACTAGATTACACGACGCGCCCACCATGGCCCTCTGCAGGTTCTTTGCCCAGGGTCACTGCAAGTTCGGCGGTACGCAAATCCTTTGTACCCACTCTCCAACCCTCCGTATTGACCCCGCTGCCAGACCAATGCAAGTTCGAACACCCTGGAGGCCAAAGCCGGGGCAACCAGTCTCGCGGCTATCAGCAGAACCAGAACCAGAATCGCTTCGCCGCCTTCAACAACGCCAATGCTGGCGGCGGCAATAGAGGCAACGGCCGAACTGGTAAGTCTTGATCATCTTTTTACTACTTGTCCATTTCTTTCTTTGTCTTTCCATCCTATCTCTACTAATTCCTAGTCCTGTCCAACTGTATTCCTGCGCTTTGCACGCAAAATCAACATCCTAAAGGATATGCGTAAAATGATTTACTTGATGTATATTTAAAGCTAACCATGTATCAGGTGGGAGGGTAGAGTACAAGTGAGTTCACATAATGCTGCGCGGCAAAGGACTGTCTTCTGAACTCATCCATTAGATACCACCTGGACCCCGAAATTATCAAGGTCGACTTGTCAAACGATCGCCCGATATGGCCTTTCTCTTCCTATGGTCCTGGAAGGCTTGCGCCACGTCAGTTAATTGAAGGCCCCATTTTGGACCAAAGCCCTGAAGAGATACGACTGCAGTTTTATCTGGCTATGGCATCCGGAAATGTCCAACAAGCTGTAAGCAGAGCTACAAGTTAGGTGTCGGCAATTCCACTTACAAATTTTTAGCAAGCCGCTGAGGGGCAACTTTTGAACCAAACAAACCAGCAAATTCAGAATATCTTACGGGATCTGAACGGAGCTTGCAAATACGTTCAAGATGGCGAGAATGTTCATCCCCACCGCGAGGATATATGTGCTCAATCTGTTGGAGTACCGGGAGGATACCAACCGCAACAACAGCAACAACAGCAGCCACCGCAAAACGTTTTGGGATCGACAGGCGGCTCAAGTTTTGGTCAACCTTCAGCATTCGGTGCACCAGCGCAACCGGCACAAGGCGGTGCTTTTGGTCAACCAAGTGCAATGGGCGCTGCAGCGGGACAGCAAAGCGCGTTTGGGAGACCGTCTGCATTCGGAGCCTCTGCAGGCCCGCAAAGTGCGTTTGGTGCGCCATCTGCTCTTGGCGGTAATGCAGCCTTTGGAAAGCCCGCTTTTGGAGCACCTAACAGTTTTGGGCAACCCGCAAGCGCAGCACCAGCTTTTGGACAGCCTTCTCAACCGAGTGCATTCGGGCAGCCGGCAGCAAACGCCTTTGGCGCACGTCCGACTGGTGCTTTTGGGCAGCCTAGTAATCCGGGTGCAACTAGCGCTTTTGGACAGCCTAGCAATCCTGGTGCAACTGGCGCTTTTGGACAACCTAGTAGTAGTGGTGCAGCGGGGGCCTTTGGACAGCCCAGTGGCGTGGGAAATACTGGTGCTTTTGGACAACCCGCACAATCAGCCTTCGGACAACCAGCAGGTTCGGGCTTTAACGCACCGCAACCTGGCGGATTTGGGCAACCCAGTAATCAACAACCTGGAAACGGTGCATTTGGACAGCCTGCAGCCCAGTCTGCATTCGGTGCACCCGCTGCAAATACTCAACCGGCACAATCAAATCCATTCGGCAATCCTGCTCAGCCGGCGGTGTCCAACGCATTTGGTGCTCCAGCCGCTGCCCCGCCCGCGAATCCCTTTGGACAACCAGCAAGCAATGGCTTTGGCGCACCTCAAACCAATGGCATCAGCGCTGCAGCCAGCGGTGGCTTCGGCGGCGGGGACTATATCCAGAAACTGCCCAATGGCAGCCTTGCCAGATTCAAGGGTAAACCAGTCAACTACGACGATGGGATTCCCTTGGTCCATGGCGACGACGGAAAACCAGCGAGGGTATTTTTCCCTGATGGCGCGCCGCAGGAGAACCCGTACAACCAAGCCCTGCCAGGAGCGTACGGGCCCGTATTGGAAGAGGCATACAAGTTCCTGCAACAGCAAGGGACGTTCAAGGATGGGATCATGCCCGAGGAGCCGCCAAAGCACGAGTGGGTAGCGTGGGATGTTTGATCGGGGAGATGGGGTTGAATAGTGCAAGGCGGGATATCCATCGGAGACACGTGGGTGGTGCTCGGCGTTGTGGCTTATCAGCATGGGTATTCGAAAAGCAAGGGGGAGAGAAAGAGCACGAATGTAATGGCTCTGGTTTTGTGCATTTAGACGTCTCGCTGCATGACGGAGCATTTTTTGCGGTAGCATATGGCCGCTGAAATATTTTAGAATTGAAACAAAACCCTTTGCTGCGGTTAAGAGAGCTTGTCCTAAGACTCTGGGTTCTTGATTGCTTTATATGATCCTCCCCCATAGATGACCAGTCCATACTGTGAAATCATCTTAACTGTTGCGTTCCCATACTAAATAAACGGTCACATCTACTTTTTCCGCGGTTCTTCAATAAGAGAAAAAAGTTTATGCGCGCATTCCTTTCCAGACACCTAAAATCCAACCCAAATGGTCTCGCTCTCACATTCGAGCATTTCCAGCACCCCAAACCCCAGCAAAAACATTCTTTCCATGATAGCCCAGCGTACCATTTATAACAAGCACCTACAAATATCAAAAGGTGACGGACGATAGTGTGGCAAAAAACCAAAAAGATGGACACTGTGGGAATTGAACCCACGACCTTTCACAGACACATATTTGTCTTGATTAATGCGAAGCGAAACTTTTGACTGAATTAGTATTTGGTGTTGATTGACTTGGTGTTGTGGTGGTTACTCACATCATACCCCTAGACCAAGTGCCCACGTGATGGTGGGAAGTTTTTTGGCGGCTTGATTTATGTCCTGTAGGATTAAATTTGTATGTCGGGGTTTTGCCGGGGTCCTTGGTAGCGCGGAAGTGTATAAAACTGTGGGAATTCGTTTAGCTAGGTCCTGCACATGTACGCTGCTAAAGGCCACTATTCCATTGGAGGGCACCCCGGCAGAACCCCGGCAGTTGGACGGCCTAAACCTAATCAAGTAATTTCTACGTCTTGTTGGTAAATTGAGTTTGCTTCTCGGCTGCCCTCTCCCATACTCCTTGATCATAGAAATTGTTCCGTGTTGAAGTGCTCCGCGTCTGTCAAGCCCATAAACTGCGCTAAGGATTGCTGTACGAACCGCGTAAATTATGTTCCGCACGGCTCGGTCCGCTTCTGCCGCTGCACCGTGACGCTGCTGGTTCAGGTAAGACCGAGGCAGCACCGGACATGTCTTTTTTTGAACGTCATACAGCACTTAATAAAGACGGAGGCTGAAGGTACTGAAGTAAACTAGGGCGTTCCGTCAAGTTGCAAGCAAATGGGCAACGAATGAAGGCGTATGCCTAGCTACCAGTAAGTCCAGACTGATACGTTTGCTTCTATTCCAGTATTGTATAGACCAGTTCTCAGTCTTGCCATCCGCTAATTCACGAATCTCCGCAACCTTCTTTTCGCCCCAACAATGCCGACACCTTCCCCAGTCTCCTTCTGCAACCAAGGCAAATTGCCCTCTCCTATCTCGGCGTCGTCATCATCGAGTTCAGCACCCACGACTTCACCTTCAGCATCCTCCACTGCCGCTCCGCTGCCTGCTTGTTCTTTCTTTTGCTTCGCCGCCTTCTTCTGAGCTGCTAGATGCAGATCCTCTAAATAGGCCCATCCCGGCGTGTCCAAGTTGCCCAGCATCAACACTGTCCGCTCCGGCCGCAGCTCTTCGATAAGATGATCGTTCGCATTCGGGCTTATGATATGCAGTGTTTGAGTTTTGACATCAATACTGCGCACCAAAGCCAACCCGATCAACCGGCAGGTTCGCGGGTCAAGAGGTTCCATCTGGCCCTTCCCATCACGGGATACGAGGTAGGGTAGGTTTTCATCTGGAGTACGTGCAATGTCGAGACCGGAAGCGGCGAGTACAGTCTCAGACTCAGCATCCAGCACCGCTATACCAATTATGGCACCGTTGAGGATATTTGATAGAGTGCAGGGTGTGACGGCTTCTCCGAGAGCCATAATCCCAAGGAAATCGCACCCGTTTTCTCCATATTGCAGGACGTACGGCCGACGACCAGAGAGAGGAGTTGCGTCCCAAGTCTGGAATGGATCGCGTTGCTTAGGCGCCCCCAGATGAAAGTAGGACATCATTTGCATGTCCCGAAATTCGGCTGCTGTTCTTCCCGCAGCATTCGGACCTGATGGTTGCGCAGTAAGGATGTGCATGCGGGCTTTCTTGGTCGTGCTAGCTTTGGAAAGGGCATCGAGAGTGCGACCAGCTTCTTCCGTAGTATAGACTACATCGGTAATATCCAGTTGTTCGAGGAGCTGGAGTAGTATCGTCAGGCCGGTCCCGACAGTCCAGCCAGCTGAGTTGATCACTAGAGGTCCATACGTTGCGTCGGCGTCAATATGTTTTTGATAAGTCTTCATCAGATCAAGAACGCAATCCACATAGTGCTCTGGATTGTCTTTAGGGCTGTTGGCACCAATAAAGTGCGATCGGATCGTGCGCTGATGTAAGCCAGTGTTCGCACTGGGATGAACCAATGGCGGGCCAAGAACGGGCTGCTGTAATTCAATCAGAGACACTTGGCCAGGAGGCGCATACTCAGGCTGACCTGGGTCGATATCCAAAAGAAACACAGAGTGGTCGTCTGCTTTTAGTACGTCTCGATCGACAGTAAACATCCGGTTTAGCAGCATCCTGCTAAATGTTGATTTGCCTGATGATTTGGGTCCGCAAACCAGAACTCGGCTGACAAGTCTTTGACCTGGAGGTGAGGAACAAATCTTGTCCAGAGGCTTTTGCCATTCAGACGGTGTCTCAAGATGGTAAAGTGGTCTACCCAATGGATCATCTGAAAGTTTGTGGATCTGCAGGTCTGCCGTCAGTCAATACACTCAAAAGAACAGCACAACACTAGGATATTAGAAGTAGCATCGAGGTAGGATACCAAGCAAAACTCACATTATCAAATGACCAATGTAGCTTATCATGTTGCAGTGAAGATTTTGAAGCCGGTAATGCCGCTGTCGTATTCGCTTTCCATAGACGACCATAGAGGGGTGAGAGATTTTCCAAAGAACCAAGTTCCAAGCGAACGCTCTTGAGCTGGACTTCAGAGCCATCTGGCGATAAACATCTTATAACAGGAAGAGCATGACTGGCCGGAGCAAGTATTCTACGAGTTTGTGGACCTGCTCTGAGTATTGCTCCATAGAGCATAACAACACCCTTTGTCACTACCAAATCATATTGACCTAGTATTGCAATGGTTTGACCAGATTCTAGACGAGCGGTCATCCCATTTTTGCTTCGCTTGAGAACGTTTCCGGCCTTGGGCGTCCAGGTGGATACTTGCACACTTGGAGGCACGTAGACGGTGTCAATGTTGGTCTGAGGACCTAAGACGCTTTTAAAACTTGGGTCATCACCCGGTCTTGGAAGATAGTCTGGCTCATAGCTATCGGCGCTGTCATCGCTGTCTTGCGCTGCCAAGCTGGCTTCAACTCGAATCTTTTGCTCTCGAGCCCTTTTCAGAGCCTCTGCCGCAGACACTTGCTGTGTACTCGAAGAAGAAACACTGTTATCCGATGATGTCTCTGAAGTTACAGACACAACAGATGCTTGCTTCCGAGCTCTTAGTGCGGCTGCAGCACTCAAAGGCGCAGCTGTACAGGTTTGTCAGGCGAATCAGATCATAGACATTTGCGCCACCAGTATGACATACGCGCAGGTTGAGAAGCCTGTTGAACAGACCTATGATCGAGCTTCCGCCTTTTTGTCATGCTCAAAGTAGCGATGTTGAGTATTGAAGATCAAGTCACGTTCTGGGATGAAGTTTTGGGCCAGTGATGCCAAGAGATTAGATTAGCATGGTGATCTCCTGTCACCGCCTTCGGAGGAAGAGCGGACGAAAAGGGCCGAGCCCTAGGGACGAGCATCACTCGAAAAAGTTTCTGGACGCGCGCGTTCTGAATTGTCCAATCGCACCACACAATTCACGATGGCGAAAGTAAAGACGACGCGCGTGCCTTTGCCAGGCGAGAATCCGAAAAAGGCCCCCAAGGTCGACGAGACAGCGCGCAAAAACACGAAACCCGTTTCTGGAGAAGTTATTGTCGAAAGCGACGATGCCTCGGATAGCGACAGCAGCAGTGGACGTAGCGCTGGCTCCACCAGCGACACCGAGAAGCAAAAGAACACGAGGAAGCCGAATGTGAAGAAGGTCAAAAAGACGGAGGTCGCGAGCCCGTCCGTGCCGAGCGACGAGAGTAGCGAAGAGGAGAGCGGGAGCGAAGAGAGTGAGAGCGGCAGCGACAGTAGTAGCGAAAGTGGCAGCGAAGATTCCAGCAGTGAGAGCGAAAGCTCGGAAGACGAGAAAGCTACATCACAGTAAGAAGACACAGAAAAGCAGCTCTTGCTGAGCTAGTACTGACTGTACTATAGAGCTCCTGCTGCTGCTGCAAGGGTACATACTACGCAACTCCGTCCTGCGAAAGCATTCGAACCGCCTCCTGGCTTCAAGGCCACCGATTTCCGCCCTAATCCCTCTTCCAATCTCTCCAAAATATTGTCGTCCAACCTTGAAAACAAGCAACTATGGCACATCACCGCACCGTCTACTGTTCCCATCAAGCAGATAAAGGAATTCGCACGTGGAAAGGCTATGGGCAAGGAAACCGTAATACAGCATGGTGGAGTAGACTATGGGTTTGTTCCACAGGAGAAGGAAACGCAAGTCGCGACGAGGCTCATGATACCCACCGACCAAGGCTACGTAGCTGGTATGTTTCGTGTCTCCTTATAATATGGGCGAAATTTACTAATCTGGCCGAATGCAGTTCCAAGCGATTTCGCAGAGACACTCCACCTGCAGGAAATCATCCACCTTCCCAACCTTTCCAACAAACAATCCGACCCGGCGCGTGGCTCAGATGCCGCTGCAAGCTTCACTGTACCTGCTGCGAAGCCCATTAGACAACAACCAAAGGGCCTGCGCATGCGTTACAGGCCGTATGGAGCTGTTGACACAGAGGCTGGAGTTATTGGATCGTCGGACAGTGAAGGGGATGAGTCGCTTCAAATCCGTCCAAAGAGGAAGCACGAGGGTATTGACGGCACAGAGGCAGCGGCTAAGAAAGCCAAGAAGGACAAAAAGCACAGGAGCAAAGAGGCAGAAGCTCCAAGCACGGGAGATGCCATGGAGATAGACAGCGAGGTGCCCAAGGGCTCAAACGATTCGGAAAAGAAGAAAAAGAAGAAGGACAAGGAGAAGAAGGAGAAGAAGGAGAAGAAGAAATAGCTGTACTGTACAGTGAGCGTGTGTGAGAGTGTTGATGGCTCTGGACGGATCGTATACCCGTCAAAGCGTACAGGCGTCTGCATTGGTTTTAAAATGGTTGCTTTCGGCAGTGAAAGGGCGTAGGCAGTGGGCGTCAATCGAGATAAATAGCTATTGCTGCACAATGACATTGAATGGCCTAGTGAACACAGTAGTCGACCGTTGGACAGGGCTAGGCGTGGGATGGCGCAGATCGGTGCTGATCCGCCAAGTCCGGCAATCACCATGCCGCGGCAAGCCCCCCGGCCCAGTTGTTTTGATGCAGCATCGACGAAAATATCCACACCAGAGACCATAGCAACGGCCTCGGCGACGAAGCTCACATCTTCCGCATCTTCAGGGTCTGTTTCTCTAACAGCACCGCCGATCCTTACTCTGTACAGCGCCTACCCCATCCCGCACATACCTCCGCAAACACTTTGTTTGGCACCCCCGACAGCGCGACGACCACCCATCGCGCGCCCCTCCCTGAATTTGAAGGCCCAAGATTAACACCCAAATCCGCTGCCACTTGCGCACCGCCCATCTCCGACCAACATCTGTGCGCGACAACATACAACAGCGCCGCCTGCCCCCCAAACCTCCACACGCCGACTCGCCGGCTTGACGGCGCCCCAGAGACGCTGAACCCAGCCGCCGCCCCCCAAACCCCGCTCGACGCCCGCCGCTAGCCACTTCGCATGGGCTCCAGATGGCTCAGAACACTCAGGAGGACGAGGACATGCACGCGTTCGACCAGTCGGACACCGAGCTGCCACCATTGCCGTCGGACGACGATGAAAGCTTCGTAGGAGTGCACCCGCCCAGCGATGAACCTGTCCATAGCGAAGGAAGCGTTTTCATCGAGCGGGAGATGCAACGCAAACTTATGGACATTGAGTCGAGCTTCCTGCCAGATCCTGCAGAGGCCGGCAATGCTCCAGAAGCGTCCGCGGGGGCAGATGATACCTACGTTTACGGGGATTCGGGCCGCAATGCTGGACACCAGCCTAATACAAGCCAGGAGCCCCCGGGAAGTGCTGGCAACAACGAGTCTCACAGTGAGAGCACACGTGCGCAAGACGTGGCGTTGCCAGACTCACCGCCCACCCCAGATGGAGCGTACAAGACGCCCGCGCCCAATCCAGCGACCTACGGTGAGCAGCAGAGCGATGGAGAATACCAAGAAGGGGATACGTCTTTCGAAGAGCCTGCGCCTTCCTCCCCTTCTGCGGCTGCAGCACGGCGGACTAATGCGCGAGAGTCGTCGGCAGACTCAAAGAGGAGTAGGCCGACTGAACCGGCCATTGAGGTCACTGATGAGGATGCCGCAAAAGACCACCAAGAACATGAGGTCCAATCTCCGCAAAGACCTAAATCAAGCTCTACCAGACCAACCTCAAGCGCGTCCACTGTGAAGGCTGGCTTAGGCGTGCCGGACACGTCACATGGTAGATTCGAAAGAACATCAGGCCTGAGTCCAACAAGGTCGTCAGCATCGTCGGATTCACGCAGCGCCTCCAGCAGAACTTCCAGTCTTGTTCGCAAGAGACCCAGCTTCATGAGGAGTGGCAACGGAAATGGAAGCCAACGCTCGTCGGCATCATCCTACGCAGCTCGGTCAGAGTATTCGAGCGACGGTGAAAACAACCATCTTGGTGCTGATTATGCGCTACAATCCGGTGGTGCTGTGCCCGGTTCCAGCCAACGGCACAGCAGAGCTGACCTTTCGCGTTTGCCAAGCCTGGGGAGCGTAGTGTCATCGATTTCCGGACAGAGCGATGGCAGGCCGCCTTTCGAACGCTCAGGGAGCAGCACCATCAGTGCCCTCAGTGGGTTTGCGGGTCACCATAACTTAGAACGTTTGGATGAAGAACCGCGACCTCGAACAAGCTCTCCTCCTACCACTCCTCGTCCGTTCAGTTCCGGAACTCAGGGACCTGTGGATACTGTTATCGCCAACCATGTACGGAATATCCGTGTCCCAGATACCGTGGCCAAAGAATATCGAGAGAAACATGGAGAGCGCTCCCCAGATAGGAAGTCCGCGTCAACTAGTGCGTTCGCGTATAGTAGTCGTACCAAACACAACCTCACTCTGAAGGAGCAAAACAGCAAAATCGACAAGCTCAGTAAGGAAAACTTTGACCTGAAGCTAAAAATCCACTTCCTGGATCAAGCGCTACAGAATCGTTCGGATGAAGGCGTCAAGGAAATGATCTCAAAGAATGTCCAACTCCAAACTGACCTTGCGACGGAGAAAAAAGACAACCAAAGTCTGAGGCGCAAGGTCCGCGACCTTGAGCGCAAGCTGAAGGCTCAGGAGGAAGGCCTAGCCGCAGCGAAGGCAACATCGAGTGGATCGGACGACGCGAAAAGCAACCGCTCATCCGGCCAAGCTGAGATGGAAGAGGAGATCACATACTTGCGCGAATGTCTGCAGCACTCGGAAGTTGAGAACGAAAAACTTCGCGAGGAGGGCCTTGCCAAGGAGGTGGAGAAGAGACGAATGGCTGAGTACGTCAAGTCTATGGGTGAAAGGAGGAACTCTGAGCCCACAGCAGCTGTTGAGGAGGCAATGGAGATGTGGAAGGACCTACTCGAAGCAGAAACAGCGCGTCGTGAGCAGGCCGATGAGGATGCTCAACGTCTTCGAGAAGAGGTCCGTCGTCTGAAGAGTGAGACTTCGTCACAAGGCGGGAACAACAGTGCTCGTAACTACAACACGAGCAGACCGACCCGCATGCCCTACGCACGCTCGCAATCAGGATCTGATGGAACAAACGACTACCGTCCTGGCACTACTACTACGGACAGTAGTGCGACTCTGGTTGAACAGCTCAAGCACGAAAATGCCGAGTTGCGCAGAGATCTGGGTGCTCAAACCTCCATGCTTGTCTCTAGGAACCGCGAGAGGGAGCGTCTGCAACAGGAAATTGAGGAACTGAAGTTGTCTCAACGTAGAGGCGATAGAGGTGAGGGTGGTAGGTCTGTAGCTGGAGACAGCATCTTTGAGCGATCGATATCCCGCGCCAACAACCGGCCGTCGTCTAGAATGAGTGCAGCACACCGGTCGGTTGCCGAGTTGACAGATGCGGAGCGGGATGAGTACGAAGCCAAAGAAGCACAGCTAAGAGATGAGGTTGCTTCGACGAAGATGGTGAACCAGGACCTCGAACGAGAACTCAACGCACAGCTCGATTTGTTAGAGCGGACTGAAGAAGAGAACCGTGCTTTGAGGGAGGAAAGAGACCTGAACGTTGAGGATCTGCAAGCGCTGCAACAAGAGCGTGACGAAGCTCTCAATGCTTTACAGGAAAAGGACAACGAATGCGATGATCTGCGAGAGGAGGCGATACAAACCATAGAGCGCCTCGAGCAAGAGATCGAGCAAAAAGAACAAGAGCTGGACAGGATCATCAATGAGCTGGAGAATCGCAACGAAGACTTCGAAGCGATGCAGCAAGAGATGAAGAATGTCAGCGAGAGTCTGATAGCGCTTGAGGATGACCGAAACGCCAGTCACCGCAAGATACAACAACTGGAGCAGGAACTCGACGACGCCAATCAGGAGCTTGACTCTCTCGACCAAGCTCTCAATGAGGCTAGGCAGAAGATTGAGCGCTTTGAGGTCCAGTCAGAATCCAACCAGAACGAAATCTCTTTCTTGCGCGAAGAGCAAGAAACTGACAAGATCAAGATTGGCGACCTCGAAGCTGCTCTCAACCAGGCACAACTTAGCGTTCAAGATGAGAAGGAACGTCTCAGAGAACTGGACGAGCGCTTCACGGAGGATAGGAGGCAACGTGAGGCTTTGGATAGTCAAGAGAAGGAGCAGGTACAAAAGGCCTTTGACGAACTCAATGGTCAAGCTTCGAAGGCTAAAGAAGAGGTTCGGCGGCTTCGGAAGGGCCTTTCCTCCAAGGAAGTCGAGGCGAATACATGGAAAGATAGGCTCGATGACCTGGAGAGCAGTCTACGCGATGCTCTCGGCAGTGTGGACGGCAGCAAGTCAACACTTCTCAAGGTAAAACCGCCAAACGTTACAGCAAAATACGTAAGGTATAAACTGCTTACCATCATTCAGGATGTCACGAAGCTCCAGAGGGACCTCGACGCGACCGTTCAAGAGCTTGATCACTCAAGAACTGAACTCGCCGAAAAGGATCGTATGTTGCGGAACCGAGACGCACTACTCGAGAGCACTGGTCTGGAGAGCCGCAAGTTGTCCGACATGCTTGACAAGGAGCGGCAAGCTCGTCTGCAGGACAAGCACCGGTTCGAACAGGCTCAACGGTCGCACCAGACTACGAGCCGGACGGTCCAGTCGTACGAAACACGCGTGCTCGAGCTCGAAACATCGCGCAGTCAGGATCGCCGCCGCATCGCGCAACTCGAGGCGCAGTATCGCGACCAGCTTCTCGAGCGCCACAACTTGCTGCTCGCGCTCTGGAACAGGCTTTCCACGCTTTGCGGTACCGAATGGGCCCAGCGTAACAGCCTCGTTAATGGCGAGCTTCCCAGCCTCGAGGTCATCGGGCGTAACCTTCCTGGCTTCAGCAAGAACATCCTCAACGCTATCAAGACCGTTGAGGGTGTCATCGGCAGCTTCAAGTCGCGGATCCGATCTATTGAAAAGGATCTTTGGAAGGATTACCAGACACTGGAGCACACGCTCGATGTACGCATCAAGCGCCTTGATCAAATCGAGAAGCATGTGCGTAACGGTGTTGGCGTCGGCATTCCCCGCAACGAGAGCGCGGAAGTGAGCCGTCTGAAATCCGAGAACAAGATGCTGAAATCAGAACTCCAACTCGGCCGGCAAAACACCAACACCAGCAGCCGCAACTCCACCGACGCGGTCCAACTTTCCAACCAACAGCGTTCCAACCAGGCTAGTGACTCCCAATCTATGCGCTCGACCAGTAAGCGTAATAGTGTCGCGGCTACTTTGTTGCGACACCATTCGAGTTCTGCCGTCGACATGTTAGACCGGCATGCTTCGCCAAACAATAACTCGTCGCAGAGCCAACCGCCACCACAGCAACCGCCGAGCGAACAACGTTGGATCCACCGTTTAAAAGAGCTGGAGAGACGGCTAAAATCCGAAAGGGAGGCGCGGCTTTTAGACCGTAGTGGCGCGAGAAAAAGGCTCGAAGAAGGCCGTGCAGAAAATGAGGAGCTCAAACAGATGTTGGAGCGCGAACGAGACCGACAAGGCAGCGAATTTGGCGGGAGTCCCGAGCCGGCTGATTACCCGACCGTTTCGACCAGGTAGTGCGCGCGGCGATGTAAGTTTTGTGTAGGCTTGGCAGCGTTGTATAGTACTACATTTGGGCGATGGTGGGGGTCACGCGGCGTGGTGGTGCTTTGGAGTTTTATCTTTTTCTTTTCTTCTTGTGCAGCTCCCTCTCTTTCGCCCCCCGGTTTTTTGGAGTTGGCTTAATGTTTGAGTAGTTCATTTCAAGGATGAGACAGGACCGCAGCGGTGGGAAGCTGGGTACGGTGTTTTTGCTTATTCGAGAGGGTTGATAAAGGGTATCCTGGTTTCGTGGGAATGGATGTATTCCTTGTTCGGGTCTGGAGAAGGCTTCCTTGTGATAATGACGTTCCAGTTAAGGGAATATATCAAGGATAAGCTACGTGCCTGGGCTGCGCCACAACCTTGTTTCTGTGATCTAAGTGCCCGTTAAGATGCAAGGTTGAGGCCTGTATAGAGTGTTTGGCCATTCCCGGTTGGCCGGGGTCTCGTGCCGTCCCTTAGGAACCCTAACTTCCCCCCAATTATTTGCTGAAATAGATGGTTTTTTCTGGGATCTCTTATACCTTATCAATATGTAGGATGCTCTTTCCAACGGCAAACACCTCGTCCGGCGATATAAGCCGCGTCTATCAACTACCGCCACTCCAGCTATCATAGCGACATATTATATCATTATAAGCTTAACATAACTATTTCCTATATCCCCAAGCACAATCATGAGATATGCCCATAATATCCAACGGTATACGCAGCATCAAATACTTACTATGCTCGGCAAGCGTGCGTAGTAGGCAAGCAGCGAGCCATATCCACGCCGCGAGGACCAACCAATTCCACGCGCGTCCGCGAAATTTCATTGCAGCAGCAAGCCCCGCCGTCGATACAGACGGTCTGGGAATAGTACATACGTGGTAGGCAGAAGCCGAGCTCCCGGGGAGTGAGGCGAGCTGCCCAATGACGCTGATGCAGCGTTATGAGCGTGATCATTGGGGCGGCGTGCACTGTTTGTTATTGTGATCAGCAGGGTAGGGTCATGGGACGGGGACGCTGGTGTTGGCGTTGACGATGGCTTTGCTTGATGCGGGCGTGTGGTGCTGCTCTGGTCTGGTCTGGTTGGGTCGGGTGGATAGGACGCGGTTGCTTTCTGTTTTGCGGGTGCAGGTGGTGCTGCAGGTGGTGCTGCAGGTGGTGCTGCAGGTGGTGCAGGTGGGTGGACGCCGCCTTGTGGCTTGTGGCTAGTAGCGCTTTGGCTTGGAAGTAGTGTGCTAATTGCCAAAAAAAAAAAAAAAAAAAGTTGTTGTCTTGGTCGTCTTTGTTGTGCTGTGCTGTAGGTTTGAGTATGCGGTGCTTTCACCTCACCTACCTTCCACGCCCTTTTCTCTTTTCATGGTGAGAGCAAGAAGGGAAGAGCGTAGAAGATTTGAAAGGGGCGGGAAGTTCCCAATAACTAGGCTTGAGCCTACGAATGTTGATTTAACCGGACAAAGAGGGAAGACTAGCGATAGTGTAGACAGACAAACAAGAGAAAGTAAAGGGGGAAACTTCCTACTGTTTCTGGAACTAGCATGAGGCAGCAATAAATATACAGCTAGACCAGTCTCCCAACTCACTGACATCCGCGCTCAGCCCAGGACAATTTACACACACAACCACAGCAACAGCAACAGCAACAACAACAACAACAACAACAGCAGCAACAACAACAACAACAACAACAACAACAACAACAACAACAACAACAACAACAACAACAACAACAACACTTACAACACTTTTGCATCTCCAATCTGCCAACAAAAGCCAAGCCAACAACCTCCAGCAACAATAAAAATCCGGGTATCAATGCCTTACTCTACAACAATATTACGCTGATCTCGACAACACCCCCAAAAGGCCCGCAGCTTCCCTTGCCTACGGCCTTCTTTGTCTCGATCTATATTCTTTGCCGCAGAAATGGAAAATAAAAAAAGAAAAGAAAAGAAAAAAGAAGAAGGAAAAGGGAAATATGTGTGAACCAGTCTTGACCAGCCAGTCCCACCCCCGCCTCCGTCGCGATGCCCAGAACCTGAAGAGACCACCGCTTCAATCTGTCCGAAGAGAGGAAAAGAAGGAAAGATAAAAAGAGAAAAAGGAAAAGGAAAGGAAAGGAAGGGAAGGGAAAAAAGCACTCCAAGCCACCTAACCTTACCCATCTAATACCCAATCGGAGAAGCGAAGAATAAACCAGTGGCCACTGCTGCTCTCTCTCTTTCTCTCGGCCTTTTTTTGTATATGTTTTTAGTCCAACCCCCAAAACGAAGCAACAGCCGCGAAGACAACCACAACCAAGGAAAGCAGCCAGTAGACCTTATTCTGTCTTTGAATCAAAGCAACAACGGAAAAATTGCAATGAAGGAGGGGAGGTAAAGGGAAGTAGTAACGTAACCATGCCGCGCCATGAGGTCATAACAAAGAAAGCAAAATCGTGTCCTCGAGCTGTCAACAGACGAGAGGAAAGAAAGGAAAAGAGTGTAAGGAGCGAAGTAGGGAGCACGAAACTTTTTTTCTCACCCACAGGCCACTGGCGCGCGGCGTCTCTCCCTCGCAAACTGCACGCGTGGTCGATACGGCGGCCTTCGCCGTGGATGATGCCACGTCGCGAACTTTTTGCGAGATCTATAGCGACGTCACCGCTCAGTCAGCATCGAACTCGGTGATAAGACGGTTAAGGGAGCTTCGGAGGGCAGAGTCGTCATCAGACCCGGTACCAGGACGAGACTTCTCTTCCTTCTCCTCTTCTCCCTTCCCCTCCTTCTCTGCGGCCTCTGCGGCCTCTGCGGCGGCACCTTCGGCTTTAGCAGCAGCGTTCTCGGCCTCGCGCTGCTCGCGGTCTTTGTAGATCTTGTCTTTGTTGTCTTGCGCGAGCGTGAGTGCGTCAATGTACGTCCTGAACTTGACAATCTCGCGGAGCAGATAGGCAGACTTCTTTTCGAAGTTGGCAATCGCCTTGGCAGCATTGGGGTGACGAGGCGAAAACTAAGATCGTTAGCAACTGAGAGAGAAGTGAATGGGTGGGAAATACCTACGGCAATCTGTATCGGCGCCCTCAGTTCCTGGTGCCTGCTCAGCTCTTCCTCGATGTTCTTAACATATGCAGTCAGAGCCTTGAGCTGATCGACCTCCATCAGGTTGCTCGCCATCATGCTTTGCGTTGGCGGAGTCCAGTCGGAAAGAGTGACCTTGTCACCGGGCAAGCGAGCCTTCACAGTGCCGGTGCCATGATCCATTGAGCTACGGATGGAGCTCTGAATGCTGGGTCGAGGCATGCCAACAGTGCTGCTGTTGGCCGGAGGCGAGCTCTCTGGCCGAATGAGAGCAGTGTTGATGACATTCTCGCTCCAGCCGTACTCGAGGTTACTGACACCACCGACAAGCGGCTCCTTCGAGAGACGCGCAGACCAGTAGTTTGCCGTAAGCACAAACTCCTTGACAATTTCCGGCGTACCACACTGGAAGAGATGCACGGCACCAGTCGGCAGCGAGAGCGCCCAGACGTGGGGCCTGCTCTTGGAGTAGCCAGGAGGTGGCAGGGAGCTGGCCAGAGTCTGTCTAAGCAGGAATGAATCTAGTTGCTCAGCGTTATCAGTCCAGTTACCACCGCCGACAACGCCGCCAGTTGAAGGGCGCCTGTTCTTAGCCTTGGAACGCAGGGACTTGGCATTCGAACTGAATGTGAACAGCTTCATGTAGCCCTTTTCGATGACGGCAAAGACCTCGCTCCAGTTGCGGTCCTTGGCCTTCTTGTCAAGTGCCTCAAGGTGATGCTTGTGCTTCAGCATACCTTCCTTGGCCCACGGTGGACCAGCCAGACCAAGGGTCTCGTCCTCAAGGAGAGGTACCACACGGTCATACTCATCATGGCTTCCAATAGTCTGGTTTTCTTCACGAATAATTGCCTGGCTAAGCGCATTTGCGAAACCAATTGACTGCTGGTAGTCGACAGGAACAAAGTGGGAGCCCAACGAATCGACAGACATGGATGTTTGAGTCTTTCCGAAAGAATAGGTGCTCCACTTGCTAGAACCAGGCGGGCTGAAGACCGACTGATCATCCAAGCTAGTGCGGCTAGACCCGATAGTTGAACTCTGGTAGATCTTGGGCCGAGACCTAGTCTTGGAGTTCCAACGAGAACTCGCGGAACGGAATTCATGTGACCGGCCACGGTAACTGGTGGTGTCGGACGGAGCCTTGCTGAGAACCGAGGGGGAGCGGCGTAAGACCTTTTCGACGGAGAGATTGTTATTTGATGACGAGGGCGGATCTTGAGATGCACCACCATGGAGTGGCAACTTATCATGCTTGATGGAATTGTAGAATTCCTTAAGCACAATCTCCACTTGATACTCCCATCCCTTCATGGAACCCTCGAAGGGAGCCTTGACCAGGATAGTGCAACTGTCTCCGGTGCCCGAATCAGAACTCCCAAGGAGGCCTTCGGAATCCAAGCGGAGTCCTCCTATGGCCGGTCTGATGGAAAGGCGGTTCTTGGATCGTTTCGCTGTTCCAAAATCGACTGATTCCCTTACACCGTTTGACTTGTTTTCAAACGTAGGAGAAACTGGCGCAGATGCGAACGGCTCGTCATGTGGAGTGGCGCTGCGTTTGGGATTGCCGTCCTCATCAAGCTCGGACAGCTCGTCTTCCACTACTGCTGTGATAGTTGGCAAAGTGTTCTTCACGAACTGGCCCCGAGTCATCTTGGACTCGATGTCTGCCATGTGAAGATCGGTGTTCAACAAAAGCAGAGAGTAACACATAGTATGTACAACACCTATGGTATCTGTCAGTTCAAGATTCAGCAGCACAGTGTGATTTAAAACGTACCAGTCGTCTTGAAGCCGTGGTTAGGGTTGCATTCACACCACCTGTTCGCAAAAGCATCAAGTATACGGTCAACCTCTTGGGTTTCACCCTTCAAGATAAGCCTGCCACACAGGTCTCGCATGGCAAGTAGGACGCTGAAGCCGGTCCACTCATACAGCTCCATGTATGCCTTTCGGCACCGTTCGCTCACCGGGGTCTTTTCGCCCAGCCATGCCGCTGCACGACCCTTGCTTATAAAGTCTTCCTCACCATCATAGATCTTCCTAGCCTTTTCACGCTCTTCATCAGACGGCTCGGTGATACGGCCAGCCAAAGGTCCGTCCATCCGCTCGGCGTCCTCATCCTCCTCCTTCAAATCGCCACCTTCAATCTGTACAATCGGGAGGCTGGCTGCGGAGTGATAGACGTCGCTCGGCGTATTAGGAGTGGACGGGTCGATAGGCGTAGCCAGGTTCTTGGACGAAGAGCGAGGGCCATCCAGAGGCAAAGCAAGGTCGGCCTGTTCGTCCAGTTCATCGTCGGACGAAGTAGGCTCGAGTCGTAAACGGTCCCTAGCCAAGGCATCGTTTGCGGACAAGTCCACGTTCGGGTCGGTAACAACCCAACCGCCGTCATCAGCGTCCATGTCAGCAAAAGCCGATGGCTTGCCTGATCTCTTTTCGCCGGTGTTTGCCTTTGCACGCGGATTAGCGCTGTCTTTGCTGTTATGTTGGATGAATGTAGGTGGTGCTGGGCTGGTCGAAGGCCTTTTCATGTGGTCTGGTTTGCCCATAGATGGACCCTTTCGGGAGGACGCTACGTCGCCGCTCGTATCCTCGTTCCCGCTACTATCAGCAAGGAAGGATGCATCATCGCTCGGCTTCGAAGCGCCGCCTTTGCCACGCTTAACTTTCAACTTATACTTGGGGCTGTCCTGGCCGCGAGCATGCAGATTCTGCACTCCCTCCAAAGCCAATGGGACGCCTTCATCTGTACCACCAGAGCCCGGTTTGACGGCTCGGACGGTCGCATCTTTGTGGGGCTTGTAATCGGGAGAGAAGCCACCAATGCGAGGGACCTCGTCGTCGTTGTCGACAGGTTGTTTTTCTTGACCGTCGTAGTACGTGTTCCCAGGTACTACGGACTCGTTGAGGAAGGGGGTCATTACCTGGCGCAAACTGCTTGCCTCGGGACTAGGCAGCCCTGATCCGACTGCATCTGCAGGTGGGATATTCGTCTGAATTGGCAATGGCGGTGCCGGTTCGGTGATAGACTTCTTGCGCCTCCTGAAGAAAGATGAGTTTTTCTTGTTAAGGGTTGGTGTAGGCTGCTCTTTCATCTGCTTCTGCTGTTTTTGCGCTTGGCTTATTGACCCAGACCTTGCTGAATCCTTGGGTGGCACATTTGGCGGCGCTGAGTCATGCTGCAGACTAAGGTGCTTGTTAATGATTGACTTCATACTTGGGCGGACGGTTGCGTTATCGTACCGAGTTTCGACGGGGGGTAGTTGTGGAGCTCCGCGAGATGCTTCCTGGGCCGGTTGCTGACTCTTCCCTCCTCCAAACACACGTCTAAAAAACCCAGGCCGTTCTTTGGGTGGCTGTTGCGATTGCGGGGATGTCGTTTTACTGATTGGGCTATTGGCAAATGCGGGGAGCGGCGGGAGCTCCCGACTGTTGGCCGCATTTACGAATTCGTTTGCTTGGGCCAGGATACTGGCGTCAGGACCCTGTGGCTTGCCCCTCCGCATCCCCTTGCTCGGGGCAGATCGAAGGCTGTTTCGGCGCGATGATGGCCCCGAGCCTGGAGGCATTGATGCAAACGCAGGTTGCGGTGAGACGTATTCTGCGTAGGATCCTGCGGATTGGGGAGGATCATCGAACCTATGTGTTCCAGTGGGTATGGTGGGAGTGGGCGCAGCATCGTAACTCGCATATGTAAATACGTTTGGTCTGCCGCGGTCCAGAATGGAGCCGTAGTCCTGTTTGCCTGGCGAGTCGTCTCTAAGATGCCTGTCCTCATAACCATTGTCAAAGCTCGAGGAACGATTGGTTCGGCGACCACTCGAAATTATCTGGGTGCTGAAGCCGTAATCCACGCTGGAAGACGTGCTGCCTTTGCTCCCGTTCCGCTCACCTCTCGCATGCCACGAATACCCCCCTTCTCCAAACAAAGCCTTCTTCTGCGTGTCCGCACCCATTCGCGCCGAGCCATAACCTGCAATCCTGTTGCTGTCGATCCTGTCTAGGTCCGACCGGAAATTGGCGGTGCTATTACTTCGGCGTCCGCGAGAGGCGTGATGCGAATACCGACTATCCGGCCGACCGTCGTATTCGGAGCCGTAGGCGGTTGCGTACGTATGGTTCGGGCTGCGCAGGACTTGGGGCGGGGAGAAGCGGCCCTCGGATTTGTAGAAGTCGTCATCGTCGTCGAAGCTTGAGTATAGGCCGCCAAAGTGAGTGGGGAAGGTAGCACTGCCGTTCGGGAGACTGTCAAGCGATAGTAGCATGTTGTCGACGACCGAGTCTCTGGTCACATCGCGCAGGTTGAGGTCGTGGGAGTCTCGCGAGCTGGCGTCGAAATTGCTGCCGGCGCTGAAGCGGTTCTGGTCGATGGAGGGAGTGTCGGCCTCATCGTAGAAGCTCTCCTGCCGGAGGTTGTGGGTATCGAGCGCGCGCATGGGAGCTTTGCCCTTTTGCAGGCGCAGCGAAGAGCGCGGAGGGGTTTTGGGAGGGGAGTCGTCGTCGCGCATGGCACCTCCTAGAGCCATGTCTGGCGGAGTAGGATGCTGCTGGAGGGCTTGGTCGCGAGCTTCCATGGCAGCAAAAGGGTCCGGCGTGCTGCGCGCCGGGTGCGAGCAGGCAGGCCAATTGCTTGGCTCCGGCCCCTGCTCGAGAGAATGCCCGTGGGAAATTGCAGTCGGGCGCGCTGGCGACGCCGTGTTACCTGGAGCAGCCCCTGGCGATGGAGGTGCGCGGGCCAGGAGTTGCTTGACCGTTTTAAGAGCCTAGCGGGATCAAGCCCAGCAGCGTGGTGTTAGGTGGGGAAGCCGTGTTTCAAACCCATCATCCCGTGGCATCCGATATATGCAAGGCACCCTCTCTCTCTTGACTGCCCTTGTTCAAGAAGCCCGACGGCCTGCCACGTTGAGCATCCATGATACCCACGATGATCATCCGCTATCCGTTTCACCACCCACTGACGAACCAGAGGGGCCGCCGGGAATAGACGCCGCCCCGATGAGGAAATCCAATAGCCGACGCCGCCTCGGTCCTTGGCAAGTTGGCGCACCACCACCTACGAGTACGGAGTACACCTGGAGCAACGTGATTGTTTGTTATCTCCATCATCGTCAGGTGTGTCTCTCTTTTCATTGTACCCCGTACCCCCCGGTTCCACATAGATGCCCTTTTGCTTTGAAACGGTGCAGGGTCGGAGCCACGGGCCCACACTCACCGTGCAACAACTGCGAGACGGTGGCAAGTGGGCCTCCGCCGCCGTTGAACCTTCTTCCCACCTAACCAGCACGGACTCCGCTCCTGCAACACCTCTCGCAAGCGTCCGCCTCGGCAGCACAGGTACAAAGCCCAAAGCACAAAGATCATGCGGCCACTCGCAGATCGCAGTCTTGCAAGAGCAAAAGCCGGTGTCACGGCTGTGGGGCCTCTTTGTGCCCTTTGTAGCACTGCGCTTGCAGTCCGGCCTCTCTAACCTCACGTTATCAAATACAGATAGGCGCCTGCTTTTAAGCACGCATCGCGCCAACAGGAAGCCAATCATCCCAACTCCACAAGTCCACTCATCATCACCGCTCCCTGGCATGCCTCGACTCGGGTTGTACACACTCGTACAATAGCCGCCCGATCTTATAGCCATTCACGTTCCCCGCAGGCGCCACGCTGCGGCGCAAGGAAATACAATTCCCCAGATCAACTAGACGATCGCCGCTGATCAGGAGGAAGCACCGTATACGTCTTTTTTTTTAGTTGAGAAGGAGTGTATGCGCGCTTTTCCATGACGCAATACCAACTCTGCAATCTTCTTTTAAGTTGATCCATATGAAAGACTCCTGATCGTGGGAAGGTGTAGGCACTGCACAGTGCTTGCCAGTGACGACATGCAAAGCAAAGCGGCTGCTCAACGCTATTTTGATAAATCCGCTCGCCGCTGTTCTGAATTAGTAAGCAAGCGCGGGGAGTGTGGACACCGCAAGATCTAAAGCACATAGGGAAGGTAGACTCGGAACAGGAGACCAGCTGCTCCAAGCTTTTTATTGAGCAGATGATCCTGCGTGGGGGCTGTGCTATACCAAAGAGTAATTTAGGAAAACCTCTTGACCGAAACCGGATTCCAGATGGCGCTATTAGACCTCGCAGGCTATGCACCAATATAACAAGGCTGTCCATAATACTGTCATTCCGACGGCATCTGTCCTAAACTCAGAAAAGGCACCGCCACAGCTGCCAGATAGGCTGATCGTGTGCCCACCTCGTAATAGGCCACCCACTCTTTATTTCTTGCCCTTCTTCTTGTTTGCCAGCTTCGATTTCTGCAGTGCGCGCTGACGTTCCTCTCTGGCGATCTGCTCCGCCTTGGCCTTTTCGTGCTCGGCGCGCTCTTCGGCCTCGGCCTTCTTCCTGGCGGCTTCCTGATCACGCCTCTCGCGCACGATCTTCAGCCTCTCCAGGTCAGACCGTGCCTCCTCGGTCTTGCCTTCCGCATGTAGTTTCTGGTAGCGCTCGCGTGCCTGTTGTGCCTGCAGCGCCTCGCGCTCGCGGCGCGAGAGCTGGGATACCGGGGTCGACTTCTTGGGAGCGCTGGAGCTAGCGGTGGGGTTGGCAGCCATCTTAGCGGCCTTGACGGAGTGGTTCGGGTTGGCGGGCATCGCGTCGTCGTCAGACTCTTCTTCCTCGGAATCGGTAGGCATATCACCCGGCGCGGCCTGCTTGGCCTTTTGTCTGGCAATGGCCGCTTCCTTGCGAGCCTTTGCGGCAGCTTTGCGCTCCTCGCGCGTCATCTCTGGCTTTTCTCCGTCGTCGGACGAGGACTCTTCTGACGAATCCTCCTCCTCTTCAGAGGAAGACGACTCCTCCTTCTTCTTGCCCCGAGGCTCCTGTGACTTGTTAGAATACGTTCATTGCAGAGTACTGAGGAAGCGACATACTCCCCACATGCCCTCCACTTCGCCTTCGGCGTTCACAGGCTGAAGATCCCTGCTGAAGTGCTTTCCACCTACGGCCCAGTCAGATCGGTACAGAGCAAGAGTTAGAGGACAAAATCCTACCTCCACGCCTCGGCTTGGCAAACTTGCCGCCACGACCTCTGCTAGACATGGTTGCTGGTGCTTTGTGGACTGTCCGTAAATGGGCGGAAACTATGACTCGTGTTTGTGCGGTGTGCCTCTACGGGGAAGGCGAAGTCCTGAGGCTCTCGGAGGCCGGTTGCGAGTAAAAAGATGAGTATTTTACTCGGAGGCCGTGGGTTTGCGGTGTTGTGGGCGCTTGCGGGTGCCGGGGCGGAATCTTATGCAGGATTGGACTCGAGATTCGACTTGAGGGCAAGTGGGCAACGGACGAAACAGCGATGTTCTTTTGTCAGTCGACCCCTCGTCCGTGATTGGCTTAGCGCTAGGGCCAACAACTTGCAAAACCCTTCAAAAACAACTCCGGCTCGCGGCTCCTTTTCCTCCTCACATAAAACTATACCCTTCATATTCACTCTGATGCTCTCAAATCAATAGATTATTGGAGGGGAAAATGGAGGGGAGAAGGATCCGTCAGCTTACCCCTAGGCTCTTTTGATCATCTGTGAGGGCCCGGGAAATATTAATGGCGGTACATCTTCCAGCTCCTTGGTTTACATGGCAGATCAGGACTGGAAGAAGTCGAGCTTTTACAAACGCGAGCGGTTCGCGAGGTACAACTGGCTTCGGAGAAGCAAAGCTACTCTTGTTACAGGTAGAACAATCATCTATTTCTTCGCATGCTCTTCCAAAATCTTCGGCAAGTCCTTTAGGTTCTTGACTACAACCGTCGGTTCTCCATTCGATCCTGCGACCAAAGCATCCTGCCATCCGTTGCCGGCTCGATCCACCCATGCAGCCTTCATCCCCACCGATCTCGCGCCGACGACATCAAACGGGTTCCCGCTCACCAGCCACACATCGCCCATCTCGCTGTTCTTCTTCCCGACGCGCTCGGCTAGATGCTCATAGACGGCTGGAGCAGGCTTGAACCGCTTTACCTGCTCGACCACAACGATATCGGCGAAGACGTCCGCGTGAAGGGATAGCTCCGGCGACTTGTTGACGCTGTTGGACACCATGCTTTCAGTCCCGTTTGAGAATACCACTGCCGTAATACCAGGCGACGACTTGAGCGCGGTTAAGCAGGGCGCTACGTCGGGGAAGATGGAGAGAGCGTCGTAGGCTTTCATAAGCTCGTCAAAGGCGCTTTGGTCGAGAGACACGCCGGCTTCGGTGAGTGCGTGTCTCAAAGAGCGCTGCGTGAGAACAGAGAAATCTTCATATTGGTCTGAGGCACAATTAGACGTTGTTTACGCATGGAGTATGGAACTTGTGGAACAAGGGATAAGACATACTCATGCTGTTTAAGCGCCATGTATACTCCAACTGGTACTTCCGCCATGCCGCGGCAATGGCCTGGGCTTTCTCTTGCCCGAAGTGTTCAGCGAGCTTATCAGCAATCGATTCGGTAGAGAGGAGAGTTCCATATGCGTCAAAAGCGACGATGACTTTGTTGTCCGACATGGCTGATGATTGGAGAATCGTGTGGATTTAAATGAAAATGCTCTTTCTAGTATATCTCAAACCTAGTTGTTGTCGACTGTACTACGTATACGCATTTGACACTTCAGAGACGCGGGGGTTCTGGGGTCCATGTCTGACGGCCTGACGGTCTCCATGACGCAAAGAAAGGCCAAAGCTCCCGCCTCCATCCCCGAACCCACGTGCATCCACCATATTTCCGCGACGTCTGTAGTCTGGAGATGTCTCAAAGACACTATACATATAACTCACCTGAGCCATCCTGGCTGTCATGATGCTCCTGGAAGAAGAGTTCAATTTCTCTACTTTTAGGGACTGTCTCTCCGAACCCGTCATCCGCAGGCTTGCGATTCAGCCACAAAAACCTAAGCGGCGAGTAGCCAAAGGGAGAAAGACTGCAATCAAACCTGTACAGCCCAAGGAGGTTCCAGATGATGTGCGCGCCGGAAATGATGCCGAGGAGCTGGGCGAGTTCATAGAAGTAGACAAACACGACATCCGCTGACATTGGCGTATGCTAACTTCATAACGATAGTATCTGGCCGAGGAAATATTCCCATCTCTACCTGAAGATTTACGCAGTCTTTCCTACACTGCAATCACAAACGATGCGTCTCTGGCGGACAAATACGCTGATCCCTTGGACGAAGCTGTCTTCGACAACCTCCTTGCGCCACTTCCCACTTCAGTAACCGACTCACTGCTTTCCTACAACCTCCTGTCCGACGCGTCCGCTCTGCAATCATTCCTTTACCCGGTGTTGGCATCCTACATCAACACCACCACCGCCCCGCCACCTATCTGGGCGCAAACTCGCACCACTGAATGCGAGCTTTGTGAGCGGGACTGGGTGCCGCTGACCTATCACCACCTCATCCCCCGAATGGTGCATGGCAAGGCGCTCAAACGCGGCTGGTGCGAAGAGTGGGAGCTCAACAAAGTGGCCTGGCTGTGTCGGGCTTGCCATAGCTTTGTGCATTCGATTGCATCGCATGAGGAGCTGGCTAGGGATTGGAATGAGGTGGAGAAGCTGGCAGAAAGAGAGGATGTGCAGAAATGGGCACGTTGGGTCTCAAGGGTGAGGTGGAAATCAAAGTAAACTTTGGGAGCAACGGCATGAAACAATCAACTACTTTACGAGTTGGCCCCGAGTAATTTGCCCACCCCTCACCTACATGTTGAGTAAAATCTACAATACCTACAGAGCACTCCTTAGGTAGTTACAATAGACTATTACACTACAGCCAATAGGTACTATGTAACTATATATACTTAAAAATATACTAGATATAATAGTATTTAAAAAGATATAGAGGCATGAATAACTACTAGAGTATCTACGAGGTATAAAAGTAAAATATTCCAAGGGTATAAAGGTACTTGTAAGACTATAGAGATCTAAAATTTTGAAGAGTAGAAAGTATATTATATAATTTTATAGATGTTATCGCGTAGGATGGACAAAACGTAAAAGGTCTTAGAGCACACACATATTATAAACACCTTAACTAGATTTCTTTTTCCACTCCATAAAAGCGTCGTTATCATGTTAGGTGGTGAATGCCGTTTGACGGTGACGAACGTTAGATGGTAGTGATTTCCTTTAATTAGTAAGTCACTCTTTAACACTGTATTGGGCCAGTTCTGTATAATATAGTACGCATATAGTATTACGACAAACCTTTTGTTGGAGGAATTGCTCGAACCATTAAGAACTAATACATCTTGCTTACTGTCGAGTGCGGGATACAAGTTGCTGCACATAAATCCTACTCATAGGATGAAGATTTCCACCTGAGCGTAAGCATTCTCGAATGCGAACGGACCTCCTGACCAGAGTGTCCTCCTATGTAAAAGAAGCAAACCACTCATGTTCATACACAAACAACAACATCAGTGCCACAAAGTAAACTACTGGAAAGGAAATTGTTGCATCTCAACCGAGATGCCGGCACAGCAATCTTCATACATTCCAGTCATCAGTCGTTCCTCTTCTTCGGCTCGAGAGGCCTAGATTCTTCGGCATTGTGGCCGTTGCCGTTCACGTTCGCACCCTCAGGATCCTCAGCGTCCCAATCCTCGGCATTCTCGTCCCAGTTGTCCAACTCCTCTTCAACGGTCATGCCTGCATTGCCATCATGAGTAACACCAGACTCTTGTTGTCCCAAACCTTCGCCCAACTCCACATCGACGTCTTCGCCGGGCACGAGGTTGTAGTTTTTGGCCGCGCGCTTGCGCTCGAGCATGCGCTTGTGGTACCAGGTACTGAGGCCGAGGGCGCATAAGCAGCCGACTTCGTTGGCTACAATATCGAAGGGGTCGAAGACACGGTCGTTCTGTGGCTGCTGTCAGTGCGCAGAAGATAGGGCGATGGTTGACTGAAGATGGACGTACGGGTAGGAGGCCTTGGAGAACTTCGGAGCCAACGGCGAGTACAACACAGCAAACGAAGGCGGTGAGATGGAGGACGCGGCGGCGACTGGTTTCTAAGATCCAGTAGAAGGCAAGCTGTGGCATACAATTAGTACCTCGGCGCCATGACGTGGGTGCATGCACACGACTTACGGTGAGGAGGAAGAAGGTGACAAAGTGTAGGACCTTGTCACTCTGCTTGTACTGCGGCAGCTGCTGGCGCCCGAGGCCGGCAAAGGCAGACAGCAGACATAGGACGACGAAGGCGCCTTTAGTGAACCAGAGTCAGTGTTGGTGTTGTCGGCAGGCGGGCGAGCGGGGAGGGACTAGCTAACCTGCGGGCGCCTTGCGGATGCGCATTTGGGAGGGGGAGAGGAGGAGCGAGCACAGAGAGAGAGAGAGAGAGAGAGAGATTTATTCGTGGGCGAGCATGTCTACAAGTCCAAGTGTCTCTACCTATGCGAGGATGGGGTTGCAGCACATGGATGGCCGGCTGCGGTACAGGGCCCGCTTACCTAAGGCAGACCCCCCAGGCTGGAGCCGGTGACCAAGCGCGCAACCCAAAACGGACCACAGACGTAGCAGCGCAAGCCGCACCCTTTCCATCAGCGCAACCCGCCTCCGCATCGAGTTTCCATCTATACAAGCCGTTCGCCATCTCGCCCGGCCCGTCTGCCCTTCTGATGCGCATCTGTCCGCCCGCTCGCCGCTCGTTGAACGTGGAACAGGGGAGAGATACGCTGGTCGAGGAGGAGCGCCAAGACCAAGCGGAACGGACGTGAACGCGGATCATGAACATCCATCGGCCAGCATCACGACAGAACAGCCATGGCGCGCATCGCTCTTCCGCCCAGTTCCAAAGCGCGACCAAACTCCGCACCGCAAGCATGAACCCCGACGACGTTACCTCGACCAATTCACAACCCGTGCCCGCAGACGAGGGGGACACCATGAACGAGGAGCATCCCAGGCACGCCGAGTTCAGGGAGCGCTATACAAAGACCGAAGCTCGCATCGCCGCCCTGCTCGGAGACGCGCCAGACTTCTCGTTCGGCGCCCGCGCCGATGACGATGACGATGCGCCCGCCGCCGAGGGCCCACGTGCGGAGCCGCAACCGCAACCCGTCGCGCCCAAGAAGCCCGCACGGACAATTGATGAGGATGACTACGGTGACGACGACGACGATGACGACCCCGACGACCTGCCTGCCGTCGAATCACCCTTACAAACAAAGAGCACGTCCGGCCCCATTGGCGTCAACATGAAGATGCCATCCACCCCCGCCAAACCGACCATCGACCGAACCGTGTCCAACTCCTCCACAGAACAAGCGAAAAACGCAGAAGACGTGCGCAAGGAATTAAATGAAGCCAAGAAAGCTGCAGAAGACGAGGCGCGCAGGAGCTTTCATACCCTCTTCTATACTCTGGAGACTGATCGGGATGCTATGCTGGAGCAGCAGAAGCTGGACGAGCTGGACCGTCAGGTGGAAACGGAAATGTCCGGCCAGGCTACAAGCAATGCGACCAGTGCAGCCAGTGCTGCTAAGCAGCAAGGTTCCCTAAGTAGCGCTAATCTCGGATCCTCAAGCCTCACCTTCAAACACCTCATCTCCCGTATCGATGCGAAGCGGAATCTTGTCAAGGCGTCTGATGCGCAACTGCGCAGCCTCATGAGCGACGTGCGCAAGAACAGGAGCAAGTGGGCTAGTGAGGACAAGATCGGCCAAGAAGAGCTGTATGAAGCTGCAGAAAAAGTGCTCATGGAGCTCAAAGCCATGACCGAGCATGCCGCGCCCTTCTTGCAGCGCGTCAACAAGCGCGATGCGCCAGACTATTACCAAGTCATCAAACAGCCTATGGACATCGGAACGATGATCAAGAAGCTCAAGTCGTTAGTGTATAAGTCCAAAAAAGAATTCGTGGACGACTTGAATCTTATTTGGTCCAACTGCCTTAAATACAATGCTGACCCAGCGCACTTTCTCCGCAAGAAAGCGCTCTATATGAGGAAAGAGACAGAAAAGCTTGTTCCCCTTATTCCTGACATCACCGTGCGCGATCGCGCTGAAGTTGAGGCAGAGGAGAGGCGCCTACAGAGCATCGACGCGGACCTTGAGGGTGTGGAGGACAGTGACGATGGTAAGTAAAGCCGTATTCCGGAAAGCCGATGTGGCTGACAATGAAATGTAGAGGAACCCATCATGGCTTCGAGGGGTCGCAAAGCTCCCAGCAAAGGCAACAAGGGCTCTACTGCTGCTAGAAAAGCTCCTTCAGCTGGTCCTGAAGGTACACCAGGAGCCGAGAGCAAGCCAGGTGCTGGTGCAACATTAAACCCAAGGACAGAGTTTTTACGTGCAGATTCTGAAGCTCAGCTCGAACAAAACGGTTTCGTGACTCCTCCGCCGGGTACACTTACTCCGCTTGGACCCAATGGTGCAATGAGCGGCGCCGCGGCAAGCCAGGCCGATGCATCTGATATCGATACCGGGAGCTCCACCGTCGGCACCGGACAAGGTGAAGACCCAGATCTAGACGATGCCGAATACAAGACGTGGAAACAGGTCACCAAAAAAGACAGAGCCTTGGTTGCCACTGAGCGGCATCGTCTCTTCCGTGGAGATCACCTCAATGTCGAGGAACCCGCACTCTGTCGTACCAAAGCTGGCATGCGCCGTTGGATGCGCCAGCACAAGACTGCGCTTGATGAAACATCGCCTAATGAAGCGGCTGCCACCGCTGATGGCAAAGATGACGAGCAGCCAGCCACGGGAGAAACGCTTGCTGAGGGCATTGAGGGCGAAGAGGAAGAACGCCAGGTGCCTGATTACTACGACTCTCTCTCCCATGTTCCTGAGCTGAACGATCGGCTGAAATGGGTAGAGGATGCGGAAGGTCAGGTCATCCAACAAGGCGAAGAGTTCCTGCGCATGGTTCCTAAAGGCTACTTTATCTCTCCCAAGAGCAACCTCGCGACAAAGATGGAAGCAAACATGAAGCAGATGCAGGATACCCGCAAGATATGTGCTAAAATCGGCATCGTCAAGCAAATGCAGCTTCAATCACAGGTAAGTCGTTCCCAGGAAATTTTGTATGGGACATCTCTCACCTTCTTTTAGATGTATCAAAATCAGTTCCAGAAATATGATCCACTGCCATTCGAGGAAGCAGATGTTGAGAGTGTCGTGGTATCCGACGAAGGCGCGATCATGTCTCAGTCGACGTGCCGGGCTGCCCTCCAACGCAGCGTGGGCAAGATCTTCTACCACGCTGGTTTTGAGGAGTTTCAGCCTTCGGCCTTGGATGCCGTGACGGACCTTGCTAGCAACTTCTTCACCCAGCTTACTCGGACTTTTAACGTCTACAGGGAGGCGCCTAAAGTCCAAGCAGACCCGGTAACAGCCATAACCAGTGGGTCTGATTGGAAGCCTCGGTTCACGAGCGAGGAGACCGTATTGCATTGCCTGCGCCAGAACGGCGTCGACTTGGAGTCGCTCGATGGTTATGTCAAGGAGGACGTTGAGAGGCTCGGCACCAAATTGGGAGTGATGCACGAGCGCATGAAATCTCACCTGGCAGATCTTCTTGTAAGTTCAATCGGGTCCATATCCACACTGAGCGGTCCTAATCAGCATGCAGCGGCCCGCACTCGACCCCAATGCAGGCCCGGATGGCGCCGGTGCTTTCAACGACGACAGCGAGCAATTCACATCCGGCGACTTTGCGGACGAGATTGGCGAAGATTTCTTCGGCTTCCGCGAACTTGGCCTCGACAAGGAACTCGCTTCCTTTGCCGTGCCCTTCCACCTTCTCCAGAACCGCATCAACAACGCCTACCAGGCGCAGAACGCCAATGCCGCTGCTGCCGCGGGAAACCTTTGGGAAGAGCCTCCGCCGTACGAACCTGTTACCATCCACACCGTGCGCAGCGAAATTGGATTGGTCCAAGGTTGGTTTCTTGAGAAGTTGCATGCGAATGGCGATGAGCCTCTCGTCGAAGATGAGAACCTCCCGGCCAAGCAGCGCTTCCCCAAACCGCGCCTTCCGCCTACAGGCAAGATTAGCAGCCCACGCAAGAGGCCATTGCGCGAGCAGCAGATGCTGGCGAAGAAGAAGCGCAAGCTGGAGGAGAACCACGGCAGTCAAGACCAGAGCTCGACCCAGAACGCGGCCAGAGGCATCGCAAAGCCGGTGGGCAAATTGAAACTGGAGCCATCGGTGAGTAAAGAAAACCTGGCAGAGCCGGAGAAGGATGATATGCCGGTGGGTATGATGAGTCCGGAAAGTATCAACGGGGCGGCCTGAGCAACTTATGTCGCCCTGTTTTTGACATGCGAGATCGCATTTTTCCCATTCCTCTTAAGTTGCCTCGACAACTTTTTGGCCCAAGTTGCCTGGTCGTTGTCGACATTCGCTCATTGTCGATATCATACTTCGTTTTTCGTCTCTTTTTTCTGGTCTATGGACATCCATGTCCGCCTTTAACGATTTGGAAGAGCGTCCCTGGTCCCTTTGAAGCCCCGACGGCGCGGAATCTGAAGGAAAGAGAGTATTCGCATATAGGTGCGGCATTCCTGGTGGCAGACTATTGCATTCAGTTTTTTCTTTTCGGCGTTTGGTATCTTTTTGTGAATAGCCGACCGGTTCTTTGGTTGGGTTCTTTTCTTCTTTTTTTTTTACAAGGTGCGGGGGTGTGGGTTGGGATGGGACCGTGTTGAGATACCCGCAGCGACAAAGTGAAATATTTCTTTCTTCTTTTTTTCATCTTCTCTTTTTTGCTCTTTCTTTTTTCTTAGTCGTTCATCTGCTTCAATTACGATTCGAGGGGAGCGATATGAACTTCGACGGAGTTGAAGACGGCGGAGCGGATGGTTGGAGCGAGGAATGGCCAGACGAGAAAGAGAAGAGAGCGGGTGACTATGGCCTCGATGTTTGTATGTGCCGGAGATTAATGCCTGATGCTGGTGCTGGTGCTAATGAAAGCCGCGGGGGCGTTGTATAGAGTCAAAATGCAAACCACTTTTATGGGAAGTTTGCGGTGCCGGGGGGGAGAGGTTCCGAGCGCAAGAAAATTGACAGGCTGGAAGCAGTCGGTCTTATTATATAGGGTCTGGCTCACCCACGGCGGCGGGCGGACACAACTCGGTGCTTGATGCATGGTCCGTCCGTTCAGATGACCCTGGCCGTGTGTTTCTCATGCACGACGCCTTAAAAGGTGCCGGGGTATGACTGGTTTCTTTGTTTGAGCAGCTCGCGTCACCGCAACAACTGGCTGGCTGGCTGGGCGATTTGGCCGACGCAGCAGCGGGTCTGTTTCGGGGGGGCCCACGCACGTGTGTGTGTTGGGCACACAGCCAGGTAGATATTTCAATTTCAAATCTGGCACTCGTCCATTCACGGCATAGCAAGGGCAATCCGAGACGCGGAAGCAGCAGCAGCACGCAATCCCCGAGTGCTTGAGCTGGAGGGGGATCCCAGAAGGCAAACGCGACAAATGATGAGTTGGTGAACGGACCCGAGACACGGTTGCCGCCCGGAACCGCGCGGTCAGGGTACGATCGACAGCCCTGCAGCACGCACCAACCCGGTCCCAGTTCCCCCCATCTCCTCCGACGATGCGTATCTATCGTGGGATTCCTAAGCAGCCCAGCTCTGCTCGCAGCGCGACAAGCTCAAGACTAAGGTCACAGCAGCTTGGTGCTGCTGACTGATCGCTGGCTGGCGGTTGATTGGTAGGTAGGGGAGGTAAGGCTGCCGGATCGACAGCCACACCCGTGGTAGACAGCTTTTCCGCTCTCACCAAACGTCATGATGCAGGCAAACGTTCAGCGCTTCATCGCATCGCGTGCTACAATGATAAGCCACGGTCTCCCTGGTTGGGGATTGCAGCTTTACGCAAACCGGTTGCTACATGTCCATTGTCCTCGTGGGGTGCGGAGGATTCCTGTCGGCTTTCTTTCCCAGAGCAGCAGGCAACGTTGATCCAAGAAGACAAACCCCAGCCGTCCGCGCAGTTACGCTGCACGTTACCAGTTTAGTGCTCACAATTTCCGTGTTCAAACCGCAGCTAGTGACGCAGTTTGGAGCTCACGTTCCCAGGGTCCTCGCCATCCCATGGATTCTTGCGCTGCTCGCGTTAAATGCTTGCCGAGGTATCAAGGTGCCCAAAAACTACTTGACATGTCTTCGCACCTAATCCTGATTCCTTTGCATCTATCCCTTAAATATTACCATGTTCGTTTGATCTCCTTGACGCGCAGAAAAACACCCGGATTCCTATCGATCGACGCCTTCATTTGTCGCTGTGCAAGATGCCGCAGTCACCTACGCGCGATGGCACGACTCAAGCCGGATCTGTTGGCACATCAAAATATGAGGTTCGTGGCGGTTTTCCAATCCTAAGAGCAAAGACATCGCATCTAACCATGCAAAGGGCTCAGAGAAGCAAGGCGACCTTGAAAGCCAGGGCGATGGTTCAAATCCCGGGTTTGGGGACGTGGGGAGAGGGGAGGTGAAAAGGATTGATCCATTCGCCAATGAAGAAGGCGCAGAAGTCAAGTACAGGACAATGTCATGGTTAGTTGATTGACTGCAGGTTGAAGACTTCAGACTAATAGTTGGGCAGGTGGCATGCTGCAGCAGGTACAAACACTCAATTATCTCACGCGAAATATACAGACTAAGCATTGTTTAAATACAGTCATGATTGCGGAGACCATATCTCTCGGCATACTGAGTTTGCCTTCGGTATTGGCATCAATTGGAATAGTACCTGGGCTCATCTTGATCGTGGGTCTAGGTACCATTGCAATGTACACTGGCTACACAATCCACCAATTCAAGATGGCGTACACGCATGTGCACAACATGGCAGACGTCGGCGAGATTCTGTTTGAGCCATGGGGAATGGCAGCATTTGGTCGCGAGTGTATGTGCCAAACCTTGCAATTGTTGGACACAGAGCGATGGCTGATATATTCTCCAGTCCTAGGCGCCGCACAAACACTGTTGCTAATATTCACCATGGCCAGCCATATCCTGACGTTCACTATCGCCCTCAACGTTATAACGGGTCATGCGACCTGCACAATCGTTTGGGGCATTGTTGGGTTGATGCTTTTCTGGTTTTGTTGCCTTCCCCGAACATTGAAGAAGATGGCATACCTCTCGATAGCATCGTTCATTAGCATCCTTGCTGCAGTACTCATCACCATGATTGGTGTGGGTGTCTCGCCACCAGACCCGCACGTCGAAGCTACCGTCACCACTTCCTTTGCTTCCGCATTCCTGTCAACCACCAACATCATCTTCGCATACGCCGGCCATGTTGCCTTCTTCACTTTTATCAGCGAACTCAAAGACCCAAAAGAGTTTCCCAAGGCGATCTGGACGTTGCAAATCTGTGACACCACCATGTACATTATTGTGGCCATTGTGGTGTACAGATACGCGGGTCCGGATGTCGTTAGCCCTGCCCTGGGTAGTACTGATACCGTAGTGAAGAAGGTAGCGTATGGGATTGCCTTGCCAACCGTAAGTACAGATGAGCTGCCTATTACGTATCGAACGAGCGTTGGCTGACGCCTTTCACTAGATCGTCATCGCAGGCGTCATATACGGACACGTCGCCGCCAAATACATCTACGTGCGCATGTTCCGAGGCACGCGACACATGGGCTCGCGGACATGGCTCGGCGCAGGCAGTTGGGCTCTGATCACGCTCGTCATCTGGGTCATCGCGTGGGTCATCTCCGAGTCAATTCCCAACTTCAACGACCTGCTGGCGCTCATCAGTGCTCTCTTTGCCTCGTGGTTCACCTACGGGCTCAGCGGCATCTTCTGGCTCTTCATAAACTCGGGCGGCTGGTTCCGCGACTCCCACAAGTCCTGTCTCGCTGTTATCAACTTGGGCATCGTTGCATTGGGTGCCGCTATTTGCGGAATTGGCTTGTATGCTGCGGGCAAGGCTATTCACGACCATTCTGCTGGTAGCAGCTGGTCTTGCGCGGACAACTCGTCGACGTGAGAGTGGATATGCGGCGTTGTTGCATTACATGAAATGCATAGTATTGTTGTTCTGGTAAGACAGGCTTGTGTTTTGATGAGTTTAGTGTGAGACATGCTTTGACTATATGTACAACGGCGATGCTTGGACCCATGGGTAAGTTGCTGCAAAGGAATCCTACTCCGGTTAGAGTCGTCCGGATGGATTGTATTATCTAGGTTTTTATTGAGTAGTGAGTTAAATAAATGGTGGTGGCTGGTGAATAGCTCAGACGGCTTCGTGTTTCGACGTGACAAGGAGGAATTGGTGATTCGAAGACCAGTCATTTTCGAAATCGAACGGGTCTTTGTCTGAATTAACACAAACGAATTGATTTTAAGCTCCAAGCCCTGGTGCGAGTGTTTACGGTGCCTCAGGGGTGAGGTGGGATGGCGGCGGGCGGTGAGGAGTTCTGCCGCTTCGACAATTTGTACAGCGACACGGCCAAACGCGCAGCTAACCCGTCCGCAACCCCTCCCTGCTATTTCCCCAAGCTCCTCTTTGCTCAGGAGTCTCTTCACCGCGCCATCTTCGGCATTCCTATTACGCGCAACTCGCCCTAGGAGCCCGCCGAGCCTCGACTTCCAGCCATGTCGTTCGGAGGCCAGACCCCTACCATTGTCGTGCTGAGGGAAGGCATGTCACAACTTGCTCCGCTGCGGATGGCATTTCACTGACTTTTGCACCAGGTACGGACCAGTCCCAAGGTCGCGGCCAGATAATATCCAACATCAACGCCTGCATTGCCGTGCAGTCGACCATCAAGAGCACTCTGGGACCGTATGGCGGGGACCTGCTGCTGGTGGACGAGAATGGCAGGCAGACTATCACCAACGACGGCGCAACCGTCATGAAGGTACGCTGGCGCCCATTGTAGCCTGTTGTTTTCCCCCTCCGATGCTAAGATTGCTCGACAGCTCCTCGACATCGTACATCCCGCGGCGCGCATCCTGACGGACATTGCGCGGTCACAAGATGCTGAGGTCGGAGACGGCACCACGTCGGTCGTCGTGCTTGCCGGCGAGGTTCTGAAGGAGATCAGGGAGCACGTCGAGCAGGGAGTCAGCAGCCAGACCATCATCAAGGGCCTGCGGAGAGCGTCGGCCATGGCCGTCAACAAGATTAAGGAGATTGCGGTCAACACGTCCGAGGGCAACCAGAGGGAGACGCTGCAGAAGCTGGCCGCCACGGCCATGAACAGCAAGCTCATCAGCAGGAATTCCGACTTCTTCACCAAGAGTGAGTCGCCTCGTCGCGCTTTAGGAAATGATGTGCTAACAGGGGATAGTGGTCGTCGACGCTGTCCTGTCTCTCGACCAGGACGACCTCAACGAGAAGCTCATTGGTGTGAAGAAGATCACCGGTGGTGCTCTGCAGGACTCGCTCTTCGTCAACGGTGTCGCCTTCAAGAAGACCTTCTCCTACGCCGGTTTCGAGCAGCAGCCCAAGTCGTTCCAGAACCCCAAGGTTGTCTGCTTAAACGTTGAGCTGGAGCTCAAGAGCGAGAAGGACAATGCCGAGGTCAGGGTGGAGCAGGTGTCCGAGTACCAGGCCATTGTGGATGCCGAGTGGCAGATCATCTTCAACAAGATGGAGGCGCTGTACAAGACGGGCGCCAAGGTCGTGCTGAGCAAGCTGCCCATTGGTGACCTGGCAACTCAGTACTTTGCCGACCGCGACATCTTCTGTGCTGGTCGCGTGTCGTCGGATGACATGGAGCGCGTCGTGCAAGCCACGGGTGCCGCAGTCCAGTCGACCTGCTCGGACATCCAGGAGCAGCACCTGGGCACTTGCGAGCGCTTCGAGGAGAGGCAAATTGGTGGCGAGCGCTTCAACTTCTTCGAGGGCTGCCCGGCGGCCAAGACTTGCACGCTGGTGCTGCGTGGTGGTGCGGAGCAGTTCATCGCCGAGGTTGAGCGGTCGCTGCACGACGCCATCATGATTGTCAAGCGCGCCATCAAGAACCAGTCGATCGTGGCGGGCGGTGGCGCCTGCGAGATGGAGGTGTCGGCATACCTGCACGCATTCGCGGACAAGAACGTGCCGCACAAGCAGCAGAGCATCATCAAGGCGCTGGCGAAGGCGCTGGAAGTGATTCCGCGCCAGCTGTGCGACAACGCGGGCTTCGACGCGACGGACATTCTGAACCGGCTGCGGGTCGAGCACCGCAAGGGCAACACGTGGGCGGGCGTCGACTTCACGAACGAGGGCATCGCCGACAACCTGGAGCGCTTCGTGTGGGAGCCCAGCCTGGTCAAGGTCAACGCGATCCAGGCGGCCGTCGAGGCGGCGTGCCTGATTCTCTCGGTCGACGAGACGATCAAGAACCAGGAGAGCCAGCAGCCCCAGGCGCCTCAGCGCGGCTTGCCGCCCGGCGCGGCGCAGCGCGCGCTCAGGGGCCGCGGCCGTGGCATGCCTAGGCGGTAGATTCTCGACGACGACTGATGATGACGGTGGCGGCTGTGGCGCGGTGGCGGAGGCGTGAGAGAAGGGGGCGCGGAGATCGTGTTGTTGTTGCTGCTGCTGCCATCATTCATCATCTACAATGTCTTTGTAATGGTGCATAGTAGAAAGAAGAACAGGGAAATACAAAAAAGCTACATGTGCAATGCATGCAATGATGAGCACGTGCTGGTTTTATCTCATGAGCTTCACTGTGATACTATGCCGCTGGTGTTGCCTTTCTCTTTGCCCTCCTACTTACTTCCGCTACGTCTATATACATGCAACAGCGAGATCCACCACCTGAGGTAACAAGCCAGTGAAGCACACAAGCAGTCTGTCCCTAACGACCCCCTCCCGCTTCTTGCCCAGCTACACGCCTAAGACCTAAATAAATTAATTATAAGTAAGCAAAACAGTCCCAGAGCGCACACGCACTACAAACATCCTGACAGTATTTCTGCTTCTACTCCATACACTCACTGACTATAATCTCGCGGGCGACGAAGCCCGCTCAACACTGACGAACGTGACGTGACGTTACTGTTGTCAAAAATCACCCTGCTAAGTCCGGACAGTGCTCCTCCGCCCCGGCCCCTTCACTGACCGCGAATGGTTTGCTGTTTTAGGTACAGTAGGAGTACAGTAGGTACAGTACAACACACACACACACACACACACACACACACACACACGCATGTGCCGGGTAGATGGGTGTTCGCGTCTTCGTATGCGATGCGGCTTATCAAGTTGTATGGTCAAGGAAGTAGGGGCGCGAGGGCAAACAGGTGCGTGTAAGTATAGAGTACTGTACTGGATAAAGGATAAAAACCATAGTATATAAAACACCACTGCCTGCCTGACTACCACCTAGCACGCTAGCTAAGATCTTCCTTCTCGTGTGCTGACGCTGCTTTTGTCCGCACTGTAACTATAACTGTCTACCTGGCTTCTCGAGAGCCCTCGCCACACTCTACTTAGACGGCAAGTCAAGTCAAGTCAAAGCAAGCCAAGCCAAGCCAGTCGAACAAAGACACAAACCGAATCGATGGATAAACAGATGACCTGGGCGGATGGAAGGACGGGACGGACGGCGGAGGAGGAGCGCAAAAAACAACAACAACAAAGCAAGCAAGCCAACAAGCAAGCCCAAAATGCGCACTAACACTGCTATTTTTCCTGTTCCTGCCTGTCTCTTCTTCCCTTTCTCTCTTTCTTTAGCCCCGAACAGCTAGCCCATTATTTTGCTACATTGTCGCACATTCAGCAGCAATAATAGTAGCAATAGTAGCAACCCGACTCGACTCAGTCAATCAATCACTCAATCAATCAACCGGCCTCGTCATACCCCCCCACACCCGCAGTGTCTTTCCCCCCTTCCCCTTCCCTCTCCTCTCCAACTACAGTAGCAACAGGCGCAGATACCTTTTTTGTTTCTCTCCATTCCATAATCCCTGGATATCATATGCAAGCTCTCTTTCTCGGCGTCTGGTCCTCTCACAAACTCCTCGTCCCCATCTGCCTGCCTGCCTTGTCGTGGTACACGTCACTTTTAGGCGCGGCCAGCGAACGGCGAGCTCGCTGTCACGGCCGTGCTGGCGCAGGTGGAGCGCTTAGCCAAAGTAGGCGCGCACCGTGTGCTGGGTCTGCTGGTCGAGGCCGGCGAGCAGCTGGTTGGCGTCCAGGCCGGCGGTCTGCACGAGGTGCTTGGTCGCACGTACAACCTGGCTGGCAATGTTGCCTTGCAGCGTCTCGGCCTCGAGGGCTTGTGCTACGTAGGCGAAACATTGCTGTGCCCTGTTCATGACGGCGGGGTTGTTCCTGCTCAAACAATCAGTTACTGAATATATCTCAATCAAGGTTAGGGTTAACGTACTGGTCAATGAGCTGCGCCAGGAATGCGTACGCAAACGGCGCCGCCTCCTCGTCATTGGTGATTGGCAGCGTGTTGACCCAGGCGTCGACGACCTCCTGAACGTTGGCGACCTTGGTGTTGTTGAAATGCAGAATCTTAGCAATACTCGCGCAAGCATTCTCCGTCGCGAAAACGTCGTCATCTTCACGGGCGTTGGGGCGCTGGATGACCTCAAACAGAGCCGGAAGGCAGGCGTTAACAAAGTCGGACCAGGCTTCACCGCCCTTTTGGGCGGCGACACCAACACCGTAGACGGCCGCTTGCCTGTTGGCAGCGACATTGTCGCGCATACCGTTGACGAGAGGCTCAATTATGTGCTGGCTGTAGTTCCACGACTGAGAACCGCAGAACTCGAGAACGTCGTCCAGAATGCAGATAGCCCATTGCCTCTGGGTGGGGTCAGGGTTGACTACGAATGTAGTGTAGAAGCTGAGCAGACGCTCCCAGTGCGGCAGGAAGGCAACCGTCATGTTCTGGAAAATAACATGGAAAGCCTTGTTCATATCCGAAAGCAGAGTCTGGTCATCCTCGATGGCGAAGGCGACTTCCTCGGATAGTTCCTCATCATCCGCGTCAGCCTGATCCTCCAGACGGGCCTTGACACGCTCCTGGTACTCCTCAAGAACAGACCTGGCAGCCTCGATAAAGGCAGCCATGTGCTGGTCAGTGAGACAGTTCTTGCCAAGAACCTCCACGCACTCATAGAAGCACTGGTACATTTCGGCCAAGGTATCAATGGCGGGTTCGGTGCTGAGAACCTCGAGGACCTTCTCCGCCGTCCTTTGCCAAAGCTGGGCAAGCTGAGGCGATGACTCGCCGTGCGCCTTCTTGTAGGAGTTCAGAAGCTGAGGCACACACTTGGCCGAAGCGACACGGACAGGGTCGTGGAAAAAGAAGGCTAGACCGGGAAGAGCGATCTTGTCCATGATCTCGTGGACGTAAGGCTCAAAAGCTCCTTCCAGGACTTGAGCATAGATGACGATGAGCTCGATAGCCATGTGCTTGTCATCGAGAGTGCTGGTCTTGATGCCAATGACCTTGCCCTTGAGGGGAACAAGCTCCCAGCCCTCCTCTTGCTCGACCTGAGCAACCTGCTCCTCGTCATCCAGAAGCTGGATGTCTGCCTTAGCACCAGCAAGCTCGGTGAGAGGAGGAATAACAGCGGGCAGGTAGGGGAGGAAGTCCGAGCCGAGAACGCGGCACATGCGCCCCCAGCAGTGCAGGAGATAGGAAGCTTGAGGGTCGTCAGGATCGGAGATGTTTTGCTGGATTTGACCGAGAAGTTGCACGAGAGCAATAGCGTCCTGGCCCATCTTCTCCTTGCCGACAGCCAGAGCAATCAACGTAGCGCACTCCATAGCCTTTGCCCGAAGTAACCTGTACTCCTTGGATTGCTCCTCCTTGAGAACGTTGAACAACAGTGGCATAAGGGTATCGTAATATCTTGCGAAAGCCGCCTCAGCGGAGTCGGCAACGGTGGCAATGGTGGAGAGAGCCTGCTCCTGGACAAAGCGCTTGGGGCTCTGCAGGAGCTGCAACAGGTGGCTAAGAAGAGTGTCCAGGTAAGGCTCGAGGACTTCCTTCTCGGCTTCCTCGCAGAAGTTGACAAGTGCCGCTGCGGCGTGTGCTTGCACGCGAGGCTCAGCCGACTCGAGGACAGGGATGATGTTGGAAAGGACGACTTGGTGGTATTTTTCTTGCATAGTGCCTGCAAAGTCGGTGCTCATCTGGCCGAGAGCATTGCAGCCTGCCCACCGCACACGCGGATGCACATCCTGCAGAGCGGGAACCACCAGGTCAAGGACTTTGTCGAGCTCGCCGACCATGAGCTCCCGGCAGCCCTCAGAAATGGCGGAGATGGCCATCAGAGCTGCATGCCTGTCGCGCCAAGCAGACGAGGTCATCATACGCGGTAACCAGTTGAAGGTAGGGGGCAAAATGGCACCGCCACCGAGTTTATTGGCAAGACGGTCCATGCACTGCTCACCCGCAACATGGTTAAGGTCGTTCTCGTCAATGTCGAGCTGATAGGTTAGCCCATACTTTCCTATACTGAATGAACATGCGCTTACATCTTCTGAAGCATTCCACTCTTCGGCGTCCTCATCGTCTATCCCGACGTCCGTCATGAGCGACAAGCACTGGGTGACCATATCAGGGGTGTAGTTGGGGTCCTTCCGGCACATCTGAGGGCTGCAGTCGGCGAAAGTGGCCATGAGCTCGAGCGCATTTTGGCGCGCCTGGTCGTCAAGCTCCTTGTCCTGGATGACCGTGATGCTGAAGTTCACCAGGGCATTGAACACGGCCTTGAACATCTTCGGAGCGATCTCGGCAAGGTCGATCAACGCAACAAGGGCCTTCGACAGCTGATCCGAATCATTTGCCTCCTTGATTGGTGGAAGGATGTTAAGGATTTCGCCAATCAGGGCGTAGTACTTCTGCTGGGACTTCTTGTTTATCGAGCGGAAGAAGGATGCAAAGGCCTCCATGGCCGCGATACGAACCTGGGAGCAGTCAGCTTACAACCCTGGTTGACTGCACGAAGAGTACGATGATTCAGCAGAAATCATCGACTCAACGCCAAAGCAATGCGTGCGCAACAACCGACGAGCTTGAAAGCCTCGTGGGAATGGAAATCAATTGCGAGTCGGGTGCTCGTACCGAGATGCTGTCATCCTTGAAACCCCTCGTGAATGCGCCGAGCACGGTGTCCTCGTGCTGCTTTTCGATAATTCCCGGCGTAGTCGCAAATATCCTAAAGGCGCTTTCACGCTGACCCGGCTCGGGAGACTGGCTTGCATTAAACAAGGAGCCCAAAAGTTCAGGCCACGGTTCTCCTAATGGGGGAGCTGTCGTTAGCAGGCATCCTCGTGCAGGTACCTTGGTGGAAAATCGTACCCTCCTCAGTGTACTGCCTAGCGAGCTCCGCAATAGCGTCGCCGACTTTGTTCCGGACATGCGAAATCTGCTCGCCCTCGAGGCACTGCAACAGCTTTGCGCGGATGGCATTGCGCTGGGCTTGTTGAATGGTCAAGAAAAGCTCTTTGGAGCCTTCCGAGGTAGGGTCTTTCCGTGTTTTGGTGGCCATGCGGCGGAACAAAACCGAGGCGAATGAACGCGTCTGGACGCCTGATAATCAGCTCTTGCCCAGTGACCAGTGACACCATGCTCTTGTTCTCACCGCGGGATCCTCGGCCAGCTGTATTTGCTCGGACAGGCCCATAAGCAGGACCTCGGGCCTGCCAACCACCCACTCGGAGGTCAGGCTTTCTTCTGCCTGGGTGCGCAGGGCATTGTCGGCGGATTGCAGGCCGGCCAGCAGCTGGGACAGGGCCGTGTGGACTTCGGGCGGAAGCATCGACATGGTGGATGCGAGGTGCCCCTCGGTGGGAGCCGTGGGCGGGAACGGGAAGTGGTGAGGCTTGCGCGGTTGCGCACGGCGATCCGGAGCTGCACGACACTGCAAGGAGAGGGCGGGAGCGAGTGGCGGTGGGGGAGACGCTCGCGTGCTGGGGCCTTCGAAGAAAAATGGACGAAGGCGGGCGGGTGTTGTGGAGGGAGGGTTGTGGTTGAAGGTCCCTTGCCAAAAAAGTACGTGGGGTGCTTGTTCCAAAAATCTCGACCGACAACACGGAAGCCAAGCCTGGCGCAAATTGGCTACAGCCGATCACCGCGCAACAACATCGATTGGCACCGCCCGGGGCAACGGCTACCACCACCACCTCTTTTTTGTCAGTTGCACAGAGGCATGGATTAATTGAGGTATCTCCTTGCGCCGGTCCAAGCACCGCCCACTGCTCCCCGCCCGAAGCTACAATACAAATGCTACACGTGAAGAAAGAACGCATCCTTCGCTGCCCATGACAACCGGCCATTTACCGGCTCGATGCCCGCCCCAACGCAAAAACACCCGCAATCACCACCGCAAGAGTCACAATCGCTCCCGGCAGCAGCAGCTCGTTCGGCACCCCCGAAATCACCTGCTCTCCGCCCTGCGGCGCCGACTGCCTCCGGCGCCGCGGCTTCTCCACTTCCTCCTCCTCCTCGTCAATGTAACTCCTCCGCTCCCTGATTGTCGACTCGGGAGGCGTCAGTGGCTTCGGGACGTCAGGCTGAGGGTTCACTGTCGAGGGGATGGGTGACTGGTCGGGGTTATGCACGAAGAGATCCACCTTGTCCCGATGGCCCATGTGTGCGAGGCTGATGGCCTCGATGAGGTCCCGTTCCGTGGTAATCGACACCGAGTCGCCTTCGTTGTCGAGGTAGCTGAGAGCGAAGCCAGTCCGGCTGAGCTTGCCGTCCTCAACCGTAGGGACACCTCCAACAACGTCGACTTCGCTGCCAAGCTTCTCCGTGACCAAGAAGATCAGTTCGGCCATACCCGCGGCTGGTGCGACTTGCAAACGATGCGTCCGGCCGCTCGGTGCCTTGAACTTGAAGGCGAACGGCATGTCCTCCATGGCCATCGCCTGAGAGGGTGCGAGGGCCGAGTGTTCAGGGCTCTCGGCTCCAACGTGTGAAGCAGATTCGTTAGGCATCACACTGTCTCCGCGGTCCAAGAGACCGCCAGTACGATGCATCTCCGGGGAAATCAACGACCTACCACCTTCGGTACGGGGATGGTGGCTTCCGCCCTCGCCAGACATCATCGACTCCGTCTCATTGTCAAGTGAAAGCCAGAACTTGTTCCAAGCGGGGCCTTCGTTATCTCCGGTAGACATGGTGTTGATCTAGCATCTTATCAGCGTCTTGCCTCATTCCAAAGTTAGAGTAGCGCTACGAACCTGATCCAAAGTGGCATAGGTCAGTTTGAGCACGTCCACCATGCCGACGATCTCGCCTGCCTCGCTCATCACGGGCAGATTAAGGTAGTGTCCGTCTAGCTCTCTTAGCGCCTGCGCCATCCCGGCCATTTTTAGGAAACTCACCATGCATTTTGCGAAGAGCGGCCTGAATGCTCATGTCTACAGGCGCGAAGTCCGGATGAGGGGTCATAACACGGACCACACTACACGTAGCAGGGTCCAAACCGGCAGCGATGACACGGAGCACAACATCCTTGCTAGTGAAGATACCCGTGATTGACCCCTGGTCCTGAACAAGGACCGCGGTGGTATGGTTGTCCCTCATCTGCTGCGCCGCCTCCTTGACCGAGGTTCTAACGGAGACTGTGGTGGGAGGGAGACCGGTCAAGACAGTCTCAAGTGTTGGGCCCGACATCTTCGCGCGGATAGCCTCCACATACTGAATGACCTGCTGAGGCTGGCTGGAACCAAGCTCGGCCTGAACACCCTCCAGCGCATCATAGAGCTTCCTAGACGAGCTATATGCGCGCTCAAGCTTCTCCATAGCATCGTAGAAACATTTCGTGATATCCAGGATACCCGAGATGTCGTGGTTCTCGTCCATGACCGGCAAGTGGCGGAAACCCTTCCTAACCATGAGGTCCAGCGCATCGGTAGCGCTGGTATCAGTCTTTGCGCAAAGAGGGTTCTTGGTCATGATATCCGCAATGGTAATGTCGCGAGCTTTAATACCGGCGCCAACCACACGGAAAGCCAGATCTTTCGCGGTGAAGATACCCGCGATGCGTTCATCATCATCCGTGACCAAAACACAATCCTCGCGCTTCGCGGCCATGAGCTGAGCAGCTTCGGCGACGGTGGTATGCGGCTTGATCTGGAGAGCTTGGCTGGGCTTAAGGGCCAGGACGGTTCCGGGCGGCGCTTTGCGCAAAGGACGAGCGCGACCCTGAGGATTGTTCCTCTTCTTGTTCAGGTCGGTTTCAATCTTCCTGCGGATGGCCTGGCAAAAGTGAGCATTTCTACGCGACGCACAAGGTAGAGACACGACGCACCTCGTCGCGCTTCGACTGCTTGGCCCTGCTGGCGCTGAGGGAGGAGGCGCCGCCGCCGCCGCCGCCGCCGCCGACATGGCTGCCTACTTCACTCTGATGCGCGTCTGGAGAGGGTCGGGGAATACCCGAGTGGCCGTTGCCATAGGAGACTTGTCCCCTGGGTTTGTGATTTCCGCGGAAGCCGCCCACGTTGGACATGGTGGTGGTTTTAAGCTGAAACGGAGAAGGCGAGAGAGGTGGTGAGATGGTGGAGGCCCTGTTGTGGCCCGGGTCTTTGGTGCTGTCCGGGGATGACCTGAGGAGAGGATGCGCTCCGCAAGTTGCTGGGACAAGATTTTGGGGGGGCCAATCTCAAGCACGCGGCTTCTGGATTTGCAGATCCCGAGTACGCCCGAGAATTTCAGCGAGAGCTTGTGACGGGAAGAAAAAGAACGTAAAGAGGGGCACTACAGAGATGTTCAACAGGGTGCTTGACACCGTCAGACCGCCAGACCGCTTTGAGGGCCAACAAATCATAACACTGGCTTTACCAGGGAGGCCTTGCTATGGCGAAGTCACATGAGATGAGGGTCCACTACGGCGACACGGCGGTTTAGGTGAGCTCGTCATGCTCGGAGAATCGGCGCTTCGCTTCCGGCTTTTCGCTCCCACACCTGCTCGAATATACCTCGCCCCATTGCTGCTGGCCAACCTACGACACATCCCACCTTTGAATCTTTTGAGCAACTAACTCGACAGATTCAGCCAAAATGGTCAAGAAGAGGGCTTCCAAGTACGTTCGACGCGCTCCCCGCCCAAGCCGCTCCCGCTAACTTTTCTCCCAGCGGTCGCAACAAGAAGGGCCGCGGCCACGTCAAGCCGATCCGTTGCTCCAACTGCTCGCGCTGCACCCCCAAGGACAAGGCCATCAAGAGATTCACCATCCGCAACATGGTCGAGTCCGCCGCCATCCGTACGTCCTTCCCTTGATCCCCCCGGCATAACGTGGAGGATGTTGTAGAATGGATTTGGACATGAGAAGAACCTTGCGGGAGTCGGGACAAGCGCAATGCTGATGTCTCGCTTAAACAGGTGATATCTCGGATGCTTCGGTCTTCCCTGAGTACACCGTCCCCAAGATGTACCTCAAGCTCCAGTACTGCGTCTCGTGCGCTATCCACGGCAAGATCGTCCGGTAAGTTTACCACTTCTCGACAAGCGCAAACCGGCGCGAGGAGCATAGACTTATTCGCACAGTGTCCGTTCCCGCGAGGGCCGCCGCAACCGTGCTCCTCCCCCGAGGATCCGGTACAACAAGGATGGCAAGAAGATCAACCCCCAGCAGGCCGCTAAGACCGCTGGTGGTGCCGGCCAGTAAATCCGGCAACCGAATCCTTTAATCCAACATTCGGTTTTTCTCTCTTGGCCAGGCGGGGTGTCAGGGGTTCGTTAAAAGGCTCGGTTTTTGCATGATTCCCGACAAAAGCAATGGTGGAATGTCATGAAGTTACGGTGTTCAAGGACCGGGTCCAGAACCATCTCCAGTAACATGGAGAAAGAGTTTCAGGAGATAGCTTAAATGCGAAGACTCCACACAGACAATTATCGTCTCACGATGCGCGCATCGCGACTTGCGACGTTTTGCATTAAATCGCCAATGTTTAGACTGGCGTTCTTCCTGCGACAACATTTGATAGTTGCCTTTGGAGATGTCCGCATAAATGCGCTTGAAGGTTTCTCGGGGATTCTGTGTCAAGCATGTGCCTGTCTGCTCATTGTTGAGCATGCCATATAACTTTTTATTTTGAAGTATTCCTACCCAAAACCAAATGGCGAACCGTCTAAGCTCGACATCAACGCCATAGCGCCTTTCCCCCTTGCATTTACCTGTCAAAGAACGCGCAAAAATGCTTGGTATTATGGCATGTTGAAAACATTAAGATCGGCCCTTGGTCCCAACCCCCGACCGATCTTATCCTTGATACTCTCCCAAGTGACGCCGTCATATCTCCTGCCGGTCAACTGCTTGCCGACGTCCAATGCGTCCGCGTACTTCCCTACGGCGATCCGCCTCATGACAACCGTGTCGCGCGCGCCATGCAGCGTCCTGCCCTTGCCCGCTAGCAGATAATCCTCAAACCACTCCTCTTCCTCGTCGGTAAATGGCAGATCGATGAGCTCGACGCTGCGCTCAGCGCGCTCTGACAACGGGACGAACGACAGGGTCTCGCTGATGAGGATCTGCAGCAGGTTCTTCTGCGTTTGCGAGGGCTGCGCCTGGAGGAAGGCGTACGCTTCGGTGACGGAGAGGCCGGCCAGATAGCGGAAGTACGACGTTTGCAGCGCGGGCGTGGTGAGCGGCGGCTGCACGCAGTTGTAGTAGGCGAGGGGAAGGTCGCGGTCGCTTTCTTGGACGTGCTCGAGCAGCGTCAAGAGCACCTCCGCGGGGAAGGTGGGCAGCAGGGAGGGGTGCGTGAGCGACTCCATCGCGGGTCGGAATTGCAGGTGGTCCATCTCCCATAGGCCTTCCACCACAACCCAGTATTTCTGCGGCAGGTAGCATGATTTTGCGAAGCTGTCGGCTGGGTCCAGGGCCGCATCGGGAGCGCGGCAGTCTCTCAGGATGTAGAAAAGCACCGATTGCTTGTGGTGGTCGGCAATTGGCGCCGTGACGATTCTTTCGTGGAGGTCGCGTAGGTCGGCATTCTTGTGTGGTGGGTAGAGATGGCCGCCTTGAGTGACTGTTAGTTTGCGCCTAGCATATACGGGGCGAATTGGTGTTACTTTTGATATGCAGTTGCGCCAGCAGCTTGTCGAAGAACAGCGTGCCGCCGAGCGTGCGCCGATTGCTGTTTATGCTGGTGATCGTAGTCTGGCTGTACGTGTAGTTGGGGTCGAAGGAGAAGACCGCCTCAAAGTCGTTGACGTCCAGCATCTTGCGCGCTGGTGACACGTCTTGAAGCTGGTTGCGCGCGTGGTGTTGTGTTCGTGAGTTTGTGAGGAAGGCTCGAGTCAGTTCCGCTGCAAGCTTCGTCGTCATGGACGCGCCTCGACGTTTCTCCAAACCTCTTCCCTTCACTTCACCTCCTACATAGATATCAAACTGAAAGTCTTCGTTTCTCAGGATTTACAACTACTACTATGGTCACACAACCTTTCTAAGACCAAGCTGATTTTTGTGCCTACACAAAGTTATTCGCAGAGTCAACCACATGTCTTTAATCGCGTCCACACTCGAAAGCCTCTAGGGCTTCACGGACATCCCCTTGCAAACTACGGGTCTAGTATGTATGGCCAAGAAATTCCTCATTCTCCAAAGTGCCTTTTGTGTACCTGTACCCTGTACCCCTCTGCCAAGTCCATCTGTGGTGAAAGCTTGGTCAAAAGCTCCAGTGAATATGGGAGCCTCCTTCACGAGATGTGAAAGGTAACTCAGTGCTACGGGACTTTCGGTTGAGTTTCTGGTGGTTATCAGTTTCCTTGCAGCAATGTCCGTCGAGAACCAGCAGTGTAGCATGCTTGCCATGCCATTGATAAGCTTCTTATTTCTTCTGTAACCCCTGCCTAGATATAAGTGAATATTTTAGGCCACAGAGGTATTTCCTTGTACTTCCGTTCGGTAGTAGTGCCCTCTATCCTCTCGCTGTCTGCTTCGTCTGCACTTGTTCATCGCAATCCTTATTGCCTGCCTGTCCCCCGGACCTGAGTGCTGGGAGAGAGCAAAACCATCATGATCACACTTGGGCTCTACCGAAAGCAGTTCGGTGCCCTGGCTCTCCTATCTATCACCTTGTTAACTTTTACCATCTGGTTCTACCGCGATCAGGGAGCATAATTACCTTCAAAGGACTCCAGTAGGATCACTTCTACATCATTAAAATATCCCTCATGGCGACTTTCTTGGGACAATGCTCATATACTAGACGGACCGAGAGGATATACTGAAGTCGACTCTGTAATGGATGCCGAAGAAAGGTCATCTCTAGCAGAAACCATAACAGCGGCAACAGCAACGGCATCAGTCAGTACACCTGGAGAAACCTTGGGCAGATGCATGTGCTTACTAACTCTGGCTGACAGGCTACCTTCGCCATTATCTCCCATCTCCCATTCCAGCAGGGAGTAGTCGAACCGCCGACTCACCAATACAAACGTGCAGTTGTCGTCCCGCGGACAAGTGAAGAGGACGTAAGCTGGATCGACTGGGCCTTCGGCAATGACAGTCTCTTGCAAAAAGCAATCTACACCGTCGACGATCCAGTTGAGCCGTATGTCCTGCCTGCCAACAAAGGCAACGAGGTCATGGCGTACCTTACGTTCATCATCGACTTTTATGACCTTCTACCGGATGTTTCAATATTCATGCACGCACACTCTACAGCCTGGCACAACAACGACCTGCTCGAGATGGGCTCTTCACAGATTTTGAAGCGCCTCAACCTGCGCAAAGTCGTCAGAGAAGGCTATTTCAATCTTCGTTGCCATCAGTATCCTGGTTGCTCGAATCGTTTGTTTCCGCTTGCAAAAAATCAAAGCTCAGTGGACGTACCACAAGAAGAGGTGTTCGAAGATGCTTGGAAACAGCTGTTTCCCCTCGAAGATGTCCCGGAAGCGCTGGCGCAGCCTTGCTGTGCACAGTTTGCTGTCTCTCGCGAACGAATTCAAATGCTCCCGTGGGAACAATATATTCACTTCCGCAAATGGGTGCAGTATACGAGGCTGCCGAACAATGTTTCAGGACGCGTCTGGGAGTACATCTACCAGTATATCTGGGCCGGTAGACCGGAATTTTGCCCGAAAGAGAATGTCTGCTACTGCGACGGCTACGGTGTATGCTTCGGCGGCGAAGAGGAATACAACGAGTACTATACGAAAAAGAGAGGGATTGATGAGCTGAAAGCAAAAGGAGCAGAGCAATTCACAACCGAAGGCAGTGTAAGCTGGCCGGTGGACTATGCGAGCCAACTAGACGAGTTGCAGCAGTGGTTGGAGCAAGAGAGAGAGAAGGCGTGGCAGAGGGGCCAAGATCCATCCAATCGAGCCCGTGAGGCCGGGCGGCCTTACATGCCGGGAGACGGGTTCTAGTATGAGGGATTTCAGACTTTGTCGTACGATTCGTCCATCTTTTAATTGGCAAGATAGAGAAGCAGTGGGTTTTCCGTCTCTGATACGTGTATCTGCGCTGGGGAGGGTGGCCAATCAGGAGCCGGATGCGGGAGATCGCCGGACCTCGGCGCCGTGTGGAGTGTGGAGCAGGTCACAACAGCTTGACGCGCCGGCGAAGATGCAAGGCCGGAGCTCTTCATTCTTGCGGTCGCACATCCAGCCTCATGAACAAAGCTGTCCGTCTTTGTTCCTGGCACGCGGTGGCCCCCCGGGGCTCACTTCTCGCCGCTGATTGGACGCGTGCCTGATCAGCAGCCACCGCCATGGAACGTCACCCGCGCCATCCCTAGCCGTGACTGGCGGGGAGATCCAAGTGCCCGTAGCTCGCCAGCTTAAGGACCTACCCCTTCCATCGTAGTATCCTCTCTCAGGGACCCTCAGAAACCATTCTATTATCCACTTATCATCACGAAGCATCGGTACCGGGAGTCAGGGAACTCGAAACACTGCTATCATGCTTGCCGAAACACTACAAAACGGGGCTTCCGCCGCCGTCGACACCACTTCCTCCGCAGCATCTGGCAGCATGGCATCCGCATTACCCTCCCTCCGGACCATTTCCAAGTTCGCCCTGGGCGGCGCCCAGGTCCTGCTGGGATCTGGCGCCAGAGTACGAGGAGGCACTCCTCTGACTTGCTCTAACCCTCAGCTGAGCTGTCAGAACAACACCGTTGTGGAGGACCTTTGCTGCTTCAACTACCCCGGTGGGCAGATGTTACAGACGCAGTTCTGGGATACCCACCCGGTCACCGGTCCCGTTGATTCCTGGACTATCCACGGCCTCTGGTAAGCATCCCCTCTCAGACAACTCATCTCTTGCGCAAATCCACTTACCTTGTCTCAAACAGGCCTGATCACTGCGATGGGACCTTCGATGCGAGCTGCGACTCTTCTCGATCCTACTCCAATATCTCCGACATCCTGACAGCCTTTGGCGAGACGGAAACCCTCACGTTCATGGAGAAATACTGGAAGGATTATAAAGGGGATGATGCTTCTTTCTGGTACCATGAATGGGCCAAGCACGGCACATGTATCAGCACGTTGAGCCCGAAGTGCTACGATGACTATGTCCCGACGCAAGAAGTGCCGGACTTTTTCCAGAAGACCGTGGAGCTATTCAAGAGCCTGCCTTCGTATGAGGTCAGTATGCGCCCTGAGCAATTATTATCGGCAAAACTGACGAAATGAAAATGTAGTGGCTTTCTGAGGCTGGCATTACACCCTCGTCGTCCAAGACGTATACCTTTGCAGAAATCCAGAAGGTGCTATCCGCAAAGCACGGGAATGAAGTTACACTGGGTTGCAAAGGCGGCGCACTCAATGAAATTTGGTATCACTTCGACGTGCGCGGTTCAGTGGTCACTGGAGAATTTGTTTCCGCAGAGCCCGATGGAACGAAGTCGTCTTGCCCGAAGACCGGCATCAAGTACCTGCCCAAGGGCTCAAGCGGCAACCCTACTACGACAAGGACCGCAACTGCCACCAGGACGACCGCCACCACTGCGCCCACAAGCACTGGCTCCTTCTCTGGGAAGGGTCATCTCATGGTCGAGGTTGGCGGCTCGAGCAACGGCTGTATCATCAGCAAGGGCACGTGGTACACATCGGGCACCTGTGCCACCTTTACTGCCGCTGACAGCGGCGACGGATTCACCCTGAGCAGCAGCAAGGGCGACTGCGGCATCGCAGATGGTGCTTTGACCTGCGGATCCGGCGTCAGCGAAGCCACTGTCTTTACGGCTGACGGTGGCAACCTGGCAGCGGACAACAGCACTGCGTTTTATGCCGACAAGGTTCCCTCGGGCACGACACAGCAAACAGTTTATACGGAAGAGAGGGACGAGCAGCTTGTCATCACTTGGAAGAGCGCTTAACGCATGGAAGATATGTTTGACGCTGATTAGATGGATGTCATAGAATGCATGCTCTTACACATACACGATGATGTCGATTCGCTGTGAGTACTGGACTTGGTTGGCGCTGACTTACCGGAAAAGAGATATTTTGGAGAGCTGAATACTGCAGTTGCCACCAACATGAAAGCAAAACAACCTCAGGCAACGTTTGGAAGATCTTATACTCGGATCGAGAAACCACTGAGCAGGAATCAATCTACTCGGCAGGCAGGGCCGGGGTCGCCGCCCGCTTAACCGAGACCCGTGTTTATTCTCCAGGCTCCATGCACGCTTGAGGCCAGCTCCGGCGCAACAGCCCACACCTATTATTGCCTCGTTCCCGAGCGGAGTCGCCATGCATGCAATCGCAGTACCTCGGACACCCAGCTGGCCCGGGACCAGTTCAACCCGCACAACCTATGCCGGAAAAGGCAGCCAACGGATGGGGGCCGAAAGCGCTGGTCAGAAGAGATCAAAGATCCCACAGAATAGGTTGAGAATACGGCCAGAGGGCTTCTTGGCTTGGACTTAACAGGCAGGTGAGAGCACGCGGGATGAGGCTCGCCCCATCCCGCGCAGGGATTCGACGCAGGGGTACTTCCCCTCGCGAGCCATGCCGTATGGACTAAGTACTGGGGAAGCACCGCCGGCCGTGTCAGACGCCAATCTTGCGAGAGGTATCCGTCTCTCTCTTCTGCTCGTCCGTTCGTTTGCGAAAACTACGAACTACCACTCCTTTTCGCGCGAGCCATGAGCCCTTGACTCCTCGCGCGCAATGACGCCAGACCACCAGGACAGCCTGGAGTACAGCAATCTCGAAGTGAACGAGGCCGCGCAGGCGCCGTCGGAAAAGGCGCGCACGTCGCGCTTTCTCGAGGGCGAGCAGAACGACGAGGACGATGTTGGACCGTTGCCCGAAGTGCCGTATAGCAACCTTCCGGAGGCGAAGCACACGGACTTCCCGGAGGTCGTTAATACGTCTCTGCCCGAGGTGATTGACAGCACGCCCCCGGAGACGGCGCCCGCGGACAGGAGCCCCAGAAAAGCAGCGATATGCGGGCTGCGGCGGCGGACGTTTTTCATCGTGCTGGGCGTGGTGGCCTTGATTGTCGTAGCAGCCATAGGCGGCGGGGTAGGAGGCGCACTCGGCAACGGCAAATCATCGAGCTCGAGCAGCGAGAGCGCGAACGCGGACGTCTCGGACCCGGGAAGCTCATCGGCGGGTGGAGATGATGGTGACGACGGGAATTCGACAGGCAGCGCAAGCCTATTGGCGAGCTCGCGGCTCGCGGCCCTCAACTACACGGACGAGTACAACCACACCAACTACCTCGTCTACTTCCAGGCCAACACGAGCCGGCTGTACCAGACGGCGTGGAACTCGTCGACGGCGGACTGGACCGTGCGGCCTGTGACAGGGGCGACGGACGACGTGGAGACAGGCACGCCGCTGTCAGCCAGCATTTTCTGGCACCGCGAGAACGTAAGCACAGAGGTTTCCTTTGCCTTTCCCCGGCCCACCACCCAGCTCACACACCCACCCTACTCACAGTACCGCGACCTACGCCTCTACTACCTCAACCGCACGCACCACATCCACGGCATCATCAGCAGCGACGGCGGCGCGCACTGGAAAGCGTCCGGGATAGTCGGGCAGTTCGAAGCGCGGGCGTCGTCGCGCCTGGCCTCGTACGGCCGCGAGTGCGCCGCCTGCCTCACGCAGAACATGCTCGTGTACGAGGACCCGGCCGGCGCGTTGCGCGTCGCCTCGCCCGAAAACGGCGCCTGGACCGCCGTGCCGGTCGATCTGCCCGCTGATGTACAGCTTGTCAATGGCACGGATATGGCGCTCGCGCCCGTGTATACGGATGAGGCGACGAAGCGTGTGGTCCTGTTTGTTAATGGGGGGAAGTTGGTGCGCTTGGCGTGGGACGGGAAGAGCTGGAGTAGTGGTACGTATACCTATTTATCTACACACACACACACACACACACACACACACATGCATACATACATGCATACATACCTACCCACCTACCCACTCAGTGCGCATAAACTCACTCTCACCCCCCGCAACAGAAACCACGCCCCACACCCTCGCCGCAAACGCCTCCTTCGCAGCCCTCTCCACCGGCCAAAACAGCAGCAACAGCGGCGGTGGCACCGCATCCACGCTCTCCTTCTCCGTCTTCATCACCAGCACCAACGAAAGCGACAGCGACAGCGCCAACAACACACCCATAACCCTCCTAACAAACGCCTACACCAGCACGACGAACAACAGCGCCTGGCACGCAGGCCCCGTGCCAGCCCTGCGCGCCGTGCACGCCGACACGGCGCTCGCGGCGAACCAGGCGGGGCGCGCATACGCGGTTGCGGTTGCAGACGACGAGGAGGGGGCGCCGGTGGTGGTGCAGGTGAGTGGGTTTGTGGATGCCGGGGCGGAGGGGGTGGTCGTTGAGAGGGTGGGGGTGGATGTGGTGTGATTGGGGAAGGGAAAGAAGAGAGTGGGGCTGGAGAGGTGGTTTTGTGGTTTTGGCATGTTTGCTTGATACCCTTGGCGCTGGATGTTGGATGCTGGTGGTGGGTTACATGTCTAGGCCTAGCTATGGGGTGGCGGGTGCGCGTGGAGTTTGAACTGGTTGGCTTAAAATGCGGGTACTCGTAATTGAGCGATAAATAAACTAAACGCTAAATACTATATCTAAGAATAACGATAAAGCATTGTTTGAGCCACGCGACTCTTGTACAATTGTGCTGGTTGATGCGGATAGAATATATTTAATAATTCTTTAGTACGCAGAAAGGTAGTAATTAACGGGCAAGTTTTGAGGGGTGGGTTAGACAGAGTAAGGCTGACTTTGGTAGATGGGAATATTTCTATGCTAGCTGTGTTAACTATTAATATGGGAATCCTTACTGGTTAAGGTTAGAAGATAGGCGAATAGCCGTCGAGAGTGATATCTTTCTCCCGGAACAGTCTACTGGCTTGCTGGTTAGATTGTTATTTTATAAAAGGATGCCCGGGTGACGCATTCTGAGAAAATTACACCTTGGGCGTCTGTTCGATACTCTTTTCAGGAAATGTATTCATTTATTTACATATTCATTCTTGTTCAAGTGTTGGAAGTCAGTCTCAAGGCTGCTTACTCTATGTATATCTCGGCTACATTTATCAAGAAAGTCTTGCCACCCTCGCGTCCCCCAATCAGTCTATCGTTCTAGGGCCAAAACCAGCATATCCGGTAAACCTTAACCGCACATAAGCATGCCCACAGTATTCAGCTCCGAATCCTACTCGAGACAGATGCCACAGAGACGGTAGTGCTTGCGGCAGCTACGACACTCAAACACCAAACGGTACGTCCTCTTGCGGCAGGTCCTGCAATAAAACGGGCCCCAAACCACCTTCTGGTATCGCTCGGCGGCAAGCTTCCAGTCGTGCGAGTCCAAGTGGCACACGCGAACGGTGCGTGAGGCTTGAAGGAAAGGCAATGGAGTCTTCAGGTAGCATTGTGCACACGCACGGTACCGACAATCTTGACATTCGAAGATGCAGGCGAGTTTGCGGTTGCCGCATCCGTCGCACGGGAAGTAGCGCCGTTGGGATTGTTCAAGCCGGAGCGTGTTGTAGTTGTAGTGGTTGCACTCCTCGTGCAGGTAGCATACCGTGCCCTTGTCCTCAGCGTGTGTGTTTTCGGAAAGTTTGCTCTCGTCTTCAGCGTGTGTATCTTCGGAATCCTTGCCCTTGCCCTCGCCCTCGTCCTCGTTCTGGCTATGCACATCATCTTCGAGCCTCGGTCGTACATTTCTGCCGTTCTTGCAATCGCAGCACGCACGAACGTGGCATGAGCAGCACTCGTAGATCAAATCATGCTTTGCGTGTCCGCAATGTTCGCAGCTGTGTCGTCCTTGGACAAGGTTCCAGTAGTTGTTCTTGCAATCATGATAGTCGAGGAGCCGAGGCGCGTTCAAGCCGCCTCCATGCATCATACTGGCACCGGTGCCTAGATGAACGCGTCAGTCAGTCAGTCGGTGTGGAGGTGAGGATAGGATGGTAGGCACTGACGCGATGTACTTGTATCCACGCCGCTCAGTCCTGTGGCATGTCGACGCGGTGATAGAGGACAGACGGGTAAAGTGCAGCACCAGCAGCAGGCGAGAAGTCGAGTATTTATGAGGTGTAGGCGGGCAAGAGCTTGCCTGCGAGGCAAGAGCCCATCAAGAGGCAAGAGCTCCAGAGAAACGCACCAGCGAGGCAGTCGCGACCCAGGCGCGCGTCCAGCCGTAGCTACCATGGTATAGATATGAACATGATGAACATGAAAAAGAAAAAAAAGAAAGAAAAAATGCTGTATTCCATCCGCAGCGCATAACTACGCAGAACCAAACAAGAAAACAGGCGAGAAGAGCGCCAACACCCTATTAGAAAATCTTGGACAACACTCTCTTGACCTCCTCCGGCTGCTCGACCGCGCTCTCCTTTGGAAGTTTCCTGCTCTTGACCTCGTTCTGGCGGAACAGCAACGCGGGCCTCCCGCCATCATCCGCCCTCTTCTTCGTCTCCCCCGCAGCAGCACCAGCACCGCCCTCCGCTGCACTCTTCTTCTTCCTTTTCGCCTCCATACCGCCCAGCATCTTCGCCCTCTCCACATTAGCGACAAACTCCTTATTCTCTCTCGTACTGCGCGCAATCTCAGCCCTGAGCCTGCCCGCCCTCTCAGCATTCTCATTCTTGATCTGCTCCGTGAGATGATGCCACTTGAAGCCCTTCAAGTAGCGCAGATTCCAGACATCGTCATGGTAATAGCCGCCCTTTTTCCCGCCGATAATGCGCGCGTTCAGCAGCTCCACCGCCGCCTTCGCTTGCCGCTTGTCCACAAACTCGACCCACCCGTCAATGAAGCTGCGCTTTTTGTTGCCGCCGTGCGCCTTGCGCCGCGCGTACACGGCCGGGTCTTCGGGCGTGAGGAACACGCGCCCGATGCTCCCGTGCTGCTGCAGAAGCGACTTCACTGTTGCGGGCTTCATGAACGGCGGGATCCGCGATAGGTACACGACGCCGGAGCGCTTGGCCGCTTTTTGCGATTTCAGCAGCTGCTTCTGCGAGAGCAGCTTGATGGCCTTGGGGTCGCCGAGCCGGTCGTTGCCGTCATCGTCGTCGTGCGAGTACGCTTGTTCGTCGTCGTTGTCGTCGTTGTCGTGGTCGCCGGCGTCCTCGTCCTGCTCCGAATCGCCCGCGGCCTTGCTGCTGCCTTTCTTCCGCCCGCCCTTTGCAGGCGGCGGAGTCTCATCCCTCGCCTCGCCCTCCGACTCGCCCTCGCTCTCGTCGTCCTCGTCCTCGTCGTCGGTCTTGCGCCGCTTGGACGCGCGCCCCGCGAGCGCTCGGCCTCGGCTTGCTGCCTCCTCGGCCTCGGAGTCGTAGCCGGCCTCGCCGTCGCTGGCATCATCGTCGTCGGCCTCGAGCCACTCGTTGCGCTTGCGCGTCGACATTGTTGCGGCTGTGGGTATTGTATTGTGTGCTGTGGTGGTGATGGTTTCGGGGGAGCTCGCGCTCAAACAAAAATTCCCGAGCCCTTATCGATAGGAGCACTAGGTGTGGAGACTGCTCATCTCTTTAACTGTCCCGTGACCCGGAAGCTTGTATATTTAGCGGAGGCACCGTCAAAATCATTGCCGAATCGCAATTCACAAAAGAAGCAGAGCGGGCCAATCTCCAACCAATCAAGCCTTTGTCATTAAAGGCCATTTTCGATAGCCGTCTACGGAAAGTCCCTGCTGCACTGCTACAACGCCTCACTATCCATGGAAGAAGTCCAAACCCGCCGGGACTCAAAAACGCCCGCATCCGAGAGCATCTGCGCGCATCTTCAGAGAAGAGGAAAACCCTGCGCCAACGCTCATCCAAACATGACCAAATAGGCTCGCCTACATGCAAGCAGCACCGTCTGCGTGCGTCAGCGTTTGCGTCAATCGGAGACAGGCGAGGCGCAAAAGACTTACCGATGCCGATGACCTTGCCGTTGACCCACTCGCCGTCCTGCGAGGCCAGGAAGGCGACGACGCGGGCAATGTCGATGGGCTGGCCGACACGGTTGTGCGGCGACCACGTGGCGGCGTACTCGTCGACCTGGTCGTTGGTCAAGGTGTCGCCGTTGGGAATGTACTCCTTGCACACGGCGTGGTACATGTCCGTCTTGATGCCGCCGGGCGCGACGCAGTTGACCGTGATCTTCTTGTCGCCTGCGTCGATGGCCATGCAGCGCACAAACGTCTCGATGGCGCCCTTGGAGCCCGAGTACAGAGTGTGCTTGGGCACGCCCTTGGCCTGGCCGGTGATGGAGCCCATGAGGATGATGCGGCCGCCTTCCTCCATGTGCTTGTACGCCTCGCGGGCAACGAAGAACTGACCGCGCGTGTTGATGCTCATCACGCGGTCGTACTCCTCCTCGGTCACGTCCTTGAGGTGGCCGAACGAGACAACGCCAGAGTTGGAGCAGCAGATGTCGAGCTTGCCGAAGTGCGCAACCGTCTCGTCGAAGAGCTTGATCGTCTCCGAGACGTTGGCGACGTTGGCCTTGATGGCAATGGCGTCGGTGCCCATCTGCTTGATCTCGTTCACGACCTTGCCGGCCGCCTCAGAGCTGTTGGCATAGTTGACGACGACCTTGGCTCCGCGGCGAGCGAGTTCGATGGCCATGGCCTTGCCAATGCCACGGCCTTGATGCACGGTCAGCTAAGATTCTGTTCGAGGGACGCTCATACTTACCGGAGCCGGTGACAACGGCGACCTTGCCCTCGAGGGACCAGGAGGGAGTAGCGTTGTCGCTAGCGTTTCCAATGGCCATTGTGAAATTGGTGGGAAAGACGGTAGTGTGGAGATTTATGGATTGTTAGAAAAAGCTAAGCTGTAGATGAGCCTGATTCCTGTGTGGATGATGAGCAGCATGAAGGCACTGTCGACAGCATCTATATAGCACTCCAACACTCGGCTCGGAGCATCACTATGAGCGAGACAGTTCCCGTGCCGACATGGGCGACGATACCGGGCGGGTGGTGTTCCTTCCACAACACCAGTGTTTACGCTGAGGTTTGGCCAGCAGAGCTTCGGACTGGCGGGGCCGAAGGGCAGCTTCACACAATGTGCTCGTCACTGAATGGGCAAGGCGCCCGGTAAGTGCTCAATCTGGACACGGGCGCTGCACTGCCTTGCCGACGAGGGCGCGGCTCGGGCCTAAGAAAGGCGCGAGGGCGAGGGCGAGACATGATGGAGGAAAGATGGAGGTGGGATGTGGAGAGAGTGGAGGTTTCGTGGTGGGGACGCGCTAAAGTTTGGCCGGTTCTATTTTCATGTCAGCTAGGTTGTTCGGACTTTGATGCTCTCGTCCCCGCTCTCTCCGCCCGGACTCCGCACCGCAGAAGCCCGGGGACCCTGAGGTGCCAAGGCCCAACTGGAGAGCCGTTGCCAGGAACGACCAGCCACCACTCAGGAACCCGCACCTGTGAGTAGGTACGTACCTGCCAGTAGTCAGTAAGTCAGTACCTGTGATGATGATGCTGCTCCATGGCAACAGTAGCGGCATATCAACACTACCTGCCTAGGTATGCGCTTGCCCGGGGATACGGCCCCAGTGCCGCCGCCCGCCCACTGGGAAGGCACAGCGGATAGGCGAGTGGTACAGCAGTAGAGAGGCAGAAGGGGCAGAGCACAGCGGACGTGAAAATTTGGAAATAACGAGAAGAGGCAGGAGCAATGGATCGCGGCAAAGAAAAATGTCCTTGCCCGCCACCCGTCCACCTCTCCATCCATCCACCGTCCAATACACCATCTCCGTCTCCAATTACCGCGCATTCGCCATCGCCATCATTCACCTCCACCACCCTAGCCACGCATCCCCGTTCCCTCATCAAAATCCCACCAATCGCCCTCCCAGCCACTTCTTCATCCACCCACTCTCCCATCGTCTGCACCAGCGACCAGCGCCGCCCATCAGCGTCTGTCCTAGTCTCGGCCGAGCTGCACGCGGGGGATGGGCGGGGGGTCGGAGGGAGCGTGCCAGCGCCAGCGCAAAAAACAAAGCAGGTAGGAAGCAGGAGCGGCGGCCGGACAGCCAGAAGCGCAGCAGTAGCAGCAGCATCGCGAAGCAAGGCCCGCCGCCACCATCACATCGTCCCGTGCGTGCCGGAAAATGCCGAAATAAAAAAATCTGGGGGTGGCTGGCAGGCTCTCTGACGCCCGCCAATATCGAGCCTGACCGGCCTGCCAGCCATCTGGTCGTCCAGCGCGGGACCAGCAACGCCTCTGCCAAGCACGATCAGCGCGCCCCTGGCCTGTCGCCGCGTAAGCAGGGAGGGGACGCGCAGTCGTTGCTAGTGGGCGTGCGAGTCCGAAGGGATGGACCGCTGGGCGTGGGATGACATCTGGCTTGCGGTAGCGCGGCGGCGAGGCGAGGCGAGGGCGAGTCGAGGGGAAGAAGGAGGAAGAGAAAGAAGAAAAGAAGCATGCACATTCGTGCGTGTGCGCATGTGTGCGTAAAAACTGAGAGAGGGAGCGGGAAAGAGAAGGAAATATGCGCGAAGGAGATGTCCGGATCGAAGGATGGACAAGTGAGATGACGAGGAAGAGTGGGGGAAGGGAAGGACAGGGCGGGGTGGCGCTGGTGCGCGTGCGGATGGGACGGGGGCTACGCTGGCCTGCCAGCGGCGGCGGCGACGGCGACGGAGGAGAGGGGGGTTGGTTGATGATGTGCGGTGCTTGCTGCTGGCGGCGCTGGCGCTGATATTGCGCTGGGGTGCTGCTGCTGCCGGTGCTGCTGCTTTTTCTACTCCTCTTTCTTCAAGTTTTTGTTTCTTTTTCTTCTTCATCTTGTTTTTTTTTTTTTTTCTTCATTGTCTCACATTTCCCTTCCATCTCTTTTCCTTTTTCGCTTTCCCGGGTTCTATTCTTCTCTCTTTCTTCTTCTGACAGCCGTCGGCGCCTTGTTTTGGACACGCCGGCCAGACGGACAGGCGGACGGTCGCCCGGCTTGTCCGTTTATTGCCTGGCTTGCCTTGTCAGCCTCTCGGGTTCATGGCTTGACGGCTTGACGGCTCACATGGTCGATTGCTGGCGTGCTTGCTGTATGGCTGCTGGCCTGCTGACCCACTCGCTCGCTCACTCGCGGATTAGCTGGGCTAGCGGGCGTGGTGTGTGCCCGAGTAAGAGGTACGTGTGTATGCATGTATCTCGACGGACGAGAGACGAGGAGGAATAGATCGATAGCATTATCGTCGAAACTGAATAGTACGTATGTGCCTAACCGATACGCCCTGCCCCGTCTCCTCCCATACCAGCAGCAAAGGTCAACACATAAACGTCAAGGAAGAGGGGACGAACATGCCGGAACAGTCACCACTACGACGCATGCACACTTGCTTTCTGCATCCTAGATCATCTCGGATGTAAGTAAGCAAGCGAAGGCGTCCCCCTGCGGACTACATCAGGTGAACAATAAGCCACCCATGAAGAAACAAGGAAGAAAAAGGAAGGAGCAGGACACCGAAGAAGAAAGTGCGGAGCAGAGTAAGTACATAAGATTTTAAGCCGACAGCGAAAGACACCCGAAGAAAGCCAAGAGAGAGACACCAGTCCAAAAGCAGCAACACCGAGAAAAAGCCAATGCTTGATACCGCCCAACCCGAGCATCCCACGCGTCGCATCGCATCGTATCGCGTCAGCCTCGGTATCATCAGCGTCATCCATATTTCTTCCAACACCATTTGATAGCATCACCACCACTAGCATGTCTGCCTCCACACACACAGCTGTCTGTCTTACACACAGCTGTCTGTCTCACACAGCTGTCTGTCTCACCCACCCACCCATCCACCCGCCACTACACCTTCCCAAAAAAGAAAAATCCTCATTCATCGCCACGTGCACTGCGCCGTCCCATCCGCGAAGAAAACGACATTAAACGCCTACCTACCACACTCGTCATGCACAAACGCCAGCTTGGCCGCCGCAAAGCCCACAATAGCCATCGACACGAGACGATGCACACGACGGCACCGAAAGTTGAAAGCCGAAAAGTCAGAGCAGGGAAAACACTACCAATCACTCGGCCGCCTTGGCTCGCCACATTAAAGCTGTGCAGCAACGGAAGCTCTGTGTGGCAGCAGCAGCAGCGAAAGAGCGAAGAAAAAAAGACAAATAAAAAAGCGACGAGCAAATAGCCTCCCGCCAGCAAAAACGCCCGCGAAAGCCACCACCGCGCCGCCGCCACAGCGCCGGCCCTACGCGCGCGTGCTCACGCCTCACATACCCTACACACAGCCTACACCGGCGTCAGCAGCCGCCACAGCGACGACCAACAACAACAACAGCATCATCAACAACAGTGGTCGGAGGCGCTCGGAGGCGGCGGCGCCGCAGAAAAAACACGGCCAGCCGCCAGCACGCGTGCACCCTCTGGGATCATCCCCCCAATCTATTTCATGGGTTCTTTTCCTTTCCTTGCTTTGCTTGCTTTGCTTGCCTTGCTTGCCTTGCTTTCTTACCCCGCCCCGCTTCCGCCGCTATCCATTGCATCCCTTCTATCGCATCGCATTACATCGCATCGCATCACACCCGTTCCATCACATCCGACCTCGCGACAGCCCGGTGATGCCGGCCGGCCACCTGCCCAATCGGGCGCTGCGGGCATGAGCATGAGCATGAGCATGACCGCCTCCACCTCCTCCTCCACCACCACCATCCTGACATCCTAGCCCCGCTGTGTCATGTCGTGGCTGTCCAATGCCTACCACGACCCATGGACCGCGATCCACGCACGGCTCTTTTTCTTCACGCCGCCGGCCTGCCTGCCCGTCGCATGGCGTGGCGTGCCGTGGCATGGCAAGCCGCTTTGGTGGCTTGGTCGGGTTGGGTACCGATGTGTGTGTGTGGGTTGGTAGGTGGAGGGGTGGGTGTGTATATAAGCCTCGAGGGGGGACGTACGTTCGTATGGGAGGACGGAGGGACGGACGGACGGCCTCACTTGCTGCCTTGCTGCTTGCTTGCTGCCTTGGTGGGTGGTGGGTGGTGGTGGGTGAGTGAGTGAGTGCCTTGCCTTGCCTTGCCTTGCCGTTGTCGTTGCCGTTGTCACTGTTGTTGCCGTCGATTACATTCTTCTTTGATGGTGGTGGTGGTGATGATGATGGTGATGATGATGGCAGACGAAGGCGAGGACGACGACAACAACGATGACGACGACGACGACGACGACGACGATGACGATGACGATAACGACGATGATGCCGACCTGCCTACATACCCTCCTACCTACACCGACGACGACGACGACGGCAACAACAACAACAACAACAACAACAACAACAACAACAACAACAACAACAACGACAACAACGACAACATACCACGACATACATTTACGTACCCGTCACTCACTGCCCAAGCAAGGACACAAAAAGCACAAAGACACACAAGCCTCTCCCTTCGGTATAAGCAGGTGTAAGTAAGTAGGTATATACACATTAGATACTTTGGACGGACGGCCGCACAAACAAACGGACAGACAAAACGGACAAACGGACAAACAGACGAACGGACAAAACGGACGGACGAACCCTATCCGCTGGCTGCCGCTGAGACTGCCGCATGAAGATGAAGATGAAGATGAGGACAGGACATACATGGGCATAAGTAAGAGCAAGAGCAAGAGCAAGAAAGAGCATACGTAAAAACTCCCCCACCCACCCCTTTCCTTTCCTCCCTTCCATCCCTCTCCTCTCTTGCGCTATGGACCAGAGCAGACGACAAATCAGACCAGACAACCAGCAAGGAAACAAAGAAGAAAAGAAGGAAGAACGAATGAGACAAGCAGACGCTGTGCTCATCATTGCTGTCATGATGGTGGAATAAATTTTTTTGTTCTTTTGTTTTCTTTTTTCCTTTTCGATTTCGACTTCGACTTCGCTCGCTGAAGAGACAACAACAACAATAAGAAGGCAGACAAGACAGACAGACAGATAACGCGGCCCACTGAAAGGAGCGACGATGACGATGACAACGGCAACGGCGACTATGACTGACAAACATGTACGTGGTCGGTCCGACGGACGATATGCTGTTATCGCCAGGCCCCGAGGACAATGAAAAAAAAAAAAAAAAAGTGCAGGGAAACTTTAGAGGCGTATCCATCGGTGCGGCCGTGTCGAATGACATCTTGCTCAGCCCGATGAGGCTTGACACGTCTCCTTGGGCAGGAACCAGCCATCGCGACGAAGTAAAGAGCAAGGGAATACAAGAAAGACATGGGGACCTCGGCAGAAGCAGCACACAGCAGCGCTTCAGCTCAGCCTACTCGCATCAATCCTCGCGGACAAACCATTATATCCGCTTCCCGTCAACCGCCTCCCGCAGCTTCCTTATAACATCCGCGGGGTCCTTCGCACCAAACACGGCACTGCCAGCGACAATGACATTGGCGCCAGCATCAGCCGCCTGAGGAATGGTCTTCTCGGACAACCCGCCGTCGACCTCAATGTGCAGATCCGGGTACTTGGCGCGCAGGGCTGACACCTTGGGCAGCTCCGAGGCCATGAAGGACTGCCCGCCGAAGCCAGGCTCGACCGTCATGATGAGAACCATCTGGGGGATGTTAGTCGAACGTTCTTTTGTCCGCCTCCCATTCAAACAAGACTTACATCAGGGACCTCTTCCTTAACCGGGTTCGCAAGAATGTCCCACAGCACATCCACGCTCGTTTTCGGCTTAATCGCGATACCGGCCTGCAGGCCCTGGTCGTGGATATAGCGGATGAGCTCCTTGGGGCTAGTCTTAGCGTCGGAGGTGCCAGCGGGAGAGTCTGCTGCCGTTGACGCGATCGCCGCTTCGTAGTGGAAGCAGTAGAGGTTGCAGCCCGCGGCCTTGAACTCCTTGACCCACTTCTTAGGCTGCAAACGCGCTTGTTAGCCGATTGCTCTATTCCTTCCCGTCTTTCTCCGCTGGTGGTGTAAGTAGGTGTATACACACCTCAGCAATCATCATATGGCAATCGAAAGTGCCCCTCCCGTACGCAGCCGTGGGCGCATCGACGTGTCGCCGGATCTTGGTCACGACAGGCGCGCCAAACGTAATGTTCGGCACAAAGTGGCCGTCCATGATGTCGACGTGCAGCCAGTCGGCGCCGTGGGCCATCGTGTCCGAGCACGCCTGGCCGAGGGCCGCAAAGTCGGCTGACAGGATCGAGGGCGCGATAATTGCGGGGGGAGACATGGCGGGCGGATGCGAGCGGATGCGAGCGGATGCGAGCGACGTGCAATGGACGGTGTCTGGCGGTCTAAAACGAAATTCGTTGCAGAGCGATTACGTGAAAAGGCCTGCGAGAGAGGAGGGTGAGAAGGTGGATCGAGAAAGAAAAGTGAGGTGGATCGTTACGTTGAAGGGCGATTACGTCGCTTCGGAAGTTCCCCGGCCGTTACTTATACCCCGCTGCGCCAACAACCACCACAACGCCAACACCAATGATAACGTCGACAACGACAACAACGAAGACGAGGCAACTCAACCCCTGGCGAGTCGCTCGAGCTTACCGCGAATGCCGTCCGAGAAGCGCGTCGAGTGGCCATCATCGATTACATCGATACAGTGCGTCAGCACGGCATAAGCGTTGTCCATGGACAGCTGCGTGCCATCGCGCTTGGTCAGTGTCGGGACGCCCTCACGCTTGGTGAGGTAGCGGCCGATGAGCGGATGCTCTGCCGGCAGACTGTCGACCGCGAAGCTGGGCCCCGGTACGGGGAACATACCCGCGGGTGGGCTAATGCTCTCATTGTGCGTGAGAGCGTCGGTCCACAGTATGAGTGCGACGCGGTACAGAGCGCCGGCCCACCATGGCGGACGCACGTCGCGCGGCATCGACCGCACGAGCCGGAGGACCTGGCCGCAGTGGAAGATGGCCTCTTCAACGTCAGAGATGCACCGCTTGTGCAGCCACATCAGCTGTTGGTAGCTGCCGTCGAAGCCTTCGCGACGCGCAAGCCGCTCCGTCTCTGGAAAGTTGGTCACGGCGTTGAGACTAACGAGATGGAACATGACCAGGTTGGCCTGCATCATTGGGCACATGGCGTTGCTCTTGCAGTAGCGGTCCGCAAGGTCGTACCAGCGCTGCAACAGGCTCTGCACCTCCTCGAGACGTACACGCGTCGACGCAGCCGTGACAGCGCGCGTCCGCTGACGCGACGACGAGCTGTCGGAGAAGCAGCTCAGCAGCTGACAGTATTGGCACACAAGCGATTGCAAAGGGTGCAGCAGCAGCCGCAGGTGTAACGGCGTCAGCTCGATGCCTTGTGTTACAATCTCATCGTCAAGGAAGTGCCGGAACAGGTCGCGTAGCGACAGCGGCCTAGCCCCGGATCCCACGGAAGAGAATCCGCCAGAGAACTCGTGCACCTCGTTGAAGACCTCGCTCCACTCGGTTGCTGTCTTGGCCCGCCATAGGCAGTCCGCATCCGGCATCGGCGCACCGAACTCTGTTACCGAGAACAGCGGCGCCGTATCATGGAAAAGAGACAGATCCTGGTCCACCATGACCCAAGAGTAGATCAGCCTGCAAATCGCTTACCGTTAGCTATCGAACACACGTGACGCGCCGTCTTCGTGTCCCGCCGACCAGCGAGACTTATGACGGTTTAGGGGGAGGAGATCGACTTACCGACTTCTGCTCTCATGCTGGATCCAGTCGGCCCAGATGCCGTCCGGGCCTGCATGATCCATCCGCGGTGTAGGCGCATGGCGAGGCTCGAGGATGCCCGAGTGCCGCAGCATGGAAAAGTACATTCCGCGCTGGCCCATGGCGATGTCCATCTGCCACTTGTCGCCGCTCCAAGCGGCCTGGACAGTGAAGAGCAAGGCAGAATGCAGGACGACGGAGTCACCGGACATGATGATGTTCTTCTCAATAAGATCGAAGAGACTGATACGACAGGCCTCAGTGAGGCCTCCTGTCAGCCACCGCGCCTCTGTGTTTGGAATGACCATGGCGCCTTGGGCGATCATCATCAACACGAGCAACGAAGCTGCTTTGTCGTTGAATGACTGCAACAGCTCGTTGGCGTCGAGGATGCCCCGCGCCGTCATGGGGAAATAACGCTCGAAGCTGTTGGCATAGCTACGCAGAAAGTACTCAAGAACGCGCACAGGCGGTAGCAGTACGAAGTTAGAGCCGCCGCCGTTAGAGAGCGGCGACCCGCTGCCGGTGGGTGAGCAGCCGCTCATGCCCTCACGGTGGATGTCGAGTGCCTTGTGCAGGAACGTCTGGGTGATTGCCAACAACTTATCGCGACTATTCTCTTGAAGCTGCATAACGGATAGCGGCTCGCCCGCCGCGAAATCAGCTTCATTCCAGCTGGGGCGCCAGTTGCTCCACGCCTCGTGGTTCTTCAGGCTCTGCTCGAGACGCTCTAGGTTCAGCTTGGCAGTGCGTGGACACGAAGAGGCTGGGATCAGCGGCGTGCAGCGAAATGCACTCCAGCCGTCCTGTGCTGCAATGATGGCGCCAAGGTCAGGCACGCCCGAAGAGCCGACAGCACTGCTAATAGAGGCGTGTCGGGTGGGATACAGCATTGCAGCCGAGCTACCCAGCTCGAGGTCCGAGAGCGCCCGATCCATCTGCGGTGTCGTGATGGGCGTCTGCACCGGAGGAAGAGCCTGCGTAAAGTCGGGCAACATGGAAAGCATGGCATCAGGATGTGCTCCGGCAGTCATGGCAGAGAAATCCATGCTCATATCCGGGGCCATCATGAAGTCGGGCCGCGTCATTTCGAATGCGGGGGCAAGCGGGATTTGCTGCCAGTCCATGAGCAGATGCGGGCTAGCGTCCTGCTCCGAGCCGTGACTGTTTGTGCCAGCAAACTGCTCGTACCCTGACATGGGCGTGTGTTGTACAAACTCGTGTGACATGGGGGTAGGTATTGGCGAGAGGACGTTGGAAACGACTGGCGGTGCTCCGTTTGGCGGTGAGGCATTTTCAAAGAAGGTAATGGGAGCAGCATCCACAAGGGCCTTTTCTTGGATTGGGCTCGTGTGCTGTGAGGTAGGTTGAGGCTGGGGCTGCTGCTGTTGTTGGGGTGGTTGTTGCGGCGGCTTCTGGTCCTGCACTGGCTGCACCGGCTGGGCAGGAGGCGAGTTGCTGGAAGAGCCGTTGGATGTATTCTCTCCACTGTGCTCTGAGGTTGCTCCGCTAATGATGCCCACAGGAGTCGAGCCATCGATGGAGTTTTGGCGGTTCATTTGCTTCGAAGCGCGGCGTGTGGGCCGCAGAGTGCAGCGAAGGTTCCTGCCGGCACAACGGCTGCAGGGGAATTTCTTGTCGCATTTGGTCTTTGTCTTTGCACAGTTGCTGCAGGCGATGGGAGTGCGACCGGCCGACTTTGGGATTATGCCATTGCTAGGAGGCAGGCCCTCTTGGTTGTTGTTGTCTCGGCCATGGACCGTGTAGTGGCGCTGGAGGAGATCGCTAGGGCAGCGCCTTGGGATCAGCGCCTCTGCCTCTCCCGACGGGGCGACCATGACGGAAAAGGAAAACTCACCGACGAGCAAAAGACATGTGGCAGGTAAAGCACTTGAAGGGCTTGACATTGGTGTCTGCAGGCAGAGACAAAAGGCAGTCAGTAAGGTAAGCAGGCAGGTCTGGGGAGCATGGGGGAGCATACGGGTCAGAATGTGCCGTTCCAGATGCTCGTCCCGTGTAAAGGACTGGCCGCAGTAGGTGCAGAAGACCATGGCGATGGGAAGGGGGGGGGAGGAAGTCGAGGAAAAGCGAGCGACAGACGGGGAGAGCGGCGGCGGGGGGTAAAAAAACAAGCGTACGGGGGGCTGAGGCTGATGATATTTGGGCGGGAGGGGCGTGTGCACGAAAGCAAGAAGGATACACGCGCAGGTCGAGGTCGAGGTCGAGCCGTGGAGGGCAGGCGCGATAACGAGGCAGGCGCGATCAGCATGCATGCATCGCCCCCGGTCGCTGCTGCCGCTGCGTCTCACGGCAGAGCAGGGCTGACGCGCTGACGTGGGAAAGTATTGCCCGCTTCTTCACGGTTGCCACCTTCCCCGTCGCAGATCGTCCGCTTGGGCCCTTCCCGCCCCGGCCTAAGCTAAGCCTTCCCGCTCCATCTCCCTAAGCTTCTTCTTTTTTAGAAGTTGCGCTCGGAAGCTCCGTTTGCATTGGAGTGTCGTCATTACCAAGGCCCCACTTAGTCATGACTGACTCTCTAGAGCTCTCGTTTCTCTACCTATTCTCTCCCACCACCACCACCACCACCACCCACCACCATCACCACCACCACCACCACACTACCTTTACCGACGGAGACTCCCGCCCGTCTGCACTACTAGTTAGGTAGGTAAACCCACCACCACTCACATCATCACTCGGCCTCCTCTACCTCACTCCCTCTTAACACATCCCGCTACATAGCTCCGTCCCATGGTACTCGCTCCACTCAAACACAGCGCGAACACGAGGTTGCGCGCGGAAGGCCGCACCGCTGAATCTGACACGCAGCGCCTTGGATGGGCCGTGGTCCGGTTTGGGACAAGGTTTCTCGCGTATCTTTGGCTGGCGGGCCCCTCCCAGATCGGCCTCGAGTTAGTAGTGTGGACACATGTGAAAAAACAAGACAGAAAACAGCCCGCGCCGTTTCCGATGCGGCAAAGCTCTTTTCCCGAACTTGGCCCGCGGGCGGCGCCAGCGCATCGTCGCAGGCCTCGCAGCTTTTCCCTTCCCAAACATCTTCTGAGCTCCCCCCAGCGCATCGGTTCCCCACCGGCTCGACGCTCTGTTGTTCGTCAGATATCAGCCAGCCCAAGCCCCAGCCAACACTTCTCAAAGAGAGACCATGACGCCCATGATATGTCCCGCTTCCCGTCCCGTCCCCAATCTCATCTCATCGCGACCCTTCTGCCCTACGCCCATCTGGCGCCTCTTGAACACGCCCTCGACCCTCTGTACCTCGTCGATCCTGCAAGCCCGCTGTGCGCCAGTATTGGTGGCTGCGCGCCACTGGCCACACGCTGCTCGCGGCTGCGGTAGCAACGCCCATTAAGGCCTCTGTGAAGCAAGCAAGCGAGCGAGCGAGCGACGACAAGCACGAGCGCAGGTCCACTCACTCACTCGTACCCATTACCCTTTTTCCCTTTTTTCCTTCTCTCTCTGTTTCTCTCTCACTTTCTCTCTCTCTCTCTCTCAGAGGTCCATATCTTTTTTCTCTTTTTCCTCTCTCTCTCTCTCCCCCTCCCTGCATCGTCTCTGACTTAACCCCCCTGCTAACCTTATGTACCCATACTTACTCTTCTGCCGCTTCGCGCCTCGCTCGCGCGCGCATGCATACCACGACGGCCCACCGCCATTTCCACAGCTAGGGTAGCTGCCACCACAACCACGCTTACGACCATAACCGGGGCGCGCGCACGCTGTCACAGCCGCTGGAACCTGCTTTGCTTTGCTTTGCTTTGCTTTGCTTTGCTTTGCTTTGCTTTGCTTTGCTTTGCCTTGCCTTGCTTTGCTTTGCTTTGCTTTGCTTTGCTTTGTTTTGTTTTGTTTTGTTTTGTTTTGTTTTGTTTTACTTCCCCAGCGCGTCGTCTCTTACGTAGCCAGTGACCCATTCCAGCCTGCCCCTCCCGCCCGATCGGGCTTCGCCGCCCCGCATCCGGCGCCCTCGCGCTCCACTATGTATGCGCCACGCGGCCCGGTGGAACGGCGACGCGCGCGCTGGTAGCTAGCTAGCTGCGTTGGGTGCTTTTCGCTGCTGCTGCTGTTGCTGCCGCTGTGGTTGCTGGTTGTTGGCTGCTGGTTGGTACTTGTTCTCCGCTGCCCGCACGCGGGCCCGGCTCGCTACACTACGCTACGCTACGCTACCTGACCTCTGCGGCTCTGCGCCGCGCTTTCGCTGCCGCCACTGCGTCGCCGACGTACCTAGGTAGCCGCGCGCGCAAAAAGCCTACACGCACACGCACACGCATACACGCACACGCACGCACGCACGCACGCACGCACGCACGCACGCACGCACGCGACGATGCGTGCGGATGCAGGCGTGCTTCGCGGGAAGCGAGAGCGCGCTGCGCCGCTGTGCCGCTGTGCGCGCCGTGTCTAGGTGTGTAGGCGTGTGCGTGTCTGGGATGGCGGGTCGGGCGGGCGCGTGGGCTTGCGTCCTTCTGTAGGTGGGTGGGTTGCTAGGGGCGGGGGCGGGGGCCGGGGTGTGGCTGTGGCTGTGGCCGGGGACGGCGCATGCTGCGTGTGGGTGTGGGTAGGGAGGGCGGTGCGCGGCGAGGCAAGACGAGACAAGACAGGCCTGTCTCTGTCTGTCTGTGTGTGCGTCGTAGTCGCAGTCGTAGTCGCAGTCGTAGTAGTCGCAGTCGTAGTAGTCGCAGTCGTAAGTCATAGCTAGCGCGCGGCCGCCCGCCCACGGGCGGTAGGTTCAGGAGGTTAAGACGGCGGCGGCGGCGCACGCGTGCGTGCATACATAGGTGCATACGGAGGTGCATGCTTGCGTGCATGCATACATACATACATACATACACACATACGTACATACAAGCATACATCCATACGTACATACATACATACACACAAGCATACATAGCACCCCCCTCCCTCGCCACACGAGCACTAAGAACCCTCATCATCCCCATCCGCCTCAGAAATAAGATTACCACGTACGTACCTAGACTGTACCAGCGCTCTGGCTTGCTCGCGCGCAAGCGCAAGCCTAGGCGTAAGCGTAAGCGCCCATGTGTATGTATCCAGCACATATGTACGTACCCAGTCCACGTCCACGCGCGCGCGTGGCTGGGTGCGTGGGTAAGGTGGGTAGGTAAGGTGCGTGGGTAAGGTGGGTAGGTAAGGTGGGTAGGTAAGGTAGGTAGGTACAGCACACGCACACCCTCCTACGCCTCGTTCTCTGTCCAAGACATCACGACGGGCAGCAGCGGTTGCTACCTACTGTCTTAGCACCATAGCACCATAGCAAGCAGGCACTAGGGACATTCAGCCTTCGTACTCGTATGTACCTCGGCAGGTCGGCGAGGGCGGCGCACGCACCGCCGCTCGCTTGCACGGGGCCGTGCGCGCGGGAAGGACGCGGAACGGAAGGACGCGCGCGCAGAGGCCAACGAGCGGAACGCGCGCGCGCATCACGGATGGCATACGACACTTCGCCTCGTGATGGATGGGAGTACCTCGCGGCGAGCATACCTGCATCTCTTTCGCTTTCGCTCTCTCGACAGCAGCGCAAGCAAGAAAGCAAGAAGCTAAGTAAGCGGGCACGCAGGCAGAGTTACGGTGTAAGGTAGGCTTCACATGGCATCACCTTACATCGCAGCGCAGCGCAGCGCAGCGCATCGCGTCGTTGCAACTTGTGGGGAAGTGGGGACGCGGAAGCGGTAGGTGGGTTGTGGGGAAGACCTGTGTACCTACCTACCTACCTAACCATGTAGGGAAGTCAGGAAAGAGAAGCAAGGAAGCGAGCGCGTAGGTACCGGTACCTACGGGGGCGGTCCTGGGTACCTAGGGCGCGCGGCAGTTGGCTGCTGCGGTCGGTACTTAGGTAGGCACGTAAGTACCTAGACAGGTGGGTACGGTACCTAGACCTGGACCTGGACCTTCTAGAGCTCTACTCTAGAGCAGAGAGCTGTGGCTTGTGCTGTAGCTGGACGCGGCGGTGCACTAGTAGGTACCTAGGTACACACGGCGCGCGTACCCCTCGTACCCTTCGCGCTCGCACCCTCCACCGGCAGGCCGCACGCCCTCAGCAGCGATTCTAGCACTAACGCCAGCGCAGGCGCAGGAGGCGGCCGTCCTTGTCCTTGTGCTTGATGAGACGCAAGCACGTCGAGAGGCCCAGCACAGAGGAAGTAGAAAGCGGGCGCGCAGGTCGCTACCTAGGTAGCAAGCCAAGCCAAGTGGGCCAGGCGGGGCCCCGCTCTCGCCCTCTCGCTCTCGCGCACTCCGCCGGCTAGTGCCAGGCCAGGCCAGGCCACAACGTCGTCCACTCACAAAACTTTCCGCCCGCACATGGAGTACCCACCCACACTCACACCCACCCATCCTCTCACCCCAGCCAGCCTACAGTAGGTAGGTACCTAATATCCCCTGCGAGCGGCGAAAAAGCAAGCACGAAACGCCAACGGCGAGACGGCAGCAGCAGCAGCAGCAGCAGATCATCCACCCATCCACCCATCCGTCCGTCCGTCTGTCCGTCTGTCTGTCAGCAGCGCAAAAAAATGGCCGAGAGAACGGGACGGACAGGAACGAGAACTAGAACTAGAACTAGAACAAGAGCTGGGGGGAAGCCCGTCCATCCATGCCTGCTTGCCTGCCTGTCAGCGCACGCGAGCTCACACGCGCTCGCTAGGCCTGGCCTGGGCAGAGCAGGGCGTGTGTATGTGCGTATGTATGTATGTATGTATGTATATGTATGTACGTACGTGCTGCGTGCGCAGGTAGCCGGCCGGGCAGGGCAGGGCAGGGCAGGGCAGGGCAGGCAGACGGGCGGGCAGACGGCCAGCCAGCCAGCCATACGAGCAGGGAGGCAGGCAGCCGGGCATGCTTTTGCGCGTGCTTGCTTGCTTGCTTCCTGCTTGGCTACTTTCCTGCTTTCCTGCTTGCTAGGCCACAGGGCTCTGCGCTCAGCGCTCAGCGGCAAGTTGTGAGAACGAACGAGAATAGCTGGGTAGGTAGGGGATGATCCACGGGCTGCGGGGAGTGGGGACGCTGGCGCGTAGGCGGTGGCTATGAGGTCAGTAGGTAGGTAGGTAGGTAGGTAGGTGGCCAAGACAGGCAAGCAATCGGGCTGGCTGGCATTGCGGTAGCATCAGCATCAGCAGCAGCAGCAGCAGCAGCCACGAGACCAGCCAGCCGCGGGCTCGGTAGGAGCCGGCGGAGCTGGCTTGCTTGCGTGCTTGCGTGCGTGCTTGCTTCCATGCCTGCTGGCGTGCTGGCTTGCTGCTTGCTGCTTGCTCAAGGCTGGGCACTTCGATACCATCCATCCATCCATCCATCCCTAGACAAGTGCGTATGTACCTTTCGCCTAGCAGGGTTATATATGGCGCTAGTTGTGCAATATTGCCGCGCGCTGCTGCTGCTGCTATTATCGCGGTAGATAATGGGCAGGAATATACCGCGTGCATGGTTTCGGCGGCGGCGGGCGCCTCGTTTGCTTCATGCTTGGGAGTTGGTGGTGGTGGTGGTGATGCTGATGATGATGAGGTGGGTAAGTTGTGTTGGATTGGTTGGATTGGTTGGATTGGTTGGTTGGTTCGTTGATTGGTGGTTAGTTGATTGGTGGTGGTGGTGGTGAGGGCTGACTTGACTGGGCAGCCAAGGCGGGCATGGCGGGCAGGGCATGTACATATGCGGGTGCAGGGAGCGAGGGCAGGGCGCGCGCGCGCGAGGGTCCAGAAGGTGAGACGGGAGGGCGCGACCGTGCTGCTGCTAAAGTTAGCAAGCTTTCCAACATCACCACCACCATCATCACCATTGCCACCGTGACTGGCAAAGAATAGATAGGCTCCAAGCTATCTACTCGTGGTGGTAGAGATGGAAGAGAAAAGAGAGGCCCTGCCATCAGCCGTCAGCGCGTGCTCGTTCGTGTTTCAGCGCGCCACCACGAGCGCCAGTGAGCGGCGGCGGGGAAGGCTCCGCCCCCCTCTCGATGCCTTTCCGCCAGGCAAACAGTTGGATGAGTGCATGGCATATGTGCGGCAGGGGCAGGGGTGATGGTGATGGAGGAGCTCAGCTGCCCAGCCAGCCTGACGGGGCGCGGCAACCGAGGCTTAGGGTGTTCCGTGAGATAAAGTCAGAACGCTGTGGCACTAAGCACCACCTCCGCCTTGCTGGGTTTGCCCTTCCACCACCCGCTTTTTTTTTCCTCTCCCCAGCGCTTTTGGAATCAACACCGCGTCTCTTGTTCAACCCTCCAACATGACCACGCCCCATCATCGTCGTCGTCTTCTCGGCCGAGTTTCATCATCGTCGCTGTTGGTCTTGGGGTGGGTGGGACAGCGCTTCGCACAAATGGTTGGCTCGCCGCTGACTACTGACTACTGCCTCCTGCGACGGGCCACTTGGGCACAGCACAACCCCACGGCCATGCCGTCTCCCTTCTGGATTCTGCCACGGCAGCTCGATCCTGCAGTCGTGCGATGTCAAAAGCTTCTGCTGGGGCGTGCATCCAAGCGAGCGGGAAGCCTGGTTTCCGCTGCAAGCAAAGAGCGTCCACCATGGTGTAGCAGATCGAGGTTTGTTGCCGCGTTGCGTCGGGTTGCTCAGCGTCAAGCAGCTCCAGCAGCTTTGCCAACGGCAGAAATGCCTCTTTTTGTTTTATTTTTTATTTTTTCTGCGCCGTGGATGACCAGCCAAGCCACAGAACATGCCATCGTCCTGAGCCACATGACTCTCCGCTTCCGAGCAAGCCCGCCGCTCTCGTTCCTGGTGTTTGTCTCAGGAGAAAAAGAAAAATAACCGCTGTTGTGTATTAGCGCTAGCGGAATCTCGATTCAACTTTATCTCCGCAGCTGGTGGTATTGCATGCAATAGCTGGCGTACTGTGTCCACCAGAGTTGCTGCTTTCGATCATTCCACGTGGGACTAGTGTTCCTGTAACACTAATAAACGACGCGCTATATCAGCAAATGGCAATTGGTCTCCATTCTCAGTATAGCAGACGTGCACCGTCTAACCCAATGGAACAAACCTGGCAAGGACAAGTGTGGAGAAGGGCAGCAGCCTCCAGCGGCAAAAGAAAAAAAACACACTGAGTTACACGGTAGGGATACTGGTAAAAAATTATCATACTAACCTGTAGTACCGCACACGCCGAATCGACACCCATTCGATACGTGGGACCCTGCAGCCTCCGCCGCGTCAAAAAGGCAACAGACATATCCGCGATTGCCGGGCATGCAGACTCACGATGCGAATCGCGATGCGTAGTACAGGTCTCGTAAAGCGACACGCGTGCCATTATCGTCGTCCGGCTCATCAAACCCCATGCGCCGTGGCACAGGAGTTGGGACGAAGCTCGCGCTGAAGACGCGCCGAGAGCGATGCGCTTCGAAACAAAAGAGCCCGAAACCAAAGAGCTGATTTCCAATCGGGCAGGGCTAGCGATGGCACTGATACGGTGCAACGTCAGACTCGCTGTCAGAGGTAAAGTTAACCGCCCGAGCGGTAGGGAGGCACACCTAGGGCGCGATAGGGAATGTGCTAGCCGCTGCACCACGAGATCGAGAAGGATGCAGTGCGACGGCTAGAAGGCTGCAACGTGGTCAGCTGCGCACAAAAACCATTGAAACGGAATGGCTGTCGTGCTCGACTGTCTGATGTGGGCACTGGGTTCTGCCTGTGAGGGGAAAAAGGTCTCGACGAGGCGGATCGCCAGGGTCCATGCCGGTCCCTGAGACGGTTGCATGGCCGCGTCAAGATGGGAGAGGTCACACACACGGGTACAACCGCGCGCGCAATACACGAAGAAGCCGAGAAGGGCACGCTGGAGCGCTGGAGAAGGTCTTTTTTGGGCCGTGGAGAGACGCCCGCGTCGGACACACGGGGCGCGGCTGTGCGATGGTGGTAGCCAGATCTGTGCGTCATGGTTGTCGACGCAGAGTGATGATGCCCACATTGGGTGCCTGGTAGCACCGACGGGCCGCGCTGCTGAAGATTGCCAAAAAGCTGGTGCCAATCACCAATCAAGCCTCCGCGCGGGGTCGACGCCCATGCATGGGGACTCGGGTTTTCGTGATGATGTCGACCACACAGAGCACGTTTCGAAGGCGTGGTCGAGACGTCTCGGGCTAGAGTACGACGGGCAGCCAACAACAGGAGTGGCTGGGGGGTCAAAGGGCATGGCAAGCTAAGTCAACCTTGGCCGAGGCACACATCGCACAGTTAGTCAAAGAGTAGAAGTCGACGAAGCGGTGGCGTATTCGTATACGCAATAGGACCATCATGATAATGCACGCCCTGTTGTCCCTGGACCCGACCAGAGGCGACCTCGCAGCTCGGCATCCACAAGCACGTGTAGCAGCCCCTGCCCTTTCTTCAGTCGTGTCCACGACCCTCCCTACCCTACCAGGATCTCGGGTAAACGGATCCGCGCGCTCGAGGACACAACAGCGAGAGATTGTCGAGCCACGACAGTCACATGCCTTTGTGCCTCGCCGTGCGCCCGGTGCCCTGGGGCAAGAGAGAAACCAAGGATACCCTCTGTTGACAGAGTGCTCAGTAAGCGGCGAAGGTTACGGGGACAGGCCTTTTGGAATGGTTGCAGCAATGACAAGGCTGAGCGAGGAGAGGGGGGCTGTGAGGAAGGTGTTGCTGCTGTTGTTGTTGTTGTTGTTGTTGTTGTTGTTGTTGTTGTTGTTGTTAGAGGGCGTTATTCTGCTCATTTCCTCTTGTGCCGTTGCTGGCGGGCCCAGCGATATCAGCTGCTTCGAGGAAGCCCGGCGACGCCGTGGGGAACGTCAGCGCGCAGAAGGGAGAGAGGGGGGGGGGCTGACGGCAACTATCTCAAATCTTGTCATGGTTGCTGCGCGCCCCAGGCTGCTACAACCCCACACAGTCGCCTCTGATATGTGTAAGCTGATATGGGGTATTCTTGGATCATGGGATTTAGCGTGGTTGTGGTGGAACCGACGATTGTTTCGGGGGGCCGGCGCCCATTAGATCAGACGGGTGTGGTATATTCTTCGTACTCAGATCCAAGGCGACGTCAGTCAGTCAGCAATCAGAATGCTCAGGCACAAATGACAAAATGCGGAGGGACGTTGCGTTGTCAGATGTTTCTTGGATCGACGAGCTGGCCAAGGGTGTACTCTACAGTAGACGAGAAGGTTTTTTGCTCATCTCGCTTCGCCGCCGAGGCCTGTCTAGTCCCAAACTCATCTCTCCGGGTTGCATCGATGCAACTGTCTCTTCCATCCATCCATCCATCCATCTCGACTCACTGCTGCCGTCCGCTGTCATCAACTCCTTCCCCCCTCCAGGCGAGGCCCCCAGCCTGTCAAGCTGCCTAGAGTAAGATTAGCCCTTCTCCACATTACCCCAGCATCAAGCAACGCCATGGTTTTAGCTGCATCGGAAGTACCAGCGACGCCTTTCCTTGACCTCTTAGTAGCTATCAGCGGGCGCGCGTATGTATGCATGGCGCAGCGGCAATACGAGCGAAAGTGCAAGACGAACCAATTCTGGGCGGGCCAGAGGAGGAGGTCCAAGTTGGCGCGGCCGGTCTCGTCGCCTTTGCAGGGGAGGAAGCTTGGGAGGCTTCGTCGTCGAAGCGGATGTAGAGCTGGCGGGTGCCGGTGGCGAGCTGAGGCGCCCTCGTCTGCGTTGAATTGGACCCCCTCCTCGGGGGCCTTATCTTTTTTGCCAAGATGGGCCAGTCTCCTGCGATGCGCGGCGCACTAAGCTGGCAGTCTAAATCGACCTCTCTAAAAAAAGAGCGCCGGTACGGTACGGCGTGTCCAATCATCGACGGGCGGTGTCGTCCGGTAGACCTCGTTTTTAAGCTTCTCTAGAGCATATTGTTCGTATGTCAGTTGTGGAGGCTACTCACTCTCGCCGCCGCTTCATCCACCTCGTCTCGTCGACGGTCTCGAGCGTCATTCGTTCCAGAGGCTAACGAGCTAGGCGCCCACGACCGTGTGCCGCGACGGCATCGCCATCCGCAGCGCTGTCGAGAGCCTGCAGCACGCGCGCAGCAACAGCAGCAGCGAAAAAGAAGGTGGAGGGACCGGCGACGCGTCGCACGCACCAAGGCAGGCATGTGCTTCCTCCATCCACGCGGCGGCTCGCAGCCCGGTGCCCGAACGACCCATGCTGCTGCTTGTATCCAGATCTGTCGACGCCGCAGTCGCAGCAGTAGCAACAGCCCGCCTCCAGCCGGTCCCGACTGTGCACTGATCGGCACCAGGCATGCATCGGAGCCTGCTAGGACATATGCAAGATTCGGCCGTTATTCTGTCTTTGGAGCGTGTCGTCTGGCGGATATGCGCAAGGTTCGGTCGATGCGTGCCCTTTCCCCCCGGCCACGGCAAGCCGGGGCCCGCGGATCATTATATTAAATCGCAATTTATCCTTCCGAGGCCGCAATCGGCGTCGCCATGCAGGTGGAACGCGGTCGAGGTTGAACCGAGTCGCTGCCGAGCGTCGTCTGGGGGAGCTGAGCTGCGCGCCTGCGTCATATTCCGGAGGTTTAATGTATCTTGTTTTCGAGCCATGCGGGCTGTGGCGGCCGTGATTCGATGCTGGCCTGTAGCAGCAGTGGGGCACCTCGTCCCCCTAACGCAGGATGCTCAGCCTCAGAGAGACGTACCGATGTTATAGTTACAGCGGCCATGGATTGAACGTGCCCTTGGACCTGCTGTGACTCGGGTTCGCCAAAGACTTGGGAAAAGAAAAGAAAAAACTCGACGACGCGAAAACGTCAATACAATTGCCCTTGTAGAGCCCCACAACGTCTGCCGAGCCTGGAAGGAAGCTCGGAGTCTTGGTCGTATTGCTCGTCCCTGGCTTATTCTGCAAGTATCCATGGATGAGGCGATTTGCGCATGCGTGGTGTCGCAATTTCGAAAGAGCGGTCATGTGGAGGAAGCGCTTGCTCTCACAACCAGCCACACGGTATCCCATTGTCGCTGTCGCGTGCACGGGTTTTCTCCAATCGTTTCCAAAAGCGGAACTCGGGCGCCCGTAAATGGGGTGATGGGTATGGGCTTGTGTGATGGACAATGCAGCAATGGTATGCTCTGCACGTCATAATGGCGGTGTTGTTATTTTCCCCGTGCAACGGTGGCAGAAAAAAAAAAACAAAACTGAAGCGTCTGGAAGAAGGCAATCACTAGGCGGAGATTGTTGTCCATTGTAATCCATGGCGGCATGTCTCGGGAGCAGACAGAATCGGAAGTCGGTCTCTCGTCGTGAGCGAAGCGTTACCCCGTGTCCGTCCTACTGCAAGGCAAGCATATGTCAAGCTGGCAAGATACGAGTGCTCACCGTACACGGCAGTGACAGCACATCGAACTTGCTATGCTGTGGCCGCAAAAGCAGCGATGTCGGCCGGCGCGTACGTAGGATTGAAGTCATGCGGCTGACCCAACCGTTGAGGCTGCGAAAAAGGTCCGCGTGAGGCACGGATAGTTGCATTTCCGCTGCTGCTGCTTGCCGATTACTACTCCGGGAAGCTGCAGTAGATCGTGATATACTAAATTGGCCATGTTAGCTTCTTCAGTGGTAATGACGGACGTTGCATCTACGTACCGTTTGAAATATATCGCTTTAGTGGTGCCGTTGGTAAACAGGACTTCCAATGTACATGGACTATAGGCAGGTGAGGCGATTTTGCTATGAAGTAGAGGCAATGGTAGATCCTAGAGATATGTCCAAGCCTGTAGTGGTATTAGCTTCGTAGACGATATGATCATTGTTAGCTTACTGTAACAAGAAATCACACTTCCATATCCATAGTAACGTCCGTCATCGCGAAGCGAGATGGTGATATTTGTACGGAGTAGAAGAAGAGACCTAGTTAAGATATGTAGAGTCCGTGTGTGCTCTAAGACTTTTCCACCCATACCCGGGTCTTAGGCTGGGAGCTAGGCAAGGAGTACTCTGTAGGAGCTGCCTGTATCTTCCTTTGTCTCGCTAGACGGTGGATCTCGGTTCGCGGTGACGGACGTTAGACGTTGCATACTATCTCCCCAAAGATGCGTCAGTGATTCCACTATTCGGCGAGGGGAATGGAAAGTAAAACCATCAACTGCGACCATGTGAGGTTTAAGGGTAGAAAAGCGAGGTACAAACGTAAGATCATCCAAGTCCAGAAAGTTGCCCGCGTTTCTTTAAGGTCCTAGGATTTAGGTCAGTGTTGGCTGATGTTAAGATAGAAGTTCGAAAGCTGACCCAAGCTAGAAAACGAGACCAAAATCAGCATATAAGTATTAGTCTACTTAACTTTAGTATCTGGGGCCCGGGTGAGCAAAGCTAAAACCATGGGCTATTTTGCACAATGTATGGGTCCAGTAAACTGCCTATGAGCTTCAGGCTTGAGCTTTCTCTCAGAAATAGATAGGAAGTTGGAGAAGAGGACCTGGATCGGGCAAGGTTAATAGACGGCAAGTGGACGCAGACTGGTAGTTTGAAAACTTCAATCTTATAGCTCTAGCATAGCCCGTTTGATCAACATGTCACCTTTTCTCTCCTCTTCTGAGGATCAAGACGTACTTGGAAAGGACAGGAATGACCATGGCAAAGAAAGATTCCCTGTAAGACGGGCTGAAAGTCTGTGAAAAATAGACAACTAAATGTCATGTTGTTGAACAAGCGAAAAGACGGATATAATAATAAAGCATGCCCTCCACGAAGGACGCTGACTTGATGTCTGAACTTGCGCTGGAGGTGGCCTCCCAGAAATTAATTAAACATGGCTTTAAAGAAGACTGGGTTGTTCAGGAGCTTTCGTCTTATCTTTAGTCCATATGAGGAGGTTTTACTCCAGACGAGGAGATTTCGGCCGAGCAAAGACGTCAGGTGTCGAGAGAGGGGGAATGGCCTTTCAGTGTGGGTTCCGACATTTTTTTAACGCTCGAAGTTCCGGCTACGCAACATACTGCAGCGAGGACGTTCTATAGCCGTGCAGATGGTAACAATTAACCACTCTAGAACGTTATTACAATGTGTTGTCGGGTATTGACGTCGTAGCTTATTGATGGTCGTACATGTCCTCCCGTGAGTGACCACTCATTAAAGGTGATGTATAGAGGGCCCTTGGCTCGCCGCTGCATTGCAAGCGCAATCAATGAAGCAAGAACAACTTGGTCATGGCCCCCAAGGTGGCGGTCCTTGTAGCTTGCTTCTGAACTCGTCAACTTTCTAATTAAAGTCAGTTCGATGATATCAGTCCATTCGATTCTCAGGAGATGTGGCCTATGGCATAATGACGATCTGTCAGAGCCTTCTCCTACCATGATATCTCGCAAGGGCCGTCCCGTCAGGGCATCCAGGAAAAGGTGTCACCTGTTGTTGGGATTTGTCGCCCGACCGCGGTCAGCTGTAAGCTGACGCCCGCGCGGCCAGCGGCCCATGACTGTTGATAAGCATCTTGGTCTAACCATCAAGACTTCCTGTAAAACGTGCTCTCGGAAGCCTCAGGAGTCTAGATTGGAGGCGAGATAAAATTATAGAGTATCCTGGAGGTTGGGTGGTGAGACTGAGGTTGGTTGTTTCGGAGGAAAGGAAAAGTCAGGGTTATGGATTGGCTAAAATTTGCGGAAAGGTTGTGTGGGGCTATTAAACCGCAATCCGGTATCCCCTCAATACCGTGGTCGAGCATTGAAGACAACCGGCGGCGGGTGTTCACGCTATGCGAGGTGTCTGGCTAGGGGTGGGCTGTCTTGCTGCGGAATTCTATCTTCACAAGAGCAAGGCAGGGCCTGGGCCTTTCCCGAGGCACGTCTTTCGCAGTCTATCACGAGAAGGATTGGACAATTCTGAAATTGGATCGGCGTTGCCGCCATCGTGGTGGGATCAAGACGTGCATACTGCAGCCACGGACCGTAACACAGTGGTTGTCCGAGCGTCTGTCAATCAAGAGCGCACTAGGGACGTAGAATTGCCGAAGAACCCGCCAAATGTCTGTTGAATACCCCCGCATGCAGATGTAGCACCGCAGGCGGTAGGGAACCGAGTCTGTCCTTAGCTGCATAACTAAGGCAGCAGTGACAGCATGGTCTTGCATACTATGGCGCAACCTCTTTGGATTGGTGAAAATAATGAAGCCCTCGCATAGGTGACTGGTTGAATACCCCACCATGCAGACCCGAAGCCATGGCTGGAGTTAACATTTGTGAAAATTTTCGCTCGTGAGTTTCATGTGGCATCTGTCTGTCGAGATCGTTGACCATTTGCTTCTTCATGTCATCTCATCGAAAGACCATGACATCAAGCGATGCGGGGCCAGCTGAAATGAACGCAGAGAACGGAACAGGCACCGTACTACTGAGTTGGGGATCCGTAGCAAGATAGCTGACAAAAGATAGAAACACAGACTAGAAAACAATTGCATTGCTTAGAAGGCCCAGGCTTGGCGGTCCATCAAGACATGGTCTGGTCGGTTCATACTGCGGTGCCGGAGTCGCCGTGGCAGAGGCTTTTGACGAAAAAGAACCGACGGTCCATAGGATTTACAGAGGGGATCACGGCTGAAGGCACGCCGGCCCCTTTGGTTAAAGCTTGGCCCGAAGGGTAGAAGCCATGGCCCAACAACACTGATAGTTATCTCGAGCAATGGATCAAGAGGGGACAAGCGCCGAGACCCTTTTTCCCTGGCGCACAACGAGCTTGCGGATCTGCACCTGAACGAGGGGAGAGCGGTGCCTGGACGGACAATGAGTTGAGACATTGCGGGGATGATCTGGGATGAGAAGCAGCGGGGGGGATCATGGAGAATGGGGAGTCCGCAAAGCAGTTTGCTCTTCAGCTGGGGAAAATGGTGGAGGGCACGTTCATCAAGCTGAGTGGCGATGATGATTCTAGGCCACGATGACTGCGGCCGTGGTGCTACTGGGGGAGGACCTGAGTTGGGGCTGCGCTGGCACGAGAAATCGGTAAATTTCTGGAACTTACGAGAGCTTACCGAAGATGCAACCGTCAGTTGAAACGCTTAATTGCGGCAAACGTGGGCTGCGCAAAACGCTGCGATGGGTGAGGTGGCGTTAAAGACGTCGGACAATCATGGGGTTCCGCCGTCGTCAATGCTTCCTGTTTCGGACCCCTGGGCAGATCAGCTCCAACAACGGAGCGCGTCCTGCGCTCTGCCTACGGCTCTGCAACCAACTACATCCGAGGCCCTAGAGTGGCGCATGCTCTTGCAGGGCGCCATGGTCCTTTGCTTTGTCTGTCTCTCTGTCTCTCTTTTTCTGGTCAAACATTGTTTGACTTTTCTTCACCATCCTTCCTGGCCGGCAGAGCGCGTGGGAATCACACGCCCCCAAAAAACCCGCCAAAGGAATCAAAGTATCTTTTTAAGCGTCTGACATGATCATGGTTCAGGCACTGCCATGATGCCGCTTGCTAAGCCGTTCGCACCACCGACAAATCGCACGCCCTTCAGCCTCTGCGTGCAAGGCTGATTGATGTGTGCCAGCTGCAGGCGAGCGTCATCGGGTGGCTTGACCGGAGGTTTGTATATCGTGTGTGAAGCCGAGGATGCATGGCTGGATATGATGTGTGCAAGTCAGCCAGTGTCTCGCTTAATCTCCAGTCCATCTTTCCCCCCACTCCGTAGGGACCGCCGCCCTTCCCACAACCCCGACCCCATCCTGTCTCTGTATCCCGGAGCTAATCGCATTTGGCCCGGCGCCTCCCTTGTTTCGACTCCGCTGACGGTGATTGAGGTAAGCCTGAGGCTCTGGCGTGCGGATCGCCAACGGCCGGTTCCCATCAGTGTCCCCCGCCGCACCGCACGACATGCGATCAAGACCACTGTCAGCCAAGGCGGGCACCTGTATTCGACCGATTCCGTACATCCTACCGACGCCATGGGTAGACCGGTCCCAGGGCCGGGATTGCTGGCGGGCCGTGCTGCGCGAAAGGAGGGATGGCTGTAAGGTGTATCATGGCGCATGCACAAAGTCCCTCAGACGCCTCGAGATCTGGACTTTCAGGCCTCGATAAACGGCGGCCAACCGTTAGCGGGTCGCGGGTGTAACGACAGCGTGGGAGGTGTCGACGAAAACATTCGTGGGGCGACTTGGGTCATTGACCACATGAACCGCTCAACGCAGTTGGATGGCAGGCTTGCCATGCGCTGGAGTCCTGCAAGAGCTAGGATCACGCTGCAAGTGAAGCTGTTCATGTGTCTGGGAGTGCTGGCTGCACGGACGGTGGGACATTCCCAGCAGCCGGGAGGAGACCCGCAACCCCTGTCAATGTCCGACAAGTCGTGACGGCACCTACACAAACCTCATGGTAGAGTGAGGTTTGTCCTAACAATAGCGACATTGCTTACCGGCCCTGCAACGCCACCGTTTTAGCCTCGCGCCAACCAGAATCGTCTTTGGTGCATACCGGGTTTATTCCTCACGTCAAGGACTTACTGCATCTTCGGCATGCTCGATGGCACAGACGTTCCGGGGGGGGAGGCGCTAGCCGTGTGATGGCAGCGGTCTAAGCACAGGCTTGCAGTTTCACCCACCATGGAAGAGATGTTGCCGCTTATATTAGAGGAGGGGCTCTCCCAGAGGGCCTACTTAAGAAGCATACCAGCCCAGTACCGCTCTGGTCCCTCGGACAGCCCGTCACCCTCGTCTTTTGCATTCCACTTTGATACTACCTTCTTGGGTGCTAGTCAAACCTTGCCTATGAGAGACTGACCTGCTCCCTACCTCATTGATATATTTCTGCATCCGCTTCCCTGGACTCGACCCCTATCAGCTTGAACGGCTCACAAGTTGATAGTCGGATTTGGCCCAGTATCTTATAGATCTTCCTTGACCTAATTTTTCATAATCGATAGACTTCGGCATCCGCAAACATGAACATCCTCATTTTCGGTGATCAGACGGCTGATCAGTACCCGTTGTTGCGAAAGGCGGTGTTGAGGAAGGACAACGCTCTACTCTCGACCTTCATCGAGCGTACAGGTGTCGTTCTCAGAGATGAGATCAAGCGCCTACCTCGCTCCCAGCGAGACAACTTTCCGGACTTCTTGAACGTTTCCATGCTGGTTGAGGGCTATTATGAGAAGGGCATGAAAATTCCGCAGTTGGAAAGCTGCTTAGTCACCATTTCTCAGCTTGCTCACTACATCGGGTAAGTGCATATAAAGAAAAGAAAAACCGCTCAGATGATCATTTGACTGATTGTGCAGGTACTATTCCGAGCACCCAACTGAAATCCCGGTCCCTTCGAATACTAGGGTGCTTGGGCTGTGCACTGGTATCCTTGCAGCTGCAGCAGTCGCCTCGGCCAAGTCTCTGAGCGACCTGCTCCCTCTTGCGATCGAAACCGTTCGCATCGCCTTCAGGGCGGGAACTTGTGTGGCAGCGGCAAAATATGCTCTGGAGTATCCCGGCGAGTCTCAACAATGCTGGTCGACAATCGTCGCGGGCACTTCCGAACAGTCAGCCAAGGACGCGTTGGCCGACTTCCACCAAGAGAAAGGAATTCCAATCCCAAACCAGGCGTGGGTCAGCGCCGTTAGTGTAATGGCTGTCACCATCAGTGGACCGCCATCGACCACTCGCCGACTTTTTGAGGAATCGGAAGCCTTGAAAAAGAACAGCCGGGTGGCAATCCCAGTTTACGCGCCGTACCACGCTGCGCACTTGCATAGCAAAGCCGATATCGATCGCATTCTGGACAGGGAGGCGCGTCACCTTCTGCTGCAATATCGCCCGATGTCCCTCATTCACTCTGCCAGCAACGGAACGTGCCACACCGTTTCCAACACACTTGAACTCTTCGAGCTGGCTCTGAGCGAAGTCCTGCAGGAGCCAGTGAGATGGGATCGCCTACTTGAGGAGGTCGTGTCACAGGTCACTGAGTTCAGCAAATCGGAGTGCTCAGTCACTGCCATCGGTGTTACCAACATTGCAAACAGTCTTGCCTCGGCGCTTAAGGCTGGTGGCCAGACTGCCATCTCCGGCAAGGATTACACCGCCTGGATCCAAAGCATGGCAGAAGGTACTGGTCGGACGCAAAACGACAAGATTGCCATCGTTGGCATGTCCGGGAGGTTCCCTGGTGCGGCTAACTACGAAGAACTTTGGACTCTGCTTGAGAAGGGCCTGGACGTCCACCGTGAGGTGCCTCCTGATCGATTCGACGCCAAGGCCCACTGCGATCCTTCGGGCAAGGGCAAGAACAAGAGTCATACTCCGTACGGTTGCTTCATTGAAGAACCTGGTCTTTTCGACCCTCGCTTCTTCAACATGTCGCCGCGCGAAGCCGCCCAGACAGACCCAATGGGACGCTTGGCCCTCGTCACTGCTTACGAAGCTTTGGAGATGTCTGGCTACGTGCCAAACCGTACTCCATCCACGAAGCTTCACCGTATCGGTACTTTTTACGGTCAGACATCAGACGACTGGCGTGAGATCAACGCGGCTGAAAACGTCGACACATACTTCATCACTGGAGGTGTGCGCGCGTTCGCCCCAGGCCGCATCAATTACTACTTCAAATTCTCCGGGCCCTCTTTCAGTATTGACACCGCTTGCTCTTCGAGTCTTGCTGCCATTCAATTGGCTTGCACCTCGCTCTGGGCGGGAGACTGCGATACTGCATGTGCCGGTGGTTTGAACGTTCTTACCAACCCTGACATTTTCTCTGGTCTTAGCAAAGGCCAGTTCCTTTCGAAGACTGGATCTTGCAAGACTTACGACAATGACGCTGACGGCTACTGCCGCGGTGACGGCTGTGGCTCAGTCGTCTTGAAGCGGTACGAAGATGCCATTGCTGACAAGGATAACATTCTCGGCTGTATTCTTGGTGCCGCAACGAACCACTCTGCGGAAGCTGTCTCCATCACTCACCCCCACGCTGGAGCCCAGGAGGTCTTGTACAAGCGCGTTCTTGCTAACGCTGGCGTCGATGCTCATGATGTCAGCTACGTCGAGATGCACGGTACTGGCACCCAGGCCGGCGATGGCATTGAGATGACGTCAGTCACGAATGTGTTCGCGCCTCGTCACCGCCAACGGAAGCCTGAGCAGACCCTTCACCTGGGCGCTATCAAGGCTAACATTGGCCATGGAGAAGCTGCATCTGGCATCAACTCCTTGATCAAAGTCATGTTGATGTTCGAGAAAAATGCCATCCCTGCTAATGTTGGCATTAAAGGCGTCATGAACAAAACCTTCCCCAAGGACCTCGGTCAGCGCAACGTCCATATTGAGACGCAACAGGTTGCCTATCCCAGAAAAGGAGCCGAGAAGAGGAAGATCTTCCTCAACAATTTCAGCGCTGCCGGCGGTAACACTGCCCTCATTATCGAGGATGGTCCTTTGAGAGAAGCGCCGGTCAGCCAAGACCCGCGATGCACTCATGTTGTTGCTGTTTCCGCACGCTCGATTGCTTCCCTGAAGAGGAACATCCAGAGCCTCATCACTTACATTGGTGAACACCCTGATACCACTCTGCCGAGCCTTGCATATACCACAACTGCGCGTAGGATCCAACACAATTACAGAGTCATAGTTGCAGTCAACGAAATGTCCAAGGTTAAGGATGCCCTCCAAGACCAACTGAAGGACACCTACAGCCCCATCGCCATGGTTGCCACCAAGGCAGCTTTCACTTTCACCGGCCAAGGTTCGCAATACACTGCTCTGGGCCAGAAGCTTTACCTAGACCTGCCATCGTTCAGGGCCGACATCGACCAGCTTGACAACCTTGCTCGCATGCAGGATCTGCCCTCCTTCATTCCGCTCATTGATGGCACTGATGTCACCACTCTGTCTCCGCTTGTCATTCAACTCGGAATGGCTTGTATCCAAGTTGCTCTCGCACGCATGTGGTCAGCTTGGGGCGTCAAGCCAGCTGTTGTCATTGGCCACAGCCTAGGCGAGTACGCGGCACTGCACGTCGCTGGTGTCATCTCCGCTGCCGACATGATTCTCTTAGTCGGACGTAGGGCACAGCTCCTTGTTGCTGACTGCACTGAGTACACCCACGGCATGCTCGCTGTCAAGGGTAGCCGGGAGTCTATCTCGGAAGTTCTGGGCGCCAAGATGCTTGAAGTTGCCTGCGTCAACGGACCTGAAGAGACTGTTCTTTGCGGGACGGTGGATATCGTCGATGCCGTTAACGAGACGCTCAGTGGACGAGGCTTCAAGGCGACCAAGTTGAAGGTGCCGTTTGCCTTCCACTCCGCTCAGGTTGAGCCTATCCTTGAGTCTTTCAAGGCGGTTGCTGCCTCTGTTGCATACAACAAGCCCACTGTGCCAGTCTTGTCTCCTCTGACTGGTGAGGTCATCCGTGAGGCCGGCATCATTGGCCCAGATTATCTTGCCAGACATGCTCGTGAGACTGTCAACTTCTGGACGGCTCTGGCCAACGGCAAGGAGCAAAACGCCTTTGACGAAAAGACCGTCTGGCTAGAAGTCGGCGCTCACCCTGTCTGCTCTGGTATGGTGAAGTCCTCTCTCAGCAACGCACCATTGACGGCTCCTTCTCTTCGCCGCAATGAGGACCCTTGGAAGACGATTGCCACCAGTCTTTGCACTCTCTACACGGCTGGTGTTCCAATCGACTTCAACGAGTACCACCAAGAGTTCAATGATGCGCACGAGTTGCTCAGGCTGCCTACATACAGTTTCGACAACAAACGCTACTGGCTTGACTACCACAACAACTGGTGCCTTACCAAGGGCGAAGCCCCGGCTGTTGCCAAAGAGGTTCCTCAGCAAGTTGCTGAGATCAAATCCAAGCTTTCGACTACCGCTTGTCAGCGTATCGTCAAGGAAGAGCTTCATGCCAACTCGGGCAAGATAGTCATTCAGACTGATCTTACCGAGCCCAAGCTTTACAAGGCTGTCAGCGGCCACGTTGTCAACGGCAGTGCTCTGTGCCCGTCCTCGCTGTATGCTGATATGGCCATGACAGCCGCGGACTACTTGTATAAGCAGCTTCGTCCTGGTGCCGCACCTGTAGGATACAACGTCTGCAAGATGGAAGTTTTCAAGGTGTTGATCGCCGATGTTCCTCCTGCACCTGAAGGTCAACACATCCAACTTGAGGCTGAGGCTGACCTAGAGACTAAGGAGGTCTTACTCAAGTACCGCAGTGTGACGCCCCAAGGGAAGACGCTTCAGGATCATGCTGTGGCCACTGTCATGTACGAAGATCTTGACGAGTGGCGCGAGGAGTGGCAGCGTGTGCAGTTCATGGTCCAGGGCCAGATCGACTTCCTGCACCACAAGCTCCAGAACGGTGGCGCGCACAAGGTTCTGCGTGGCATGGCCTACAAGCTGTTCCAGGCCCTCGTCGACTATATTCCCACCTACCGTGGCATGGAGGAGGTTATCCTTGACGGCAAGCAAACAGAGGCCACTGCTGCGGTCCAGTTCCAAACAACCCCTGCCGATGGCGAGTTCTACTGCTCTCCATACTGGATCGACTCCCTTGCCCATATCTCTGGCTTCATCGTCAACGCTTCTGACCTAGTTGATTCTGCCAACAGTGTCTACATCTCTCACGGGTGGAAATCAATCAAGATCTCCAAGCAGCTTTCGGCTGACAAGAAGTACCGCTCCTATGTCAGAATGCAGCCCGCTCCCGGCAACATCTCTCAGGGTGACGTCTACATCTTCGAGGGCGATGAGATTATCGGTTTGGTCGCTGGCCTTAAGTTCCAAAACATTCCTCGACGTGTCATGAACATCATGATGCCGCCTGTCAACAAAGCCGGCGCTGCTGCGCCTAAGGCTCTTCCTGCATTGAAGCCCACTGCTAAACCGGCGCCTGCCAAGGCTCCCGCCGCTCCAAAGAAGGCTGCTGTAGCTGTGACCAAGAAGACTGTCAAGGCCGCGGCGCCAAAGGCTTCCGGCAATGTCATCACTTCTCGTGTGATGAAGATTATTGCCGAGGAGTGTGATCTGGACATGTCCGAGCTTGTAGATGACGCCGCCTTTGAGAACATGGGTGTTGACTCGTTAATGTCTCTCACAATCTCTGCCAAGTTCCGTGAGGACCTTGACCTGGAAATCAGCTCGACGCTCTTCACCGATTATCCCACCGTGGGCTCGATGAAGAAGTTCTTCTCTCAGTATGATGGCGGTGCACCGCTGGCCGAGGAGGACTCGACTGAGTCCGAATCTTCAGACCCTCGCACTCCTGATGAGGAAGAAGACTCAGACACTGCCCCAAGCTCTGCTCCCAGCTCGGCTTCAAGCGTATCCGGTAAGGATGATTATGTCGAGGTCAAGGTCAAAGAAACCCGTCAGGTCACCACTGGCAGTGTCAGCCTTGCTCGTCAGATTGTCGCTGAGGAGATGGGTGTCTCAGTCTCAGAGATCGCAGACCAGGCTGACCTAGCGGAACTTGGCATGGACTCCCTCATGAGTCTCACCATCCTGTCTTCTCTGCGTGAAAAGACTGGCGTCGACCTTCCTTCCACCTTCTTGGTCACCAACGCCACCATTGAAGACATTGAAAATGCTTTGGGCATGCGCGCTAAGCCCCAGAAAGAGGTGAAGATTGAGAAGGTTCAGACCAAGGTCGAAAAGAAGTCGCCTCCCAAGGCTCCCAAGACTACCAAGGCCCCGGTGTTGGAGCAAGTCAACCAGAAGCTGTCTTCGAACGTTGATATCTCAAAGCTACCTCCCGCAACTTCTGTTCTGCTTCAGGGTAACGCTAAGATTGCGACCAAGAAGCTTTTCTTCCTGCCTGATGGTTCGGGTTCCGCGACCTCCTACATCTCCATTCCAACTCTCTCCTCTGACTTTGCAGTCTACGGCCTGAACTGCCCCTTCATGAAGAAGCCAGAAGATTTCACATGTGGCGTTGAGGGCGTCTCCGCTCTTTACCTCGCCGAGATGAGGCGCCGCCAACCTGAAGGCCCCTACTACGTGGGCGGTTGGTCCGCGGGTGGTGTCCTCGCCTACGAGGTCTGCCAGCAGGTCATCGCACAGGGCGAAAAGATCGAGAAGCTGCTGCTACTTGACTCTCCTTGCCCTGTAGCACTGGCACCGCTTCCAGCCCGTCTCCACCACTTCTTCGACTCCATCGGACTCCTCGGCACCGGTAAACCCGGTGGGACGCCTGGCTGGCTCCTTCCTCACTTCGCCTCTTCCATCAAGGCCTTGAAGGAGTATGAGCCCATACCATTCCCCGAGGGTAAGGCTCCAGAGACATACGCCATCTGGTGCACTGATGGCGTCTGCGGCAAGCCGGACGACCCGCGTCCACCTCCAGCTGAAGAGGAAGACCCTGCGCCCATGACGTGGTTGCTCAACAACCGACACGAGTTTGGTGACAATGGCTGGGCACAGCTGGTGCCACTGGAGAAGATGGCCTTTGGTGTCATGGGCGGCAACCACTTCACCATGATGAGGGACGAGCACGTAAGTCACAATCTTTTTAACAATGACTTGAGCAATCACTAACAACGCATTAGGCTGAAACCCTCGGCAAGCTCATCAGGGAAGGCTTGGGTCTTTGAACGAAGCACAACTGTTGCTTCTTTTTGTTTTTCTTTGGCTGGCGTTTCAGTGAAAGGGTTTGGACATATGGCGCTGGCACTGATCTGGTCACGTTCCTTTCACTGACGATTCATGCCCTGACAACGTTTTATTTCCTATGTCTTCTTTCTCGTCCACGTACACGGTAGAGGGATCTTGTTTAGGCGTTTTGGTAGGATTGGGTAGTGTGGCGCTTTGGGTGTGTTTTTTTTCGTCTATGTGTTGTAAATAATCTTTCCAGAAGAAGTTTGAGCCGCTTCAATGGAAACGAAACAATTTACTCTCCCACAACCCCAACTTGCAAGCAAAAGAGGCAGTCTCTCACATGGGAATCCGGGGCATGCGCACCTCCCTGTGCGCCGATCGCACTCCAACAGCTTGGGCCGGCACGGCACTTGGGTAGGAACGGCGCGGCAGGCGCGGCTGCAACCGTCGCGAAGCCTCAGCAAATGGCCTGATACCTAGGCAGTCAGCTAAGGACACACCTCGTGTCCTTCGGAGTCTCCTCCACCGGAGTCCGGCGCCTAGGCACTAGGGGCTCGGCAGGGCGCCAGCGGGGAGGAAGGATGACAGCCCGACCTCGACCACGACGAAGACGGCCGGGGTGCTGGGATCAGCGTCACTCGCTGGGACCCAGCGGGCGGGGCGGCCGCTTCCGCGCGGTGAGGGGGGCGATTATCCAGGCTGCAAGCGGAGGTGAGGGCGTGGGCGAGGCTGAGAGGACGAGGTTAGAGAAGCTAGACTGGGTGTTGGGTCAGCCGCCGGTGCTGCGCTGGCTCGGCGGGAAATTGGGGAGTGTTTGGGCTGGGATGTGGCTGACAGGCTTGGGCGGGGAAGAGAGGAATGTGGAAGCGGGAAAGTGGTGAGGAGGAAAGAGAGGTAAGCCGAGGCGAGGGTGAGAGCGAGAGGGAGAGAAAGTATCCGGGTAGTTGGAGTGTGAAAGAGAAGTGGGGATGCGTTCCGTAGAAGTGTGGGTCACCGTAGCAAAAGTGCGCGCGTAAATCAAGTCGGTCCGCCGTAGACATCCCGCCTTGGAGCCCGTGACGACGCAGCGGCAGAAAGTGTCGCGGGAGGCACCAAGTTCGCAGCCATGGCAACCACCGCGTCGGGGTCTAGGTAAGAGCATCCATTGCAGAAGGCATGCAGGGCCTTTTCCAAGCTGACAGCCTCGTCCAGCAAAGATGCGCCCACCAATCCCCGTGGCATTCCGTTCGCGCCCTTCGTCGACAAGGTCGAGGACTATGTCACCTCGCGCGCCGAGGTCGAGGGCACCTTGAAGAGCTTCCAGGAGATGATCTCGTACGCTGCTCCCTCTTGCCCGCCCTAGCTCTTTCTCTCTCCCTCTCTCCCTCTCTTACGCCGCGCCCCGCGATCCACACTTTACTCACGGGTCCGCGCCCCCGCGGCGCTCGGCAGGAAATACCAGTTCATGGAGGTCAACACGCAGCGCCGGGCCGCGGGCCTGAAGGACAAGATCCCGGACATCCAGAAGACGCTGGACACGGTGCAGTTCATGAAGACGCGCAAGGTATGGCAGCTTCGGCATAGAGCTACGTAGTAGGGGCAATAGTGCTAAGACATGGCGGGCGGCCGTTTTGTAGCCGGGCTCTGATCCCATCGAGACGACGTTCGAGCTGAACGACACGCTGTACGCGAAGGCGCAGATCCCGCCTACGGAGGAGGTCTACCTCTGGCTTGGCGTGAGTTCCCACCCACCACAGCACCGCACATTGGAGGCGTGTATGTGTATGTGCGAGATGCAGGAGGAGAGGCTGATTGCTTGTTTTACATCGCGCAGGCAAACGTCATGCTGTCGTACCCTATTCCTGAGGCCGAGACGCTGCTGGACCAGAAGCTCAAGACGGCGCAGCAGAGCCTCGCCAACTGCGAGGAGGACCAGGATTTCCTACGCGAGCAGATCACGGTGCGTAGACACACATACACACACACACACACACACACATGGACGAGCTGCCGCGCATATTGCGTTGTGGCGGCGGCGGCGGCTGTTCATGGCCACGGTTGTGTTGTGACATGGGGCTAACCTCTCAACCAGACGCTCGAAGTCGCCACGGCACGCGTGTATAACTGGGACGTTGCGCAGCGGCGCAAGGAGAAGAACGAGTTCGAGGAGTCGCAGGCTGCTGCCAAGTCGGACTGAGCGCTTAGGAGTGGCGTCGTTGAGGGAGCCTGAATCGAGGTCTCCATCACTTCGCCGTTTCTCTGCCCTCGAGCACAAGACAAGTGGTACCCGCGTAAAGTCATCGCCATCCTCCTTATGGGAGCCGGATACAACGCTATCCGACTTGCAATGCCATTGTGGCTGCGGGTGCGTAGATGTCTCCGAGCGGAGAGATGCCGGTGTATATAACATTGAGCCAATCTAAAAAGTTACCGCTGATGCTGCTTTGTGCCGAGTATTGTGTTTAAAGACATACCTTGGAATTCTGATTCTACTCCCTCTTTAAGACATCACACAGCCACTGAATACTACTCCCTTCCTAGTTTCCGTTCTCCCATTGGTATTGAGTATCCTTTAAATGGTCGCGGGTGGGACAAAAAAGCTAAATCCAAGATACTGCCCCTGATAAGTATCAAATAGTGTAATCCAGAAATACCTCACAAACAAGTCGAAGTAACAACATCATTGTCTCTGCTTTAAACTCGACATTCATGAACCCAGCACCTCCCTTCTCAATGCTCCCTTACCACCACTCGCCAAGACATCGAGCCAAGAAGCGCAACGTCTGCCAGCACAGCAGATCTTCTAACTATGTTGCAGCGCCGTTGCGCTTGTTCGAGGAGACGGCTTCGATTACTGTTATTCTTGGTACTCAAAACCCTTCTGAAAATTGCTCCTGACGCACGTAGTTCAAAAGAAGTAGGACCTCCTGGCTTCAACTTATTATATGAGTAGTTATTTTATGCGTTTATCGACATTTGGAGAGATATAGAAGAGATGGTGCAGGATAATAGAAACAAGATATAAACCTTTGAAATGAGTTGGGTAATAACAATGATATATATATGCATTTACGTGCTGTTTAAGATAGAACAATAAATGCAGAAGGGAAAAACAGGCCCGGCTAAGTGAGAAACTCCGATTATAGAGGAGGGTAATTATAGCGCTCCCTAGCAGGACATTCTGCTGAAAAGCAAAATTGCGTTATGATAGAACACCAGCATCGTCATTTATCTCCATTTCCAAAATAAAACCAAAACTAAACCATACAATCTACCCAGCGCAGAACAACTCGATTCCACCCGCGACCACTAAAACAGCTTAGAAAATCCTTCTGGACTAACTAACTAGTATGGCTACGTGAATACCTCTAGCCCACGTCACCTAACACAAACATACCTACAACGCTCTACACCGCTGTGGGGATGGCTGTAAAGAGCCAACACTGGTAGCACTGGCATAAGCACCTTACGAATAGGTATGCCTCATGTCCACACTCGTAAGTAAGGTATTTACCTACCTACCTACCTACTCACTCGAGGGAGATTAGGACAAGCCGAACCGGCAGCATGATAGAGGAGGAAGGGTTGTCGGGGCGGGTAACTACCAAGGTACCTACCTAGGCAGACAGGCAGGTAGAGCTCTCCTCCTACCTATCTAAAGGAGACTGCTCTACCTACCTAGAGTAAAAGTGAAGAAGTACCGGACCAAGAAAGCAGTACAATACCTACCGGGCTATGATGATACCAGCACTGCAAGAGGGACTGCAGTGATATTCTCCCTTACTACCTACCTGCCTACCTATACAGTGGTCAGGTATTCCACCAGTTAGCAAGCCTCTCGACTCAACCATGCTTCCACTCATCCAATCATAGGTGGTCAGCGCTGGCTGGGAACTCACAACAATGATGGCGGACATTAGGTGAAGGCATACAACATGACCGATCAAGAAGCAGCAGCGCACGCGACCAGACAGACAGACGGAAGAATCCAAAGACTCGTTTGCAAAACATGACCAGAAACACAGTAGTACTCAGTCAAAATAGTTTCTGTCCCTCGAATAGGCTTTTTGCCTTAACCATGCTTGAAAGCACCAAAAAACCGTATAACAGCGTAGCCAGACCCTAAAAATTCATTTCAAACGCTTCGTTCAATCACGCGGCAATGTTCTCGCCGCGTTCAGTGTTTTTTTGACCCCGTTTACAGCTCATCGTGGCCCTCAATGTCCTCCTCGTCGATAATGGCTTCCTTGACCTTCTCGGCGGCGTTGGCGACCTTCTCCTTGACGCCCTCCTTGGCGCTCGCGGCTGACTCCTTGGCCTTCTCGGTGGCGGCGGGAGCCTGGCTGGGGATGTCCGACTCGTCGGCGGCGGCCTCCTCGGCCTCGTAGGCGTTGATCTTGTGGCTGCCGTTCTCGGCAATGAACTTGGCGAGGTCCTCGACGGTGCGCGAGCCGCTGTAGTCGATAGGGCTGTCCTTCTTGCCGGCGGGGAAGAGCTTGATGGTGGGGAAGCCCTGGATCTCGTCGGGAACGTCGTTGGCCGTGGCGTCAACCTTGGCGACGGTAACCTTCTCAGCGAACTCGGGGTTCTTGGAGAAGAGAGCACCAAGCTCCTCGTACTTGGGAGCCAGACTATGCAAAATTAGCTAGTTGCCCGTGAATGACAGATCATTTAAACTTACGCCTTGCAGTGACCGCACCAGGGGGCGTAGAACTCGACGAGAACATCCTTGTCGTTGTTGATCACCTCAGCCTCGTAAGAGTGAGCGACGATAACAGTGACGGGACCCTCCTGCTTCTCGGGAATGGGCTCCGACTTGATGCTAGGCTCGACCTTGCCAGCAAGGAAGTCATCGACGTAAGAGCCAATGGCCTTCTTGGTGATCTTCTTGTCCTGGTCGAAGGGGAACTTCTGGTTCTTGGTGGTGTCCTGGATAGCAAAGGCGGGCCACTTGCCGACCTCGAGGTTGAGGTTGGCGCCGTGCTGACCGAAGGTCTTGGCGTCGATGGTGGCGAAGTTGATAGCACCCTTGTGCTTCTCAGCGACGGACTTGAGCTCCTTGGCAAGCTCCTCGCGCTCGTCGGCGGTCTCGGCGAAGATGTAGGCAAGGGGGATACCAGCCTGCAAAAGTTAGTGAATGCCAGCAATTCTAAGTCGCAGTGTGACGTACGTTGATGTAACCAGCGTAGGTCTCGGGGCCGACCTCGCCAACAAGCGGCGTAGCAGCAGTCTTGGTGAACTGCTCAATAGCCTCCTTGTCAAACTTCTCAGAGAAGACGTCCTTGCCCTCATCGAACGACTTGTACAAAACAATGGCGGGTTGCTTGACGCCCTCGGCCTTAGCCACGGTGGCGTCGTTGATGGCGCCAAACAGGTACTCGTCGCGGAGGCCGTTGGCGACCGAGGTGAAGGTCTCGTTGGAGGCCTTGTCGTCCTTGTCGAAGAAGGCAACCAGCACAACCTTGTCGGCAGTCTTGAACTCCTCGATGGTGTCCTTGGCAAGGGTGGAGACGGCGGGCATCGACTGCTTGGTCATGTACGAGACAATCCTGTGTAATCGGTCAGCGCTTCATGCTAGAGCCAAGCTACTTTGATCTCAGAACGTACGCGTCCGCCTTCCTCTGGCCGGTGTAGGGAGAGGGGGAGTCCTCGCCACGGAAGACCTTCAGGGTGGGGTAACCCTCAACACCAAAGCTCTGGCAAAGCTCCGTCTGCGCAGTGCAGTCGACCTTGGCGAGCTTGATGTTCTTCTCCTTCAGCTGCGTCGCAGCCTCCTCGTACTCGGGCGCAAGCGCCTTGCAGTGACCGCACCATGGAGCAAAGACTGCGTGAGGGTAGTGTTAGCTGGAGGCGGCATGGCACAATGGGGTCGAGAGACATACACTCTGCCAGGACGAGGTCATTCGTGTTGACGAAGTCGGTAAAGGTGTCCTTGCTAAGCTCGACGACGTCCGAGGCGGAGGCGAGAGCGAGCAAGCTCGCAAGAGCGGCGTTCCTGAAGTTGCGCATTCTTGCAATTGACTGTGCGGAGCAGATGAGCAGAGTCAGGAAAAGTGTAGACTATCCAGTGTAGAGAAGGGGCGGCGTTATATATTATAAAGCGGCAGGTAGAGGACAGCTTGCATCGGTCCAGCTTGGCACGGCGGGCTGGGTGCCACAGAGCTTTGACGCGCCCCCAAGGTCCGCCTGAACGCCTTCCCGAGTTCCTGAACCGTGAACCGCCGCCGCCGCACCGCATCGCCGAGGCGGACGGTCTGCTTGCTAACTACCGTGTGCTGTATCTACTAATCCAAGTCGCAGCGGAATCAGGTCATTCTTTCTCGACGCGCATGCCCTCTTGCCATCATCGCCCGTCGTCGCTTTACCTACCTACATCGCCAAGAAACCACGACTGCCGCCACCTTCAAAAGCAATGCCTTGGGTCGTACTCCTAGTGGATCTACGGCACTGCCGTCCTCCATTCCATGGGGCCGTCCCTTCAGTCATTACTGAAATCTGTTCTTTTTCCAACTCGGTGACATGCAGTTTGTTTTATTGACCACAGGCGCATGACTATCATATGTGGCTTACCAATCCATGCCACCAAAGCACGTCTGCCGGCTCAACGGCTACCATCTCCCGGCCGCGCCTGATCTTCCGTCCTACTCCATCTGAAAAGATCATCGCCGTCTCCTTGTTCGTTGCACGCCCCGTCCTCACTCCCGTTCAAGTCCTCGGACAAGGCAAGAGCATCGTACTTGCCTCGCTCCACATTGACTGCCAGCATTAACGGAAATGGAAGGCCTATCAAAGCCGCAAGAAACCAAAAAGCCTGATGCTGTCAGCTGACGTTAGATATATGAAATTTCACGTGCAGTCCTTACCGGACGAATCTCTCCAGTCGCATCAGTAATCGCACCCACAACTGCTGGGCCGAAGACGCTGGATCCTTTGTCTGTGATTGCATACAACGCATAGAACGCCGCCTCGAATCCCGGGGGAATGAGCTCGCCGAAAAGACTGCGGCAGTAGGAAGATAGTCCGCCGAGGACGAACCCGTAGACAGCGCCCAACGGGTACATTTCCCAGGGCTGCTGTAGCCCGAAAACTCCTAGTCTGCGAATTGCTGGGATGTATCCCAGCAAGCCATAAATAGGGATGATTTCGAACAGACCTATGCAGCACAGTATTGTCTGCGAAGGTCTCAAGCCCATCAATATTGACAGTCTGCTCCAGGAAAAGGCACCGACGATGCCTGAGATCGTCGCAATGACGTTGATAAGCGCAATTGCTGCCGGCTTCATCTCGAGCGATGTTTTGGCGAAGAGGACGGCCGTGCCGCTGACTGTTGCAATAGCGTCGCTTAAAAGAAACCAAGCGCCAAGGAACAGTAGAATGTCTTTGAGTCGTCGAGCGTGCATGACTGTTTTTCCCAAAGATTTCCAGGAGTAGGAAAAGTAGGCGAAGCACGTTCGTGCCTTACCACCACTAGTATCAATGCGTAAAGGTGGGCCAGGTCTCGATTTCAGCCAAAAAGCTGCCGGAATAGCGAATATGAACCTAAGTGCCGCGTCAGTGATGAAATGAACGATTGCGATAGTTACTTGTGTTATCGTACCACCATGCTCCGATGCAGAATAGCACCAGGCGGAGGGAGAAGGTTGTGGACTTTATAGCAATGACTAGAAAGATCGAAAACGTCTGGACCAAAAGTGCGGCAATATAACCAATGCCGATACCGTAAGACGATATCTTTGTTGACAGTGTAAGTGCTTCTGAAGTTGCCTGGAAGGGAGTTAGTGAGGGTTACAATGCTTTGTGTGATTAATTCGGTCCAATTTCTCTGTTCGTAGGCCATGTCTCCAGTCTCCCCGGATACTCATTCAAAAATCCTCGTGTCCCGCAATACAAGGGAAACTTACAGCTGAGGATCTCGGCAGAGGCTCCGTGATGTCTGTTCCTGAAGCTCTTATCAAAGCTGTCCGTGAGTCCACACGATCAATTTCCTCAAGCACTGGTTCGTCTTCCTCTACAGGCTCTTCTTCTGCTAACCGCGTCTCATCCTCCTCGAAATAGGGATCCTCATCAGGGTCTATATACGCTTGCTGGGCGGAAGGGTGATGCCTGACTAGGAGGGGGAGGAAAGAGTTCAACAGCACAAACGACGCACCAAAGCACGTATTGGCAACAATTGCCAATAGCGCGCCCAACACATAGACTTTGGGGACAATTGGGAGAAACAGCATCGTAGCAGTCGAGCCGACGAATGCGAATATGAGCAATAAGGTCTTGCGATATCTGCCATGGTCCGCCGCGCCAGACATTGAGATGATCAGCAGTGCTTGAATCAAGACACTGATTGAAAACGTGTACATGGCGAAGCTTGCGGTGTTTATTTCGACACCCAGCACATTGACAACGCATTGTACGGAATCGGAAGGCGGAGAGGCTGCAGTTGGCGGATCGGGTATGTCGATGAGGCTTGTGCAAGGCGTCTTCCTGTCTGATAGGAGCACGCCGCGCTCGCGGGCAAGTTGCTCAAGCGTGATGGGGATAAAGGAGCCTTAAAGACGTTAGTTTAGGGGAACCTCAGCTGGGGTGCTGGCGATCTTTAGGGAAGGCGAAGGCGGTGGGCCGGCCGGGGACTCGTTATACAGCATCTGTACGCTGCACGGCGCCGTAGTCGGACCCAAAGCGCGCGACACTCGACGACGGTGGGGAGAGAAGGGCCAGGCATTTACCAACACCACAGACTACAAAGACCTTTGTCGCTATTCAGCCAGCTTCATCTTGACAGACATTACAGCGCAATAGGTAGTACCTCGGCAGCCCACCCGTAGATATAGAAGCCCGACAGCTCTCTGCGGGACGTCAGGCTGGTGTCCTCGTCGGGGTAGCGGGGGCGGACGGGGCCATAGTCAGCATCGGGACCCATGATGGGCGAGCGCTCGTCATCGGCTTCGTGGCCGTAAGAGGAAGCAAAGGATCGCTTGGAGAAGGTGGACGATTGACGTGGGAAACGCGGGCGTGGCGGCGGTGGCTCTGACGTGGGCTCTGGATGCCGCGGTACCATAGCTTCTTCGCGTGATAGGCAGGGTCGAGGTCAGAGCTAGTTACACCGAGGGGGGCAGTCCATGCTGGTGAAGGGAGAGAAACAGATGCACATTGTTTGGTTTTTGCTAGGGGCGTCACGCGCAGCTGTCGCCTTACCGGCCGGGCTGGGCAGCGTGGGAGCAGGAGCGGCGGCCGGGCTGTGCAACAACTCGTCGCTCTCTGTTTCCGGCGCAAGATTGACATTGGGGGGTCTTCCCCGCATGCAGCACCTAGAATGGGCTGGCAAGCCTTGTTCCGGCCTGCTGAGAGGAAACTGCTCTTCTTATGTCCCTTCTAGCGGGCGCGGGCGTGGCTTTCACGCTTTCACGCTGGCCATGGACGGCCCCATCAGGGTGCAAGCCCCAGCTACAGCTGCCGCATTCCCTCCAGAGCGCCCAGCGCGTTGTCGCACTTTTGTTTGAACGGCATTTGGCAGGCGCGCGTAGCGAGAGTTGGCTTTCCCGTTCCGCGTTCCGATCCAGCGCCAAGAAAGCCGCCGCCGCCCGTCACCTCTCCCATCCTCTCCGCGTCCTCTTGTCTATCTGCCAGCTCTCTCCGCTACCCCCGTCCCCAGTGCAATCGCCCACCCGACCCGTCTTCTCAATCCACCGCGACTCGCCGCAAACCGCCCCAAGTCACCGATTGCGCCGCTGCTGAGCCCGACGGTCGACAAAGGCCGCGCCGATCCACTTTCTGCCCGGCGCATACGCTTTCCACCACAACCCTCACCTCGTCACCCACGACCACGCGCAACCACGCCGATTGACCGAGCCCGCCCCACTCGTCTCCTCAGCACCGAGCCCGCCTTTGTCCGCCGCCGGCAATTCAGCGACCGTTTCTCAACATCTCGTTCGCAGAGCGCATAGTAGACGGTGAGAGGAAGGGGACGACTGTGGGGGTGAAGGGGAGCTGCGGCGACGGAGCCGACGGAGCGAAGGGGAGGAGTATGCCAGGCATCATCTCCATGGATCAGAATGGCGTACAAGGCGCCGGCGCGGGCAGGCATGATGACAGGCCGTCGGCAGCACCATCTGGCGCGCCGGCCAAGGTCAACGGCGAAAAAGCATTGCCCCAGCTGGATGGTCCATCGGAGATGAACGGCAGGCCCTTTACCAACGGCGCGACGTCGTCATCATCGCTACAATCCCCTGCTGCGAATCTAGATCAACTTCCACCCGAACTCGCTCACATCACGGAAAACTTTCGACCCTTTGGCAAGCTCGTAGGTCGTGTCGCGCAAGAGACGGGCAATGGGTTTGGGGAGCTCTTAGATCGTATGGCGCAACTTCAAATTACACCAACGAATCCAATGATCAACGGTGTCAACGGCCATAATATGACGAATGGAGCCGGTACATCGTCTGCAACCAATGACGAGAAGAAGTCGTTGATGCTGAACTGGGCTTGGGGTGAAAGAGAAAAATACGTGAAGCTTTTGGTCTTGTCGAAATGGAGCCGCCAAGCCGAGGAAGTCAGCAGAATGATCGACTTGCAAGGCTGGATGCATGCGCAGTTGGACAATTATACAAATGCGTCCTTGTTGATGGGTCAGCTGAAGATCAACACTCAGACCATGAAAGCGCCAAACCCGGATTTGAATACAGCTTTGGAAGTTCTTAGCACTGGCAAGGTTCCCTGGATGCCGGATTTGGGTTATCTTCCTCCCGATCCGCTTACTCCCCAGCAAATGCTCAAGGCGGTGCAGAACGTTAATGCTCTGTTGTCCATCCGGATCAATCTGCACGAGGAACTGCCTCGACACATGAAGGACTGGACGATTTCGTCAGGCCGCGCAACATTCAGAGTACCGTCAGAGTTCGAGCTGGATGTTTCAATAGCGGACGAAGAGCCTGCATCTCCATTTTTCATTGTCGACTTGAGATTCATTTTCACACCAAAGCCCGAGGTTCCTGACGACTGGTTCAGATACTTTGTTGAGCCCCATGCAAACATTGTCTTGGAGAAATCAGGCTTGAGTGGACTGTATAAATGGCTACATGGCTTCGTGCTCACCCACAAGATCAAGACACTGCAGAAACAGGCCGAGGAATTGAGTCGCACAACATGGTCCAATACCCTATATATACAAGAGGTACACCGATCGTTGATTGTGCAATACTGGGTCGATCAACCGGGCGCCAAGAGCTGGATCGAAATTGGCATCGCAAGCGGCAAGCCCAAAAATGGAAAGGCATCCTGGCGCGGGCCCGAGCCTCCTCGGCTCGCCATTCGCTGGACGCGCAAAGGAGTGCTCGTTGAAGATTTTCAGCTCGCGGTTGATTGGACTGATTTATCTTTGGAGAGAATCCTGAAATCGGTCATTGCGCTACATACGACTCACATCTTGGATTCGATACGAAGCCAGCTGTCTCCCTCAAGCGAAACTGCGAAGCTTCCCATGCATCTTGCAATCTCGACCGAAGAACCGACTGACTGCAGCCTTACCATAAGACACGGAAGTTCGTCTCAGCCGACTGAAATCAGAATCGATTATGTGTCTGGGAGACTATCGATATACCCCTCGACTGCTCGATCTACCCAGGCAGAGTACGAAATTAATTACTTGAAGGATATAGCGGCTGAGGCTGCTCTTCGAATCGAGAGACAACTGTGCGCTAACCTCCGTGTGCAAATCGAAAAACAAGCTGAAAATGCTGGATGGACGTTGCTACGTCATGTAAACATCAAGCCAGACGCTACTTCCGCCGCTACAGGACAGAAGGTTATTACGCAGAGCTTCTACCGTGGACAAGGTTGGAAGTCAAAATGGGTGATAGCAGTAACCATCAACCTTGGCGGTGAAAACTGGTGGCTTTGTGAACTGTAAGTTGTTTTTCTTCTATTGTTATTAGACTTGCATAGTCAAGATGAGGATTTTTTGGGAGTATGCCACACATCTGCTGATACGAACAATGTGTAGCGTTGAACCTCACGTCGGCAACGCCATCAGCCAAGCGGCACCGCTTCTCGGGACTTCTACACTTGCCAAAAAGCAGTCAATATCACAGAGCTTTCTTCGTGCTCTCGAGCGCTTGGCAGTTGCAGAAGTTTCATTTGCAATTGCAGTCAGGGACCTCACGCATATGCGCGTCCAACACACGCTGCGTAGGGAGAAGGTTTCTATTGCATCGGAAGCCGGCAGCACTCACATCACGAGCACATGCATGCCTACCCTCTACATCAAAACCAGCGGGCTGGTTGGAGACAGTAAATGGGCAGGCGAGGTTCTTAAGCTGCACCATTACGGCTTTGAGAGCAAACAAGGCCGCGTGGTGCATCTTGTACGGGGTGAGATGCTCAAGGGAGGCGTGGACTTCAGGCTCATGTCATCACAAGATGACGATGTCTCATTCAACACTGATGGTACATTTATCGTCACACTCAGGACGGCTTTCGGAGAGTCATTCATGGACAAGGTTGTCAACCGACTGAGGCGTATCGAACGTCTCGGGACTTTCATCGACGTTGTCAAGCAGCAGAAGCTGCACTGCACCAGTGTCAGCCTTTCCAGATTGGTTTTCCGTTACTCTGGGCAATACCAAGTGGACATTAGCTTCCAAGACGGCGCACCTGTCCGTCTTGCCATTGAGCCGAACAACCCACACCGACGCATAGCCCAATACCTTACCGCTATCCTGAACAGACAGGACAGTAAGAGCTTTGTCATGTTCGCACGGGTTCTCTGTCCTACACTTCCATTGCTCTCCGTATTCGACGCAATCGAGAAGGCTTCTACCTCAACTCCACACATTCATCCTCGCGGCTTCGACTGGTATCGCGTCACGTATGAAAATCCACCTTGCACGTTTGACGTCCGGCTGCGGACTCACCATAATGAACTGCTGTGGCACGTCAACGACACGGCTTCCAACGCACAAAATCGCAGACCGGAGTTTGTTTCAGCACTCAAGGAATTTTTCCGGCTGGATAGAGGAAAACGGCACGGCGTCAGGAGTGGCCTGGTGGCCAAGCCAGATGGAATCGAGGAGGCAATCAAGGAACTTGACGAGGTGGTCAGGCAATACGCGCTTCCAACGCCTCCGGGCGGGGAGGATGCAGTTGCGGCTCATGCAGCCCAGCAACAGCCCCAGCCCACGCAGCAGACGCAAGCGCAACAGAACGCGCAACGGCAACAGCAAGCACAGATGCAGAGGCAGGCACAGATGCAAAAGGAACACGGTCCCGAAGTCATCATGCTCGACTGATACGGAGGCCTCTTCTTTTTCTATTTATCTCTGTGTAGCGTAGCAGCAGTCCGAGGTTTCTTTTTTTACTTCTGTCACGCCACGTACGGAAACGTATACCAGACGCGCAGGTTTAAAAAGCTACGACGCCAAGTTGTCCCACAAAACGAAGCGAAGCGCATGGCTTCTTTTCTCTCAATCGATGCGATTTTTTTGATACCCGGCGTTGTCCCCTCCCTTTGCGCATGAGGTGCCGGCTTTGACGAGCTCTTTCTTCTCTTCTTCTTCATTAGCCCCAGTGCGGTGGCGTAAGCAAGCTTCTGTCTCACTTCCTCGGCCGGCCTGGCACGCTGCTGCTGCTGCTGCTGCCATGCTCATGGCCAGGAAGGAGGCGCCATCATCAAAGAAAGAAACAAAGTTTCTACGCCAGCACAGACAGGGGTTGGCCATTTGGATTTCGCTCTCACCACTGCCGCGATATTAGTCTGTCTCCTCTTTCTCTCTCTCTCTCAATTACACTCCCCGCTTCCTTCCTTCTCTTTCATTCACCTGCCCCCCCCCCCAGCTGGTCGCTGCCCGCGCGCACGAGCAAACAGACAGGCGGGCAGGCAGGCAGGCACGGTCAACACAGCAGCAGAAACGAAACGAGGGGCGCGCTCGACTAAACCTAGACTTTGAGAGAGCGGGTCCAGTGCCTTCAGCCACGGTGCACTTGCACATGCACATGCGGGATGATGGGACGCAATGATTCTCGCATGGCATGGATTTGATTTGGTTCAGTTTAGGTTGGGCGGCACGGGGGCGGCGGGCGTGGCATGGAGCATGGAGCATTGCATTGCGGCAGACTACCTACCTATCCAGTTGGCGATGCCGGTGCTGCTGCTGCTTTTGCTGATGCTGATGACGCTCCAGTGGCGGCAGCAGTAGTGAGTGAGCAGTATGGTTCGTGTATATAGCATAGCGCAGAAGGGAGGGAGTGGAAGGCGTGCTAAAGGGGACGGGGGAGCTGGGTACGTGTGCGGTGGGGTGGTGGGAGGAGTGAAGCGAGCGAAGGGCGGTAGGCGGTGGACGGTGGACGGTGGGCGTTGGGATCGAGGCAGTGGGTATGGCAGGTATGGCAGGTATGGTAGGTAGGGTAGCTAGGACCGGGACGGTAGATGGGCCAAATCAATGAAGTCATGCTATTTTGGTTAGGGGGTGCAGTAGGTTTGCGTGCGATGTGACCGCATCTACTCGTACCTAGGTACTCGTATGTGGAGTAGAGTACCTAACGGGCTGGGGGGCCACGCGGACGGACCGGCCCGCCCGCTGCGCCGCTGCGGGCGACAGGGCTGAGATGGCGGCTAAGGCACGTGGGCGATATGTAGGTACGCGCCGCTTTTGCGGGGTTAGGGCTGGGTGAGAGGTTTGGTTTGGTTTGTGTGATTGGGTTTTATTCTAGGGATTGCGTGCTTGGTTCGTTGCTTGTTTTCCTCCTCTTCTCTCTCTCTCTCTCTCTCTCTCTCTCTCCCTCTCTCTCTCTCTCT